CTGTTTATCAAATTGAAACGGTTTTATAAATGGCAAAATTTTCATTTACATTTTCATTAGGAAAATAAATCATTGAGCACCGAAAATCAAATTATAAGAAAATAAACTTGTTCTAAGGTATTCGTTTTTTTATACTTTCATTGGCAATTTACAAAATATTTGAATATTCATATTTCATGATAAAATGGATAAAATAAAAATAAAAGAACTGAATAAAATTTATATTTACATAGAAATTTACAAAAACATTTTTATACCTGCTGACAAATATTTATTGATGTTGTCAATGCCTCGAATTGCTTTTTAAGGTGGAAAATAAGAATTTTCAATAAAATTGCAGTGAAATTTTCTAGTTCTTTATTGCTTTAAAATATTTTAATAATGCGATTTGTTCAACAAGCTTAAGAATAAATTTGAAATGAAATTTCTTCTTGGAACAAACTCAGATGAGAAATATCAGCGAGAAACACGTGGCAAAATTTAAGATTTCAACTTAAAATCTAATCAATTATTCAGAAAGGAAATTTTCAACTTTAAAGCACAATAAAAAAAATTTCCCATAACTTTTGCAAATTGCAATTTAAGTGGATAAAATTTCATTCAATTAGATATTCCATGTTTAAGCTCAAAACTGGTCAGTAAAGTTTTAAGATTTTCCATTATGGATACTAAAAAGTTCAGTTCATCTTTCAGGAAATTACTCTTTAAACTTCTATCAAAATTCAGGAATTTCATGGAGTTTATAGATCAAGTCGAACAGCTTTTACAAATCATGATTACATAATAATTTAATAAATTAGTAGCTATTTAAATTTTAACATTTTTTTTATTATTAGAAAATCGCTTAAATTAACATCTCTGACAAATTATCTGATTGAAAGAAAAAAATTGAATTATTATTATTGTTGAATATATCTATAAAACTTAAAAGCCTTTGTAATGTTAGAGTGGAAATTGTCAGCCTGTTCTATCACAATACCTCTCCTAGAATCTCTTGTTATCTACGCAATAAATCGCAGAGTACAAGAACCATAAGAGAAAGCTCTTAACTTGGAAAGTCTTTTGAATCTCTGCCACAAATTATCATTCTCATATTATCAACCTTCGTGATTTATTCATTTATTCCACTGTGTTACTTTCAATTCACATCTGAGTATCTTATCGCGATAAAAGTGGGGAAGAACTCATAAAATATAAAAACAGGAAAGAGCATTTCGAAGTATTTCATTAGAAGTTCCTTTCGTGGTACAGGAATCAAATATAAAAACGACTGTGGAATATAACAAAACGATCCCATAAAAGTTTTAAAAAAGGCGTTTAAGGTAAGAGTATTAAAACAACATTCCCTTCCGTTTCGATGCTCTCGCCGTTTCTCGTGTTTTATTGTTTGTGAACACAGAAAATAAATCCCTCAGAAGTCATTTTCTACCTTGGTCACATTATCCACAGAATATTAAAGAGTCATGAGAGTGTTTATTTTCCTAAGGATTTATCTCAGGTATTTAAATTAAAATATAAAAATTGCAACAACCGTTTGACAATGAATGGAAAGTGCTTTTCGAAAGAAATCGTACAAGACACCATTAAACCAAATGTTTTGAATAAAATGCTTGCGATTCTAGATGATTCTTATTCAAATTTTAATTAAGATATAAATTGTCGGGATGCAGAGAAGACAAACTGATTAACTCAGCTTCTTTAGGATTTTCCTGCAGCTTCATTATTTCGTATTCTTCTTAAATATTTTTGAGGTTGAAGTTACACGTTGGAAAAGGAATAAAAAGAAAAAAGATTTTCCTTTCTCTTTTCGGACATTTCAAGTTGGATCTTTAATAATAACAAAAATAATGAAGAAGAAAGAAAAATCTTCCCTCAATCTCCATTTTCATTAATGCCTTTGGGACGAGTAAAAAATTCATTAAAAGTATTTTGAAGAACGACATTAGAAATGCTGTTTTGTATTCATTCAAATTTATTAGGTTTGATATAAAATGTGACTTTGGGTGAAATTCAGAAAGTTTTTTATTGTTTACTTGAGGAAAGAAATACTTAAAGATACTTAAAGTATCTATTAAATAGGGTGATTTACCAATTTCTAGCAACTCAAAAATTTAGAAATTGTTTAATGGTTTCAAAAAATTTTAAAGCTTCCAACATCAACAAGTGTTTTAATAATTAAATTTCTACCCTCTATAAGATAAGATAACATGATTGTTGTCTTGTTTTCGAGAAAATATTGTGTTATGACTTAAAAGCCTTTAACATTTCAACTTTCGTAATTTGATGTTATCAAGTCTTTTCAATTTTGTTAGTTCAATTTAAAAGCTTTAACTCTATTTACTCGACACCACTTGACACTCAGTTCTCAAATGTCTCAAGTCTACTTACATTTGTTCGTTTGTTACTAGAGAAAAAAAAAACTCTTGAAGCTTTGACAACTGAGTTTCCATGTGTAACTTCAACAAAGTTGAAGTTTTCTTAACGAGAAAAAGAAAACTTATGGGTTACTCTTTGAAAGCCTCAGGACTAAGTTTTATCAGTGGAAGTATAACAAACGAAAATTGATAAACATTAAATCTATGAATCAACATTGACAGCCTCGTTAGTCACCAAAAAATGAATCTTTTCTTCGTTATTTCTGTTAGAGAGAGAAAACTTACTTCTTTATGTCATTTCTCTTAATCCCACTTGAAACATATCTAACAAAGAAGAAGAAGATAAATAAACTTTTTTTGTTTGTTGTCTACATTCAACATTTTGGTGAGCATAATGCGAACATATATAAAAAACTCCCACGTGCAATATTTTCTTGAATAATTTCTGGATATTTTCTTCGGGGGAAACATGACAGAAAAAAATACATGAATAAATTGTGAGGAAGGGAAGAAAGGAAAATCTTTAGTTTTGAGTATGAAAATGCTAAACATCGAGAAAATCTTATTTGCAGTAATCATATGTATCATGAAAACTTCCACCTGAATATCCTTTTGTTGTGATTATTGTCGTCGCAACTGAAACTGATAGGTTTCCGACTACGTTATCCCAAACCATAGAGAAAAAAAGAAATATTTTTTGATTGCCGTCGAATTGAGATTATTTATGATGTTGAGTGAATCGTCCCAACCCCAACCAACCAACCCATAGCTTGAGGAAAATGTAACGAATATGCGTTTGAGTTTATATTCATTTTTCATGTCAATGCACAACCTTTCGTTATATTTATTTTGCGCATCATAAATATCAAAGTCAATGAAATTTGTAGCAGACGTTGTGCACGACTAGAAATTTACATGGAAAAGCTGATTGGTTGACTATAATAAATATTCAGAAGAAAGTTTAGTTAATAGAAAGTCTCTGTTGTGCAAAACGTCTGATACGGACAAAACTGATTATTTCTTTATTCTTCTTAACCCATTTCAAAGCGTTTTCTTCTTGTCATCTGTGTAAATTGTTTTCCTTTCTCTGCTGCTTTTTTCTTTGAGGGTTCTAAGGATATTGATAATGAAAACATGGAGAAACATTTTATGAATATTTTCCCTCTTTCATTACGACTCTATCGTAGTTAAAACCATCGTGAGAAAGTGATGAAGATAATAAAAAAAGTTTAAGATAATCTAAAAAGAATTATAATATTTCAGACTTTCATGAAATTAAAAACTACGATTGAAAAGTTTTTCAATTGACAAGATCTTTCGCTGCAAGTTTAAGAGTTTAAGAGAAACTTCTTTTAATTTTCTTATTGCACATAAAAAAAAACACGTGACAAATTAAATTAATTTTCTTTCTTTTTAAATGAAACCATTAAGATTATTTTAATCTCTTATGAACAATTTCAGTAAATGTAAGAAGCTTAAAAATGTTTTTTAACTCGGGTCGAAATAAAAGCGAAACTTTTGAAACTAATTTTCCAATTCGTGTTTTCAATTAACTCTGTTAAGCTTTCAAAAGCGGCTTTAACTTCTTTCACTGAAAATTGATATCTAAAAGTATCAAAAAATCAGACAAATTTTATCAATTTCATCCTTATTGGACGTTGATGTCTCCAACAGCTTTAGATATTTTTTAACAAAGATTTGGGTTGAATATTTTATGATCTGTGTGGGTTTTAATGACGTTGAAAATTACATTTACGCTTTAACGAGCGTAAAGGCTCATGAAAGTAGATTGGTCTTTTAATATTATCCTTTTATCATGCCTAAAGATGTAAGAGATGTAAGGATCAACAAAGCTTAATTGAATATGCTAAGCTAATACATGTTCATATTAATTAAGGGCACTGAAAGTCGCTACAATTATCTCGTAGTATGATTTATACGAAATGCTTCCAAAACGTGAAAATTCAGCTCCCGGGAAATATATTTCAAAAACACGAGAATCCAATTTGTGTCTCAACTCTTAAGCTGAAAGCCGAGAAAGAAAAAGATCTGAATTGAGCTTACCATACGTGAAATATGAACCACATGGTGAAGTCGACCCATTTCACTTTGAGATGTATATACAGCTTTTTTCCTGCTTTTCTCTCCATTTCAGAGCATGAAAGGTCCATAAATTTACCTTTTGTTGATTGCAGGCGCATGATTATAAGCACGGGTATGTCGACAAGAGATAAAAACATTCAGAAATCAAAGTAATTGCAAAAGCTTTGTACAAAAACCTTTAAAGAGAGATTTATTTTTTGTTTTTAACAAAGCAACGAAAATTTTTGTTTATTTGCTTTTTTTTTATTTATTTAAGAAGATTCTTAGAAGAATGATGAAAAATAATGCAAATATAACAAGAAAATATGAACTAAGCTTCACAAGCATCACAATATAATATCGAACATTAAAGATTATCCATAATTTAGGGGCTATCAATACTTAAGCCTCTGCCATTCTAGCAAACGGTTAAAAGCCGACAAAGAAATTTTTTTCCTGAAAGAATTTTTATTGAGTTTAGCTTCCTAGGGATTTTCTTTGATTGCTTTATCCAAAAATCATGGAACAAAAGCTTTCAAGTTATTAACGCTTCTCGAAACGAATTACCCTTCGTATCATTATTCACGCCAACGAACTTTGAATCTCCCGAAATGCCTTTAGCTGTGCGGAATGTTCAATTTGTGACCAATAAGATTATGAGAGAGATCATACTGATGTCTTCATCAACGAAATTTCCTCTGATATTATCCTAAATCAGAGAGCTTTGGGTCGGTTTGTGAGTGCTCTTATGAATACTTGTGGAGCAAGAGCTCGTTCAACTCGTGATTATCTCATCGTTGTCATTATTATGTGAGTAACATTCCATCTTGGCAATCCTCTAAATCTGAAGGGTCAGTTTTTGTCCCCATTTCCGTTGAAGTTTAATGCACTACATCATACAGACAGTCCATTAATTCAACTCAACACATCTCGTGTTCCTTAAGAATCTTGCTGAAAAATTTTCATTAGTGGAATTGTCACTTGGATTGAGGGCAAAACTTACTTCAACTTAAATTAGAAAAGGAAAAAAAGGAAGAAGATAAGGAAATAAAATGTGCTTACGTAAGAGTCTTAGATGGAATTGTAAAGACGCTTTCATGTGCAATAAATATCTATGTTAGTTTCGCAAATTATAAGAAACATGTATTTTCCGTTGCCAACTTTCATGTTATTTATTTCTTGTTTTTGTGTGGAACTTACAAGTCATCACATGAAAAGTGTCATTTAAATTAAAACAATTTATTTACATTAATCTGATGCACCGTTTACACGTTTACTTCTAAAACATTTTTTAAAAAAAATTGCTCCGCTTATGTTGAATACTTATAAACAAAAAAAAATGCACCAGAGATGACTGAACAAAGGAACATTCAAAGGGGAAAAAAAAATCAACATATCCGATGAACACTTTACATCTGAAATTTCTCTGCCACTGACGTTGACTCAAATGCATCGCTAAGCTTGGAAAAATTCACAACCAATGGATGGAGAAAGCAACGCTTACAAATAATGGTAGAATGTTTTTTGTTAGTCTCGTTTATTTATAATACTCTTGAGTTTTTGCGATTTTCTAGCGAATGACTTACAATTTGCAGAAGCAAATAAATTCTACTTAAAACGGCTAATATCACATGAAAGTTTAATTCTTATTCATTTTCTTCTACTTCCCTGCTTTGTTTTGGAAAGCTTCTGTTTTGGTACTTGGATGGGGCGTCTTAGATTTCCTGCTGTCTGCAGATTACCCGCAATACTTTGAACCAAATCATTTACAGCCCGCAGCGTCTGAATTGGAATCTGAAAAATTTATTATTCATTCATTGAGATAGTTAATGAAAGAAAGGGACAACGAAGGAAGATTCAGAGATGGAGAATATGAAATTGTCTTACACTAAGCAGACTGTCAAACAATGGAGAACGCGATGAAGGCAATGGAGGACGCACTGGGGAATATTTTTGATTTTCTCGTTTCCCTGTTGTTATACGTTCAATTTTGTCGGCAATGGGGTGAGGCTTCAAATTAAATATATTAACATTATTTCAGAAACTTAATTTTCACCAAACCTTACTTTCTTTCTTTTAACAGACGAACAAATATTCATAAAGGCATAGAGATAAAATGTAATCATCATCATATTACAGAAATTCATTTTAATTCACTTTACTTATTTCTTTATTTAAATAAAACGAATCTGAAGCACTTAAAAAAATTATTTTCTAAAATATATTCAGAATTAAACTGAACTGAACAAGGTGAAAATGAAAACTAAATTAAAAGTTTCAAAAGGCAAAACAAAAAAGTTTCAATTGAGAACGAAGTGAGTTAAGTGCAATGACTGAGAAGCATTAAGCAGAGCGACTGCACTTGCTAAATGCATGAATGCTAAAGAAGGTTGTGTAACTTTCTTTAAAAATTCTACATTCAAACGAGTGTGTTTAAGTGATTAATTTTTATTTTATCTTGCTTTTAACATAATTAAATGTTTGTTTTACTCATGCAAAGATTTACTCACTGTTGTTAACGTAGTGTTGCTATTGTAAATTTCTATCCTATTGTTGAATAAGAGCGAGTAAATATATACGGAAGTTGATACTTTCATACTTCATGGGGAAGAATAAAGAAATGTTTTTGACGTTTATCATCTTACAAAATAGAAATAGGAAGTTTCAAGATCATTGCTCCAATTCAATCCTTATTCTTAGCATTGAAACGTAAACAAGAATCAATTACCTGCTTGTTGAAGTGAATTAAAGAGTTCATTCAAATAGAATGATTTCCGCATGATGATTTTTAAGAATTTCAATCAAATGTTTATTGGTAAGTAATTTCCATTCAACTGTTAAATAATATTAAAGAATAATTGTCGGCTTTTTCAGACTTAAGCTTTATTTCTGTCGACTTTTTTCGAACTTTTTTTTCAGTTCATCATCAGGACAATCTTAGATACAACACAAAACTTTCGTAACATTAAACAATATCAAAGAAAAAGCCACATTAAATGGAAAATATGAAAATATAAAACGGGAACATTTTCACTTTAAATATTCCAGTTTAGAGTAAGACGTTCCATAATTCTTCAATCCTAAAAAACACAGAAGAAAAAAGCGAAAAGAGAAAAAATTTGTAACCTGCAGGAATTCTTGATGAAAAAATGTATTGGAAAATAAACATTTACGATAACTGTTGAGTTTGTTTGAGCAAAGAAAAGAAACACGAAAATTAAGTTGAGATCAGTTAGGGAAATTTGAATTTATGCACAATTGAAAACATACTTAAGGGTTATGATGAAAGCAACTCAACTGAAGCCGTTCTACCTTTGTTATTTCGAATTCTCTGCCAATTTATATATTCTCCACTAGAGTAGCATCATGAACGTGCATAGAGGATTTCTGCTTCTGAATCACCTTGAAAACGATCTAAAGAAAATGTATGTCGTAAAAACGTTGATCTGACAAAGGATAGCAAAACCGTTTCAACAGCTGCGAGAACTTTTGTCACGTACCTTCAAAAATAGTTTCTTCCTTTTCGGTTCATGATTATTTAAAGCAACGTTTCCCAAAGATGTCGAGCTTTTTTTTATGATTATCAACCTTATGCGGAATAAGGAAAAAAAATACTCGGCTCACCTGAATTTGGAAGTCTGATGAAACATGTTGATAAAGGTAACTTTGGGGATCTTTTGAATCATCATAGGCAGATCTGCCTTAATAAATTTTTTGAGACAGCAAACAGAAACAACTGATATGCATTAAGGTGAGATAATTGGTGTGAAATCTTCCAAAAGGGTCTTAATTCATATTGTGGCACATGTTAATGTTATCTTCTTTCTTATTAACCGATGTTTCCGAAAGCAGGAAATGGGAAATTAGTGAAATTACTTTGTTGCATGATTTTAAGAAATAACATGGGATGAAAGCGGATAATTAACAGACTACAAGGTTTTCCGCAAAAATTATGAAGTCTCCTCACGACAGTGCCGGGAATTCCTTGTAACCACTTTGAACTTACTCGCTTTTCCTTTTTCGTCTTTCGTACTTATAAAGATAATGGAAATAATAAGTAATAAAAGTTTACGACTTATATTAACAACTTTTAGAAGCACGAGTCGCATTGATTCAAGGGAGTTAATCTCTTGGCAGTTAAATTAATTACAATTTTACTGCTTGGAACGTGATTTTAACAAAGATGGTAAATAGACCAGGAAATATGAAAGCGGTTCAAGAATTAAAAACCAAATCATTGCAGATATCTTCCTTTCCTTTTAATTCACAAATCTGTTTACTCATCATGCTGGTATTTAAAAAAGCTGACATGAAATTTTCTTTTTGCATTGATATAAAGAAAATAAAAAACGCTTGAAGACATACATTGTTACATAACAAAGACAGTTTGTCGTAAATAAATAAAAAAAGAGCTCAGCAATTATTACGAGAAATGATATCAATGTATAGAAAAATGAAAACATTTCTAACCCAGTTATGTTGATTGCTCATAAAATTATTGCTGTTAGTAACATAAACTTTGCGTGATGACAAAGTTATGATCTGTGAAGAGTGTAGAGCGAGAATTTTGTCGCCATTACATTTTTTTTCTGATGATATTACAAAGAAATTTTAAATTTTAAAATTAACTCGTTTATCTTTATAGCTTAATTAAGAATGTTCATTTTCCAGATCACGTATTGCTTTCTGCCAACTTTTCTTAAATCAATTTTTCTTCTTATTTGTCAGAGTTTTCGAGTAAATGATGAAGCTCGTCTTCCAAAACTTTTTCAGCAATTTCGAGTTTCTGTAAGAAGAAATAATGTCGAGAATAGATAAGAGCCATATGTTAGCTAATTGAGAGAAATTGTTAAAAAATTAATCTTTCAGATTATTACTAAAAAATTACCTTCATTCGTGAAATGTAATCCTCTTTCCTACCGTTTTTTCCAACCATCAGATCGAAATTATTTTCAATCTTTTGAAACGAGCTTTCGCAATTTCTCTCCGTTTCTTCCCTTCCTTCTCCTTTGCCATCAAATACCTTTGAAGTGGAATTTGTCGACGATGTCGTGCTTTCAAGCTTTACGTAGAATAGAGAGATTAATTTTTTTTTGATTCATTAAAAATGGCAGACAGAAAATTAATTAATATCGACTTGCTTTATTCTTACAACCAAAGTTACGTAAAATTCTTCGTTTTCACGCAGCTTATAAAAATCATTTGTCTTCTCTTTTGTAATCGATATCAATTGATGATTATTTAGAGGCTCATTTTAATTAATTAGCTTCTGTTCTTATAAAGAAAAAAGATGTTCGTTGATGATTGCTTAATTAGAAAAATCTACAATAATTCCATTTCAGGTGAAAATTTTGAGATTTAAAAAGAATTATGTTGGGAAACTGACCACATGCAGCATTAAAACACCTCACAACTTATTCCAATCTCTAAATAAGAATGTTACATAAAACAAATGTTCATGAAAACTTGGGTCTAGATCAAATCACTTCGAGGAAAAAGTTTTTATCTCTTCAAAACTTTATTAATCTCTTTATTTCCTCGAGTTTTCCGCACTACTTGACAAACATCTTTGAACGAAACTTCTTCAAATTTCATGTATGAGCAACGAAAAGCTTTTAAAAAAGAATCAATTATAAGAATGCTTTTCAAATTCACTCGTTTCTACTTAAATATGAGAAGAACTTCAAAGTATAGAAATATTTATATTAAGTTTTCTCTCATGTTTGATGCTAAAGTTTACAGTTTGCATCAATGAGGAATTCAAATAAAATATTTATGCGAAGAGAAAATTATTTAAAATGAATTTCTCTTAGAAACGAAACTAATAAGCATTGTGAATGTTAAGCGAAAATAAATTGTTCCTTCACTTGAAAACAAAGAATTGTTTTCACATTACAATCTGACGAGTAAAAAATTTCAAATAGGTAACTTCAATAAAACTTTATAAGGTGAATGAAAATTCATGTTAAATGTACCTGTTTCAGTTGATCCATCAGACGCTGCTTTTGACTTTTGATCGATTCTATTGAAGTTTTATGTCGACTCTCTAATGTGCCAGATCTCATGCTGGTATCGATCTCAAAATTTTGCATACGCTGCGACATCTCTTTAAGCTTAAGATTTTCCTCAGCCATCTGCAATTCAATTTCCTCTCGAATACGCTAATATGGAAATTATAGGTTAAATTTTTTATCAACTCATGTTTCAATCGAGTTAACGTAAATCCGTTTGACGAAATTTATGATGTAAAATAATCTTTTAAAAAGAGTTTTTAAAACTTCACCTGTTTTTGCAGATTCCGCAACATTGACTCCAATTCACTCTCGCTTGCTTCAACTTGCTTCCTAAGCAGACTATTTCTCGTATGGATAAGCGTTTCATTCTCATGTTCACGAATCTTTTTAAGACTCAATAGCAGCATTTTCCTCTGACAAGTTATTCGCTCTTCTTCCTCCTCAAGCGCTTTAGCATAAGAAGATTCAATTTCTGTTTCGTAGAGAATGAATGAAGCATAAGAAACTTAAGTTTAAACTTTCGTTGTAGTGTCATTTAGATGAAGAAGGTTTAATGAGAAATGTTATTACGTAGTTAAATCGTTAAATGTAAATCTTTTCCTCAACTTCTGATATAAATCTTATAAAGTACAAATTCATAATTTCTGTTTTTTCATTGCTTAGCAACTCCATTAACGGGAAAAGCAACTCGCGTTAAGCTTACGCTTAAGATTTATTACGCAATTTTACTCTCTGTGTTTATACTTTAGCAAAGTAATGAAACGTGTTATGTGAGTTATTATAAATTTCCGCAGTCGTTTTTAACAACGTTCATAGAAAGGAAGTAAATAACCTTTGAACGACTAGAAAGAAGTTTCTTCACTTTCAATAATGCGGAAAGAAGAAGAAAAAATATAATTGATGAGTCTCATAAATCAAATAAATATCAAGAGTTGTGATTGCAAAAATAAATTTATGTAAGTACTTATGTTTGTTGAAAAGGATGAGGTCATGAAAATTGTTTGTTTTTAATTTGTAGTACAATAATAATCTTTGCCAGAGGCTGGGATGAAGTCAGAAAAAAAGATTTGAATTAATTTGATGCCTACATGCAATTGATTTGTTTATAAATATAAGTTAAACAAGATTTAGTATTCGTTGTCATGTCGCAATATAAATAAATCTGAGAAAGCAATAATATGAGAGTTATGAATAAACACAATAAAGGTTTAGGGCATAAATACAGTCAAATCTCTATAAGAAGAAAATCTCCATACATGACCACCCGCTTCAACTACATTCATATTGGAGAGCAATTCTGTAAGAAGAAAAGCTCCATACATGACTAAAGGGGGTAGTCCGCGTTCACTTATAGAGATTCGACTGTATATAATTTTAGGCCGGAGAGCTATGATGGAAATGCTTTCAGTTTCATAAATACATAAACATTATTGAGTCTCTAATGAGCCTAAGGGGTTATGAGACTAATGTTTATGTTTGACAAGAATGACATATATGAGAAACATCCCGAAAATATTGAAATACGTTTTTAAAAGCCTAACTCGGATTTCAGTGGGGGGAAATATTCGAAAATCGAAATCTAATTAATCAATTAAATACATGCGTAGCAATGCCTAACAAAATTCAATATAAAACTTCATAATCCAAGTAATTAATCATGTGCTGAAATTTTGTAAAAACAATGATGAAGCAGATTGCTTACCTCGCATTCGCTGTTCGTATTCAGCGTCGATAAGATGATTCTCCAAACGAGTATTAATTGATTTCTCAAACGCTTCCATCTCAACCAACTTTGCGTCGAGAATTTTTTGTTCCATTCGGAGTGAGTCAATTTCATTAACTTTATTGTCACTCAAATGTTTTGGATAATTCTCGAATTTCTGATATTCATCTCGTGTCAAAGGAGTGAAAGGCTTCATATGAAGTCTGGGATGAATTTCCGGCGGACATTTTTCCATTAAACGTTGTGCTTTTGATAAAACTTTTTTTAAGTTCACATAGTAAGGCTCATGGAAAATCTTTTCAATGTCGTTAATCGTTTCACATCGCATGATGGTCACACTGAGTGCGCTATTGTAAGCGACGATGAAGAAAATTATAAAAATCGGATCGTTGGATATGATGTGATCCCACAGCTGCATCCATTGTTGTTCATCAAGTATCTCCGAAAAAGCTGTTTCCATCAATGACATTGCATAAATTTCTGCTGTAACCTTTTTTGATTGATAAAATTCGAAAAGTTTTCGATCTGTTTCTCTCAAAATACTTTCAATAATGCAAAAATAATTGAATGGCATTTGAAATGGTGCAAATTCGAACCACAGTTGACAATGATTGCAAAGTATTGTGGCAATCAACTCAAAGCAAAACATTGAATCTTTTTTGCACACTTTGAGAAATGGAAAAACAAATTTCGGCAAATATTGAATGTGGCCAAAAATTGGCGTCCAATGTGCGATGCACGACATAATTCTTCTCAAATTATTTAGAGCTTTATGGTCTGACAACGGATATCTTTTATCGTAATTTGCTACACATGAATGCAATTGTTGTTTTAGGAAATAAGAAAATGAATTGAAATTCGATGGCAGTTTCAGAATCGTTTTCCAAATCAATGGACGATATTTATCAGGATACTCTCCGAACTCCTTCAATATTGGTAGTAATCTTTTTATTGGCAACGTCTTATAGAGCTGGCAAAGAAAAAGGGAAGAGAATTAAAGGATGAATGATTTTTATTCCATCTTAAATGGTTTTGCTGCTAGAAATTGAATCACTTTAATTGGAATCTCCCATCAGGCGCAAGGATAGAATATTGCATGAACCATAAAACCTAATTGAATTCGCCTCCAAACTCTATTTCAGATTTAAAGCTTTTATCGCCATACAATGACCAGCTGTTTCAGTCTTATTTCATTATGCAATTCTTTTTCTCCTTTTTTAGTGTTGTTAACAGATGTTATGAAAAGCTTTTCATGGTGATTGTATCATTATTCATTTTTCCGTTTGTATATATTTATAAATTTTATCACTTGATAAAAACTTTCTTTCTTCAGAAGTCATTTAATTTTGCTTGCTAAATCCATGATGATTATCTAAACATTTAATTAAAACTTTGAGAAAGTAATTTAATCTAAAATAGGGTGAAGTTTCGAATCAAAACAGAAGTCAAAATAAAATATTTGTCAAATTTAAAAGGAGAAACAACATTAAAAGATGTTGATACAAAACTTCAATGATTAGTTTATAGATTCTTAAAGCTTTTACGGACAACATTTGGAGAAGATTTTTTTTTGGGTGTCTCTGTAATTGAGTTTACACTATTTAGCTTAAAGATTCTCCGATTCAATATCTTTATTTGCCCTACTTTCAATTACCTTTATTTGTATTTCATCCAATCCCACATTCCTTTCATTGCTTTTATCTTCATGTTTTATAGCCCTTGAGTTAGTTCTTGTAAATATTTCTTCCTTGCTAAAAATATCGAATTCAACTGAAGCACCGAAAAAACGTTCAAAATTATACACTAAAATTTCTCCTGTGTGCTGAATGCTAATTAAAAGTTTTCTGTTTGTTGAAAGAAGGAACTTTTTGATGCTGTTAGAATTTGATAACATTTTCGAATTTACAGTTTTTAAGTTCAGCAGCATAAGTTCGTCATTTGAAGTTAAAGTCAACAACATGTTAGGATTATTTTCATGTGAGGGGATGTAATCAAATCGTTTGATAAAAAAGTCAGGAAATTTGATTATTCGACGACATTCCCACATAGACGTAGAGCAGAACATCAAGCTATTGTCCATTAAGCTCAAACAAAAACTGCTTCCATTCTGAGTAAAACAAACAGAGTGAAGATAACCATTCGAGTAATCTCTAGTTATAGAATTGATTATTTTATCCATATCCGTTTCATGGTCTGACTTTGCTTCATCGTCTGAATAATTCAATTTCTCAATCTTGTTACGAGGATTTTTTAAATAATGTTTTCGAGCTTTTAAAGGCTCAAAATGTCGAATGTGCTTCAATGAACTGTTTAAAATGCAAATAATGTTGTGATGAAGAATGACAAACAGTCTGTTGTCGTGTGGTATCTGCTCAACAAATTTTATCTCTGCTTCATCTTTCGGAATGAAATCGCTTTTCTTCACAAAGTTTTCTAGATCGTAAATCTTAATTTGTTGACTCGACAGTGCCATGATAGTTTTCATATCGGGACGTTGAAACAAAAATTGATTAATTGGAATGGAAAATACTTTGATGCAGCGTAACGTTGTTCCACTATCTGTAAATTGAAAGCAAAAAACCGATTTAAGAGGAAATAGCTCACGTTAGATTTTCTCTTATAACACTTATAAGTATCAAGTAAGTTTATAAGGAAAACAAAAGAAAATTTATGATCTTGAAAAACCATTAACAGATGGAAAAATTCAATTTCAGATAAAGCTTCGTTCATCTTAAGAAGTTCTTAACAGCTTTTTCTTTTCTTTTCTTACTTCACCAACTTGTGAACATTGATGGCAAATTCGAAATGGATGAAACTTTTCATCCGAAACAAAAACTTCATAAATTTCCTTTCAGAACACTAACTTAAATCTTTAATCCCAGATTTGCAAAAATGATTTGCTAAATGAACAATAAAATTGGTTTTGACAAACTCTTCGGTGAATAAAATAACGATTAAGTCAAAAATTTATCGATGGAAGAATATTCAAAAAGTTTTTATCAGATTTATTAAGGGAAAAGATTTACAACTTGATGGCTTTTGACGGGAAATGACTGGAAAGTTTTAACAGGAGCAATGTCTCGAACATCACTGATAAAATTTATGAGATAAGTTTGATTAAACAAACATTAAATTTCGATAACATGACAAGAAGCCATGGAGATCACCCGAAATGTTATTAAAATAATTCTCTGAGAATCAACATGGGATTTGTATCGATTGAAGACGTTTTCATGCTTCTTAAGCATGCTTTATGAATATTCAGAAGCTTGGAATTATTTACAATTTGCAGTTGTTCTAATGGAAAATAAATTCACTCACTTATGTCAATCTCGTACATAAATCCCGATTTATTGCCAACGAGTATGTTGCTATCTTGTAGGGGAATAAATTTAAGGGCGGAACAATCATGGATGTTAAAGTTTGCCAGCTGCCAAAAGCATTTTTCACTTAAATGAAAAACAAATGCATTGTCACTGAAATGAAAAGAAATAAGAAATAAATTTCAAAAGTAATTAAGGAAGTCGAAGCAGCAAAGCATGCAAGTGCTGTGGGAAAACTTTATTACAATCGCATCCTGTTGAAATGCTAAATCAAGAAAAATAAAGAGAAATTCAGCATAACGAGCTAACCAAACATAAGAAATCATCGTTAGATGCTTCAACCACTGAACTTACCCTTCATCAATTGCGGCAAAAAATTTGCTGCATCTCGAAACGTCTATCAATGTAAAAGAGAATTTCACCTTTTCACTATTATCGGTTTCAATTGTGTGATGAATTTTCAGAAAGAGACTAAAAACAATTGCAAGAAATCATCAAGTAATTACAGTTTAATGGCCCTTTTTTAGCTCAACTCACCCATTCTTATCGTTTCTAAATTTCAAAGACTTTTTCACAATTCCAAGCATTTTCGATAAAAAGTTTCACTAATTTCTTTACTCGGATGAACTCTTGCGATAAAATTAAATTGAGTTGCTTAATTAAAGACTATGAAAAGCGCTTTTCTTTATAATTATTAATTTGACATTCACAGCTAACTCCTGCGTATTGTTTATGTAAAACTTTTGTTTCCATGCGGCATAAGCAAAACAAACACATCGTTGGTATGGCAACAAATGTTGGGTTTTCCTTTTCATATTTTATGTTCCAGAAAACGTTTTTTTTCCTTTTTTTTATTGTCAGTGCACGTTTTTCGATTTCATTACAAGAAAAAGGGTAATGGTTAGACCTTAGCATTGTTTTCTTTTTAAATTAAAATTTTAATTTATTTGCTGGATATAGCGGAAAATTGTTTCGCATGGCACTCACCAACACCCAAAAACGTCACAACATCTGCAGATTTTATTAAAATCATTTTAATGCTTATTATTCTTTCAAATTTCTCTATTTAATATTTATTTCATTGAAATTTCAAATCACTCAGCTTGAATTAATTGAAAAATATGTTTTCTTCTGATTATGTCTAAACATAACAATTGATAAATTTTCTTGATGAAATAATGCGTGGGTGTATAAATATGAGAAACACATTTTTCTTGTTTTCCTTAAATCTCTGCTTAAAAACCATTTGCAAAATCTTTTGTTTCAAAACAAAATTTGATATTGCTCTCGAACTCATAACAACATAAAAGAAAATTTAATAGAAAGTTTAATGTTGTTTAAGTGGGAGAGAAATATAATATAAAAGCTTATTTCTTGTTGTATAATTTGTTTTCCCAAAGAATATGCTTCATCATTGCATTGGCTTAATTTTTCCTTTTCACTTTCAGTTGGTCACGTTTGCACTCATGAAAAATTTTAGTGAATAATTGCGCGTTGCTTATTGCGTTGTATCATCTAAATGAATTCTTAAAATTTCTTGGTCGCTAGAAATCGATTTTTACTTGAATGTAAAATATATTGAAATGGGAATGGCCATGTCACATCGTTGAATATGGTATGAATATTTATTTGGTATCCGCATTCTGTCAAGTTTTATCTTTCAACCCTTTGCAATGTCTTAAACTATAAACCTTTCTAAATCACTTACCACGAATATCTAGGAAATAAACAAACGAAAGGGACTAGAATTTCAACATCAACAGTACTTTTAATTCAACTTGTCGTCAAAAACTGAAAATAAAATACTTTTAAGGATACTTTTGAGAAAATATAAAGAATTATAGGAGCTGATATACGTGCTGGATGTGAGAGTATTACAAAATATAAATTCAAGTAAGAGTTTTAAAAAATTTAGAAGTATCCTTGGAAAACGTTTTGCTCATTTTTCCTTTCTATTCTATTGAGGGTTCACATTTCAGAGGCTCGTGACACATTTTCATGCTTAGCAATTTCAAATTTCCGAAAATGTGCCTATTTAAACACGTGGACTTTTTCCTTTGTCAGCAGATGATTCGATTTTTACAGTATTTTTTCAATAGAATCTACCGCGAATATATTTTTTATTTTAACTTTGAATCATGATCAGAGTACCCAATTTTCCGAAAGAATTTCAATTGTCGTCTTGTCTGAAATATTTATCATCGTTTTGTGGCTTCAAAAATACTTTTAACGCTGAAAGAAATTGTAGCTTCAAGCAATAACGTTTGAAATTTACGCAAATACATATTTGAAATAATTTATGAGGGCATAAAAGAGCAGAAGGAAAAAAAGCCCCGAAAATAAAAATGTAAAAGAATTTCAGAAAAAACACCAAGGAACCAAACCCAACCGTCATGACAAACTTGAAACTGCACTTTCTGTTTTGTCTTTTTTTATGACGAAAATGAAAAGCTTATTTGAAAAGGATGACAATGTTAACAATAGCTGACAGTTGTAAATTAACAATTTCTGTGGCTACTTCTTTTAACAAAAACATGAATTCCTTTACTTTTGAAGCCAACGTTTCTGTATTTATAAAAAATAAAAATGATAAACAAGGTTTGTGACCTCTCAATGAGAAATGTTTTATTATTCTTTCATAAACAGTAAGTTTCAATGCTGTCAACTTTAAGAAGCTTCTTGAATAAGAATTGCGAATATTTGTTTCTCATGTGCAAGGAATTTTGATGCTTCATATTGAAGCTGTAATCAAGAAAATGACATCGTGTTTTAAGTAATGACAAAGAGAAATTATTCCATGAATGAAGACTATTAATAATTAGGATTATTATCATAACTTATGTGCAGACTACATCTTTGCAGAAGTAATTATAAAGATTGATTGTAGGAGGTATTTATGATTTATGTTGTTGCTGCTTGTAGTTACAATAAATTTAATCAACATAATATCGGGTGGGGAATGTAAAGTATGCTCGACATTAAGACGAACAGGAATTTATCAATTTAAATTAAGATATCTATGTTGAGACTCTCAACTTGAGAGCATGAAATAAGATAACTTTCATCTCCTCAGCATTTCCAGTGAAACATAAATTAAAAATTTAAAAATAGCCCAACTTGGGCTGCCCAAGCTTTGATCATCAAAAATTGATGAAATTTTCTTACCGCCGCCGTAACATTAGCAAAAGAAATTGAATTGCGATAATTAAATAAATAGAACCACTCAGGAAAACATCAAAGACTTTCTTTCTGATTTTCGTTTGCTACGTTTTCATTTATCTGTCTGTTTAAAGAAAGAGCTTAGACGTGAGAGGATTTCACGAAAATAAAACGACACAATCTTTTCATGGCTTTATACATAATATTCATTCCTTAACATCTTTTTTAATTTAAAAATAAAATGCAGAGATGGTGTCCTTATAAAATATGAATACTTGTTTATCTACCGTCTCCATTGAGGTCAAATATCACAGCTTGGTTTGCTTTGAAACTTTACCGCAACCTCATAAATTACTTTGTGAACCTTGTTGTGAATATAATAATGTTATTGAAATTATGCTACTTTAATGTTTAAGTTTGCACAAAGTATCTGAAAACAGATATCTTTCAGACTAGACTGCACGTGCTAGCACGACATTATATATTTAAGAATACCTGAATGAAACATTTCCTTTGAACACGAAGCGTGCTGTTGATCATAATTAAATTTTCTCAACAAACAAGTGAACTCATGAGTATGACGATCAGGAATCGATATGTTTCAATAAATGAAGAAAATGTTGACGCTTTTAAATAAATTGGTTTCTCAACAATGTTTTCTTTTCTCAACAAGTTAAAGCTGCCTATTGGGAAAAAGAGAATTGTATCTATAGAATTTTTGTCAAGTATTTTGTAAACACAAAGCAGATGTTACACAAGAATTTAATGAGATTTTTATACAAGAGGAAATAAATTTGAAAAGAAAATTGTTCCGGTAACAATGACCGGTTTATAAGGGATGAAATTTGAAATTGAAGAAGATATCACAAAAAGTAAAGTTGAATAGTTTACGGATAAAGAGATGAAAGATGGAAACATGAAAAAGGTATTTTCACGAGATAATAATATTTTTAGTCGCCATCTTCCGCACACGTCATAGACATAAACATGTTATCTTAGTCTGTCTATGAAGAATGAAACATCAAAGCTAAGAGTAACATCAAATGAAAATGAAAGCTCCTTTGTAGCTTTTCCGTCATTTAGTTTCGTTCATAATGAAGACTAACAGAATAATGATACGAAATCAAGATTAAAGGGATTAAGTAAGTTCTCTATTTATTATACATGAACATGGATGTTGACTTGAATGATGATATTTCAAGCATTAATCAGTTGCCTGAATTAACAAATTACTCTTACCTTTGGGTGATGCCTGTGATGTCGAGTATGGAGTATCTGTTTCAGAATTTGAGAATTCCTTTGAACTAAAAACCTAATTTTGTATCATGCAAAGCAAGTTTAGAATATAAATTTAATTAATACTCAATTAATTATATAATTGTAATAGGATAACTTTGTAGCGGTATTTTAATGTTAAATATTTAACACATTAAAGAAAGTTTGAGGTTTAAAAATTATTTATAGACATTCCTGTAGGACAAAATATTTCATCTCAATCTTAATTTTTATTCCTTTTTAACTCCGAAGAACTTAAAATTTAAATTGCATTGCTAAAATTTAATGTTCATAATGAATGTTCGTTGTAAAAATTTGAATCCATAATTAATCCAAAAATCCTTCCATGGGATCACCTACTTGATAAATTAAGTTCAAAACTATTTCACTTCAACCAAACTAACTCACATCATGGCTTATCAAAAAGAAGAACTTGAAATTCTCTTAAAATTCTGCCGGTTGAAAAGTTTTCATTTCAAAGAAAGTTTTTCTGACAGAGGGAAATGAAACTGCTGAAAAAGGTTAAACTTTTCCTTGAAGTTTGATGAAATTCCTTCCCCAATCGCTGTCTATAATGACCTTAAATTAAATCAGATATTCTCTAATCTTAGTTTATTTCTACAAAATTTATTCGCGAAGAAAAATTGTTGTTTACTCTGCAAATGAAAGTAAAGTGAAATTAAAGGGTAATTTTCCCTAGAAAATTGAAAAAAGGATGAACGATTTCCATCAATATGACTCAGCTTTAAATAATTAGAAGCTGATGAGTGGTCTCAATGTTTCCATTAATTCCATCTTGCTCCAAAATTTGCTTTTTTCACTTCCGTTCATGGAACAAATCAATATCATCAGTTGATTGAACTGTTGAAGGGAATGAATTTTAAGTGAAAAAAGAATATTTAAGAACATTAATTTTTACAAGATGTTCTAACTTTGAGAGTATAAAATTTGTTTAGGAGTGGAGTTCAGTGTATTTAGGAACGATGAAATGTAGAAGATCAGACATTATTTCCTTCCCCCTTTCGGTACGTTTCAATAAGTTTTCGGGAGTGAATTGGTTTCTGAGAAGGCATGAAGAGATTAATATTTAATAGCATCAAAATCAATCATTTCCTTAAATTTCAAACACTCTTGGGTTTAAAGCGTTCATTATATTCAAGCTTTCATACCCAGTAAGCACCTCTTTTAACTAACAGTTACCAATTTTGCAATTATAGCTAATAAGTTATATTTAACAGCTTTCATCTAACAATTTGAAAATAGCTTTCCATCTCGATAACTTACTTAAAGCAATTACATAACCTTATAAGGTAATTGAAGCGCGACATAATGTAATTCACGTGTTCATGATTAAAAGAATTCTTTCATCAAAACGCGTAGGAAAGAATTTCCAAACGAATACATTTTCGCAAAAATTTCCATTTTTAACGCTTGAATTACAAGACGTCAATCATGTTTATTCAATTTGATGCGAGAAGAATTCATATTCAGATTTTAGATTAGACTTAAATAGATTTTTATATTCAATTGAAAATTTATAATAAAATATTTGACGAGGATATTCTAGGATTTCATGTTTGATTCACCTGTGATTAATTGAAAAATTGTTAACATTCATCTTTTGCTTCAAGTGAAGACTCTGAGAAGATGAATTGAAAATGACTTCTAAGATTTCTTTCCACCCTCAATTCATTTATTTCTACTATTTAGCTGACGCGAACAAAAACTTCAAATTAAGTCTTCATGCATAAATTATTAACTTCAGCTTAATTTATTTTTGTTTAGAAACTTTTGCTTCTTTTTCATCATGGCACATGTTTGTAAATTACTTTTGAGTTTTAAAAAGTTTCTAAGAACCATCATTCAATTAAAAATATTCATTAAAATATCTTGTTAATGAGTATTCAAAGCTTTCGATGTGTAATGAATGGAGCTGACTCAACAGTTTTCGAGATATTGAAGATTTTAAATTAAATTATTGTTCTCTGTAATAGAAATATTTATAATAAACAATTAAGATTGTTTGTATTTATTTGTACCTGTAGGAAGTTTTTTGAAGTGGTTTCAATGGAGAAAATCTCGTATTAACAGAACCTTTATCAAGTCGTATTGAAGCACAGCTTTCGAAACACGCTTGTATGAAAAAAGGTCTTCAATTTATTTGAAAATATAAATAAACAAAAACATCAGAGTTTGGAAACATATTTCGACCTTTTTTCGAATTAAATTTGATACTCAATTATCCGATTTGATATCAACAATACAAACCGATATTGGAATTAATCGTGTATGTATTCAAAGCTAGAATAATCTTGATGTGAAGCGAAAAACTGTTCCATCCATTCGACGATAGCACACAATAATTTCAATATAGACAAGTTTCAATCCCGAAGTAATTAAAATGAAAAAGTTTGGAAAATTTTCTTAAAAGTCATTAGCATAAATAAAAATAATATTGATGATTGGCTGTATTGATAATGCTCTGGTTCTCACCAGAAATTGATTACAAATTAATCTTTCGCTAGATGAATGTTTGCTTCATTAATCAATTATAATTAATTGCTGAAATTGCGTAGATATCCGAAACTTTTGGGATCAATACAAACGATACAGATGTGCGTTTACCCTTTACAATATGCTGACTGTTTAAAGAATGACATCATTACAAGCTATTCCATTAACTTTTTGAATGTAATCACGTCGTAATAATTTTACGTTGTTTAAATAAACACGAAATGGATTCAGATCACGTTGCTGAATAGAGAAAAAAATCCTATAGCTCATCCTTTACCTTTATCACGCAGTCAAAATCACAGCATGAGACGCATCATATTGATAAGCTTTTGTCTCGTGATTTTCGCTTACAATGTAAACGGATTACTATACAACAATGTGATTTTCGAATGAAATCTCATATCAACATATCATAAGAATATTTTGACGTGAAGAATCTCGCTGTGATGAGTAAATTCTTCATGAAAAATTGTGACGACTTTTTTTCTTGATAAGATGTGGCAAAAGCAAGCAGCATAAAATGAAAATGGCAATAACCTTCCTAAAAATAAACAGAGGAATGTTGTTGAGATGTTATTGTACCAAATTTCTACCTTGAACTTCATTAATACTTCTTTAAGACTTCACTCCTTAATATTGATGCCTGTATAAGACATGTGACGCTTACTCTTTTCATAAATTGACAAACATGTGAGTCAACAATCTGTCATCACGTAGATAATAAACATCAGAATCAGAGCTTCAAACATTAAAAGCAGGCAGCATCGCTGTTGTCAACGTTGTAATGAAACTATCTCATGTCACATCGCATGTCTTTAATAAAGATTGAGTTGTGCAATGGGAGTCGTTAATATTGGATACTTTCATGTCTTATCACTTGGTTGGGCATTTTAAGCAAACAAATATCTATTTCGGTAAAGACTTAGGGAATGCTACAAAAGAGATCTTTCGTGATAACAAGCAAAAAAAGAGATTTTCAAAACATTGCCGTGCCCTTCTGCGACGAGATGTCGAAAATGTAAACAAAATTTTAATGAAAGGTTGTCATCAACATTTGCTAACATTCCCATTATGTTTGTTTTTCATTTAGAAAATAATTTGATGTGCATGCTGATTGAGAACACTTTTAGATTTCTTTTACTTGCTTTACCTTTTTTTATCATCAAAAAAGAATCGTAAAGTATTTGTTTAATGTAACCGAAGAATTTTAGTTTATAATTTATTTATCGTAGGACGTTACATTGTGACTCAGCTATCATTTTTTATCGTCTCTTAGATGCTTTGGTGGAGGCGAAATTCTTTTCATAAAAAAGGAAAGAATTTCATTTGTGCTGATCCTTTTCAGTTTAATTCATTATGATGAAGTTATCATGCTAAATGTTCAAAATGATCTTTTTAATATAAATGTTTGAATTAAAAGAGCTTTGTCGTGAATCATTTTTAATTTTTTGTATCATTCGCCTCTGTAGTTATTGAAAGATTATATGAGAAAATCAAAATGTTTTAATTACAGCTTTTTGCTTTTTCTCATTTTATTGAATTTGTCTGAATAGGTGAAAACTTTGTAATTATCTAAATGGAAATTGTGATAATAATCTTAAAGCTAAATTAAAAAAGCTTAACATGAAATAAGACAAAAGCGTCAAAATTATAAAATTTGGTATTACCTATATAGAAGCAGACTCCCACACCTTAAAACCAAACACGCTGCTTTCGTCAATTTGAAAACATTTGCCGTCTCAAAGGAGAGTTTAATTATTTCCAAGAAACAGGTTGATTTTTCATGTCATCATGTCTACGACGAAGTCTTCAATACGCGTTTTTTGTTTGCAATAGTAGAAAATTTTTAAAAAACGAAGAGCGAAAGGGAAAAACATAAATATTGAACAGTTATGAAGAATTATTGAGTAAAATCAACGATAACCTTTAGTGACGACCCTAAACGCGAGACGTTTTTGACGAAATGAATACACAATCGTAAAAAGAATATAAACTGAGTTTACTCTGCTTTCAAGTGCTGTTGTAATTAAACGTTCAGAACCGATCTTTATGAATCGTTTAAAGTCTTTTTGAAGTCTCACCTATTTGTGAAAATTGTTTGTGCAATTTCAAGTGACAACAACATAAAATTCTCAACAAAATACATAAAACAGTTGAAACAAAAACAAAAAAATTGTTTTTCCTCTCAAGAATTAATTTAAATGAAAACATTGATGATAAATTTGAATATCAAAGATATCAGTGAAACCTTTTCGTATTCAAAAGCAAAAACTTTTTTGATAAAAACCATCGATTTAATCCTGTTATTAATTGCTGACCGTTGTCGAGGTAAAGAGAGAAATCTCGCAAAAAATAATTTTCATGATGTCATTAAATGAAGATGAAGCAATAAAATTGTTTTCGCGAAAAATAAATAAAAAATAAAATGAAATGACGGTCAGTTTCCGACTGATTGTGTGCTAATGGGATTTGATTACCCTTGACCCAACATGGTTTAACGATTACTCTCTTCCTCTGTCATTTTCCTTCTCCATAGAGTGTAACGAGATGTCAAGAATCACAATGAGTTGTTATGCTGCAGCTAAACATCCCCAGACAGGCGAGAAGGGTACAGTCGCTCGGAATTACACCGGTAAAGGGAAGAAGCATCCCAAAAACTATGAAAATTCTGAGGCTTTAGTTGAATTGGACAAGTACAATGGGAAGATGATGTTTTCTATTTGGGGACTTTACAACAGGTACAAAAAATTTGTTTATGTTAATCAGAAAGTTTACTAAGTAATAATCAAAAAAATTATAAATTTCTCAGAAACTCTCCTCATAACTTCAAAAAGCAGAATGCAGAGAACGTGAAGTCCTTTAAAGAACAAGAGACAAATGTGGCTGATGTCAAAATGTCTTTTGTTCAATTTTCGATTCCACAACTGACCGGAATCGTATCGGTTGAGGTGAAGAAGCCGAAAACCACTTTGGAAAAGCTCGAGAATCTCATGAACTTTCCCAATTAAACTTTTTGCTCAAATTGCAACGTGCTGAGATTAACAAAGAATTTTCTTTAATGTTTCTTTTAAAAATTAGAGTGTGGATGCAAATGTAGAGACATTTAGAATGATGAAATGTAATTTTAATATCAAAAGCAATAAGAAAGACATCCTGGAAAGAAAAATGATTACTAAACGAAAAAGTTTTTGAGCAAGAACAAACAATTTTCTTCTATTTTATTATTTTATTCTTTTTTTTCTTAAATCGAAACTCGTTACGTTTTTGTTTATTTGATAAAGTTTTTAACCGCTTTGAATGAGGTTGAAGTATAGAATAAGAAGGAGGAGATGAAAATGAAGAAGAGAAACTTCAAGAATCTATTTAATTTAATGAGCATCGCTCTCCAGAAAGCACCTAAAGCTCATTGTTCTGTATAAGAGAATTAAATTGAATTAAATTTTATCCCTAGCAATGAAAGAAAACTTACGATTTGTTTTCCACCCAATCATCGTCCATTGTAAAGCGAGCGTGCTTGTCCAAATACTTTTGATACTCGTAAATGCCGTACGATTCTGTGTTGACATTGAATGTAGATATGTCACGTCGAATTGGACAGAAATATCTGCGTGCAGAGAAGAAAGAGGAAATTGAATTTATTTGAGTTAATAATCATCAATTCGTTTCAATACGAAACGACGCTCAAAGTTACTCACGATTCAAAAAGCTGATCAATTTGAACGAAATGTTGTCCAATTGCCATTCGAATAGTTTTTCCGTTATCACTTACTGAAGCTTTCCAATTAATACAAAGTGCCATGTGCTTGTTATTCGCATTGATAACTTTACTCATGTCTTCATTTGTGATGTTTTGCTGGGTGAAAGGAAAATATTTCGCTTCGTTTCGTATAAGGAAATTACTTCCAAAATTCATTTTCAAAACATCGGATGTTAGTTCGTTGATGGCTTTGACGCAGAACGAAGACAAATTTGCTTTTAGACGGTCCCAGAAGGTAGAAAAAGTTGTTCTTATTTCTTCTTTCTCCTTTTCGTCTAAAATGCAACGAATGTTTAATGACTCGTTGGGCGAAAGCTCGAAATTGCTGATTGATGTTGACGTCGTCAGGTTGTTGATGTCTGTGAAGTATTTCAAGATTTAAACGATATCCGTCAATTTTTCATTGAATGAAGGAATGATTTTAGGAAGAAATAGAAAACAAACAACTTACAGTAAATTTTCTTTTGGTTTAGTGAAAATTTTCGGGAAAACAAATACAAATCACCAATCGATATGTCAATGCTAAACAGGTGATGTGTTTGATTGATATTCTTGAGCGTAATGTCGAGCCCGACTTCTCCCGTCTTCTCATTTGCGATATTACAATTCCCTTCAATGCTTAGACAATCGTTGACATTCATTGTTATCTCGTGACGGATGAGACGATATCTGTAAATGAAATGGATTAGCTTTGAGACAAGCCACTTCGTATATTGTCTCATCACTCACTTGATCTTTGGATAGTTGTCGGGTACATTGTAATATATCAGAATCTTAACAGATTTTCGACCTTTTCGATGCGGTGCTTGAATGAAAGCTGAAATTTTTCTCGTCTCACCAGCTTTAATTTGTTGATTGTCGAGAATTTTCGTCACGTATTGTCGTCGAAATTCTTTGTCTTTGTTGAAAGTTTCTTGTGAAATGTCGCGAAGATCTACACAGGATTAGAAAAGAAAAAGAACTTTCTGACTTGAGGAAAAGAAATATTGTAAAAAGAAATCATTTCTGAGATATTTTGAGGTTTTCCTCGGTAAGAATTTTGTTTCGTCCAGCCAGGGTTTCGAGTTGACTTGAATTGAACTGGAACAAGTCGAAAAATAAAACAAAATTTTGTTCCATATCTAAATGTTTCATTTCATTTTCGACTTGTGCTGATCCAAGTCAAGTCAAGTCTAGGCCCTATCCTCAGCTAATTAAGTAATACAAACCTTTCTCGATCGAAAGCGGCAAGTCAACGATTGTCTTCGGTTCTAAAATCATTTCTTTTGGACTATTTGTAGCAATGAAAAGGTCATTGATGTCATTTAGTCCAGTGTTATTAACTTCCATTGTAACAGGAAAAACTTCACCAGCAAGAACTTCTTTGGGCACATCCGAGAAACGAACTTGAAGTGCTGATGTTGGTGGTAAAATTTGAATTTCAAGCTTTCGGTCGTAGTCTGATTTCACTTGATTATTCGCTTCAAGTTTAATAGGAATCTTCTCAAAGTTTAACTTTCCCCATATCCGAACTTTATCAATAATCGAAGAAACTTTCCCGGCAACGCCAACAATCCTCAAATATCCAACAAACTTTGACGATATCTTCATGTGAATTGTCTTCTTCTCATATTCACCAAACTCAACGGCATCAATCACTGTACAAACTATCACACTTTCTTCTGCTGAATATTCTGAAGAACGATGATGAATTTTGTTATCTTTATCAGTTAATAATGAGGGAGAAGAGAATGTTTCAAACTCACCACCATTTGTAAAGAAATTACGATTCGAAAATAATTCTCCGCTATCTTTCTTAAATTCCCATAACAATGTGATGTTCTCAAACAAGATAGACGGTTTAATTGGATTTTCCAGCACAAAAGCGACGTGAATTGGTTCACCAAGGACACAAAGTGGGTGTTCATTTGTTGGTGAGTCACCCGAATAAAGCGATCGTTGTGGTTTAAAGACCATGAAAGGTTTTCTCGCTGCTGTTTGTGCCACAATATCCTCAAGTTTATTCCACATCCATGTGTCAGTTAAGCCACTCATAATATCAATATTTGATGCTGGAATGAGATTATCATCTTTCATTGTTGACGACACTGATGTCACCAGAACTCTAACTGAATTTTGATTTAAATGTGGAAGTGCAATTGTCAGCAATTCATCGCTTGTTGTTTGCGCCATTAAAGTCTTTTGTGTTGCGATGTATTCGCGCAGAAATCCAGCTTGCTGTTGAACACTTTGAAGACTTGTCGGCCTTAATAAATGCGATAAACATTCAACAGCTTCTTCAAGCTTCTTCAGCATTATCGCTTGCTTACTAATCGTATACTGTATGTGATCTTCGGCAAGATTCCAGCCTTTGTTCGATATCACTTGCTCAGCTTGTTTATACATTCGGAATGCATGTTTTCGTTGCCCAGCTTTTGTATATCGATGACCTGAGAGAACCGAATGGAATGCATATTTACGATAAAATGAAGGTTGAGCTGTTAAGTAACAATAAGCAGCTTGCTCCAAAAGCAAAGCAGACCTTAAATCAGCATCTTCACTTGTCATTCTTGTTAATTGCTTGGCAGCTTCACAATGAAGATTTCCAGCTTTCAAACATTCAACACTGAGTAAAGTTGCTCGTGTTGCAAATTGAGGAAGTTTACAAACATTGAGGTAAGTCATTATAGCTTCTTCCATGTAATCGTATGTCTTTCGATTCGCTGTGCCATGCATGAAAGCTGAAAGTGCGGCCATTTCCAAAGCACCAGCATAAAACAACCAAGCAGAGTCGGAGTAAAAGTCACGCTTCGCTTGATGATAAGCTTGAAAAGCAAGATTATAATTTCGAAACATGAAATATAAATCTCCGAGCTTTCTGGTTTGTAATTCCGATGATTCCGCTGTGTAAATGACGGCAGTTGTTGGAGCCAGTCCCGGTTTGTTTGTGTTGAACCATCGCTTTGTTGCACCGAGAAGACTTTTACTCACACTTTTCTTATTTGTTAATGACTCATTAAGTTGCCCAACAACCTTCTCCACATAAGGAATCAAAGCACGTATCGTGAAATCTTGAACGAAATGTCGTAGATTGTCCAAATCACTTGTCGTCAGCCATGAACCATGTGGAACATTTACGTCAGTTGGTTCATTCAACCAAACATTTGGATTGATATTTGTTGGCTGATCACTCAAACTGTTTGTACTTGAAGACATTGTTAATGTGACTTGTGATGAGACCTGTGAAATGTCTGGTAAATTCTCTTGGAGTGGACTTAGTGGATGATTCACGATGATTTCTGGTGGAGATCCAGACTGATTTGAAGAAGCATTTGGTGGCGTCATCGTTCCAAGTTGTGACATCTGAATAGTCGTTGGCATTTGAGTGATGTCTTGTGGTGTTTTGGGAACACTTTCTGGGTTGTTTTCAGAAGTGAATTCAGTTTTGTGATAATTCTTGACGAACTTTGACCAAACATCTGGTAATTGATTTGTGTTTGTTTGGTCACTTTGTGAGTTGATTTGAACGAGAAAACATCGATTCTCTCCAAAAGTTGCTTTCAAGTTCTCGAAACCCTGTTGTGCTTTTGAAATGTCACCAGTGGAACCGTCGTGTAACATGAGATAACAATTCAAGGCTTCATCAGATGAAGCTGAAATCCACTTTGGAAGCTTTGGCGGTGAAATGTTTTGCATCATTTTGACTTTCTTCGTCAGTTGTTGAGCTTGTTCAACGGGACTTGGATCTGAACTTGCGACGACGATGAGACAAGCAATCAAATGACGTGTGAATTCATGATCAGACGGAAATTGTACCATGAAAAATATTTCACGCCATTCTTCAAACCATGGATTTGTTGCTGGAATTTCTACTGACGGTTTATTTATCAATGGAATTTGTATCTTTTCATCATTGACAGTGTTCATTGAGACTGACTCGTTAAGCATTTTACGAGCAAGAAGTGTTTGTGGTGGGCGATAATCAACATCACAAATATTCAAACTAAGGCCTCGAATTGATACAGAAACTCCACTGGGATCACGAAAATGAGCTATAAACATTGAATATAGTAACATGAAATAAATTAAACATAAATATTTTGAAAACAAATACCTTCAGTCGATATCTTGGAAAAAGGTTGAATCAGAGAAACAAAATTTAAATTATTTTTTAAACATAATTCTTCAGCTGCTTGCGAGCAGGTCGATCCAATGAGAGGCGATGAGAAAGCACTTTGAATTAACTTTTTTGGTGATAAATTCGGACCAGAAAGTGATAAATTAATCATTCTAATTGTTTAAAAACTAGGTATTTTTTTCTTTTTCTATATTCAAATGTGAAAAATAATCAGCTGATGGGGTAGGTAAGTGTGACAAAAAAAATTCAAATATTTAAAATTCGTTATTTTTGGTAAGAGTTTTCAAAAATTAATTTTGTATTGTGTAATGTTTACAAATGTTGATTGTCAAGGCATTGAAAATTGCATTCTCATTTCTTTCAGATGTTAAGATATTTCATTAAAATGTTCTCATACAGGAAATTTCTTCATTAAATGAATCTTCAATAAAAAGAGTTTCCTCTTTTCATTCCCCTCGTCTTTGTTTACATTTGACCACAGTAAAGTTTCCTTGCTTTTAAGTTTTCAAGAATATTATTTTACAAATATAAAATTCCAGATGGTGATAATTAATGAAGCAGTTTATAAAGATATATTCAATATCCTTTCAAGATTTCGTGGACTTTCAATAGAATGTGAAGAGGAAATTAGTAAAAAGTACACAGAGTTACCGAAACAAACAATAAAAGCAATTATTTCAAAACATGGGCAAAATGCTTCAAAGAACTTATTTTATAAATATTCCAGTCGTGCCGATACTATACTGACTGAGTAAAATATACTGACATAGACATTCCTACAAATATTTACAAATCATTTTGCTTTCAGATATGAGAAAAGGGCGACTAATGACCGAGCAATTCTTGATCTGTCAATTGAGATGAATTATCCACCAACTGGAGTATGTCGACTAATTCTAAATGAAAAATATACCAAATTAGAAGTGAAAGAGATGCTAAGGGATCCTCATTTAATTCCTGATCCAATTCTTAGTGCGAATGTTTTGTAAGTTTTCCTCGTCATTTTTTCTTCATTTCAATTTTCAAACAAATATTTTAATTTCAGCAACTGCATTTATAATGACAGCCAAGATGGGGTCATAATTGATATGATTCGTTACTCGATAGGAGAAGAATATGAATTAAAACTGAAGAAAATGGCGAGGGATGTCGGATTAACTTTCTACGATGAAGGCGACTTACGACGCGATGGATTTGATAAAACTCCTGATTTACTTTTAGCTGTTCAATGTCTCTATAAAAACACAATCGTTAATTGGATCGAAAGTAAAGCATCGTTTGGCGACCAGGAAAGTCATTCCAAATATCTTAAAGATCAACTAACATGTTATGAAAACAGATTCGGATGTGGAATCGTCATTTACTGGTTTGGCTTCCAGGAAGAGATTTTAAGCAACAAACATAATGTAATTGTTCTCGACAAGTTTCCAGCGCTTGAAGATCTTACAACATTTAACAATTTGTATAATAAGTCAAGTTAACAAAGCATAAAGAAAAACATTTTCGTTTAAAAATATCATTTTTATTTAATCAAATAATTCTTATTATCTTTTTCTTGTCCACAGAATTGCCATTCTGGCATGGGAACCTTCAATTATCTCCCTGCTTTATTATTTTATTTACATAATCGAACGAAAAAAAAAAACGTCACAAAATTCTTAATGAAAATTAAAACAAAAAAATTATTTGGCAAGTCTTAAAGTTGCATAACTCAACGTCATCATGAAATAAAACAAAAATTACTAAACTCAGTCGAATTAATCACGTTTCCTTAATTATCTATTTTAATGGAATGAAAATACTTCTTTTTTTTTAATGATGTCAATGTTTCTTCGAACTGAACAAATGAAGAATCCTTAATCATTGTCGTCGTCAATTTGCCAAAAAAAAAATCAATTTGAAACAAGCGACACTGTCACTAATGTGATTGCTTATAGTTGCTTTCAATTATTTGGTATCGTGTGGGTATTCTTTTAATATCAAATCTTGTCAATGATTAAGCTTCAAAGCATTTTCACTTAAGAGCATAAGGCGATTACGGGAGGCAGTAATTGACTAAAGTCAAAATGTCAAAACATGAAAATTCTTATTAATTGACTTTGGTTAACAACACCATCCACTTCTTTGCGGATCTGCGTGAGCAATTGCTTCCCGTGACCAAGGTCCAATCTCAACGCGACCTTCACCATTAGCTTCAATGCTTGGATGTGTTGATATGTCAATTGCCATGTGAACTCCGTCATAATACTGGCCACTAAGATTACTTAGTGATGAGTGTGTTGAAGAATAAAGCGAGTCTTTTGACTCGTAACGTTTCATCGATGAACAACTTATTTCTGTTGATAAGTTTATCAATCCTAAGCCGATACTGATAAAGACTTCTTCGATTCCCTTAATGAAAGAAAAAAATATTAAAACTAGTTAAAATCGATTTCAATCTGCCATTTACTTGATCTTTAACAACTGATGTCTCGAGATACTTTGCTCCAATTGATTGTGAGTATATGAAAGCTTCTTCTCGACTTACAGCTCTTTGTGATTCAAGATCAGTTTTATTTCCGACTAGTAACAAAAACATTGGTTCTTGGACATTTTTTTGTAGTTCGAGAACCCAAGATTTCACTTCCTCAAAACTTGAATGGTTTGTGATGTCATAAACTAAAAGAGCGGCGTTTGCATTACGATAATACATTGGAGCCATTGCTTTAAAACGTTCTTGGCCTGAGAAAAGAAACATTTAATTGAATTAAAATTGCAGAAGGGTAATTAATCTCACCAGCTGTATCCCATAGTTGCATTTTAACTTTTGTCTTATTCAAAGTTATTTTACATGTGAAGAAGGAAGCGCCAATTGTCGGTCCAATTTCTTTCGAGTAAATATTTGCGATGTATTTCGCGACGATGCTTGTCTTGCCAACGGCTGCAAATAAGAAAACAAAAATTATTTTTGGAAGGTTCAATGAGCTTTTCAGCACGTTAAAATTGATAACGACGGCGTTGAAAAGAAAACATTATCAGAAGATTTTTCAGAGATTTTAAACTTATCACTGAATGTTTTTATGAAGCAGTAAATGAAATAAATAAGCAATAATAAATCACGTTATGAGATTAAATTTATGATAAAATCTTTACTTCTTATAAAGTAATTTGGTATCTTATCTAATTAAATCTATGTGCAAAAAATACGAAAAAATTTGATGACAGCATTGAAATTACTATGATAACGATATCACTTTGACTTGTCTTTCTTTTTATACTTCTTACATAACTTCATAAGTGACAAATTTACACCCTAAACTATTTTTAATTATAGAAATAATTTCCACAATAGATAAAGCTTTGTTTATGTTCTGGTAAACTTTCTAGTGTATCTGATTAAAACTTTATCAATTAATTTTAACAGCGATTTGCTGTCAAATAGAACTGTTGTTATGATCTTGTCATATCAGCTATGGTGAAACTTTTTTTGTCTGTTCAATATTTTAATTTCAGAACTTGTATTAAATAAATAAAATTTGGAAAAACCCTTCTGTTCATTTAGACATTGAAGTAAACAAAGTTATCACTTCTAAATTAGTATGTCACAAATATCTCTATATTTATCCTAGATTTTACTTATCAACACTCAGCAAAAATTTTGATACGAGTTTGTTTACTACTTTTTTAAAAATCTTTATACTTTTGATGAAAAACGAACTCAATTTGACTACGAAGCTAATGAATAAGCGGAAAGCAAATAAATTGAAAGTTTATTTACTGAAAGTTAATATTTATCGAGTGTAAGTAGCTTGAAGAGTAAATGGCAGCTTTGTTTATTTACTTAGATTACAAAATTCACATTCGCAAATATTTAGGGCATGCAACGTAATGACCTTGAAATATCATAAGATTTGCATTGCTCAAATACAAACAAGTTTTGAACATATCTGATGACGCATAACATAAAATGAAGCAGAAAACATATGATGAAGAGAATGCAAAAAAAAATTAACAGGTGATTGATAGAACAATCAAAGACAAAGACGTTGCAAATAAAGATTTCCGATATTATGAAAACTTCTTCACTTACCTTGAGCACCAAGAACCACTATTTTTGCTTCAATACATTTCATGTTTAATGAATTAATATTACTGTTTAAGAAACTTGATATTTTTAATCTCCGAACAATTGAAATCAGTCTCGAACTTTTGCTTTTCTTTCTTTTTAGGATTTATCACAAAGAAGCTTTTTGTTTATGGTGAAATAAATTGATTATGATGATTTATACATAACTTATGGATAATATATTAATATTTTCAGATGAACAAGTTATTAAAATAAATAAAAATACGATTTTTCTTTCTCAAAACACAAACTTCATTGTAGATAATTTTCTTACAAACAATTGTCGAGCAGTTCTGTCACATCACAATGTAGTAAGGTTCTGACATCATCATCGAGATGATTGAGAACATCACAATAGTCAGTTCTGTTTAAATTTCATAGAACCGTTAAACTTTTTACACATTTTTTTGAATGTATTTAAGGCTTCTAGAATTTCCCATTTTATTAATTTATTATGTTTAAACAATTTAACCATCAGAGTTTCAATGTGTTAAATACCTTAAGAATAATACAAGACAAAATATAATAAGGTTATGAAGTAAATATCTCACTTTATATTTGTCAACTCCAATTAAGCTTAAACTATTTTAATGAAATAAATTCGAAGCTTTTCTTTTGCCTTGTGTTGTCAAGTCATTAGCTCGTCTTTATGAGGCAATATATTTAGTGTAGCAGAGTAGCACAGCCTCTGCGCATCTGAAGGAAATTTATGATCCCAGATTACATATTTGTTTTAGCTTTCCTTCATTTGTAGCTTGCAGTCTAGAAGATGAAATGTTATCTAATCTGTCACTCCATACATTTCGAGATTACCTCTTCAAAATTGTCTGACAGTCTTCAAATATTTTCTTTATTTTACTCAAATACAAAATGAGTTATTTTTACACTGTGACGTTAATTAGTATCTCTTGCTATAAAAGATCAAGTATGGCATTAAAATGTTCAAAAGGTTTGCTGGTTGCAAGCCTAAACACATCTATTAAGGGATTCATTCAATTACTGGTAAGAAAAAATTAATTTGACTCACTTGGAATTTATTCTTATTAATTAATTTAACACCCGCGCATATTTTTATATTTTTTTACAGTTAAGCACAATAAAGTCATTCCATTAAAAGTTTTATTTACATTAAAATCGCAATCTTCAAGCACTCGTTTTACATAGAATGGTAGAAACTGAACACGATCAATCGGTCATCGGAAATTCAAATGTAAATAATAGAAACACGAATATAGACGGAAACAATTCCCGATCAATAAACGGGACAATTTCCCAACCAGCTTTAATTCATCCGACATCATTAAATTCTTTTTCAATTCCACCACTTCAATTTAAAACTGTAGTCGAAGAATCTTCAGATCTTGAAGGAGGTCATGGATCTCCCTGTTCATCCAACAATAATTTACCCTCCTCTGGACGGGCTGACTTTGAAGCCGCCATAGAATTGGCTGGATATGGAAAATTCCATTACATTTTGCTTGCTATCTGTGGCTTGGTTAGCACAAGCGAAGAAATGGACGTCATTTCAATGTCGTTCATTCTCCCCGCCGCTCAATGTGACTTGCATTTAAACACTCATACGAAAGGGTGGCTAAACTGTATCATTTTTGTTGGAATGATGGTTGGTGCTTATATCTGGGGATCACTTGCTGACTCGTTAGGAAGAAAACGAGTTCTGATTGTCATCAGCTTTATGAATGCTGCTTGCATTGTCGCATCATCTTTTTGTCAGAATTTTGAGCTTTTCATGTTGTAAGTAAAATTTATGTTCATTCAAAAATCTATAGATATTTAAAAATCTTTATTCATTATCTCAAGATTTCGATTCTTAAATGGCGCGGCACTTGGTGGTGCTGGTCCAGTTATTTGGAGTTATTTTGCTGAATTTCAACCTAAACATAAACGTGGCTCAATGTTGAGTTTCATGGCTGCATTTTGGACTATCGGAAATCTTCTCGTTGCATCTATGGCATGGCTGATTATCCCAACTGAAATCGGATTCGAATCTAAAGATTTTGCTTATAATTCATGGCGAATTTTCTTGGTGCTTTGTTCTGTTCCATCATTTATTGTTGCAGTTTTATTGATGTACTTACCAGAGTCGCCGAAATTTCTATTGTCATGTGGTCGTTTTGAAGAAGCAATGGCGATCTTTCGTGGTATTTATGTGACAAATACTGGAAAGGATCCGTCACAATATCCAGTTAAGGAACTTTTAATCGATGATCAATTGAGAGCTGAACTTGAGGATGTTAAAAAGCCAATCAAAAACAAATACAAAAGGATGATCAGTGACATTGCTGATAACAGCAAACAACTATTCCAAAATCCTATCCTTAAATTTACCATCGTTTCAATCACAATTAACTTCACATTCCACATTGGATATTATGGATTAATGATGTGGTTTCCAGAACTTTTCAATCGATTTGATAAATTCGCTGAATCGCATCCAAATGTCACTGACGTAGGTGTCTGTGAAGTAACAAACTTTGTTGTACAAAGCCAAGCAGCAATTAATCATGAATGTACAGATCACATCCCCAGTACCGTGTTTTTGGAGTCTTTAATAACTGTGGCTGCTGCATTGCCTGCAAACATCATCGCTGTATGTTGATTTAACTTTAACAAATATTTAATGACATTTGAAAATTATTTTTAAAGGTTCTTGGGATGGATCGATTGGGAAGAAAGTTTTTCCTTGTTGCGGGAACGGTTTCAGCGGGTGCATGTTCAGCTGTTATGTTCTTCGTAACAAACAAAATTGAAAATTTGATTGTCAGTGCCACGTTCAGTGCTGTCATAAGTTGCGCTAATGCGGCGTTAGATTGTTTAATTACCGAAGTATTTCCAACAAGTTTGAGAGCAAGTGGAGTAGCAATTAGTATGGTAGCTGCACGAATGGGTGGCATTATAGGAAATGGTAATGAATAAATTTAAAACTTTTAATATTAATTAATCTTAATGAGAAAATGATGAAATTTTTAGTTGTTATTGCAACACTTCTTGACACATATTGCCCAGCACCGACATTCATCGTCGCTGTTCTTCTTGCAGGTGGTGGTTTGATGTGCTTGTTGTTACCAAACACGACAAGAAAAGCGTTGTCTTGATGACGCAAATGAAAGTCTTCTTGAAAAAATTATTTTGTAAACATGAAGAGAACTCAAATAATAAATATTTATAACATAACTTTCCCTTAGTTGACGAAACCTTAGAACTTTCATTACTCCTTTCTTTTCTGGTTTGTTACGTCTTTCTGATAAACTGAAATTTGATAATGTTATTTTTTCTCTTCTTCCAAAATCTCATAAATGAACTAAAGAAAGTTATGGAATGATTTTTTTTTCATATTTTTGAATGAATGGTTAATATTTTATTTATGATTGATCAGCAAAAAAAATTCCTGAAATTTTCAGTCATTTATTGAGTCATCTAAACAAAAAGAGATTGCCATAAAATCACTTGGTAGCTACTAAATTCTTTAACTCTATTTTAATACATAAAAGAAAGATAAAACTAGCACGTCAATCGAAAATTTCAAAATCAAAATCTACAAAAGTGTTGTCTTGTGATTTCTCGTAAACTAAATCATGGCCTGCAAACAATAGAAGAAAATTAGAATATCTAAATAGATAAATTAAAAATTACAATAAACATCCACCTTCTTGAATTACAGCCAGAGATTTTGCTATATCGCCTTTATTTGCACGAATGATTGCGAATATAAATGGTAAAGTTTCATATGTAAAGTTGAATGTTTCACGAAGGTTTTCGGCATTTTTTTTCAAATCTGTGATAAGAAATTAAATTAAAACTTGTAAAACATTTTTTTACTACTTTCCTTTTTCGAAACCTTCAATTTCAGTATTTGGTTTAGTTTTAGGCTTGAAATCTTTTAATGGAACTCCTTGAGCTTTATCAAGTTCTTCAGCTCTTCTTTGCGCAATTTTTTGTGCCATTATTCGTTGACGTTTTAATGTTTCTTCACATTTATTACATTTACACATGATATATTGACAATAACGTTTGTGACCTTTCAATTGAATTTCTAATCCATGCATTTTACAACGCAAACAATGTGGTGGAACTCGAAAACTAGAAGAACTTTCACTCGCTTTTAAAGAATCGTTTTTATTGATATTATCGTTAAATTCTTCACCCTTATTGCTTTTATCAACCATTTTCACTGAATAAAATCGATTAAAAGTGAACACGACAATGCAGGAAAAAATAGATCAGAACTCTTCAATGTTCTTGACAATAATGATGACGAGAAATATTCTTAAGAACGCAGCATACATATTAATGACTGAATTCCATAATTTACATCATAGGGATATGTAGCAATACAATCAAAGAAGCATGACTGTTTGAAATCGTCATCTTAAATAAACAAATCTAAAAAATCGTCGTATCTAATTTATCTTTAAATGTCTCATTAAAATTATTAGAGTTAGACGAATAGAAATTTGATAAGTTATTTTAAACAACGAAGAGTTTTGCGTGTCAAGCTGATTTATCAAATCGAGAATATGAATTTAAGAGAATTTAGATGTTTTCATAGAAATGAATGTTTACACAATCAACATTTATCAGTGATTTAGATACTATTTAAAAGGAATTTTTATTGGATTCCCAGAATGAATGTAGATAATGTTATATAGGTATATAGAGCTATTTTACGGTTAAAGGAATTCAAATTTATTGTCAGCTTAGATTAAGATTGGATTAGTGAGTCATATTTGTATACCCTTAAGTTTGCAAAAACCCTGCAGACCGAATTCGGTTTTTCATAGTTTTTTTTCGCGAAAATAATATTAATTGCTTTATTCATTATAGTACGGCTTAGTTAAAGCTTAAAACTGCAAAACTATGGCGTCAGCATTAGAGCATTACGTAAATAATGTTCGCACACTTACATCGGCAGGTAAAAGTCTGAATTTTTCATTTAATGTTTCTTCGAATTATTTTTTTGCTTTGTAATCGGACATTCCTAAATTTTCACTCTTTCAGGAAATTTTAGAGAACTAGTAGAATACTTAAATGATTCAACTGAACTGCTGTCAAAGAATTCCAACATTCTTGATAATGTTTTGGAAACATTGGATGTTCAACTCCATTCACTCGGAGTTTTGTACATTTTAGTCGCAAAAATTTCTGAAATTACTGTAAGTTAACATTCAATTTTTAATTGGGTTATGATAATGTTTTATTATTTATTATCAATTTAAGAATGAAGATCCCGAGCCAATCCTATCATTAGTTAAAAAATTTGTCAACATTTGTAATGGAGAACAAGTGAGAAATGCAACACAAACATGTAAGAAAAAGATTGAAATTTAAAAAACACAATAAAAAGTAATTTATTTTATTATATTTCAGACTTTGATTTGTTTCACCATTTTACAAATCTTCTTGTGAAACGAAAACTTAATACAACTCAGGGAATACAAGTGTTGGCAACAGCCATCGAGAAGATTCAATTAACAGAGTCCCAGCTGACGCCTTTGCATGCTGACTTGTGTCAACTTTGCTTGTGTTCAAAACTTTTTAGTCCTGCACTTCACTTCCTTGATATCGATATCACTCAAATCTCTTCGTCAGAAGAAAATCAGGACGCAACAACCAAATATTTCTTGCTCTACTTTTATTACGGTGGAATGATTTACACAGCTATAAAAAATTATGATCGCGCTCTTTACTACTTCGAAGTGGCAATATCAACGCCAGCTATGGCAATGTCGCATATAATGCTTGAATCATATAAGAAGTACATTCTTGTCTCACTGATATTACGAGGAAAACAAATCACGATTCCAAAATATTCGTCACAAGTCATTGGACGCTTCATGAAACCGTTGTCACAACATTATCATGAACTTTCCAATGTTTACATCAATAATGGAACACCAGACGCGGTGAGAGCTGTCATGACAAAGTATCAAGAAACTTTTAACCGTGACAACAACATGGGCTTGGTGAAACAAGTACTGGCGACTTTATACAAGAAGAAGATTCAACGACTCACTAAAACTTTCCTCACATTATCCTTGTCAGATGTCGCAAGTCGCGCTTGTCTGTCAACTCCAATGGAAGCTGAAAAATATATTTTGAATATGGTGAGTTGATTACTTGAATTATTTTTCATTCTTTCAACATTTATCTATTGTTAGATTAAATCTGGTGAAATATTTGCAACAATAAATCAAAAAGATGGAATGGTTGTTTTTAAAGACGATCCAGAAAAGTACAACACTCCCGCCATGTACCTCAAGATTCAGGAGGACATGAATAATGTCATTGAGTTGAATAAAAAAATAAGCGCTATGGAGGAAGAAATCATGTTGACACCGATGTTTGTTAAGAAAGCAATCGTCCCTGATGCCAACGAAGACAAAAATTATGTTGCTGATGTTTACGAGTGAAAATTTAAATTTCTAAATGAAAAAGGGAAGAGAAGAATTGTTCAGAGTTGTAAAGATCTTCATAAACTTATCGTTGAAAATAAAACATTTTTTTGTCATAATTTACATCATCATGTTTATTATCCAATTTTTTTGTTTTTTTCCGTATTTTTTCTGTGTGTGTATGTGTTATGTGTTACTTGTATATACATGCATCATCCACAATTTTTATAAATAGAAATTTACAAAGAAAAAAAGAGACGAGAAACTTGAATGCATCGTTGCCTTCCGTTCTAAAGGTATTTAAATGTGAGGAAGAAAGTTTCTTTCTTTTTAGTTTGGCGATTAAGGTTGATGAGCTTAAGGTGAGTGGGTGAATGTTGTAGTGACAGATTTCAAAAGAAAAGTTTAGATAAAAGGTACAATAATCCAAAGAGCTTGTCAAAGAATTTGTCTCAGATCGTTTCATGTTATGAAAATGTTGAAAAAGTTAGAACTTTATTTATTTAAGCTTCTTTTTATTCCAAACACACACCCACCCACCCAATCCAAATCTTTTTTATTCTCATCAATCCTTCGTTTAAAATTTTGCTTGCATTGTAAAGTTTTTGTTTTGTAAGAAAATGATTTGAAAGGGCGAAATGAAAACGGTCTCTCGCTTATCTTAAATTCAAAATTAATTCATTGATGATTAATTAAATTAACCTAAAGCGAGCTTCACACAGTTTAGTCCTCACAATAAATGTGGGCGGTTTTTATCTTGATATTCTTTTCTCTATAGACCGGCTACAAATAGGATTAATTAATTTAAGTTGCTGAATAATTATTAGGATTCTCCATTCACACCGTTTTCTAAACAATCACGGCTTTATTAAATAAACATCATTTCTCGATATTCAAAAGGTCATAAAACTCTTCCACTAAGGATTAGTAAAAATGTTGATGATTGTGAAATTGCGTCAGAAAATATGTAACCAACTTCTGTTGATAAATTTCAGCATAAAATGCTTCAGAAGTTTAAAACTTTTTGACACAACAACGACACTCTAATATGATAAATCAGAAAACATCATGAAGTGATAAAGTGGAAGTCTGATGAACTTAATGGATCCAGCCCATAAATTAAACGTTTCTTTTTTATTTTTTTGTTGCTAAATTCTTCTAAAAAGGATCGAGGGAAAATGTCCTTGTATTCACTCAATAGAAAAAGGATTGAAGAAGTCAATGAAAATTTTTCACAAAAACCAAAGAGAATTTTTTTTTGATTGATTTTTTCTTTATCAAGTTTCAAAAAAGACAGCTTGTTAGCTTTTTTCCTGCATTGTTCCATAGAAATTCGCATAGTTGTGACTGCTTTTCTATTCTTCTTCACTAATTTCTTTAGTCGTCTTGTTTTAACAACTTACAAATCTCTCAAGACTTGAAGTCAACTTTTTTTTTGTAAACAAATTTTTTTCCCTTTTTTTGTTTTGTTAAAACATTTACATAATCGTCTTATTTATCTTTTTCTCTTGTTAACCATAAATATCCTTCGAGTAGAATAAGATTTTACAACAAGATTTATATTCAGGAATTTTTCTGGTGATGTTGATCATAAATTCCGTCACATTTTCTTCTATCAATCTTTTTGTTTCCCTTTTAAATCAAACTCTACTTGCTCTAAAGTTTCTAAATTTATCAACAATCTACTGATGAATGATGATACGCAATTTATGTAAAAACGCTCACCAGGAAAATGACTTTCTCATTTTCAAAGACATTAAATTTCCACCGCTTTGTTGGCGCTTTTGTTTTGACAATTAAAATTATTTAATTAATTACACTTTTTTCCATTCATAAGTTTTATTTTTTTTATTGTAAGTTTTCTTCTTCTTTTTTTCTTACTTTGTCAACATGAACAAAAATTGGCCCATGAAAATATTTTTTTGATGAAATGAGAGAAAAATCAATTTAAGGAAAAATCATTTCCATAACACGACTGTCAATTTCTTTCTTATTTTTAATATTTGTTATCGTTCCAATCTGTTTTCATCGTAAGCAACTTCCTGAAATGTCATAAACATCAGTTTGAAAAGACACTTTTTCCTCTCGTTTCACTTTATCATTCCACTTTGAGCAATTTCAAAATGTTTTCAAGCACATTTTCTGTTATTTTCAAAAAATAAAATAAATTAAATAAAAAGAAAAATTAAGGAAAAGTTTTTCGTTATCGTCTCAACGACGTCGACTTGACTCGATTCCGTAAAGTCTCCAAAAGCTCAAACTCAAATAAATTACACGCAAATTCAAAAGAACATAACAGAAAGTTTCCTTTATCTCGTTATATTCGAGTTAATTAAGCGATATTCCAGTTAGAGCGTTAGAGTAAAATAAAAACGAATTAATAACCTTGAAGACATTAAAAAGTTTTCGCTATGAATACCGAATCGTTGTCATCATCATCTGTTTTCAACAAAACATCCTTTTTTTTCTCTTTCTTTTCCTAATTCTCTTTTCATTTCTTCACAAAAATAAATAAAGTTAAACAATGAATAAAAAAATCATGAAACTTATTACGTTATAAGAAGAAGAGAAGAAAAAATAAACTTTAGATTGTGACGATTCATGGAATTCACCAATGACTCGACCTGTGATGAAATGTCATCTCACTTAAACCGATAATGATACGAAGCTGTTGTATTGAGTGATATTGCGTTTGAGAATGTCCGCACAGAGACCGAGAACGCGTTCGAATCTGGCACGATCCAGTTTGACACATTTTAGTGGAGAACGTGCAATGACAGTGGCAGCACGTGGACGATCCAAGAGGAGAGCGATTTCACCAAAGTAATCTGATGGTCCAAGACGACCAACTTCCGATGCTTCTTCATTCTAATGGAAAGATAATTAAATAAAATTGTTGTCGAGTCACTTAAAAAAGAAAAGGAAAACATTTATTTTAACTTCCCTCGCCTCTCTGCTGTAAGACCGTTGCACAACCTTCAACAATGATGTAAAAATCATTTCCTGGTTCACCTTGCTTCACAATCGTTTCACCTTCTTCAAAACTAACCGTTTCAAGAGCATCAGCAACAGTTAAACGCTCCCACTTATCTAAACTCTCCAGAATCGACACACGTGACAAGAACTCGTCGTACATTTTACGTTTGCGAATTGTTGAACCCATCAATATTCTACGATAGGAATCACGATCGATTCCCCACAGTTTTACGTCTGTCTTGGCACGAACCTATTAATGAATGAATTAGAAATATTCGGGAAGAAGAAAGGATCAACTTACTGTTGCAGCACGAGGCGTTCCATAAATAAGTGCAAGCTCTCCAAAGCTTCCACCTTCGCCGATTGTTGTCACTAATTCTGAGTTCACGAAAACCTTTAAAGAAGAAACAGAAAAGATTTTCAAGTCGACTAAAACGACAAGTTTATTTATTGAAGACAGGAAGCTTGTTTGTTTTTACTTATTATCCTGCTTCCAAAAAGGCTTCTAAAGATGTAATAAGATTTTAACCCACGCGCAACTCACCTCAACTTCGCCTTGGTCGATTACATAAAAGTTGTCGCCCTCATCTCCTTGTTGAATAATAGATTCGCCGGATAGACAATTAACCGGAAACATTGCATCAAAGATATCCGATCTTTCGTTTTCATCTAGATGGGAGAAGAGAACGTTCTTGCCGATGGCTTTTGAGAGGGCAGCCATTGTTTTGTAGTCTTTTGGTACAACCTTGAAACATGACAGGAAGTTGAATTAATGAAATGAACTTCAAAATTCATGAACTTTTCACTCACTTTCTTAACATAACTAGTGGCATCTTCTTCGGTTACTGGTTCGGCTGAGAAAGCGCCTCGCCGTCTCACAGGTGGTACTGATGTTGGTGGCATTGGACTTAAATCATCACAATCATCAGGACTTGTTGCTTGTTTATTTGCATCTAATTTCGCTTGTTCCTTGAATATAAATAAAGAAAAAAGAAACGTAATCGATGAGTTATTGATTTATATGTCAAGAAGCTTATTTATGTCTTATCGTTAATCTTGCCTCTGACGATGACACAAACCCAAACACATAAGTTTGTTTTATTTTTCTGCCGAGAAATAAATAAATCGATTGAATATTATCAACTGACTCTTTCTTACAATAAAAACGTCTATTTAGCAACAAAGGGAAATTCAATTTTCAGTGAATTCTTTTAATTGGAAATTCAATCATACAAACAGCCAATTGTGAATCTCAGTAAAAATAGAAAGACGAAGGCAGAGATTCAATTAATTTGTGAACGATTCTCTGTTTTTAACTTTCGACAATATTTTCAAGTTTTAAATCATAAATTAATTATCTAAACTCGGTTTCGAATTTTCTTATTTTTTATTTTAATACTGTTTAGATAGAAAATAAGAAGTTTAAAATCATTCTACTTTTATTTTACATATGACACGACCTTCTACATCATTTATGAATAACAAGAATTAATTCGAGGAAGAACAATTAAAGATTTCTTTCTTTCTCTTTTATTTCGACAGTATTGAACATCAAAATATCAACAATATCGAGTTGAACCTTTTAAATTAATTTAATCTCATCGCATTTATAATTTGTATCAAGTATAAACGATTGACGATGTTGGTGGAATCTCACTAAATGATTTGTCGTGATTAATTAAGATTTAGAATATTTAAACATCATGAAGAATTCGAGCCGTCATTTCGCTTAAATGTTGAAGTCTTAAGAAAATATTCATAAGCTTTCCTTCACGAAAAAGCTCCACAAGATACAACAAAAAAGATTTTTTTGAAACATATGAACTGAGATTTGCTCTCAAATGAAATTTTAATTTTCATTTGAATCCCACACACGTGAAAAAGAAGAAATTAAATAAATATGGAAGATAACGAGAAACAAATTTCATTTACCATCAAATATCAGAAGCATGACGAGGCATAATTGATTTTTGCACCCTCACGGGATGAATAAACATGCTGCTAATGTAAACGAAAATCTCGGAAGCAATTCTTCCTCTGAGAAAAATTCTCGCATGGAAAAATCCGTTTGTTGTGACGTCAGCCACGATATGTTGCTACTAGCAACATTTATTCGATTCTTCGTAGAATTTTCCATCAAACATCCCCGTGCCTCAATTTATCAAAAATCTTTTTGGGTTGTAATGTACGGCAACGTTAAAATTTTAATGAATTGATAATAGAAGTTGTGGTAGTTTTTAAGAAGATTTATAAAAGTTCATGAATGATAATTTCCTTCCATTATCTTTGCACGCTTTAAATGATAATGAAATGGTATAAAAACCGCATCAGAAACTTTCTCAAATTAACAACACGAAGGAGCTTTAAGACATCTCAACAGTATCTTTCGCAAACAGTTTCAACTCATCAGAGGAAACCGCAGCATAATTCTTGATTGCGGTTTAAGTCTTAAATTTATAAGCTTTTCCTCCTTCACTGTTGATTCAGTCCCGAGTGAAATCGCTTTTTGCTTTCTTTTCAGACACACCTCCAACTGTGACGTCAATAATTTTAAGGAATACTTTCAATTTCTAATGTAAAACTTGTTGCCGAGAAGAAAATTTTTATCGATTATTTACATTTATTAACATATCACAACAGCATTTCAAATAGCTCAGTTTAGATAGAATTTTCACACGTATATTAGAAAATTCTCAACCGTGTTATGAGCAAACGTGATCAGTAATTCCATACTTGATTTTATGATTATTATGGAAATGTTTATATGACACCTGAGTCAAGCTTCTGACGTTAGATATTCTACTGTTCTTTTACTGGTGATCGTCGTCATGAATTTATTCAAATTTCTTATAAACAATCCTAAGACTGGTTCACGATGAAGCTTATTTTCTATTCAAATGAGTTTTGGAAAGTTAAATGAAGAGGAAATTTATTGCGATAATATATTCGAGAGTTAAAGCAAATTTAAAGTTCATTCATTATTATTTTTTCTTCACTTGCAAAGAAAGGTTTTATTCACTGTTACCTTGGGCGTTTGAGTACTTACTTAAATGAAACAACCACCCACCTACAATCTAAGTAATAAACACACTTTACTTTAGATTTAAAATCAATGTTTCACTTAGCTTAATGAACGATTCAATGATACTTTTTATAAAAACCTAACAAAGCTTTTGACGTCATGTGACGCGAGTTTCATGTGAAGCTTTGTCATGAAATGTGATGTTTATAAGAAAGAATGGAAAATTTTACGCGAGTTGAATACAAATCATTTATTCGTTTTTAAAAAGTTGAGAAGCCAAAAAGGCGCCAATACGAAAGAATATTTTTCATTTTGTTTCCTCTGTTACCAATGACGTAAGCAATGCAAGAAGCCTTGAAAATCACGTTCTGAAACGACAGGTTGAAGATTCTTTTCTGAGTTTTATAAAATGTTTTCAGGACTTTGTAAAATGAAAGAGAACTTCATAATATTTAGAAGAAAAATAATTGAGAACAATTGAAACTTAATACGAACATTGAAAGTAGAAGCACGAAACACGCTGCACATTTGTAAAATGATTTCACTGGCATTTACCTATCAGCTCATCTTGTATTTTGTTCAACAACAATTTTTATTTCATTTGCAATCTTTCTATAAAAATCAGAAAATGAGAAATTTATTTTCATGTTTCTAGATTGAGTAAAATTTATTTTGATTTGCAATGTTACATTTCAATTATTTTCGTCACGAATGTGAGTTTCTTCAATATTTTGTCTATCAATTGACTTTGTTTCCTGAAGCGATTTCAGAAAGTGCAAACATAATCAACAGGCATTAGTAGGCAGAAAAGACTTCCACGAACACAATTCACTTTTCAATTTTCTAGTCTCGTTTCATGTCGATACGATAAATTTCCAGACACAGCAATTGTTTCAGATTTGAGTTGACAAAAAGTTCGTTTTGACTGTTGTATCATTACGAACTGCTTTGCCGTAAGCAAGTATAAACAATTTAATTGCACACGCTTCCCCATCCAGACATGACAACAACGGAAACATCAAAACAATCAAGAAAAACATGTCCAATGTTCGTAGATAATGGAAATTAATACTGTCGCTCGAGATAAAATGATTTTCATTTGAAAAGAGAAATTAAACTACAAAATTTAATTTGCAGCAAGCTTTGCTCTGACATTTAGTCAGAAGTGGAAAATCCAACGAAGGAAATAATAAAATATATAATAAAATTTTGCATTGCTTCGTTTCTAGTTTACTTGTTGCATTTTCTCCATTACAAGTTACACATAGTTAGATGGATCGCAAAAGCAACAAATCTGTTCGTTTTTAGAGGAAATTTGTTTTGAATTGGAAAAAAAACCTCAAGTTTGCTGACTTTTAAGAACTGCTATTCAAACAAATTTTAAATGAATTTTGTAAATGTTAAGAAGGCAATTCATAAGACACACAACAAAACATGAAAAGATAATTGACATTAAGAAAAGGTTTAAAAAAGTTTAAAAGAATTTACTTAGAAATATTTTTCAAAATGAATCGCTACAAAAAAGAATTCTATGAAAACTGACGAAAGAAAATCTCAAGAAAATACGGAAATAATTTTCTTATGTAGAGTTTGTGTAAACAACTTCAAGCCATTCATTCAGTAAATATTCGCACATTCCCTAACTGTTCTCATTAATGAAAAATATATTGAATTAACTGGCAATTGTCGAACAGGCACATAACTTCATCATAAAGGCAAATATTCTTTAATCCAATTACGAGTTGACAAAACATCTCAGATGCTTTACAAACATATCGCATACGACGAGTACGAGGAACGTTTATTATCATAACGAGTGGCGACAAGTTTATTGTATGACATAATAATTTAACAGCAAGTCACAATCCCATAATTCGATAATTATTGGAAGTGGGTGGATGAATATCTAAGTAATAATAATGAAATCTTGAAATAAAATTTATTTACACGATTTGATCAAAATTAAATTAAATTAATTTCTTCGAATAATTTCTCTCCTCATCGCTTTTAAATGTTTATTTTTAGCAAAGCGAATAACGCGTTTTATTATGGTGTGGAATCACTAATAACCGTCAAACGAGACATGAAGACACGCATTGTAGAACTTTATTTTTTGATTCATAACTAAAATGGACACTCGGAGTTATTGAAGCTTTTTTTATTGCTTCGTATTGTAAATAAATTCAATCAAACGTCAGATGATTTGAAATAAAACCCAAAATTTGGTTTGAAGGAATTCTACAAATATTTACGTTGGCATGGCGGTTTAAACCATAAAAATAATTCAATTTGATATCAAAGAATTTCCATATCTATTGGATCAACCTTTCTTCAGGCCCTTATTCAGGTTTCGAATCATCGACATGATTAAATAAAGAATAAATTTTCAGGGGATGATGAATGCAACCAACAATGAACTTCCACGGAAAGAATGAAAAAGAGATAAAGCAGGTGAAGTCCCAACCTCAATGAAATTGAAGATATTCATAAATCGTCAGATTTTATTTTCGGAAAAAAGAAATGGCAAACTTGGGAATTTAAAATTAAAAAAGAAATCTCATCTCTTTATTAATAATTTTTCACTGTTTGCGTTCGGAATAAAAATCTTCATTTTGCTTTTTCATTTACCTCACTCATTTTCCACAATTAATTTTCCAACGATGACGACAAATCTTTCCTTGTTGAAGTGAGATGAAGGAAAATATTTTTCCGGCTATTTATAATTTTTCTTCGAATATTTGAAAGCGACAATTTTTTTTCTGTCTGTTTTGTAATGAAATTTCACAAACGTTTCACTAATTATTAAACGAGGAGATTTTTTTTCCACTTTCACAAAAGTTATTAGGAAACAATTTTCTTCTTCGGTTTCCTAAATATTTTCTTTCTAAATGCTTAGATAATTCAAATAGGTTGATCGACAAATTTGCTTATCTTTCACACACTTTGAGTAAGTAAGAAAAATAAATAAAGTAAAATTGATTGCTGACACAGTTTGAAGCTGATTATCGCAGTTTAATGTCTTCCCACAAATCAAATGAGAAGCTTAGCTAACGTTGCAAACATAAATTAACCGGCAATTGACTGTAGGAGTTAACTCCGAATCGAAAATTGTCGTTTTACGGGTTAAAGTCTAGAAAAAGAGAAGTCAATCGCTCGTCAATTAAAACACTTGCTTATCAAATACTTAATAAAAATATTTGAAATATTTTTGGTAATTTACTGCTCAACAGTTGATGAACGATATTTAGAAATATTATCGCTGAAGTATTTTTAACACGTCTGATAAATTCAAGATTGAGCGCGAAACTAAACTTGTTGTGAGAAGTGAAGTAAAAATATAAACTGTCGCTTGTCTCTAGAATTCCCAGCCGAAGAGATATGAAAAACAAGAAATTTTAAAGTATTTCAAGTCTTTTACCCCACGAAGTTCTCCGCTCACGACACGAAATATTTTTTCATCTCATTCGGCTTCTCTGCTTGATACATGGACAAAATATCTACAAACACATTGTAAAATCCTCTGCATCAGATTTGAATGTCAGAGACAGGATAGCTCAGACATTAAATGAACAATATTCAACAGTGAGAAGAAGCTACATGAGTTGTAAAAAGAACCATGAGAGTTAAGAATGGAAAGCTTTTATTAAATGTATTTAAAGGAAAACTTCTCATAAGTAAAAGTGTGTGCTTACTTATTCGAGACTTTTCATATAAAATGAAACTTTTTATGAATGAATCATTTATCAATCATCCAAATGAATATTCATACATCAAGTTTAGATTTGAAGGGAGCTTTCTTTTCTTTTTCTGCATATTTCATGAATATGTTTGTTGTTGGAAATCATTAATGTACATTTTTAAAAAGTTTCATGAGATATTTGTTACAATTTCATAAAGTTAAGGGAATCATGTAACCTTTTATCCATTTCTCGTCTATTTGGATCATTTATTAAAATTTCACGTTTCAATGGGCTTTTGAGGGAAATATATTATGCTAATTTCAGCAACAACTTTTGAAGCACATAATAAAAAGTAATAAATTATATAACTTCAGATAAAAACATTTTATTTGAATATTCAAGATGAAAGTCTCTTAGAATTTAGCAGCTGTAAGCATCTATCACTTGAAATAATAAATAAGAAGTAGATCCATAAGCAACCATTTCAAATTAATGACTTAACGAACCAGAATGAACGATAATTGAAATTCCATTTCTAAAAGCTCAGTGAAAGAAAAATATCATTCAGATTTATTATAAGACAGCTTTTCAATTCACAGATAAGACTCAAGTACGGCAGAAAATGAAGAGGCGAGGAAAAAAAAACATTTCACTAATTTTCATCATGATTGCGATTTCTTCCATCTTTCATTCTGTCACACTTTTTATCCCGACCTGCGACTCAAATGGAACGAAATCTGTACGAAAAGCTCGGATGAAATTCAAGTATTTTTCATTCGAGGCACAGTTCTGCTTACATGAAAGCGTCACCATGAAATGGAATTTCATCAAACGTTTAGCGATTCATCATGAAGTTTCCCACGCGCTACCTCATGCTGTCAACCAAAAATTCTNATGATTGCGATTTCTTCCATCTTTCATTCTGTCACACTTTTTATCCCGACCTGCGACTCAAATGAAACGAAATCTGTACGAAAAGCTCGGATGAAAGCGTCACCATGAAATGGAATTTCATCAAACGTTTAGCGATTCATCATGAAGTTTCCCACGCGCTACCTCATGCTGTCACCAAAAAATTCTCTTCTGATAACTTAAACTCAACAAGAATAAAGTATAAAATAATAAAGACATGTTTAGTAACGAGATAAGATTGTTCATCATAAAAGCTTTTCGTGCATTTGATCATGGAAAAATATTTGCTTTGAAATTCAATCCAATGTGAAATCTGCGCGCAACGAGCTGACATCAAACGTTGACAAAGTGAAGCACATTATTATTTTTTAATGTTCATGAGATGTTCTAATAAATTGTGAAAACGATAACATATAATCATAAAGAATGAAATTAAGGAAAATGTCTTGAAGGTATCCTCAATGAAACACATAAATTGCAATAAAGAATGAACGTTTTATGAGCATGAAAATGTTACAAAAACATTTCATGATCGATATTAACTTTTGACAAGGAATATTAAGCCACCCAAATTTATATATTTAAAAGAACATGACAGATTATACAGTCACGTCAATTCATCATCATAAACTGACATGTTTTCATGTCTAAATCAAGAATTTTCATACCGAAAAGGATCAAATCATTTGAAACTTGAATGATTTAACGTATGCTGAGAATAAAACCGTTCACCTTAATACCGCATCGATCACGATCACAACAATATGCTATTACTTAAACAGCCTTAAACTATTTTGATAAATTTCTCTTGTAATTAGAGCAATTAAGAAAGGGAAAGCGATAATAGCTATTGACAGAAAACAAACTGATGTATGCACGAAAGAGAGTTGGAAAATAATAAAAGTTCTTAATTTCCGTTGAAAGAAAGCACATCATTAAGAATCTTTTGTGGGTGTTTTGGGAAATTATGTGAGCCTTAGAAAGTCTGAACAATTTGTCAATATTCTGGTGAATGTTACGCTAATAAAATTTGCCTTTCTTATGTTCACACCACCCTTTTTCATTTTTTATAAGCTTTGAAGAAAATGAAATATTGTTTCTCTTGTTTACCATAATCATTAAGTGCCCATGGTAAGTAAGGAAAACAAGATAGTTAACCTGAGGCCAAAAGAAGTGGTCGACCTTATTGTCAGCCTGCCCTCATTGACCGTAATAATAACATGAGCAGTCTCGAGACCCTTTTTCCAAACCAACGGATTGAATGACACGCAAATTTGTTATCACAAACAACTAAGCTTTTATTATGAAAAATTGCGCATTCATTGAGTCAGAATTAAGGCAGAGAATGAAGAAGCAGATGACAGGGAAGAAGTCTAATTAAATATAATTTATACACACAAACTTCTTCCAAGAAGAAAACAAAACATAAAAAAAACTTACCAAAGGCAAAGTCAGCATCTTTCAGAATCTTTTGATGTCACCAAGAAACAATTTATAGAAAGTTTCTTTATTTAATATTTTTCTCTCTTTTGAGTAACTTCCTCCAGTTCACACTCAAACGAATTCAAATTATATTCTTCAAAGTTTAAATCGCTTTTAATTACTCTAATTATGTTTTCAATTATAATTCATTTATAACTTAGATTTTTCCTTTGTTTCGTACGAACACGAATCATCATCACACAAATTAAAGTTTCTTAAATTGTTTAGTAAAAAATGATAAGTAATGGGAAATAAGTAGCCAAAGTCAAATATTAAAGAGCGAGTCATTAATATTTAAACACAATCGAAATAGCTTTTTGTGGTAACTGTCAACCCTTTTGGGCTCAACTTATTGACACAAAAAAAAATTTAACCACGAACGAAAAACTTTTATAAAAGTTAAAAATCGTTTGTGGGATGAAAAATTGAGCCCCTGAGGGTAGCTGAAAGTTCATCAGAAGTTCAAAGCTTTCAGCAGTTACACCGACCCGTTTCATTTGATTCGTTTTACTCGCACAATGGACATAAAGCAATCTATTATTTTCTAATTTTCCACAATTTTCGCACCCATAAAAGTGTCTCACATTCTCACTCGATGAAACCCTGAATAAAATTTAGCTTTCCAACCATGTCTCATAGTAGGAGCTACAACATAAAATTATGACGTCAATAGCACAAAAAGCACGAACATTTTTCTTATATTCCATGGCGAACTCTCATTTTATCCGCTGTTGCTTGCTTTCACTTTAATTTCTTTTATCCTTAATACCTCACATTGCTTTTGCATGCTTCGAATTCTGTTTTATTTGACTTTTGATAGCTTCGTTCAGATCAAAAATGATTGCCATGCTATGTAATTGTCACTTGATCAATAAGTTCAAACGCTTCATTTAGATATCAAAGATTGATTTCATTTCATTATATAATCAAACATAATTAGGTAATATTCAGTTTGTTATGAAGCAAAATAAATCTCAAAAAGTCAGAGAGAAGTTGAAATATGTGTAAGGCTTCTTTCTACTGACGACATATTAATCATGCAACTTCTGTAACATATCAAATTGAGAAAGGTTTAGCTGGAAAATCTTCTCTTACGTCATTCCTTCCCGTATTGTATAGTTGAGTATTTATGTGTGCACCACGATTATCCTTGATTCAATTTTATACGTAACAGTAATGGAGCAATGAATGAAAGTGTTGTTTGTTCTTCTCTTGAACAACTCGTTTTCAGGAAACAAAGAAATGGAACGAAAACGTTTTCTCATCTTTTTCTAATGTTTATTTACGATACTAGAGTTTCAATTTTCTTTTTCTTCGGTTGATGACAATTTTCATTCAATATTTGCCATTATCTGCCTAAGAATTTCCTTCTTCAAAACCTACTGCTTGTCGAGGCATGTCGAATCACGTTTTGAATCAAAACGGTTTTGATTCATATTGTAATACATATTTTCATGAATTTCGCCTAACATTTCATTAATTAAACATTCTACGACTCATTGATTAATAATAAGACCTGAACATTAAGAAAAGCTTTCTACTCATCAAAGTTGTCTAAAACTTTTCGAATTAATTTAACATTTGCTCCCTTATGCTTCTTTATGCGTGTTATCTCATCATACCAAAAGAAGGAAAATAAAAAAAACTTTGACGCTTTCATCATCCAACTTATGAATGTCAGAGTCACACCATGAAACAACCTCGAAGTTTAGTGATAGTGATAGATCTCTAGACGATATAAATGTCCTATAAAGTCGTCCCTTTTAATATTGTATTTCCACACAATACTCTTCAGTCTTCTTCATTGACATCGAAAAGAGATAGAAAGCCTCACGAGTAAATAAAGATTTTTGTTTTTGGCTTTTATTCTAGGGGTCGACAGATAACACAAAATTTTTTCCCTCACGCATGAAGTTAACATAAGAAAACCGGGATATCGATACTTTGTGACAAGGACAAGGCTCCTTTTCATTTGCTTCAACGAACTCGTGTTCCAATCTTTTCCTCCCCTCCTTCGGTTTCTTATCGTTCAATTTGACTCAAAATGAGTCTTTCAAGGATGAAAGTTAATCCTTATTCAAGACCTTTCGAGCTTGCAATTTACTCAACTTTATTCATTCGAAAGAACATTTCATTTACTCTAAGATTAAGTTTTCTTTAAAAGGAATTGTTCAAACTTATTGTTGATTAGATATTTGATATGAGGAACAAGTGAAGTTTATCGTTCTAATAGTAGTTTTAACATTCCCTCCAGTTATTCACACTTCGCATGCTTCAATAACACTTAAGCAGAGCTTATAAATAAACATATTAAATAGAAACATAGCCCAACAAAGGGTGAAGGGAAACAATGACGTCGATGGAACTTAAAAGCTTTTCTTTTCTCTCGATATCAATATGAAACAAATCTACGGTAGGGAAAGGTGAGGAAGTGATGAAATAAAGGTCAAGGTGGAGAGGGAATGATACGGAGAGAAAGCACAAAAAGTGAGAAAAAAAGCTAATCAATTTTCCAAGGGGTTAATCATCGAAAAAAATTGAACGAAAAAAGCACAATTTTGTTAAAAAAATCACTAAAAAAACAAAGAGCATCATAAATATTTTGGTAACTAAACCATTTCAAATTTTTAATGTGGTAAAATAAAAACCAAATCGTTAATTATGACAGAGCACTATTTAGAGGTAGCCGGAAAGAGCACTAATCCCTCTATCTACCCCTTGAATTTTTCCTTTGAGCGCTCTAAGTTGAGTCGAGAAGAGAAAAATTCTAGTCTTTGGTCGTGGAAAGAAGAAACATTGTGGATGTGAGGGAACAGATTCATTATTTCCGCTTCTGTTGTGATGCCTCTCGTTCTCTCTTTACAAGTTTTATGGATTGTGCAATTGATTTTCCTCTACACAAAGCATCGAAAGTAACAGAAGGACATTTTGGACGAGTTATTTTATACTTTTTTTTATCAAGTTTCAACATCAATAGAAAGAATTCGAACAATTTATCGACGATTAAATGAAGGGAAGTGGTTGTCTTTAAAGAACTTCCGCTTCGTGTCACTGTCAAGTTTTATCCTACTCAAAAGAACAATTGATGCTATTTTAATATCGTTAATGAAAGACTTTGAAAAAGTTTTTCTTGCCTTCTCAGTTTCACCCGTAAATACGAACTTGAAGCGCAATTAACTTCTTTCAAATGGAAGGAAAAAAAGGAACTCTCCAAGTATTATTATCGCTTTCTTCTTTAAAGTACTTTCATGAAAGCGAATACTTTTTAAAAACGGTTAGCGATATTAAAAAAGAGGGAAAAACTCCTTTAATAAATTACGAATTCTTTTTTCATCTCTTGCCTGCCTTTCACGGCATCCTTCGCGTGTTGTTAACAAATTTTTCCTATCGTCCCGAAGTATCTTCCAAGCAATCAACGAATAAAAGTTCTCTTTAAAAAGCTCCAATTGAATGGCAACTTAATTCTGTATTCAAAATCGCTATCAATTGAATGAGAATGGAAACAGAAAGTATTTAGGAAGCTTATTCAAAGTCAATTTCAATATTTGCTTATATCAGCTTTCTATTTGTTGAAGGTTTTTCATTCATATCTGAGCTGACGTGAAAAACCGAAAGGAGAAGATGCCGGCAATAAAAAAATGAAAACTGATTGAGGCATTCGTTCGGTTATCTTCACAAATTGAAATAAAGTTTAAGTCATAAAGGATTTCACAACTAAATCCCATTTTTGAAGTCTGACCTTGTAAATCAAATTTTATTGCCAGACATAAATAAGCACACAAATTTATCTTTGCGTGTTGATGAAAAAATTCTAACGATTTAGAAATTTCACAGCTAAGCTCCTTGAAATTATGTTAATGAGATAAAATAAGTAGCCAAAAGCTTTGTTTAGATTTATAGAAGTTTCAAAACTGTATGCTTTATATCCCCAAAGAACAATTAATAGAATGAACATGGTGAACTGAGCACTTACAATAATATACGTTTAATGTTTACTGTTTACAAAAGCAAACGAAAAGCTTTTTATTTTTCATGTTTCGAACATTATCGAGAAAATCATAAATACCATTAGCTTCCATTAGTAGAAATATCTCTGGGCAATTGGCACATTTATGATGAATTAACATTAGGCTTTTCTTTCTTCAAATTAAATTTCTTCGACTCTTAATTAGATAAACATTTCGCTTCTTTTAAAAAGCATTTTAAGCAAATTAACGAATATTTCCAAGTCAAATGCATTATGATCAAATGGAATGTCTTAATATTATGTCTAACTCTATTAAGCATTACACATAATTCCCCGCTGTGACAATTCAGTGTTCATTTAAACGATTCTGATGACATGCTACTATCATTTTAATTGCTTGGAAATTTCATTCTTGATTTGCCATATGGAAATATTCTCCGACGCGTGTGAGCAATCGAGACAAGAAAATCACTTCGTGCTTGGGAAAACTTTTATTCACGTACAACATGAAAGGTACGATAGATAACTGTTTTACGTGTGGATTGCTGTCTTGAAAACTCATTTGAATTTAAAGTTGGAAACCATGACAGATTTTCACACGAAAATAATCAATAAATTTTAACTTCATTTGAAAATTATCGACTTTTTTGTTTGTTAACATAAAAAAGTTTCATTTTAATCTCTTAAACTCATTATAAACTAATATTCCTTAGTAACATAAAAGGCTTCAATTATTTTCTTTTTCAATTCACTTCTTTACGAAGGTGAAAAGCATAAATAATTATTCTTTTAATTGACGAAAAGGTTTATTTTCAAAGCAAACGTAAGGTTTTTAATTAAATTTACTTTTTAGATTCCTACATCCGTTAATTTTCATGTGAATAATTAACAATTTTGGCGCCAGAACTCAAAACAAAATTTCCTATACGAGAGATGATGACTCGCTTCCGTTCTCACAACATGGGAAAAACAAAATTGATTTATATGACTTTTTAATTAAACTAATTCCATTAGTTTCATTGGATTTGTAAATTTTTTCCGATCGAAAATCTCCGGCTATTTATTTTATTTTGATGAAATTGAAAAATTACAATAATAAATCAATGAACTTCTCACTTGACGGAAAGTGTAATACAATTTAAAGTCGACTTTGCCTATCACGGACACTTTCTTCTATCTGAATCACTCGGCAATTTAATATTTAGGGAAAAAGCTGTTAGTCTTAATGAGCTTTGAGATGATTTCCCGGAGGAAATTTAATTAATGTCGTCGAAAACGAACACTTTCAGATGTGACTTTAAACTTTGTAATAAAAAGAATCAAATTTTAATTAAGTTCACGTTTACTTGCAACAGTTAATTTCACTTTTATTTATTTATTTTTTGAGCGTGTTACGACAATGAAAAAAGTTGATCCTTATGGCGTCACTGAAACGTATTTAATGAAAAACGATTTTTCCGAAAGGCAGAAGAAAGGAAAAACTTTCTCAATGCTTTTCATGTTGCTCGACATTGAAATTTTCCTTTCGCTCACGAGAGGAACGAGAAAAGGAGAGAAGTAAAGATTGCGCAACGTTTGTTATTGTTTCTCAACCCTTGTTAAGCTCGTCTTAACAAAATGCTAAAGGCACGATGATTTACATCATCTGGGAAAGCTTTCTGAGAGAATTCTCTCTCACGTTTCTCTTTCTTCTTCTTCTTTTATCAGGAGCTTTCATTCAACAGAAAAAACCTTCAGTAGTTTAGTGTGAGCTTCTGAATGAAGCTTTAAATCAGAACACGTTGTACGATTACACTGATACTAACCGAAGTTTTAACCACTGTTCGTAACCATTTTTAATATATTTTTTTCGCAACTTTATACTTTCTTATGATTAGTAACTTTTGAATGTTCATATGTAGATATCAACTCACATCTGTGACAAGTTAAAAGACTTCTACGTATATAGAATGAAAATGCTTTAGGGTGAAAAATGTTAATATTCAGAAGCATGCATGATAAATGTAAACAATTGAGAAAAGCCGAAGGTAATACATAGAATGGGAGGAACATTTTTTTACGTCTTATCTTCTTACAACGAATGGGGATGAAGTTTAGCAAATATTGGAAATTCTCTCGCACGACATTTTCAGCTTTCACGGCATTATTATTTAATCAATTGTCTTTTCATTTTTCTTTTTTCGTTCGATGATAAAAACCAAATTTCCATGTTATTCCGTTTCGCTTCCAAATCCCTGCCTTTATTTGAACAACAACGTGGCATAATTTGACAGGGTGGCCAAGGTAAACATCAGAAAGGAGGAGAAATCAAGAGAAGAAAATTAAGTTTAGAAATTGGAATAAAGACAAAGCATGACGATATCTGCCGCTTTTCATTCATGAGGGTGGAGTATGAGAGACAAGAAATATCATATTATGCAAACATATCCACTGTTTTCCTATCAAGACATCAATTTCCATAATGAAATTCAATGATTTGTGCTTTTCGTTCCTATTTCCTTCACTGAAAATACTTGGCAAGTAAATGACATTTTTATTAAAAGCTGACGTTACACGAATTTATGGCAACTCTTTTATCAAACCCGAAACAATTTCTATGTTGTGCTTCGCCTCTTTTTTCCATCACTTGCTATTAAGTGCCATGACATAAATCAAATTTTCTCATCTTGTTGAGATGTCCAACATCGAATTTTCTTATTGTGTTTTCGTGTTTCAACGTTTGCAATAACAAGAAGAACTTCGCATGTTAAACGCCTTTTAATCCGCCCACGCAGATCTCATTCATTTAAGAGCATTCTTTTCGTTTTTTTGCTGCTTTTTTTGTTTTGAAGTAAACAAACCACTTCAAATAAGAAGATGAGAATCAAAAAAGATCATCAGTTTCACAGAGGCATCGAAATTTTATACACATATGAATTAGATGAGATGTTCCTTTTGTTGCGACGTTGTCATATCATTTTTACTTATATTAAGTTATATTAAAAGACGGGAAGCATATTTCATTATTATATTTTACGTACAACAAACATTTAAGCTACATCAGACAAAAACAAAGTTTTATCTAATAATTAAAGGCATATCGCAATCTCTGATTTGTTCTAGACCAGACGGCAATTTGATAAATCGACGATTTCGATTGTAATCAAAGATGTACAAATTTATTGATGTGTTGAGTGGGCAAATAAAGTTACACGGTGTGAAAGAGAATTTAGCTACATACAAAGCTTTATTGTTTTGGTCGATTAGAAACGATTCTGAGTGGGAGGCAAAGGAAATAAATCGCAATAATGAATTAACCAAACGAGCAAGACAATGAAAATTCATTTGGTGCTGCGTAATTGAGAATAATATCCTAACAGCTTTCGATGGTAAATCGGTCATGGTAATCATCATCAAATTGGAAAAATAGGAAAATGAGGAGGCGATAATAAAAGCGATTAAAACATGTCAACTCTGGATTAACATAGGGATTGTATCCAAATCGTCTCGTTCGACAACGAAGCGGAAAGCCTTCGATTAATTGAAGATGATTTTTGACTTTTCGATGTCAAATTCAATTAGCGCAGTTTCTTCTATAATATCTACTGGGTGTGGAAAGGTCGAATAACAAAAGAGTTTGAGAGAAAGTTTCCTTTAAATGTCAACATCATAATTGAAGCTATGAAACGAGTGATGGATATTAATTCACATATCGAAAAATATCAACCCAAATTCAGATTGATGAACTTTTATAGATATCGATATGAGACCAACGATAATACTTATGACGAAATATAAAAACATGTCTTTTGGCTGTACTTACTCTTTCTAGTTTTTGAAAATATTGCCGTAAAAATGTCACGGGATTCTCTGGTCTGAAGACACATAGTTGAACAATTGCATCTTTTAATACACGCTGAATGCCTGCGGAAAGATTGATTAGTCACTAAATAGTCGGAGCAATATACAAAAGGTGACTTGAAGTAAATTAGTCAGCCACATGATAATTAACTATGTAAATTAAAGAATTATATATTTAGAAGCACTAACTGTGTGTTGAAATGTATTGCTCGCAATCCCTCAAACAATCTTCATCTGATACATTCATTGCGGCTGCAAGAATTGGCTTTATTATTTGCACTAAATATTTTTAAACGTTTAAATATTTTCTTTATCTTTTTCACTATTTTCTGGTTATTTCTTTCTTTTTTTATATTTTCCAATATAGAAACGAAAAAAATTGGTGATTTTTTACTGTTTTCCCTCTAATTTGGTCAATTTTTCAATGTTTTATATTTTCACTGAGTTAGTTCACAACTTAAAGGATGCCTTGGGATGAAGTTTAAGGCTGTTAAACTTTGCGAATAATCTTAAACTGATAAGAAACTGCTCGTCTGGTTTTGTGTTTCGTATAAAATTTTTTGAACCAGAAGAAAAAATCTCTCAAAACCTATTCCAATGTAACTTACGGCTACAAACTTGAAACTTATTATCGACGAATTGTAGTTAATTAATTCTAGAATTCAAGTCTTAATCCAAAGGAAAATAAATCTCATTCTTTTGTTATCATATTTATAAGTTATTTTGATAATAGATTGCATTGGTGCAGTCAGATGTGATTATCTAAAATAAAACGTAATAAAATTTTTTCACGGAATTGCAAAATTTTAGCTTTTTTGAACAAACATTTCTGTTACCCAAGAATGTCACAAAATTTTTGATTCTCATAGGTTCAAAATTATTTCAAAGTGGAAAAATTCGTTTTTGTTTAGTTACGTCACTAATGAACTTCCCTAGTGTCATGAGAAAAGCTCAAAAGCTTATTTGAATTCTAGAAAACCGTTGAACATTGAAAATATTTTTGATGCATAAGATTAAAGACAGCAAATGAATTTAATTGAAAGTTGCACTTTGTAGATTCTATATGATCTGAATAACATAAAAAGTTTAGTTCAAAGACCTTTTATAAACTACTTTATAATCTTTTAATCTCAATTTATTCATAGTCTTATCAACTGTCTCACATCTTATGCAAAATTCAAAAGATTTCGATGAGATCAATAACAATATCTGAATTAATCTATATTTATGAAGCTATGAACGTCGGAATATTTTTCAACCAATAAACTCTATGAAACTCAACCGTTTAAGGAACTTTAAATAGTGTATAATGAGAAATTTTTATTAAATCAACAGCCACAAAGATTAAATCTTTTTTGATTCAGCAAACACCTGCATGAGATATCAATCATCGCATGTAAAGATTCAGTTTTTTAAGATTTATCCACTAGTTTCTCATATTTTTTACAATGAATCGTGATAACGAAATCACTGCTGAGAGCAATGAACAGAGTCTTCGTAACACCTGAAGGCTTTCAAAGGAAATAAATTGATGTCAATTATAGAATTGTCAATGAATAATGTTTTAAGATTTTTAAATCACGATTTGGAATTTGAAATAAAAGCGTCAAAAACCTTTAAGTTCCCAGTTCATCATGATTTTGAAGAGTCACTATGATAATGAAAAACAATCTTAAACTTAATATGTTCACGTTGCTTAAGACATTCCGCAACTTTGCGTTCAGTTTACATTTCATGACTCGATGTTTTCTTCTTCTCTACCGATCTGAGGTTTTCTTTGCCCATCGTTCTTCTAAAATGCTTTTTGTTTACTCGACAAATTCCTCAGGTGTTTCAAGTTTCGCTGTGTTTGTTCCATGGTTTTTTTTCCTTTTCTTGAAGATCTTGTTTCATTCTCTGTTAACGGTCACAGAAAAATAATAAAATAAATGGCAAAGCTGATAATTATTTCCAATCAAACTTTATGTGGCAAAGATGAAAGATTTATTTCCAATACGTGTAAATCTATCATTGTGAAATGCTATCGAGCAACAATAGAAATTCAAATGACAATCGTTTTAACAAAAGTCGAACACCACCGCAAATTCATGAGATGAGGCAAATGAACTTGAGTGAAATTTATTAAAAAAATTTAAAATTCAAATTTATGACTATCGAGCGTTACGTTGTCGTTCTAAAAATATCGGACGCCACAAGCGTGGTTTTTTTTTGATAAAAATGAAAATTAGAATACGTCCTTCACTTGGCTGAAACTTGGTTCTCTTCAGAACCTGTTCATCATTTCGAGATTTAGTAATTTATTGGTGTAGCCATCTTTATTGTCATCACAAATATTGTGTTTTGTTTTCAAAGAATTTACTACGGAACAAAATTTTGACGACACAGTGCTTCCAAATATTTGCATTGCTAATTTATTTTTATTAATGAATTTATGAACTTTTAATTACTATCGTTTGACGTTGAACCAAAGATTTCCATACAGTCTCAAAAAGCTGTGCTTAAAAATAAAATTATTTATTGTATGTTCAAATTTGCCATTGGCTGAAGAGTTTCTATTGTTGAAAGTTTGGTTCGTCACGTCTTCTTGCCTTTATTTGGCTCAAGTCGCTCCTTATTTCGTATTCGAAGCGAAAATAATTCTTGGAATAAACTTAAAACTTAAGGCGCCAAGCGAAGACCTCTCTATAAATAAATCTCGAACCATGCTTGAATATGTTTGCACGAGAACATTCCAACGCTTAAGTCGAGTGAAGAAATTCTCAAAGATTGACGCAGCAGCGAGAACTCTAATGAGCTCTTACCACGGCCACGGCCCTTTGACTTCCATCATTCTAGTGTAGTGAACAACACAGAACAGAAATCTTAAGAATGCCGACACGTCTTGAAGTCAATTGAGAAGACGCGGATGGGATGGAAAAACCACGAAAGTAAGAAATTGATGATGCCGTTGCTTCTTTTTTTCTTCTCTTCATCTCAGTTGAAGTTGATGACGGGAAACCTTTTTATTTTTTGCGTCCCGCAATATTTTCAAAATGATTCACATCCAAATGGGTTGGAGACTCTTGACTCCCCACACACACACATCAATTTCCTGTGTCACGACTTCAAGTACAGTAAAGTTTCATCATGAAGATGTTGAAGACATTTATAACATCATTTACAACAATTCAAAGACTTTCAACTGTAACATTCTATCCCGCAATGGACTCTTTAATTCCCTCCACCATAATAATTCTCCAATCCCAAATAAACTGATCCAAAGCGAGACAGAGCCGAAAATACTTTAAGACATTTTTTTTCTTCTTCAATTCTTCTTTTATGCCCAGTTTCGTGGCCTTGTTTATTGTTCGGTGTATCGAAATTCTCAGGTGCAAGAAATCTCATTCAAGATTTTTTTTATGATTTCTGCTTTTGTCTTGTTCGCTTTGAGATGTTTTTTTTTCTTTTTCTCCAATCTTTTCGGTAAAATACTGTTTAATGTTCCTGAGAAAGCTATGCGAAGAGCGATTCTCGTCGAATCATGTAAGAAACATACGCGGTCGTGAAAAAAAAATGGAAAAATGATCATTTTTTGGTTCGGCCTCGAGCTTTTGTGGCTTAACTTGAATTTCATTGAATAGTAGAGTAAGCGGATTAAAGCTCTCTTCTCATGTCAGTTCGATACGCACCACGCTAATGATGAAAAATTTCAATCCTTTTCAAGCATGCACCAGACACTTAATAAATTACGATGAGCCCACGGAATTCCTTTCGTCTATGTGTTAGATAATAATAAGAAATTGTCTGACCATCAGATATTTTAAACCTTTTTTCTTTCCCTCTTTTCTTTCTGTCTTTCTTTCACTTCCTCAATTTGAATGTCGAACAAGTGATGATGCTGAGCGACTAAAAATCATTCCAATCAATGCGCATAAGAAATTGATTCGATTCAATCGATTAAGTCGAACAATAATCCCGGGGAACTTAATAGCATCAACATTCCATTTCTTGCCTTCATCGCATTGATTTCATCCTCCACATAAACGATTGTTCCTTTGTATAATCGACTTACGTGGGTGAACAGAGCATAATGAAGAGCATTTTCGTTTCCATCCATACTTTACTTTATTTACCCCCAAAGGCAATTCATGGATTTCAATTAAATTCCATTGTGATTTTTTTTTCTTAAAAAAACATCTTTTCAACTCCAATCTTGATGACCACCCAGAGTCACTTCGCGCAACAACATCGCTCATTTTTTCGCTCAAACCAAATTCACATCTTGCGTTTCAATTTTGGAAAGCTGATTTTATTCTTATAGGAAGAACTGGCCAGACTAAAAGAATTATTGAAATTACTGACTCAACCTTTTTGAAACATGTTTCCGTGGTATTGCGCTTCATGGGACCACACTGCAGGATTTTGTTTTCTTTTTTTTCTCATTTCATATTTATGAGTTCAAGAATAAAGAAATTTATGATTTGAAACTGTGACTCAATCGTAACTAGCAGGTATTCCAATTGGAATTCTCAGGTGCGTCGTGATAACTGTGTGGGACTCTCACACAATCCTTTCTTTTAAATAAAAAAAATAATAACAACGTTGCATCACTAACGAGATGGAATTCATTAAGTCGTTTTCAATCTCGGGCACACAAATCACTCAATTTTTATGTAAACAATCATTAACCATCGACTCAGGCAAGCACAGTTGATGAAGAATAAAAGGACGAATGGAATGGGAAAACATTAAATGTTTGTTCCCATCAAACATGCATCCCTCAACTACAAGAATGATGTTGAAAGGGAATTGTTTGTTAGTCTTGTGTAAGAGTTACCTTCACAGAAACTCTATCTATCGTTCTTTACGGGCCACTTCTCACCAACATCGCCCATCCCCTACCTGTTATCCAAAAACCTATCTGATGCTTTAAAAATTGTTTAAATGGATCGGAAGAGACTCAAAAGAATCAATTCCAAGAATTTTTTATGAATGAAACGCTTCGTAGATACGAGAAAATCTCAAGCAAAGGAATTTATGTTGGTGGTGGATGCATGTGTTTAATGCGAAGAGAAATAATAAAAGAAACTGAATTATGAAGCTCGAATGTAATCATAGATGGGAGACAGTAAAGAATAAAAGATTTGAATGCTACGCAAGCGTGATAAGACACTTGAAAAATTAACGACATGTAGGCTGAAGTTGGGTGTTGAGTAAAGAAATCAGAACTGTTTTATTATGTTTGTTATTTAGATGGTCATGATGTGAAGAATTGAACATTGCGGGGGAAGAAAAAAGGATAGGCTATCGTTGATGGAAAATTAGATTCTTAGATGAATTTGAAAAGAACCTTTATTGACCTTAAAAGTCATTCATTTCCATAATTGGTAGAATATTTTTCTCATATTTATGTTTGTACCACTCATATATAACTTAACTTTTATATAAAATCGTGGTTTTCATTTTATTGAACTTTAATTGGAAATCTCTCCAGAGATCTTTTCAAAAGGCATTTATTCTTACACAAGAAAATGATTTCATCGTCGAAGCGTTTCACATCCTTTCTCATAATAAGAACGAACGAACGAACGTCTTGTAGCTTTCGTGTTCATTTTTATTACTCATTGGGAGATTTTTAATTTAATTTAATTTCATGTTTGTTGATGTCTCTAGAAATATGAGATTCATGATCTTTGATTGCTGCTTGCCTTAAAGAGTGAAGCTTGGGAGGGGCAAATGTGATCATAACTTCATTCATATCTTTTTAAGTTGAAGTTTTTTGTTAATGGAACATTCGAGTTGAGATTAAAAATTGAAACATTCCTAAGCCTTAGATGTTAAGATTTTGATAAGAAATATAAGAGCAAACAACAATTTCCTATGTTTATTATTAACTTAACACGGGATTAATTGTGATGCTTAAGTTAACGATGTAAGAAAAAGAATTTGAGATGAGACTTTTGTGACTTCATAAATGAACAACTCCTTGAGAGAAGTAATGCCAAATAGAAAAAGTGCACAATATTAATTATTCACCACCTCTTTTTATGTCAATTCCATTTCTTTAAACTCATTAATTTTAAAAATACAAAACGTAACATGGTCTGTCGTTTAAAAACATTGAAGAATTGCATTCGTAAATGCTATGCGCTCAACAGCGGAGCATATAAAGATAAGCACGTTTAAGAACTGCAGAAAACAAAATAAATTTTTCTGTATGAAGCGAAACAAATGTTTTATCGTCTTGGGCTGAGTTGTTTGCTTCGCTTTTGAAGCTTTAAAAAAAGAGAAAAGAAAATTTTAAATGAATGGCAAACACTGAGGCAGTTTTCTTGGAACTTGCAACATATAGCAATAAATGAAGAAAAAAATAAAATAAGCATTCAAAACGAAAAGTTCATTTCGTTCTTAACTTAAATAAAATGAGTACATCAAATAAGCAACATCGGCAATCAGTTTATGGTTGAAGAAAATTGAGGCTGGTGAAGCCATCAAAGTTTCCGTGATTCTTTTTGTCTTACCTCAACTTCTTGTTTTTTATTTTTTATATTAATAAAAACGACTCTTAAAACAGGAACGCTATTAAATCTTTGCGAAAGCTCAATCACGCTCTTTTTAAGCCGCTCTCAATATTAATGAAAACGACCGACATCAAAATCTCAAAGCGGTGAGTCGCGTTAGTTGGCATCGCTGATCCCAAAAACAAAAATCGTTTCCACTCGATTGAGATTTTTGTTTTTGAGTTCACACAGGTGTTCATTCTCCCATCGCTTGTCGTCATTCTTTGTTGAACATGAGTTTTGCTTTTTTATACATTTTATTTTTTTACATCTTTTACGCGATTTGATGATATTTTAACAGTTTCATGCATTTGCTTGTTGATGATTTCTCGAATAAAGATGAAGTCATTTCAAGTTGATGTTTTTATGATTAGAATGAAGATTTTATGAATTTAAGAGTCGATGATGATAATGTTGAGATTGAAAAACTTTATTTTGTTTTGCAAGAACATTAATTTTAGCGAACTAATCCATCATTAATCTTAATCTTCGAGACCACCACCATTGAAGCATCTCATGGTTTTTAATTCACCTTTTTTGCTTCCATTACTTCGAGGAATTTTTGTTCTCTTTTAGTTTTTTTTTGGACCCCAAATTTGGGCTTCTTATGAGAGCTCGAATCGAAACAAAAAGGCAATCGAAGGTGAATTGTGGTAAAGATTTCAAAATCAGATATCGACTCTAAGTAAGGTGAACGAAAGTAAGTGTAGGAAGGTTTTTCAATACGACTGACTGGTTTCAATCGATCCGAAATATTCCAGATAAGCTCTTCAAATAATTCTTTTTGTCTTTTAATAAAAATCTCTTGTATCGATACTTATTTGAATGTTACTCCCATAAAACTTTCAATTCAAAATTAGAGATCAATTGTTTCTCTTCATCCTCCAACATCTCATAAAGATTCATGGCATGGATGATTACGATGATAATAAAAATGTTTACGACGATACGCCGCAACAACTAAGAAATGCTCTCGTAATGATTATTCTTACATCGCATTTATCTTCGTTGGAAACACAGCGAAGGAATTCTGAAATGAATTTATGGTAAGACAAGGGATTGTTTATAAGTTTTATGTTAACCACTAAAGGTCATGATGGAAAAAGAAGAAAATAGAAATTGAATGGCTTGCACGTGTAGATAAAGTGGATTTAATTCGATGTAATTTGACTATTGTTGTTGATCATTGTTGATTGTTGCGGTTTTACATTCACGAAAAGTTCGCAATACCAAATTTCACAAATGTCGCCTATCCATCAAAGGAATCGAGGCTGTCAGTAAAGTTGCCTGACGAATCTTTAAGAGATAAATATGAAGGCGGCTTCAAAGTCTTTTTCTTTCCGACGAGACAACACAAGACCGCCACAACACATCATCTCAAACTTCATTTTAATTGCTATGCTTTCACATCTCTTCACCTCTGAAGATTCTCTTTTCATAATGAAGGTGCTTGAAGAGCCAAGTACTCCAAATATAGACACCAACCTCACCTCGCATTTGAGGTCGGAATTTTTGTTTTCTTTCGTCTCTTTTATATTCTCGAGTTTCTTCAAACGTTCTTCTCCTTTTTATTCTCGACTTATTCTTCCATCACTTGTTGTTAAAAAGGCAAACATAACGAATCCACAATTAGTGGCGGTGCATGAGCTCATTTTACGATCTTTAAGGAGATGTTTGTGATGCAATGCGATGAAGAAGTAGTTGAAAAGATCACAGATATCTTACTGAACTTTCAGTAAACTCTTGAAACTTAAAATAAAAAGTTGATAATTAAACATTAAGCTTGGTCATCCAAGGTCATCAAAAAATATTTAACTTCTTAAATAGATAATAAATTTGTGAAATCATTCGATGCACGCAACTAGTCGAGGCAGTTATGCGTTCAAGGCTTTACATAATAAAAAATCTCAACACTTTTATGACCATAGTCGCTGATTTTAACCTTCTTCGTCTCTTTGCCGTTCATCTCCTTTTTCTACTCTTCGCAGTTTTCATCTGAGTTGCTTTCGATGCAGGTGTTACAAAGACGAAGCGGCGCCGCATCACATTCCATAGCTTGTTTTGTCAGTGTATTCATCGATTAAAGTTGCACTGGGATTTGATTGTAGATAGGCTTGGGTCCGTAAATATGTAATTGCTTGCCGTTCCTTTTCGCTTGTTTCTCAACCGTTTTTTGTTGCGCTTTCATACATTTTCGGTTTTCACACAAGTCTCGCTTAATCATATTCGATTGAATTTCTTAATGTTAAATTTTTCCTTTCAATGCATATTGTCGACATGTTTGTCTGTTGTTGGTTTCTTTCTTTCGTCTTCTTTATAGCTAAAATATTAACATGTGAGGAAATATTTTCAAATATTTCCACACAATTTCTGTTGCTTGAAGCGATAAATTGCGATTTATTATTTGTTCTCTTTTTTTCTTCTTATAAGGATAATGATGAAGATCACGATAGTTAACTTTTATAGAAATCATTTTAACGAAAAGGGAATTCAAAGAGGAAATCTTCCAGAAAATTTCATGCCACTTGAAAACTGAATGATTTTGCATAATTTCGTATCGTCTAAATTTTCATTTGATATTTTATTTTATTATTTATCCAGGAATAAATTATCTCAATATACAAAATAACTTTCAAATTTCTTGTAAGAAATGGAAATCTTGTGTACATACGTGAGAAGAAGCTCGCTGTGTGTAACTAAGCGAATCCAAGCAGCCAAAATTGTCATGTCATCTTTTTATCCCATTATCATCACCGATGATATTATTCAAATGAGTTTTAAAAATAATTTTCTGCCGATTTCTTCATTATTTTTAAACCGACGAAAACAGACACTTATGATGATAGCCGGTTTTGAAAGGCAATATAAAAACGTAACCAGATGAATATAAATTAATCTACTGTCATTTCAAAAATTCTTAAAAACTCACAAAAGCAGAATTAACACCTCGCGAATATTTCGAATCAGGTGCTAATGTTCGTCTATGTTAATTAAAGATCATGAAGATTATATGATGATGAGATGAGTGCTTTTGAAAACATCTACGATTAAATGTTTTATGAGATTCTTTAATCCCAGTTAGTTAGCAAATAAATATTTCAGTAATGTTTTTTAATTTGGCAATATTGAATGAAATTTCGCCTTTTCAATTAAGGAAATGAATTCATTATAATCATATCATTGTTAATCCGACTGAAAGTGATCGTGGCGCATAAATTATTTCTTAATAGTCGTCATTTAGTGATGATAGCTTATAAACGATATTTATTCTTGCGATTATAAACCAAGTCCGTTTTGTTGACCGTTTATTTCAACTTTTTTTTTGTTGCTGACGCAAGAAACATTTTTGAAGTTAGGAATAAGCTTGTCGATTGATAATCAGACTAGGTGGATGTTTAAAAATCATACGTATAGTATTTTCAAGTTAATCACGCTCATGATCGCAGGCCTTGTTAAACACAAAAGCCAAGAACAAGAACCCAATACTTATCGACTCTTATGTAAGGCAAAGAGCGATTAATTTCTTGTTGTTTTCGGTATCTTTGATGCTTCATTTCACACATAATTATGGGAAAAGCATCGACAAAAGAAAGATGATCGGTCATGTAATGCTTCATTATCGTTGTTGAAATTCTTTTTCTCTTAACACTTTTTAAATTGTTTTCATCAGACTGCCTATCAATAGAGACTTGATCATCATAACCGCACAAACCCTACTCGATGCTGATAAATTATACATTTCTTGTATGGTAATACATTTAAGTTAAAGCGCAGAATTTAAACAAGGAAGAAATAACAAATCTCACCGAAAGCAATCCACACGTGCAACATCAAAGAAAAGAAACAGAAAAGTACGTTAAGACATTTTTTCCTTATCATTATTCAATTATTTTTCCTTGAGCGTTTGAGAAAGGAGAGAAAAAAGAAAAAGGAAAGAAGAATGAAGAATGTTTCCATGAATTCATTATTCATGGCCTGATTTCTGTTCATCGATGTTTTGTTAAAAGAAAATCTTTCAGTTTAACGCAGTCAAACACGAGTAAAAAAGTTTCTTCTTACGTTGAAAAGATCATCGACAATTGACCAAAAATATCTCGACCACAATTCCTGGTATTTTTGTTTGCGAATCATTATGAATGATAATTTTTTGCAGTCCGTTTATAAATAGATCTTTAAATTGTTCAGGTGTTCAATTCGTCTGATCTTTTGTTGAAACGATCTGTTTAGTGTTTGGTTGTCGGCTAGAGCTGATGTTGATTATTCACCATATCTATTACGTCCGATGTTTTTCACGATAATATTCAACAAATCAAGTTGAGAGCTTCTTCAAGTTTCAACAAAAACACAAAGTAATTTAGCATAATTTCTTAAAACATCTAAAGGCGGATTTATTCGTTTTCATCCCTGAAACACCTCAGAAACACGTCCAATAAAATTCGGCGCCATCATAGTGAGAATCGTCTGGAGATGGAATTAATTTTCGGTAAATGATTCTTGAAGGAAGATTCGTTTTTTCACATTTCTTTTACGTTTCGTTTTATTTTTTCATTTCGGAGGCTTCTCTTTAAATGAGATAATAAATTCTTGTTTTGTTGCCTTTTGCATTTTTAGAATTGCTTGCTGCTGAAATATTTGTTTTCATGTCATATTTTCTCTCCGCTTTAGCTGCTTAAACAATGATAAAGCACTTTTTTTGGAGAAGGTTTTATGAGATGCACTAGCATTAAATCAGGTACATTGAAGAGTTTAAAAGAAACAACCTCCTTTTATGGAATTATTGTTCTTTAATTTATTTTCTTAATAGCAGGTCCATTGTGATTGTGCAGGTGACTATCAGTGCAATAAAACAATGAGCTTCGATCCTCGAGGATTATCTTGGACACTTAATCTCCTTTGCATTATTTGCATGCTTTTATTATTGCTTATTCTTGAGATTGAATATAATCTTTTGCAGGTTGTTGTTAAGACCATAAAAATAAAAATCAAGCTTTCTACCCGCCTTCAGCTCATAAAATTCTTTTTATCTTTCTCTCGACAACCTAACTAATAAATCTTAGAAACCATGAAAAGATCAAATGTCGAGAAAATGAAATTAAGAAAATAATCGAAAAGATTAATTTTGTTTTTTTTGCATTGTTTGCAAGTCTCAAGATCATTGCTTTTGGCCTTTTATGGTGATCACATAATATTCTGTACAGCTCAGCGATAATAACAAATTTAACGATTTTACATTGCAAAGAAAAATCGAAATCGAATTACGCAAGCAAGAACGTTGAATGAATGTGAAAGTCGCTGAATGATCTTCCAGTCGAACGAAGTCATGAGAAGGAAATTTATGTTTACAATACAGCAATTAACAAAATATGAAAGGAAAGCAGTTACGCCAAGAATTCTTAATTACTTTTCATTTTAAATACAACAAGAGAAACCATTTTATTCATGTTGTGAAATGAAATACTTCGCCGTGTTAGTTACAAGAAGACGCTGGTGGCACATCGTGATGACTACAAATTGAGCCGCAATTTTTTTTTTATGAAACGATTTTTCTTCAGCCAACACTAAATGGACTCTTTTCACATAGCATATTGCTGTAATTTAAATTCTTTTCAGATCAAGTTTCAGCTTTCAACATGAAAACGCTTTGTTAAGATTTTACCTTAACTTCCGAGTTAATACGACCACATATCACTATCGGTTGCAAGTTGCAAGAAGTTAACGAAGCCTCACAGTGGCGAGTGGGCAAACATTTCATCTGATGAATTCAAATTATCATAATTAATATGTTAAATTTCTTGATGAATGAATGGGGAAATAAATTTTGGGTGCTTCGATGTTGAATTTATTTTTCTTTATGTCCAAATTTGTTTACAAAGATAATGCAAATATTTATAACATTTTGCCTTTTTTTATGAACATTCATCTTTCATACGACAATAATTTCGACTTCAATTTTATTAAAATCGTTTAAATTGAACTTAAAACTCAATAAATACAAACATTTGTCAACAACTCAAACTCAATCGTTTAAAACGTGTAGGAAGTTGAATTGGAAATTATTTTTCACCGCAAGTTTGTTGAACTCGATCGATATTTTTCTTTTCTTGATTTAAAACGTCGACATTAAAATGATTTTTCTTTATAAGTGAGAGAAATATGAACGAAGGTGTCTTTGCACCTGTGAAGTTGAACTTGGTTGTAGAAAGTTGCATAATTTAATGAATTACCATGAATATATAATTTCACATGACTCGAAGGAAGAGAGAGTTTCACTTGTCTATTTGCCGATTCACAGAGCCGTAAAACTACATTTTCATGTAAATCGATCTGAGTGACTTAATTCGGGGGTACATTTATAATTTTCTACCGTACGATGACTTCAGGTGGAACCAGAAATCGGTGGGAAGCGATCGATGGGATTTCCTATTCAGGTGATTTCGAAGCCGCACAATGAGAGCCTCGCCTTTGTCTTAGTCGTTTACTGTTCCCACATCAAACTCACGTATTCGAAATTTGATATTTACTTCCGAGAACGTTATTTCTTCTGCTCAATGAATGTGATTTGAGGATGTCTCGTTAGACGGAAGTGCAAGGAAACGGAACCAGATATTGAAGTGTAGCTGAACAACTGCTTTATGAATCGTCGTGTTACATGATGCAGGACATTAAAGGGAACTTCTTTACTTCAAAAGCATATGCCAACTGAACTGTCAATGCACACCTTTTTCTTTAATTCAACTTTCTCGAAGAATGTTTTTTAAGATATCTCATTACGCAACGAATCGCGACGAATACAATTCTCGTCAAGGTGGAAATTATTAAATTTGACTTTCCCATGGACTCGCAAGCAAATGTTTTATTCAAACGTCTTCTCTATGAAGGGTTCAACGATTTGAATATGTTCTTAAAGAAATTTCCCACTTCCTTTACATCCGTTAAAGATGCTTCAACAATGTGCGGAATTTATTTTACTTTTTTTCGGGGTATTAACGATCCAGGTGTAAGTGCCACCAAGGTTGGTAACACAATTGTTGTTTGAAACTCGAAAATAAAATAAACTCAAGCAAAGAAGAAAGAAAAAACGATCTCATCAAGCTGCTGTGCTGTAAGTAACTTCAAGGGAATCATCATGTGGTCGAATTGCAACGATTGGAAATGTCAAGGGTAAGAGTCGCAGTCTCGGCATCTGGTGATTGTTTAAAATTTGATAAAATTTACGACTTTCCCTCAAAAACTTCTTCCATGTGATTAATTTTTTATACATCTAATAATAAAATTATTTTTTTATTGCTTGCATTTGTAGATGAAGAAAATTTTCTTTTCTTTTTTCTAATTCGTCACGTTTTAAGCATATACGATCGTAAAAATTCTTTGAAAATATTTTCAGAGTCAACAAATCGTTATCGCTGAACTTTCTCTATTATTTCGTAAACGTTGCTTTAAGATGGCTTTTTTATGACAGTTTAGAGCTCTGATAACAAACAAGAGATCAAGAAATTGAAGATATTAATGACCCGCGCTAACATTGTGTGATCATAAAAAAAATAAATTGAAGATGGGGAGAAAGTCAAGACGATGATAAAACAAAAACATTTTGGTGGTAAATTCTACCAAACATTGATTATATGTTTTAAAGTGAAGGTTTCAAAAAGGAAACTACAATCACATGTTTCCTAATATTTTGGTGATCATCAACTCGAAGACACATTGGCACATGTTGCAAGCAGTTCATGCATGTCTGGCGTTTATCAGCGTCCCCCGTTTAGAACTTCAAGGAAACTTTCTACAACTTATGTTGTGTCTGATGAAACTAAAAACCCAAGGAGAGAAACGAAATGAATTTTTGATGAGAAAATTTTCGTTTTCCCAACTAAATATTTACACCGATCTGGTCTGCACATGTGAAAAGCTGTCGTGTTATTTTTTTCCTCTAAATTTCATTCGCTTGGACTCTTTATAGGATGCAATATGTAGTCCAAATGTTCCACTTTATGAGAGTCAATTTCATTCGGTGCAAAGATTAAACAGATTTCGCTCGAATATCTTGTTTCCATTCCTCATATGTTTAGATCATAAATATGAAAGTTATTGGAACATTTTACTTTTATTTTGTCTATGTTCCTTCATCATTGAGCTGAAATTTCACATGACACAATATGGTAATGGATAGCAGTCAATTTTTAGTAATTTGAACTAATAAAAAGCGGTTCCTTAAGAGCCTTCAACAGAAATTCATCGAGGCAATGCGAAGTGACTATTTAACACCACATGCTTATTGAATGATTCCATGTGACTTTATGTTTCTTTCTTTAAACTAATTTACACTCTTTGTTGAAACAAGACAAAGAGAATTCGAGTAAATAATAATAAGTAAGAGGGTAAAGCAATTATTGTTTGTAGAATGTCTCAGATATGCAGCTGATATGAATTAAGAAGAATAAACCGATGAAGATGAAGATGGAAGTAGAAGCGAGAAAGCTTCAATTAATCAATTTATCAAGACACACAGCTGAGACTTCCATCAATTGATTGTCGCGGATACTTTGTAACTGAAATTATTTTTTATTACGAAATGAAACGGAAATGGACAATGAAGCTTTGAAAAGACAGGAAATCTTGGACAAATGTTGAGAGTTCATTCACAGATGGGCCACTTGCACAACAATCACCGTAACAAATTCGGCTTTAACTATGCATCAATAGTCGCTTTGTACGAGTAAGATCATGAAAACATTACTTTTCTTTTATTTCTTGTTTGAATGTTGTTTGTTTCCACTCAATTTCAGAGTATTATTGTCATCATCAGTACATCTGTCAAACATGAAAATAATTAATTTGCATAAATGTTTTTAGCTTCTACTTTAATTCTTCTGAATACTAAAACTTTGTTCATTTTCCCTTTCGCGATAAATGTAATGACATTCATTGCACCACATAAATCAAGACAGAAGTTTAATGACATTGCAGTTTGTAAATGTCCCAATAAATATATTCGATTGTTCAAATATTTGCCACTTCATCAGTCGCTTAAATTTTTTATTTTTGTTAAATAAAAAATGCGAATTGACGTGATCGTGGCAAAATGTTCGAAAAGAAATATTGTGGCATATGCAGCCGGCAGTATAAATGAAATAAATCCATGTGTTTAATGGATAAATTGATATTGTTTAGAGCGTAAATGTATTCAACCTCGAAGAGAGAGAAAGAGAGATGAAAGACCTTGTAATTGAAATAAAAGGTATTTTGCCATTGCCCGTGATTTGCAAGCACATCTGCGCGCTTCAGCACTAACATCAGCTGCATTATCGTCCGGCCAATCTTCCATGTGCAAAATACGAAGCTGCTGCATTTATTAAATAGTAAAATAGCATCGCTTAATTGCTTCACATTTTCTCCATTCTTCGTAGCTTTGCAGCTTGTCTACCAATTAAGCCTCGTAAATAGCGAAAAGGAATTAATTGGAGGAGCAATTGATGCTTACTTTATTGCTATAGCTGCTGCTGCTGTTGCAACAGATGACAAATATCTGAATATTGATAACCCTCGTCTCGCAGGCTTTATTACATCGAGATCGTTCAATTTTCAAACCCTTTTTCACGTCAAGGGAGATCAGATGTCTCTGCAATTGCAGTCAATTATCAAATGTTTTAAACTTCTCTAATCCAAGCGTCGAATGTATGGTTAAAAGATGCAACGTGCATCAAATAACAGCTGATAGAGAGTAGAAGAACTCTAAAGGGAATTGTCACAACTAACATATCTAGGAAGGGAGCGAGGTTTCTTGCATGTGTCGAACGATATACTAAAACATTTGGTGGCTTCATCCCAGGCAGGAGTTAAACATTTTTCCCAGTTGCGTTTTCGCGCCCAAAACTATTACCTTTCTCGACTCTCAACTATCTCGACCCTCTAATGCAAATGCTTTGCGCGTCCATCTGTCTCAATTGTTAATTCTTTCTAAACTATTTATTTTAGTTGCAAACAAAAACAAACATGTTGGAAGTTCAATTAAAATATGTTGTTCCATTAGCTGAATCATCTGCTTACATTAGCGTAGATTGCAAGGATTCAATGACATAATTGAGTGAACAAATGACATTTGTCGACACAACCGTTCCGATTTTTTTTTTTGACTTTAATTGGTAGCAGAATATAAAAACTTCAATCCCAATGTTCTCGCCCTCTCGTAATTCAGATTATGAATCTTTTCATCGTTTCCTTTTATGTCGCTTTCATTCACCTTTTGTGTGACTCAAGCACTTTCAAAGCATCAAATTATATGTTACGAAAACATTTAAATTATTTCTTTCCCATGCTTCATTTTTGTTCACGTTCTGCGATGATTGATGGAATTAAACAAACAACAATCATATCAAACTTTATATGATTTCTTAAATTGATGCTAATAATGGTTTATGAAAGGAATTTCAATCTTGATTTCTCATCTCGTGAAGTCAAAAAGTTATGCAAATCTTGAAGATTGTTTATGAATTTGAATAACAATCAATCTATGGTTGATTTCCATGACAAATTGAAATTTCAAAGGGATCAAAAACTTATTTATGATTATTGAAAGTTCTTCAAAAGCGACAGCAATTACTTCTTGTAATCTTATTCTAGCGTAAATTTCAGTAAATCCTTTAAAGAGTTACTTTTGGAATTAAGTTTTCTTAGAGATGTTAAACAATTTCTTCTTAATTTCAATTGTAACATTCGTTCAGGTCTTTTTCAAGTAACAACCCTGTCGTTGTTAAGTCATTGAATCGTTAAATCATAAAAATGGAATTCCTGAGAAAAAAGGAAACAAACACGATTTGTTTGTTTGCTTGTTACATCAACTGCACAAGATGCAACAAACAAGAAATTTACTTCGCATAAAGAATCATTGTGCAATATGAAAACAAAAGATTTTTTTTGGGAAAGGAAGTTGTGATGTAATAGGTAAGAAGGGTTCGCGATTGTTCAATGATGGGAATCAACGCGGGTTGTCCGATTGTTCTCGAGAAGCTTCTCAAGAAAGTATTTCACCATCTGCAAACCCGAAAATACCGCGAAGTTTCTTTTTCCCGAGGGTTGAATGATTCCTTTTATTTCTCTCGTTTTCATGTTCCATTTGACGTAGAATCTTTGCAGGTGCGATTCATTTCTAATGCCCAAGTAGCGACAAAAACTAGTCGAAATTACAGTTAAACTTCGATAAGCTGCTACTTCGATAATCAGATATCCTTGATAAGCAGATATTTTTTGGCACACACTCGAATTTGTGTGAAGAATTGCCCCGATTATCAGATATCCTCGATTAACTGATGCCCCGATAAACGGTGGTTAAATTCATATGAGAAACTGACCTCAATAAGCTGATAAACTGAAAAATTTAAAATCGGGGGTCTTCAGTTATTCAGTTGCTCAAAATTCAAATTTAACGATTGTTTTATTTAAATTCATATGATTTGTAAAAAGTGAACACATTCAGACCAAAAGTGATTTTTTATTTTTAAAAATGTTAGCATCATATAAAAAAGTAAAGCACCAGGCTAGAACTTATAAGCAAAAAATGCTTATTATTAATAAAGTCAAGAATGATGGTGAATCAATTTCAAATGTCATGAAACAATTCAACATCAAGCAGTCAACAATCTCCGCAATTATAAAATCTTCGCAAACAATTGAATCAACAATTATTTATTTTGCGATAACAGTTAATTTAACGGATTTTTAAATTTTAAACCCGAAATAATTCTAATGAATACCCTCAAATCCTTGATAATCAGATATCCTCGATTAACAGATATTTTTTTGCGTCCCTTGAAATATCTGTTAATCGAAGTTTAACTGTATTAATAAAAGAAAAAGTTGATTGAGCAGCAAAAACTCGTCCTTATTTACATGAAGGGAACGCATCGCGAAGTACCATTTACCGGTGATCAGTGGTGAAAGAGTGTTAGATTCCCCTAGCCGCGAATTAGATTTATTTCTTGATAGTTTTTTTATTTGAAGATCTAAAAAAATTTAGATGAGAACCAAACCTCAGTTACTAGTTTTACGACATTTTCGGCGAAAGGAAAAAAAATATTACAACTTCTAAAATTTAATTTTATATTCACTCCTGAATGAATTTGAGCTTCCTTTTCTCATTTCACAGCCGCGCGATTAAATCTTTTGTTCACGCGGAGTAGTCGTCGAAGATGAGAAACGCATTTGGAACTTCGTAGTGATTTCCTGCCAAATGATTTTTATGAGATTGTGAAAACAAATTTTTACAATTCTCGGTAACTCAATGAAAGCCGAAATATATTGTGAAAACATAAATTATGTTGTTGCACACTCAAAACTGTTTTTTTCGAAGCATGAATGAATAGAATGAGGAAAGGGGTTCACATCAAGTCGTTAGAGTCTATCTTGCTTTGATCAGTTCACATTCATTAGAACACAAATGTTTTGTAGGCGTGTGAAAAACGAATTTGTTCTGAAAGCGAACAACGTAGAGTTGGATTAAATTGAATTGTGGTTTGGGGTTGATTGCAATTTGTAGATGTCATGTTATTGTCATTAATCGACTTTAAATTACCAATTAACACACATTAGCGAAGTAATTAGAATAAAATTATTAAAGAATGTTTTTAATATTGTAAGGAGTATCGATAACATATCAATTACCTTCAATAACTGCCGTTGTTATGTTATTTTTCATTCAACCAATTCTTCCCTCCAAATCAATCACAAAAAAACCGTGAACCGAAGCTAAACATGTTGAAATTAAAACGCATTTTTCTTTACGATCATCTGTAATAAAACATTTTCTTTAAATATTTAAAAGGGTTGCCAAATCTTCACCAAATTATTTGGAAGTAAATGTTCTTGAATGTAACTTGGAAAGTTATTCCTCATCCCCTAAGAAAAGTTTCCAAAATGTTCGAATTCAATAATCGCATAAAACAACTTTTTATTACAATGAAGTTTAATAGTAGCATAGGAAAGAACAGAACAAAATATTGCGCAATGACAGCAGGGAAATTCTTAAACAGGATATTGAGTGAAGAATTCAGCGCAGTTCCCTTCGCTGTTTCTTACTCACGCGATAAAAGTAGCGAGAACTTCTCAAAAAAACTTAGGGATGAAAGAAATAAACGGCCAAGTGGCGTTAAGGGATGTTGAGAAAGTTGTTTCGGGGAAAATATCAGCGAACACGTTTTCAACTCGCAGCTTATATAAATGAGAATTGTGAGTGAACATTTTTACTTCAAATGATGACATCTGTGCGAAATCCATTAAATTATTTGATTTAACATCGTCATAAAATATTTTTTTTATAGATTTCTTTCTTCTTTTTCATTTGAAGAAGATCTTTTGGTATTGGCATTGAGATTAATGAGAAATCCTTCTAAAAAGTATCATTTAGTAGCGACTTTGCCAAAGGCCAAAAAATATTATCTTTAAAGTTGATCATCCAATTTCAAGCTGGATGAAAATGAACAATAAATCCCAAAACGTTTTTCGAGAATTATAAGGGCGCGTGAGAACGAAATATTTACTTCCACTTCCACCCTTCAATTGCCAATTATTTGCGCTCGTTTAGTGGGAAGTATGCTGTGTGAAAACTGATTATCTGAGACAATAAAGTTCTTCAGATAAATATACAATAAATAACCATCATGTTGTTGAAACAAAGTTTTTATTTGGGAAAAGGAAGCAAAAGTTTGAATGATTTCGTGATTTACGAAAATTATTTTAATGTCGATCGATTCCTTCAAGAAAAGAAGAAACACTTTAAGTCGCTAACAAAGTATTTCTCATAAAAGACTGACTTTCTGTGTTGAATCCCTGTTGATTTAACATCCAAAATATATTCTCAGATTCTTTTAAAAACCGTTGAAACTCACACGTGTTCCAATTTAAAATGCAAAGAGAATGAAATATATGAAAGAAATATCAAGCCAAATCAGCACACAAGTGTTTGAATGATTGAGAATAGTCTGCATTTATTTGTCCGCTTGTTTTGGATATGAAAATATTTTTTCGATGTCAATAAACACCCGGAGAAGATTTCTCGATTGTCGTTTAATTCAAGCCACGACTGTGTGAAGTCATCGAATATAAAAACTCTCAGCTGTACAAATTCATAATGATCTAACATTTGAGGCAATAGCAAGCGAGTAACCACAACTCAGAAAATTTAGTTCACATCAAACTTATCACAGCTGCAGAAATCCCAAAAAAAATTGTGCACAACATAGAAAGCAGTTGTTGTTTTTCCTTCTCGGTGTCGTGTCGAAAACGTTACTAATCACCAATCGCATGAAATCATATTCACGACGTCTGACTCTTTCGATTCGGCAGAATGTTGAAATTATTATTAAACATGATTTCCATTAAATGAACTGACTCTCCCATGAAAAGCGATTTGAGGACCTTTTACTGGGCTTAGGAACAACATTTTAAAATCTATTGTTATCGCATATGCACATACACGTGACCCCTTAGCGTTTACACACGCTCTGTGTTTCCTAATGTTTAATGATTTCGAGACTATTGAATCCTATTGTAACGTTCACAACAAATAATCTATGATCAACTCTAGTTATTGTTTGAATCAATTGATCTTTTGCATCTTCACCCCATCTTTCATCTATCTTCAGTACATATTTTGATTAAAAAAATTCTGTACAGTTGGTTGGGATTAGATTGACAAATGCGCGGCAATGGGTTCATTGAAGATTAAAGCAGCGTTCATTACAAATGATTTCTCTCGTAATTGACTTCATACTCACAATGCTTCCATTTCCCAAACAAGCTTTCTTTCTAATTAAATCTCCATTAGTTGAACTCGTAATTTCCTTTTGAAATGCTGGACCAGCGTGAACAAATCTGATTAAATAAGCATTTCAAAGAAATTTATTTTCTCATAGCTTTCATTGCCAAGGTCGTATAGGGGCCAAATCTTGGATGATGTATTTAATTGGGTAGCCTCAGGGCGAGAAGAACACACAAGAATTGCTTCAATTGAAGTTTTTTCTTTCTCGTTTATGTCTGTGAGGGGTGAATGTGTAAATAATTTCTCTAATGATCTTTTCAAGATCGACAATTGCCAATTGAAGTTGTTATACCAAAAAATAAGATTTTGTCATGAAAAAGCCCCGAAGTCAAATGATGAAGTTTAGAAACCAAACCTTGTTATTTAATAACCACGAATTTCTTCTGCTTATAGTCTGTGAACGAAACATTTGCTATTCGTATCGTTTTTGATGTGAAACAGAGAACGAAATAAGTAAAATCAACATCTGCAACGAGTTGTGTGTGAACGGAAGAAGCATTTGTTCAAAGTTTGATTGTGAACGAGTGATTTTGCTTCTCATTTTCGGAGGTCAATTGAATGCTGATGAACATTTTTTTTCTCTTCAACAATTGTCAACAATCCAATGATGAATTACCATTCGAAGATGCTGATTTTTTTTTAATAAAAAACATGAGAAAAAAAATCTTCATTTCATATGTATAGAGTTGTTATTGTTTACTTGTTTATTAGAAGAACGTGTGAAAATTTATTCAAAGATCGCAAATATTTCGAATGACGATAACGACGATCGAGTATCGACCGCAGTCGCAGCCGCAGCCACTAAACACAATGATATTTCCTTGTTTTCAAGCGGCAACAACAAGATCGATTGTGTACTCAACAAACGCTAATTTCAAAGTCATCATCCATGTGTTTGAATAATTTGTTAATATAACTTTACTTGATTGCTTCAACTACTGACGAGATATGCATAAGAAAGAGAAGCTTGCGAGAAACAATTCAATTGATATTTCTTTACTCATTCATTCACTCGATGAAATGATAACACAATTTCTTTGAAATTATTTAATTTGCTTTTTAATGGTTATTTAAACACTCATCTCTTCACACATATCAAAAATCGCTCCATATGAGAATCATTTTTAAGAAACAGATTGAAGGAATTAAAAATGAATCCGTTGATGGATTCAATTGCTCGCTAGTTTTAACTTCAAGCATATGGTTTCATTCCGGAGTAGTCTGTAGTGCATGTTCGTGTGTGAGCTTGATTATTCGCCTCTTTATCAATTAAATTAATTAATGGTGGGGTTGAGCAGCTGTAGTTTCGTTTGAGTTTGCTTAGGTAAGTACGCTCTAATAAATTTATATGGATAGACGAAGTGGATGATCAATTTCGTTATAATTTTCTTTCATCACTTTTTGCGCATATTTCATACTTCTTAACGTTTAATCTCAGTGATTAAGAAAAAATCTCACTCATAAGTCATCTCAACTTCCTTGATTTATCGTTGAACCAGAAACAGAATTGAAAAACTTGTCAAGATTGCAATGAATTTGACACTCTGAAAGCTAAACTTATAATTATCTAACTTGCTGACTTGAATGAAAAAAACATGAACTATGAGAAAACAGAATTTAGTATAGGCGCCGAATGATGCTAACATGATAAACGACGTATCATGTTTACACATACTTATTCAAGTATTTTGCAGCGATTTGAAACTGTTTACAACCAGCCGCTTTGCATATTTTTTATATTTGGCGTCAAAACTTTGCATTGTTCGATCATCACCCGTCATAAAACCTAATTTATTTTACTCAAATTAATTTGAGCTTCATTATCATTCAAATCGTTGATTGTCTGAAATCAAAGATCGCCAACGATTTCTGTTTGCTCAATAAAAAATAGAAACTTTACATGTGAGCTTAGCTTAATTTGTTGATGATTATTTTTAAACATCGTTCTATCTGAGATTGTTTTTTAAGACGTTTGAATATCAACGAAGATCGACGACACAAGAGCAAAAACGACTTTGCTAAGGAAGTCTACGCTATTTGAGAACCTATGTGAGTTTTTCTTAGAAAAGCTTATTGAGAGAAACAATGCAGGTGTTTGCTAGGTTAAGAATATCTTTCTTCACATACTTAGTTATGCCAGGAAGGTACTGAAAAAATCTCGGTAAAAATATCAATTCCGAGACCTTGCAGGTTGAGTCGTCATGAAGTCGTAAAATGTTGTTTTTTGCATATTTAATGGGTATGTCGAAAAGAAGGTAAACGTACCTGAATATCTTGATTTGCATATTCGGCGGTAAAGAAAGTAAAAAAAAGATTATTTAAACCTCTCGAAATATATGTTGGACTTACGTATATAAAACTGAATTGGACTTTTATTACTTATTTTCTGAACTTTATGAAAATTGTCTTCTTAATCTTGAGATGCTAATTAAAACTTTCAATGGCATCCAATTAACAAGCTTTTACAATCGGAGTTCTTGCAAGTCGATCTCAAACCATACGAATAAATTTCTTAATGGTGAAATACAAAATATGCAGCATTTGATTTATTCTATTGCTAAATATTTTATGATTTTCAATCTTGGTTGTTAATTGAAACTTCAAATGTCTTGAGACCACCAAGAAGTATCACGATATGTATCAATTTTTGTAAGTTGAGCTAACATAAGAAAACCAAAAACAGGTAAATTTATAAATAAATATTTTCTTCTTTTGCTTTCTCAAACTATTCAAAGACAATTGAAAATATTTTTCTCTCAAGAATAAATCCAAGACAGCAAAATATTCTCACGCATAGCATTCACTACCTTTGCACCTGATCGTTCGTCTACTTATGTTACAAAGTTGAGAATTAGTTGCTAGATAACTCTACTGATGTATGAACAAAGCAAGTAGAAATGTGGAATGTGCAGCAACTACCTATTTAACATAAAGTCTATAAAAAAATAATTAAAAACTCATGTCCATGAATAAATTACCATTACCTATGTGCTTCTCTTTTGTTAACCTTTTCCGAGGTTTTGGTTGAGAATTTGTCAGTCATCTTAGTAGAAAGAAATTTTTGGTTGATGGATTTTTTGGAATGTTAAGAAATTTGGTTAAAGAAGAGACGCGATGATGATTTTCGTGGTTGCATGACTCCTTGGACTCGGTCAATAAACAAAATATTTCATTTGAATGCAACGACTTTATACACCACATCTAGCAACCTGATCGGTGTATAACCAAATATTAATGTTTGTCCGAATTACGATCGTATTTCAGACATAGAATTGTTGCATCAAAATATATGTTTTAGTCAATTTCTCACGTTCTTATAATCACACAAGAGAAATGAAATCACCCACTGAATTGTAAATCTGTTTGATGTAACCGGCAAAACACAATGAAGAATCTTACCTGCTAAGTTCCTGCTTTATACTTTCAGCAAATTTCTTCACCAGAATTCTTTTCTTCTTGTGAACATAAAAAAGGTGAACAAAATCATCCAAATTAAAGGTATAAAGTTGAAAATTGCTTTATAATTTGATTGCATACAACGTAAAGTTGCATCTCTCCTTAACATCATAAGCTGACGAAAACATTTTTGTCAGTGGAATTTTTGTAATCATTAAATGATTCATGTTATGCGGCTTATAAAATTAGAGTGGAACGCAAAACGAAAACATGAGAACACATCCCGTTCATGTGCAAGCTGATAAAGACGAATTCCCATCCAAGTGTTTTATTCATTGGCTATTCGAGAATAAGTTGTTGTGTCGAGGGCAGAGTGCAATACCTAAAAGTCAGTAAAAACATTATTTAAAAACGTTTTTTACCCGATAAGAAAAAAGTTCAAAACAGAAAATCGTAAACAAATTGAAGTGTGGAAAGAAAATTCCAATCAATGTAATCAGTTAATAACTTTAAGTGCAATGAGTGCGTTGAGGTTTGTTTTGTGAATCATATTTATTTACGTAAAATATTTCTTCCCTACAAATGTTACGGAGAATCAGAAAAAATAATAATGAACCGACGATACTTCCCCAAGCATATATTTTTTCAACATTTTCTCTCACGTTCTCACGGTGTTCGGGTAACCGAAGTTGAAAAGTGGGCGTGGTTTATGCTTTTCATATATAAGTTCTCTCACCCCGCGCTCGATATTTCACTTTCGCTCAAGTTTTCAAATCGTTCGCCTCGTCTCAACATAAAATTTATTTCGTGTTGTTTAATTAAATTAAAAAGAAAAATTGTCTCACATCATTAGTAAACAAACGAGCTCGCGACGTAAATCAAGTGGATTTAACCCCAATAAAAAGAAAAATTTCTCACATCTTTCGTGAACAGAATAAAAATTAAAAGAAATATTCAAGTGGTAAACAAAAAGAAAAAAATTAAGTTAAAGAATTAATTATTGTTAACAAGTGAATTTGATCAACAGCAATAAACGAAAATAAATAGAGAAAGTTTATTGACTTAAAAAAATTGCTTAAAATATACGAAAAGAAAACAGTCGTAAAAAATTACAGTGACTCATAAAATCTTGGGATTAAGTTGGATTAAAACTTATTCATCTTTAAACCATCGTTAAAAACAAATCCGTCAAAATTCATCAAAAAAGAATGAAAGCAATCACAGCAGTCTGTTCTACAGGCGCTTCGGTGCCATCAATCGCCAATGGGCGAGTTTCACGTCATCGTGATGGTGAGAATGCAGAAATCCAAATGTACATCAGTAAACTCAAGGACCTTGTGCCCTTCATGCCAAAGAACCGAAAGTTATCAAAGCTTGAGGTCATTCAGAATGTCATCCAATATATTTGTGATTTACAAACGGCGCTCGATTCCGATCCGGCCGTGAATGATTTCGATGCAGCTGCGGTTCTCGCCAGTCAAAATCACCACCTTTTGGAGTCGGTCAATCCAATCCGACAACCGCTTCATGTGCGACCTAGTCCCAACACTATTCTACCGTCATCGAACAACAACACCTCACCTTCATTAATTCCAACCTCACAGAACTCATCAGTTAATCATCATAATAATGTAAGTTGATACATTTAATTATTATTACATTGTAACAGAAGGTTCAAGAACAGCCTTGACGACGAGGGTTCTCGCCACTTTTTGTTATCTTTTTCTCTGTCTCTCAATTTCAATTCCATTGACATGCAAAATATAAAATATTCGTTGTGTATTAATTAAAGGTCCGAAGCTCTCATTTCTACGAGTAAAAATATTTCCATATCAGAACGTAAAAATCATCATTCGGTAACTTCCATCCATTGTCGAAAGTTCAAAACGAACGAAAAAAAAACTTTTTTTTCCCATAAAAACGAGCTCACGTAGCAATTTGTAAATTAAATTTTCCGCTGGTGTGCTTGTATTGTTGTTGTGTTTGCCATTTGGTGAACACCTGCATTTCATTTTTTTTTTCGAAAGAGCCGTGATTTTGTAATGCTCAACAACAGAAAAAAAACTATTTTGATTCGAGTTGTTCAATCGAAAAAAAAATTTAAAAGTTTTTGAGTGCGCCAAGGCTTCATAAAAGCTGATTTATGGTAACTGCTCATTGTCTTTAAAATGAAGAAAGAATCACTGCTAACCAATTCCGATATCTTTAATGAGTGGCGCTTCGAAAAAGTAAAATAAAATGTTGACTTAATCTATGATAAAGTCGTATGCGGTAGCCGTGAGTTTCAACCAGTTCTCAATCGGCTAATCGACTCGCGTCATAAATTATTCATTCAAGACTTTTCGTTTTACGATTATTTTCCGAATTTTTATTTCATTAAATTTACATTTGGCGGCCTCAAAACTACCGAGAAGATTTTGTTTAACTTTTAATTAAATTTGCATCTTCAATCAATGAAAGCATATCTTCGCGAAACATAAAAACATCATCATCTCAGATATTTTTGTTTTTACCTTTTTCCAAAGAAAAAACTTTCTTTTTTTGTTTTGTAGTCTACGCGAGACATAAAATCACGACTTCTTTTTTTTTTTTGTTTTGCGCCGATGTCGAAAGATTTAAGGCGAGTGAAGAAACTTTAGCGTGGAAGTAGCGATGCATAACCTCAGCTGCAATGAGAGATTTTTTCTGTTGTTGTTTAATTTTATTGTCCCGAATCAACGTCCGTGCGTTCATCAACCAATTTATATAATCTCTGATGAACGACTTCCACACCGACTAAGCCAAAGTAAAAAAGTAGCTCGATTTGTCGAGTAATATAAAAAAAATGAAACTAATAAACACTCTGAAGTTTAATACGATAACTTTGTTTTTGTTTTTAACTTCATATCTCTGTCTCGTTCTCAAATCTCTCAAATAATCAAATCTGACACCCTCGAGATGGAAATGTTGGAAGAAATCAAGAAGGAATGAAGAAAAATATTTGAAACAAAAATCCATGTTTATTGTATAAATTTTGAACACTTGCACAGGCGGTTAATTAAATTCTATGTATCGAACTTTTGCACGTGTTCAATTGTGAACTTAAATACAAAATACAGAGGCTATATGTTTAATGCTTTTGAGGAGTGGACGTCGTCTGAGGCGATATCATTTTCACAATGAAACATTAATGTTTATTGATGTACTTTGAGTTTTTTTTATAAGGCGTGGGTGAAAAGTCTTTAAAATTGCGGAGAGAAAGAAAAAATATCATTTCTTTTTTCATGATTAATTGAAGAATGCATTTATAAACATTAACTGTACGATTTATTATCTCTCGCCTTCCATTTCATGCGTGACAATCTGATTTGTCATCGCTGAAGTCGGCGTTACATTCTTGAGCAATCTTTTATTGTCTCGCGCTCTACTTGTGATTAATCGAATTTGAATTGTGTGGACATGGACGACTTTCGTCATAGAATGTTTATGAAATAAAAATTTACAGATGCACGTGGTCGAAAGATTATTTTAATTTTTCGTCAAAACTCCCATTGGACTCAATTTAAAGTTTAATGTCAACCGAGCTGCTCCAGAAATAATCATGTTTGTTATTTTTTCGGTCCATAAACAAAAACAACAATACACAAATGCGAAATATTAAAAGCAAAAATTTCTTTGGAATTTCTGAGCCACTATTAAGAACCGTTCCTCGCTCTTTTCATCTACAGCTTAATGCGCTGACAACCGCAACTGAGCGAAAGAGAGAAGAAAAAAATATTTGAACACGTGTTCGAAACAGAGGAAATATATGAAAAATTTACTGACTCGACAATGTTCAATTATGAGTTCGCTCCCAAAGACCTTTTGCTTTTAAAACACAAAACATCAAAGACCCCTGAATATGAAACAAAAATGTCTATTCATGAGATAGCAAGTGATGGCGATTTATTCATTTATTTTTATTTGACGAATGAATGATGAAATGAACTTGAATTGGGATGAATGATTCCACTTTATGCGTTGTTGTCTTCTGATAAAGATCTTAAATCACAAAGTCGAAAAACCAGAAGGAAATCATAATTAAGAAATGAAGTCAACAAGCATAAAAGAATTTCGAGCTTGCAATCTCTTTTATGGTTGAGTCGTATTTGAGAGAAAGCGAATCAAACCGTCATCATCCGGCTGTAAACCATAATTACACTCTCAACGCTTATTTATTTTCGCAAACGTTATGAAACATGATGGATTAATACAATTTTCTTTTTATCTCTTTACAGACAGATGAAAAATCGTCGTGTTAGAGTCACAGTGACACGATTTTGATCTCAGAGAAGCCCACGAAATAAAGAAGGAAGGAAGGAAGGAAGAAAATAAAAATAACGTTTGTTTTGTTAATGAAGTTAAACCGGGAATGCAGTCAATGCAAGAAAGAAATTTGTCGATGCAATTTAAATAGAAACAACTTTCAGAGTTTAAGTCGTCTTAAAAATAGAAGAAGGATACATAGAGCATAGAATTCATAAAAAGACTAAGAAGGTTAATGATCTGTACATGTGTGGCTGCACAGCATAATTTTGAAACATGCAGTTACAGACTGGTTAAGGAAATAAAGCAGAAACATTTCACAAACACTTTTTAAAATCCCCCTCCCCCACTTCTCCTCATCATGTTAACAGAACAAGTAACAAAAAAAACATTTAAAAATTAAAGCAACAAAAAAAAATCTTTTAATTAATTTAATAATTAAAATTCTGTGATCTATAGATTATTATTTTATTTTTTAAATGATGAAGAATGGAAAAGAAGAAATAAAAAATGAAAAAGATGTTAAATGATGAATGTACAAAAATCTGCGCGAATTAATTGAAGTATCGCAAAAGTCCTCAAAATTTAAAGTAAAATAAAAAGCTTTGAGGGTTTTAAGAGGAAGTTAAGTTCGAACTTTTCTCAATCTCTTGAAGCTCTGAATTGAAAAGCTCCTGGAAATTTAACTTTTTTGTTAATTAAATATTTTAATAAAATTCATTTTCTTTTCTGTAATTTTCACTTTAAAACAATTAAAATGCAAAGAAATGCTTTTTGATGAACTCAAAATGTCACACGAAATTATAACAGAAATGACACTGCAAATAACCTTTTTCTTATCAAATTGTTTATGTTTTTCTAATTATTAAATAAAATACACAAGATATAGTTGTAAAATGAACTTACTTTGTTATTTATTCGTTTTGATGTCTACTACTTTGTAATTTGATCTTTTAGCGCAGTTGCAAATTTTCTTTCAGGTGTTCACTATAATTATTCAGCTGAAATCAACAGAGTTTGTAACGCGATCTGAAATCGTATCAATTGACTTGACAGTCATGCAATGCAGAGCCTTCTCCACTCAATTCGTCTCTTTCCCTTGCTTGGAAATATAAAATGTCACACTCTTAAAAGAAAAGTCGCCTCCTCCCTGTGACTTTATCGATTTTTTACTTGAAGCCATATCGAGTTACATGAGCGAAGCGATGTTGAAATGAAACTTAATTGTTGGATTGCGTGCTCAAGTGTTCAAACTTCTTTTTATATTTTCTTTCTTCTTCCCTCACAAGTCTACCGAAGGAAGAAATGAAACTTTCGCAAGAGAGAAATCGTTTATTGTTTTGTGGTTTTTTTTATTAAAATGGGGTTAAGTGAAGATTAACTTGAAGATGTTCGATGGAAATCTATTTTTTATCCATTTCTACTTTCAATGTCTATTTGAGCGACTTCAGCTTACGTGATACTGTTTGATGATTAATTTTCTTAATAAATTTTTTATTGAAGAAATTAATAAGTTTAGCTGATGGTTCAACGATCTCATAAAACGCGATATAACTTCACTTTTTATCAACGTTAATGTCACATTGACGGAGAATCATGTGGTCAATTGAAATGACACTTATTATATTTATTCTTAATTAACACGATGTGTCATGTCTATCGATGCATTGAGAAGACGACATAGGCTGCAAGACCCCATGATGCCATTTCTGTTGTAAAGTTTTATAGTGCTCTCAACCTCCTTGAGCAAATTTTATTATTTCTTGTCTTTGCCATTTTTGAAAGCAAACATGATATTTTCACTCTGTCACTTTGAGTTGTCTTTCACTCGTTATTGCAAGGTGCGGTATCTAATTACTCTACCCGAGCTGAGAGCTTGTTTTATGAACTTCAGGTAGTTTTCTTGTAGCTAATTTCAATTTTATTCAAATGAAGTAGTTGAGAGGTTTAAAATTGAAGATTTCTTTTCCTACCTGGAAAAACAACAAAAACATCAGGTGGATCATCGTTTAATGTTGGTAGATATGCAGATAAATACTTAAAATTGAAGGAAACTTCAAGTAGAAATTAACATTTGTTCTACCTTCAGTCTAACTAATCCGATTTGCTTCTGAGACAGATTGAACATTGAAGTGAAATCTTAGTAAAAATTATCCGCATCGTAAGTTATTGCTTGAAGTACTTTTCTTTTCGCTTCAAATGATTATTGGTTCAGCCGGCATGTTGCTAGCTAAATACTTAGTAGCTAATTATAAACTAAAAATGTGCAAAATCAATCGACCATATTGACCATACACAGTTTGAGAAATCTATTAATGATTCATGAGTTGAAGTTTTTCTTGTTTTCGCAACCCGCTCAACAACAAAAGACGATCGTTCGTAGTTTGAAAGGAAAAACAAATTTGCACGGCCAATAAATCTAGCTTTACTCGTAGTCTCAACAGGTGTTTCCTATTAAAATCTTTAGTTCTCTTTCTCTCTCTCTCTTACAATATTTTAATTTCTCGTTGCTTTATTCACTAGAGTAGGTTGTTTTTAAAAGAACTCCCAGATAATCGAAAACTGATATATTCAAAGAAATTAATCATTTAAACTTATTATTCGTCTACTTATTTTATATAAAAATATTTTCCTTTTGGATGTTTAATTAATTAAAAAGAAAAACAAGTCTGAGCGTTTAATTCCCCTCTGGGTCAGTTATGATCACGAAAGTAAGAAACATGGCAATTAGAAAATACAAAAACTATTAAATTATTTTGTGAAAATTGTGCGTATGAAAAAGCTGCTTCTTTTTATAAAATAAATCTAGAGATGGGATGGGTGCTGTTGGTTAACCTAATATATTGTTAACGATCGAGATGGTCCAACTAAGATCCTAACTCTGAACACATCGCATGATTTCTTTAAACGAAACCAAAACTACTACGACAGCTTTCCGTGAAATGATGAGGAACTGAAGGTTAATATTTTGTTAATTCGAAATGGGCGAATCAAAGAGGCAACCACATTACTTTAATGAAGTATAAGGTGTTTAAATCGATATTTTAGTTTTTTTTTTCTTTAATCATCTTAATTACCTCCAGATGACTCCAAACAAACTGAGATTCCAGCTTTAAAAATAGTTTCATTACGCCATATGCAACAAATAAGCGCCACTTATTTCTTAGCGAACAATTTTTATATTTCGCAGCTCGTTCGGGGAAGTATTTTTCACTTAAACACCAAACGCATGTCTGGTTGATGCAAGTGTAGCTCATTTATCATTTCGAAATGAAAAAGAGATAACTTTCCACTTGCTTTAATTTCTACTTGAAAATATTCTCGGCAATTACCGATGCTTGCCTACAATTAACCGTGCATCCGATTTCCATATCGTAGTTAAGCCTCAATCATTAATTTCATTCATACATCATCGAAGACGGTAATCATACGCTGGGCAGAATGTTATTGCCATCATCTTAATCGACCGATCGTTCCTGTGAGGTTCAAAGCGCGATACATGTCGAGATGACCGATTGTTAAATGATTTCGATCATTAACATTTTTTCCGTTTGCAGGATTCTTCATGAACGATGACAACTTTACCAATGGATCGTAACATGTTTGATGAGATTTTATTTTTATCAGACTTTATAAAATAGCCCATCACCTACTCAACCAGTTTATTAACAATTTCTTCATAATTGTTATTGCGAAATAAAATACAAAATTGCAAATTATATCATCGCAACTTTCTTAAAATTTTATGTGGGATTGTGGAAAGAAACAAAAAAAATTTAGTTTGATGTCGCGATCTGGCAATGCTTTATGATTGCCGTAAATCCATAATTAAGATATTTCAATCAAAGACATTGAATGAAAAAAGAATCATCCCACAAGCCATTCATGATGAAACATTTATTTTCACTTCATTCCACATTGAGCATATAAAAAAGAAAATAAAGAAATACGAAATGCCGCAAATGCCAAATTAATTTGATGATAAATTAAATATAATTACAATTTTTCTTAATTTATTTCGGCATTTTTGTTACGGCTCAAAACAAGATTCGAGAAGAAAGTTATTTCTTTTTTGTGTTGTGATTTGTAAATTTACAATGTGTAACAGGGACGAGGTAGGAAGATTAAGTCGAAGTATGAAAATTTTCTTTCCACTTTAATTAAAGTACTTCATTCAACAAGGAAGCCGTCACATTTCTTAAATTTTGTCTCATCAAGAGATATGATAAATTATGAAAATTACAGCAAATTGTGCATTCAACTGAGAATATAAATGCACCGTGACGAGAAATAAACAAAATATCTTCAATCTTTGCACCGTAATGCCATTAAACTGTTCATTCACATCAGCTACCGGACTTGAGACAACTAAAGAGATTTAAGATAATAGAATCAAGCGCTGTTTTTTCTACATAAATGAAGGCAATTGTTAGCTGTTGTGAAATGAATTGAAGGCATTAACCGATTGACGCTGATCGTTATCAACAAAGCGCTTATTTAATTAAGGTGTGACGAGATTGAATGAAATTTAAAGAAATTGAACAATGTACATAAAACATTCCATTCTGGATGATTATTTATTTAATACAGGTGACGCCACTAAAAATAAAATGTTTATCTAGCTTAATATTAATACAATTCAACTCTAATTGCCTCATATGTTGAGTAATTTGTCATCATCTTATAAGATATTTGTTCCCATGTCATAAGTTGGCAGATTTTGTTGCGACTTCATAAACGAAGACAACCTCAAAGAGTCAAAATAATTCGTCACGATAGAAACATCTCGCCGTCTTGAATCAAAAACAAACCTCATAATACAGAAGGAAAAAACATTTCACTTCCATCGAGTTGTGATTAAAGTCAAACAGGTGCGATTAAATCATATTTCAACGCTTAAAATATTCGATTGTCGTTCGCATGTTTTTATTTTCCTTCTCCCTCTGACACGATTAAGTGGAATTTCAATAAAAAAGCAACGACGTATGTGATCTCAATTTGCAATATGAACTTTTTGAACTCTCCAGACGTCTCTGCGATATTACACGCTCTCACATCCACGCCTAAGCACTCAAGTTCATTTCAATGAAAATTAATTTTAAGTTTTTTTTCGTTTGCTTCTCTTTCTGTTTTCCTTTGAACATATTGATAGAAACGCGAGATCGATAAGATTACTTGAGTTTCTAGTAGAAAATAATTTTAATACGACATGTGTGGAGTTATATCATCATCAATATTGATCTCTTGCTCATGTTTCAGCTGGCGGGAGAAATTAAAAACCGAGGTATCAATATCTGACGACAGTCGTTCACATTGTTTGTCTTTAATGACTTGTTAGATTTTGTATATTTCTCACCTAGTCTGGAGACAATAAAACGTCGTGAAAGATACAAATACCAGTCATTTGCATTGTACATTTGTGTCGATTTTTCTTCTTTTAATTTCCAATTTGGAATTGTATTGAAATTGTCACGTCAGTCACAGTTTTCATTGTCATTTTGATATTGACGCTTGTGTAGGTTTTTGAAGACATTGCACATCGAGACCTCTATAGAGTTAAATCTTGTTTATTTATGTAATTTGAAAACTAAACATTACAAATGAGCTTCGTTGATGACTCAGTCAACACCTGAGGATGATAATTTACGACATTGTTGTTAGAAAATTCAAATCTTACTTGCAATTAAATTCAAAGTTTTTTTTATTACAGAATGTAGCATTTTTAAGGAACGTTAATTGAATAATGGTTCATACTTAGTTGCAAATTGCAATCACATTCAATCACACATAAAAAACAGATATAATCTTCTAAAATTTATAATTATCTGTCAATTGATGAAAACGATTTATTTAAAAAGAAAAATTTGTGTCAAAACATTGAAAATAAAAACAAAATAAATGTTCACAACTTTGCAGCTGTCAAAATATATTTACTTGAAAACAAATTAATTTCTATAATTTTCAACTCGAAGAGATAACAGCAAATAACAACAACAAAGTACAGAAAATATTTTATAGTGAAAGGTCAAATAGTTCTTATAAAAAATTATTAAAAATTGTAGAATGAATTGAGCAAATTAATCAAAGTGCAGGCAAGGCCAGGCACAATTATGAGGTTTTCTCGAGTTCATGAACCGACAAGAAAATCTTTTATATTTGACATGAAAATTGCAAACATTGCAATACTTGACAGTGTGGCATATTAAAAGCATGAATTAGGTTAAGCATGAGATGCGTGATAGTTGATTGAGCATTAAATAGGAAAATCGTTTAAACAAAACGTGCAAAATCTCAAGAAATTACATCAAAAAAGTCACTTTAATATTCTCACTTCCACAATTATTTTTGAAGTAGCAACAAGATATTATTTAGGTTTAAATCTTTTTCATCAAACCATTGAATTATTTCATAAATTTTTAACCATGAAATTTTCAATAATTTCTTGGGAAAAATTTTCCAAGAGTACAACCGATGAATGCATTCGTGTCTGAATAATTTATGACTAAAGGAAAAAAAACGTAAACAATCAATTCAAGAAAATTGCACAAAATCATTGATTTCTTGATGTGAAGTGTTTATGTCAAATTTGATGTTATTAAATAGAAAATACGGGAATTGAGTTGAATTACAGAAAATATATTTTTAATAATTCAAATTTTTAAAAGAACAATTTTTGTTGTGTTTACATGACATTCCGAAGAAATATTTCCAGCAGTTTTAGACAGTTTTCTAGAAAAAGAAAAGGAATTTATGAAATTTTAATGCATTCTTTGATCGACTAGCGAATAGAAAAATGTCAAAATAAGTGAAAATTCGCTTTGTTTACAAAGAGTATTGACAGTTTAACTGACAACTGATATATAACAACATTTTGCATTCAATCGCAATGCGCTAATTCTACATCACGACTTTAAACTTTAAACAAATAGAAAGCCCTCGTCTCTGTTATTGATTTATATCAGCCCGTAAAAAATTGTCTGAAATAGAACAAGTCGTGTAAGCGTTTCTCTATTCTGGTGCTTGCAGGTGTCTTAAACATCATAAAAAGCATGTTCGTTCCGCTTTTTCCTCGTTGTACGTTATCAATTTTAATTAACTGAGCCGCACAGCAAAGGTCTTGTGATAACAATTTGAAATAAGAATATTTTTATTCTCCACTTGCGTCGTGTGTACTTTAAATATGATAAGAAACTCAACTCGTTTACAGTGCAGAGGGGTTTCCATTAAGTTCACCTGCACTCACAAGATTGCTGATAACTTTTATCATTCTAAGTGCAAACAAGTGTTTTAGTCTACTTAGAGTAAAAGAAAAATTGTTACGAAATCTTTGATGACATCCACAGAATAATAAAAGTTTCAAAAAACTCTTTGATGATTTTTATATTTTACTTTTCAAGTGGCTTTCATATTTGATTATATAGTAAAAAATTGTTTCATTCCTTGAGTATTTAATCTAATCGACGAATACTGCAAAATATTCAATTATGACAGAAAATTTTGAGTTATAACTCTATCATGCAATAATTAAGATCGAACATCTGTGTAAATCTTACCAAAGCGATCGGAAAATTCTGAAATTGGATAAACTTTCATAAATATTAGCACACGAACTTCAGTAAATTTTTATTCATAGAGAAATTGAATTCGAAAATAACATTTTATGTTCTTCACATAAGAAAAATATGGACAATTTATAGAAACGAGTAAGAAAAACAAGATTGCTGCTTTCTTGTGTCTATAAAATCCAGAAAATATTCAATGTCAATAATTCTAGCTTCAATAATTCTATGAAACCCTAAACGACTTTACGAATGCTTCAGAATATGAATTTTCCCATTAAATTTTTTATCATTCGTTAAACGAAGGGATGTGCCTCAGAAGTAACATTTCCTTCTATTTACGACAAGGAAAAGATGAACACGTGATGAATTTTCCTCCTTAAACCATCTCAAATCAAGAAATCAAATAAAATATTCATACACAAACAATGTGAGCGAGTAGGGATGTGTGGCATAAAAGTATAACATTTGTTGACTAATTCCCACCAGAAATCAAAATACATGATGGTAAATATAGATAACAAAAATGAGAAAATTTATTAGTGAGGGCACAACGTCGTGCTTGTCTCTTTCAGGGCGAATCTTTAACAGGCGAAACAATTTAATTTCCTAAAGGAGAGTGAGAAAGATTGAGAGTTCGATACAAACATCATTCAGGCTCGTGCTTTCAATTAATTTCAACGTTCATCTGTTCCAATTTTTCTTCAAATTAATATAAAAACTTTGGAAATGACGTCAGGCCAAATATTTTCTTTTTTACGTCTTTAATATTTCAGAATTTTAATGATGTTTTCAAGTTCCATCTCACACCTGACAAGCTTTCGCATGAGCTCAAAATTCAAATAAACTCGAACAATGTGTCATTGGGATTTTTTTTTCGGTCGCGTCGAAATGTTCAAATGTACATACGCATAAGCGTAGCTGATCGATGATGACCAACTTTAAAAAATATTTATAGAGAATAAAAAAATAAAACAGCGAATAGAAATGATATTTTTATTTCTTCAAGTTTCGTTTTTTAAGTGCAAACACCTGCAAAGTACTGAAGCACTTGTTATTTTTTTTTCTCAGACTTCGTAAATGAGAAAACTCAATATTTTACTTTATAACATTGACTTAGTCGTCATTGCGTTCATTTGAAGAAAAAACCTTATTTGATTTAATTAGATAATGTTAGTGTCAACATTGTCAACGTTATCAGTCGTGTAGTTTAGAAATCAGTGAATTTCAGGTCTTTTGAGTGAGAGAAGACGACATTTATAAAAGTGTAAAATTTTTATTTGAACGACACGTTGATATTGTTCTAAATCTGACATCGAATTGACTCAACGACATACAAACGCGTTCTTTCGTTTCGAGTTCACTGTACCGTTACCATAAAATCGTATGCTAATTTCTAGTTCAAGCAATTCTGTCATTTCCTCGATCGAGTGTGGTTTTATTCGCATTTTTCTCTATGTTTGGCATTCTTGCATTTTAACATTTCACGGAACTTACAGTTGCAGCTGTAGTCGGATAGTTGCATAAATATTCAGTTGTTATCCACGGTTGTGTTTTACTATGAAATTCTTAGACGCATAAAATTGACGTCAAATTAAAGCTTAGGAAAGAATGCAACTTGCAATACACTTAAAGAGTCTCGCAAATACACTTCGGTCATTTAGATAGAGAATAAAGAAAAGAAGAAAAAATAAATATTAATTAAAGACAGGTGGAATTAGATAATTAATTTTAAATGAAACACTTGTTCAAACATCGTAAGAATCGTGCAAACATTTTAGTGAAAATATTTGTTATTTTTTATTTGTTATTATTGAAGAATTTCACGGGAATTTTATTAGCATTTGTGATGTTGCTTAAACTTTTTGACTAGACAAAATTCAAGGAAACTTTTATTCAAAATGTTTCTGGTATCAAGACGTATTTAAAGTTAACTTTGATGACTGTGAAAACTGTTTAGTCTCGACATTTCTTTTGCATTGTTCTAAATAGTTTTTGGATTAAAAAGAAAACTTTAACTCAAAACATATCATTTTAGAACATTCCCTGTAAATCATTCTATAATTAACAAATCTAACAGCCGGTACGGTAACATTTGCTTACGTTCAATTCTTGAAGGAAATCTTTCAATTTTTATTATAGACAAAACATGTGTGTGACATGAAATAGAAGTGATTTAGTCGCACAAACTAATATTTTATATATGAAGAACAACAACTGAACGAAAAATCACATGTTTTTGAGCAGCTTTAAGCGACACACAGTCAGCGAGCATAAATCAGCTTTCTTCGCCGCAAACACCAAAAATATAATATGTTTCATAAATAATAATTATTTTCATAACTCTGCTGACGATCGTGCCTGCCTCTAGCCGTTGTGTTGTCACACACATGTGAAATTGAATATCCGCTACCGACTGTTTACGCAATCGTAAGAATTATTCATTTGGCTTTGCCAATCACCTGTGCTCGTTTCCAACAAAGTACCGTACAAGCAAAGAATGTTCAGCTGTTTTCTTTCGATTTCGCATAATATTTTTATTTTACATTCTCATTCGCTGTGATTCGTACGAAATACGTGGCGTCTGGGGTTGGCATAGCTGAGATTCTTATTATATATCTTATATATCTCATCGTGAAATATTCGTAACAATTGTTCCGCGCTCTCTACCTTGTTTAAGAAAAATAGCTTTAATTTCTTGCTTTTCTGTTGTTACAGACTTTAAACTTTTTATAGCTCAACTTATGTTAATTTATTCATCAAATGTGGTTGTTGAATTAACTCAAATATTTTCGAAAAAAATGCATTACGAAACTGCAGTTCCAATATGAAAATTTTAAAAAATAAATCATTTCATTTATTTATCAATAAATTCAAATCTTTGTACATTTTTTCTTAGCTTTAAGTGAATTTATGATTGAACAAATTCGAATCAAGAGGATGACTTTTAGTCACCAAATGGTCTCAACGTGAATTTTGTGAAAATTTAAGTTCAAACAGCTGCAGTTACAACTGAAATTTTGTCTAATTTGCTTACTAGTGTTCTATTTACATATTGAAGAATTTTATTTAAAGAAATGCAGCTGAACAATGTGGAATTTTAATGAAGCTTTTAAAGAATTGAATCTAGATCACAAAGTTTGAGTAAATTGTGTAGATCAATAGAAATAAATTTGAATAAATGTTGAGAAATAATTGAATGAGACGCAAAAAACGTAAGAGAAAAAAGCGTGAAATTAAATCCTTTAATTAAAAATATTTCATTAAAATTTTATTGATTAGAATTTGGAAATAATAAACTGAAGAAAAAATTCTTTAATCTCACAGCTTTAATTTACGAGTGTGGCCTGCAAATGCCCCAACAATTAATTTTTTCTGTATGCCACATGGACATCGCTTAAAAATAAGACTCGTATCGTCAACTCATCAGTTTCAAACAACCGCGAACACAAAATAAGATGAATTTCATTTTGAGAAGAGTTAATTTATTTTTTTCTTTAATTTGGCTGGCTTTCATTCTGGTGACGTTTCATGTCATATGTTTCATTAATTTTCACCTCTAGTAATCTCGACAGTTTTTACAAAGCATACACTTGGGCACAGCCTTTGACATGTTTCAAATTAAAAAAGATTTTTCAATATTATTACTAATGTTAAAAGTGGGGAAAGTATGAATATGTGTAACTTAAAAGCAGAACTTGCAGTCATAATAAACGTTCGTATCTCCATTGGATTTAGAGAAACAATTAAGTCATCTCCAGATAATGCTTTTTGTGTGTTGACTTTCACTGATTGTGATTTTGGATACGAGAAACTTTTCGCACCTATTTGTTGGAATTGAAGGCGATCCAAATCTTCAATCCATTGATTAGCCGAAAGTGTAACTTCAGAAAAGGAAAAGTCTCCAGGAAAAACTTCAGTTAAATTAAAAGTTATTGTTTGAGAATATTGGGAATCTTCATTGTTTTCTAATATGTGTTCAAAGCGAATTAATGTTGAATCATCTTTCCATGGTTCGACTGTCATTGCATAAACATTTTGTGGTAAATCAGATCCAATTGTCGAATGCTAAGAATGTTTAATTCTAAATAAATTTCAAAAGATATTAAATTAATTATGACTCACCTCAGTGTGATATTTTTCTGCCCATTCATTAACTGTCATGCTTTGGATTTCATCAAAGAAAAGCCAGTTGGAAAGATGAACTTCGTTTTGCAAAAATCTTTCACGAGCTTCCAGAGAAGGATTTTGTGTTGATTTCTTTCCAAATATAAGACAGTGCTTGCCTCTTGCTATGAGACCCGAGCCATGCTCAACTTCATTCAAGGCTTCAGCTACCCCAAATGCATCATCGTAAAGAAGTCGACGGTGAACCTAAGAAAAAGTATCAAATAATGTTATTAATGAATTATTCAATGAAAGTACCATGAGTTCCAGAGTTCCATCAATAATGCTTGCTCCACCTTGAGCACGATCATTCAAAACGGCGAGTCGATGAGTGTTGTCTTCAATAGCAATCTTCGAATTTATAGGATAATAATTGCTGGCAATCGGTTCTTCAAACGTTAACTGGAAAGTTTCTCGGAAATTTCGTTTTCGTTTTATCATTTGTCGACCATTTGAATCAGTAAAGAAATCTTCATTTGATTCGATGTCAGTGAAGAATCTCGAAACAATTTCTTTTCCAATGCCATCTTCAACTGGAATTGGACCGACAAGCCATTCGAATTCAACGAATTTCTGATCTTTGTAAACTCTCACAACCTGACTTATCCAACTGTTGATCGTTTGATGGACTTCGTCAACTAAATCACCTCGAACAACTTGAAGTGAAACGTCCTGATCAAGAACAAACTCATCGACATTTCCATCTGGTCTAAAAATGTAAGCACCTGAAGATCTGTTTGCGAATATTGCATTGTTTCCAGCAGCTCCATAGTACATAATAAACTTTTGGCGCAGACTTTTTGTTTCACCATCAATTGTGATATTTTCTAGCAGACCATTTGCATCAAAAGCGATGCTTAAGAATTCATTCCCAATGCTGACACTTTCGACGTCTACTTTTGGTGCAACTTGTGATGTCTGCTGAGTCGTTTTTGATACAAAATATGATTTATACCCCATTGCTGGTACTTTCTCAGCTCTGAAGACAACTTCATTGGGTGTTGGACTTGTTCGATAATGAATATTCATGACCGATGTTGGTATTTGGACGATTTCAATTGGAATCAAAGTGTTTTCGCCATCTCGAACTTCGTAAGAATTTCCACTAACTGGAAATCTAACAAATTGATTTGTTTCATGACCAAGTGGGTTATAAACTGTCGCCATGAACTTATCAGAATTCTCTGAGATTGAACAAACGCTGATGTTTAAGTTTAAGCATGAGTTGAATTCAAATTCCCATTGAGTAGGTGACGATGAGTTGCTGGGCTCAATGTCAGTCAAGAATTGATTCAGAGATGATTTTGTGTTGTGTTCACATTGCACAATTGACGCGTGGAGTTCTCTGTGATAATCGTCAGCTACATGTTGCTTCTCAGTCCCAGTTATTGCATCGTGATGTTGCATCACTCCCATAATTCTTCTTAAATATCCCAAATGATCTTCATACGATTCTTCTGGTTTCTTAGCATTTGCCGAAAGTTGTTTGCAGATTTGTAGAAAATGATTGCCTATTCGTTCAAATCTTTTAGAAGAAGGACGAGACGTGTAATATCCACTCCAATAGGCATGTGGATCGTTGGCGTAAGGGAAGAAATCGTCAACTTTTGTAGGAAATGCTACTCCAGATTCATGGAGAGCTTTGAGATAACACGATGGTGTTGAATAAAACACGTTCAGCTTGAGTTCATTTTGACGTTCGTTAGCGTATCTGATAAAGAAGTAAATTGTTTGATCATTTCAATCTCTTCAATAAAAATTTATGAAATAAAACTTCATTACTTGATGAGTTTGTCTAAGTTCTTGAACCATTTTTGAGCTGACATGTAATGAAAATCGCCTCCCATTGTTAAAATGATATTGTTTGTACGATAAGAAGTTGCTTGATTTTCTACATACTTTTTNNNNAACACGTTCAGCTTGAGTTCATTTTGACGTTCGTCAGCGTATCTGATAAAGAAGTAAATTGTTTAATCATTTCAATCTCTTCAATAAAATATATGATACAAAACTTCATTACTTGATGAGTTTGTCTAAGTTCTTGAACCACATTTGAGCAGACATGTAATGAAAATCGTCGCCCATTGTTAAGATTACGTTTTTTGTACGATAAGACTCTGCTTGTTCGTCCACAAATTTTTTGAATTCCAAAAGCTTTTTATAAAAGGGAGAATAAGTGGAAGATTTAAATATAATTTAAAATTTTTAACTTACTCTTTCTTCGACATTATAGTCGGGACTTTCAATGTCATCAATTATTGGCTCGTCATTGCAAAGATAATCATAGCAAAATCCTCTGGGGGCACTGTAATGATTATACAGAACTCCGGTGAAAAGATCAGAATCCTCTAGATTAGTTGAATTATATTTTAAATTAATCCTGAAAATTTCGTAAGTTTTTATGATGAACTTACCCAAAGCAGAACTTGATTTCCAAACCATTTCCATTGACTTATCACGTCTTCTCTGTGTTTTATCACGCCAATCAAGGCGTGCGAAGAACAAACCGTCGTATCCCATTTTAGTGAAAAGTGAAGCTTGTTCTCTTGAGTGACCGAATGGATCAATTTGCCATCCAATCTTCGGACGGCCACACTCACCAAATGTGTCATTTAAAAGTCGCAAGCCCCAAGTGAACTGATCAATGAGACTTTGATAATGAGCAGCAGCTTCATCATTCATACTCCAAGCACCTCCAATGAACTCCAATCGACCTTCATTTACAAGCATCTTAACCTGTTCCTTTAAGTCGTCAGTTTGTTCGTTCCACCACTTAAAGAAAAACGCTGACTCCACGAAAACAAATTTCCTTGCTGGATTTTGTAGTAATTCTTGCACAACTGTATCGAGAATATATTGAACGCTAGCTTTTTGTATACCACCTCGACCTTAGAAGATATTCAAACATTTCATTTATTGTAGAAAGAATTATTATTGAAATGTTCATTTCTATCTCACTTCCATAATAATATTGATCAATTGTCTTCAACCATCCAACATCATCGTGAGTATGTGGAACAAGATGAACATTTAATATTTCACTATCAGATGAGACCACTGGGCAAGACTACATAAAATTAATTTCAATTTAATTTATTCAAACTTTTTTGTGTTTCATAATTCTCAACCTGATAACCACATTGCGAGTTCTCTGCTTTTCCTGTAGAAGTTGAAGGTACTGCTTGAATAATTCTTAAGAAAACGAATGAAATTAGTAAAATCGAAATATTTTTAGACATTTTTCTTCAACTAATTAAGCTTGCAATCGCAGCAGCAAACTGACAGCACTTTGATCAACGTAGGGGTTTTCATTCAAAACAGTAATCTCAAGTGTCTTGCACTCAATTAATATTTTGTCAATAGCTTCTTTTTTTAATTAGATATGATTAGATACTTGATAAGAAAAGATTGTTAAAGTTTCAAAACGCTCAATAACAAATTTATTCACTTCAATGTTAAATGATAATGGCTAAAGCACTTCAAAATATTTTTATTATTAAATATTTGAAAATTTCAATAACATAAATTAAGGGAAGGCAATAAATGTAAGAATTTCCATGGGATTCAATGTGAATTTTCCATCCTCTGTCATTGAAATCTTTTTTGTATTCGAATCTTTTGACCATTTTGGAAATATGTTTCGTTTTAATCTTCCATGACTTTTTTCTTCATGAAGGAAATGCATGCGATTCATGTCTCCAATCCATTGGTTAGCAGCAAGTGTTACTTCAGAAAACCTTGATTTGTTTATGAAAATATCTGCTAAGTTTAAGTTTACAGGTTTTGAAAAGAATGGATCTTCGCCAGTATCAAATAAATGTTCAAAACGAACTAATGTTGAGTTATCCTTCCAGGGTTCAACTGTCATTAGATGAATGTTAGGTGGCAAACTAAATCCAATTGATGAGTGCTGAAGATTATGATAAATTTAGAGATCATCTAAAATTATTTAAAACCTCACCTTTGTGTTGTACTTTTCCGACCATTCATTAACCGTCAGACTTTTAATTTCATCAAAGAAAAGCCAGTTGGAGAGATGAACTTGGTTTTGCAAAAATCTTTCACGAGCTTCCAAAGAAGGATTTTGAGTTGATTTCTTTCCAAATATAAGCCAATGCTTGCCTCTTACTATCAGACCTTTTCCAAAACTTTTTTCAACCAAAGGTTCACCAACTCCATAATGATCATCTCGTACAGTACGACGGTGAACCTGTTGATTAGCATTTTTTTCATGAAAATTGATTTAAGATGATTGACTCACCATAATTTCCAGAGTTCCATCAATAATGCTTGCTCCACCTTGAGCCCGATCATTCAAAATGGCGAGTCGATGAGTGTTGTCTTCGATAGCAATCCTTGAACTTATTGGATAATAATTACTGGCAATCGGTTCTTCAAACGTTAACTGGAAAGTTTCTCGGAAATTTCGTTTTCGTTTTATCATTTGTCGACCATTTGAATCAGTAAAAAATTCTTCATTTGATTCGATGTCAGTGAGGAATCTCGTAACAATTTCTTTACTTTTTGAATCATTAGGAATTGGACCGACAAGCCATTCGAATTCAACGAATTTCTGATTTTTGTAAACCCTCACTACCTGACTAATCCATTCATTGAAAATCTGGTGAACTTCATTGACAAGATCACCATGTATGACTTTTAAATTTACATTGACTCCAACTAAGGATTCTTTACTCTTGGGATCAGGTCTGAAAGAATAAGCACCGGAAGTGTCGCTGTTGTAATAAAGAAAGTTTTGACGGAGATTTCTTGTTTCACCATCAATTGTGATATTTTGTAGTAAACCTTTGCTATTGAAGGAAATGCTTAAGAATTCATTCCCAATGCTGACACTTTCGACGTCTACTTTTGGTGCAACTTGTGATGTCTGCTGAATCGTTTTTGATACAAAATATGATTTATATCCCATCGCTGGTACTTTCTCAGCTCTGAAGACAACTTCATTGGCTGTTGGACTTGTTCGATAATGAATATTCATGACCGATGTTGGTATTTGGACGATTTCAATTGGAATCAAAGTGTTTTCGCCATCTCGAACTTCGTAAGAATTTCCACTAACTGGAAATCTAACAAATTGATTTGTTTCATGACCAAGTGGGTTATAAACTGTCACCATGAACTTATCAGAATTCTCTGAGATTGAACAAACGCTGATGTTTAAGTTTAAGCATGAGTTGAATTCAAATTCCCATTGAGTAGGTGACGATGAGTTGCTGGGCTCAATGTCAGTCAAGAATTGATTCAGAGATGATTTTGTGTTGTGTTCACATTGCACAATTGACGCGTGGAGTTCTCTGTGATAATCGTCAGCTACATGTTGCTTCTCAGTCCCAGTTATTGCATCGTGATGTTGCATCACTCCCATAATTCTTCTTAAATATCCCAAATGATCTTCATACGATTCTTCTGGTTTCTTAGCATTTGCCGAAAGTTGTTTACAGATTTGTAGAAAATGATTGCCTATTCGTTCAAATCTTTTCGAAGAAGGACGAGACGTGTAATATCCAGTCCAATAGGCATGTGCATTATTGGCGTAAGGGAAGAAATCGTCAACTTTTGTAGGAAATGCTACTCCAGATTCATGGAGAGCTTTGAGATAACACGATGGTGTTGAATAAAACACGTTCAGCTTGAGTTCATTTTGACGTTCGTTAGCGTATCTGATAAAGAAGTAAATTGTTTAAAATCATTTCAATCTCTTCAATGAAATATGATACAAAACTTCATTACTTGATGAGTTTGTCTAAGTTTTTGAACCATTTTTGAGCTGACATGTAATGAAAATCGCCTCCCATTGTTAAAATGATGTTGTTTGTACGATAAGAAGTTGCTTGATTTTCTACATACTTTTTTAATTTTTTAAACTTTTATAGATAAGACAATAAAAAAATTAAAGAATTATAAATCGTGAAATTAATTATCTGAAAATTGATTAACTTACTTTAGTGTCAATGTTGTAATCAGGGCTGTTCTGATTATCGTTAAGTGGTTCTTCAAAGCAAAGATAATCATAACAGAATCCATCAGGCGGTGAATAGAGATTGTACAATACACCAGTAAATAATTCAGAATCGTCTAAATAAATAAAACTATTAAAACAATGTTGAGAATTGAAGATCTTTGAATAAAATTCAATACCCAAAGTATCGCTTGACTTCCAAATCATTTCCATTGTTTTATGTTCCTTTCTCTTATCTTTATCACGATAATCGAGTCGTCCAAAAAACATGCCGTCGTATCCCATTTTAGTGAAAAGTGAAGCTTGTTCTCGTGAGTGACCGAATGGATCAATTTGCCATCCAATCTTCGGACGGCCACACTCACCAAATGTGTCATTTAAGAGACGCAAGCCCCAAGTGAACTGATCAATAATGCTTTGATAATGAGCAGCAGCTTCATCATTCATACTCCAAGCACCTCCAATAAACTCCAATCGACCTTCATTTACAAGCATCTTAACTTGATCCTTCAAGTCGTCTGTTTGTTCGTTCCACCACTTAAAGAAAAACGCCGACTCAACATAAATAAACTTTCTTTTTGGATCATGCAGCAATCCTTGAACGACAGTGTCTAATATGAATTGAACACCTGCATTCTGATGTCGTAAATTGGCTGTGTTTATCAAATAAAAATATAATTATTAAAGCAGCTTAACAGAAGTGCTTAACTATTCATGTCAACTTACTTCCATAATAATATTGATCAACTGTCTTCAACCAGCCAACATCATCGTGTGTATGTGAAACTATGTGGACATTTAACAAGTCAGGAATTATCTTTGGACATGACTTTGAAATAAGTTTTAAAATATTCTCTTAAATCTTTGATTTTAATGTAAACCAATTTTTAAATTACTTCATAACCGCAAAATTTGTAATCAAATTCATGATTTGATTCCATCGATTTCTGAAAATAAATTTAAAAGTTTTTCAATGTTTCATGGTATCTTAAAGTAAGTTTTATGTCTTCTAAATGTCCTCATTATATGATTCATTTGTGTGTTTTTTGTGAGCTGTTTATTTTCATAAATTAATGAAATTAATTTTAATATTTTTGCTGTCTCATTCACAACTCAAATGTCAACAAAAGTGAATGAAAAAAAACGAAAATGAATATTGAAAGCGACATGCTAACGTAATTAATTTGATACTTTGCTTAAAATCACTCTGAGAAATGTTTCTGATGTGTCGAAGAATGTAAGAAATCTGTCAGCAATATGATGTAATGCAGTGATTTTAATTTGCAGCATCTTCAAGGTATTTTTTTGAAGGTGGATAATTTCAGGAGATTCCAGCTGCAAATTCATTTATTTCAAATCCTAAGAAAATTTGTCTTGTGAAAATAAGTAAGTAACTTAGTTACTGGTACATCCCATGTTGCGTCAAATGAAACGGCGCAATCCGCAATCCTCTTACAATATTTTTCTAAGAAGATCTTCATTCATCGACTTTTCTTCTCTTTATTTTAAGTCTCTTTGCCTTTTTTAAAAATATCTTTTACAAACAACAGTTAACTATACAAAAGCCATCGTTTTAACAAAACTCAAAGAGAATGAGAAAAAATATTTTTTGAACACGTGCAAAAATTGTTTTGAAGTTGAATTTGTGATGAATGAAAAATGGTTGTCGGGAATGAGAGCATGAAAAGGAATTCCATTTCATGTCTCGTATATATATAAAGAAAAAGGGATTTCGAAGAGATTGAAGTTCGTAGAACTTTACAGTTATTACGTTATTGAAGTAAAATTTCATTCATAAAAAATTCTCTTTTGCTAATGCATACAAAAAATGTGGACATATGGATTGCTGTTACCTTACAAATAAATCCACGAGCATTACTTTAATTAAAATGGCTTTTTTTTCTTCATTCCCCGATGCAATGAATCGACATGGAATTTTCTTGATTAAAATTCCTAAACTCCCAACATCTCCCTCACACTCACGAGAAATGTTTTCACCCACAATGAGCTGACTAATGTTGGGGTGTGTCTTATTTCTGGTTAACGATATTATGCTTTGCTATGGCTTTAGCTTTTAACATGCCTTGCAGTCAATGCTCTTTGTGATAGTACGAGTATTATTATTCTTAAATGTATTCATGATGTAACATAACAATATTCAACTTAGGGTGAAATGATTAAATTTTTTCTTTACCCTTCACTAGCTTTTCCTTTTTCATTCAACGTTGTTTTTCATTTTTCCTCCCTTAGCTTAGTTTGAGAAGAAGCAACGAAGAGGATTTGTTGGAAAATTAAAGTAAATGAAAATCAATGTTTGGCTTTAGGGATGTTTTATTCCACTTTACGGTGTCATCCGCTTTGTTTGGGTTCTCGATGGTGGAAAGTTATAAAAACGACAAAATGATGATGACACTGAGATCGATCGGGAGGGGACAAGAGTGATGAGAGGTGCTGTGAAGCTTTGTAAATAAAAAAAAATGCAATATATTTTTATTTAAATATTCAAAACGTTTCTTCTTTTAATCAAATAGGCATTCTTTATTAAGTAAACAAAAGTATTTCGTCTCATACGTATCGCTAACAATTCGCTGCGTTTGCTTTTCACTGTTCACACTTGAAATCATTTCGAAATGCACAAAACATGTTGCGAACACTTGGACGAAAAAAAAACAAGCATTAAGTTAGTCGTGTTTCTCATATTTCTCCTTTTCTCTCCAGTCTGCTGTAATATTATGATGTGATTTTGCAGATATATGAATAAGGAGAATAAAAAAGAGGGATGGTTATGAGTATTATGACGTTTAATGACTTCACGGTCTTTCAAACACATCATGAAATGCCTTATTGCCTTATGAATAATAATTAAATGACATTTTAATTACAAACATTTTATTATTGCGTTTTTCTTTGCTTTTGCGACATTTCGTCTTTGAATGGAATTTATTTTGCTTTCTTAATTTTTATTAAACACGTGCTCGTTCAGTGTTCAGCAAACGAAAGGAAGAATAAAAAAATGAGTGATCAGCGATATCTCATTCTTATATATGAATCGGAAGCAAATGCAACTAAAAAAGAGAAGATTGCTTATGTTTTTCACTTAACAAGTCGTTAATTATCCAAGCGCCGAGAATATTTTATTTATTATGAAAATGACTTTAGTGCTTCTTTCAACCGCCAGAATCTTCAATTGCGTTAAACTGTAGAGTCATAAAAGATTTTGCAATTTTGCTTTCACTAAAATTTGTCATCGCAACCGCATATGTCTCGATTTTCTCTCCGTATTCAATGCAGCTGACAAACAAAATTTAATGAAAAATAAAAATAAACTCATCTAATCATTGGAAATTTGTTTACATTGGATGTGATTCTCGGCAGGATATATCTGGGGTGACGAATTGATCATGCGAATGAAGTGTAAATATGGATGGATCGTCGTCTAACGAGTATCATTTACAACGAAAATATGTGAATCTGATTCTATACGGTCAAAGATGTTTATTTATGTTTAGTTTATTCGAAAAAATTCTTCTCCTTGGTTCTTATTTTAAACACCTGAAAAGTTTCCCAAATATTGGCAATCAGTCATGATTAATTGTCATTAATGTTTTGTTTCTGGATTTATTCAATTTTTTTGTCTTCTTATACAGATTAGAATTGAAGTTATTGTAAAAAATTGAAGGGAATGCTTTTAACAAGTTATTGTTATTCATTATGTGACGCAAAATCTTCAATGCGTCATTATAAACATGTCAAGAGTCTTAATACTCACCAAGCTACCTAAAGCCGAATGTATTTGTTTCTCGGCTTCCATCAATTTAATTTTAATTAAACATGAAGTATCAATTTATCTTCTACTGTGACATAAAGTCACAAGCAAATGAAACTTGAAACCGCTTAAGCAAATTGAAAATCAATAAATTAATCTTTCTTCGTCTCAGAGATTTATGTGAATCAATAAATATCAACCACAAGTCGTGAAAAAAACACACTTGAAGCACTTTAGATGAGTCGGAAAGATTTTTATTAATTACAAATTTCAATTAAAACTCCCGTACACTTTTATGTACGTTAATCATCAAATATGTTATGTTTTGTAATTTAAAGGAACATTTTTAATGTGTTTGAAATATTTATGACTCTTGCTGACTGACATTAAATTGATTCAGAAAAGAATTTTTTTTATTATTATTTCAAACCTAATTTGACCAGGAAATGTTTGATTGTTCAATCTTTACTTTGTTTCTGATTCTTCGATTATTTAAGAGAGATAAACAATGCGAAAGTTGAGTGACTTTCTCATTAACTCTAACAACGTGTTCATCATTAAAAAAACTTAAATTAAACAGTGAAGAAAAACAATCTCGATGACATTAAAAATATTTATTTTCGTTTAAGCGAAGCGCTCGAATTATCTGAATGAATTTTTATAATGACTCGACAGCAGTGCATCGTTCACCCTAATCATGAAAGCGAATTGAGTCGCTTAATGAATGTAATAATATTTGTTAAATTGTTAATGCCTATAATATCGGATTACACTGACGATTTCACTATTTACTCTATTGAAGTTTCATTAAGTTGAGAACGAGGAGACAAAAACAAAATCAACATTAATCTGTTGTAATCTTTTGTTTTCTTTTGCAAAATAATTTAATTTTTCATAGTTGGACAATTGAAATTAATTGGAAAGCAAAAGACTTTTGAGAAAAAAATTAATTCGAAACAAAACATTGAAGTCAATTGAAAGTTGATTTCAAGTTGTTGTGTTTTAGCAAATTGCGCAAGCCTTTTTAATCGCAAAAAAATATCACAAATTGACCATGAACCTCTTCAACTTTGTCATGAAATTGCGACAGAAGGCAAATTAAAAATTATCAACAAAGCTTTGCCTCATCATTGTTCGTACAAATGTCATAAATTTTTCTTTTTTCGATGACGAGAAAATCGAGGCGATGTTATAATTGAGAAATCATGTTTATCAGTTTCATCTCCCATGATAAATTTGTTAACAACAACGCATCTGACTCATTTTTTGTCGAGAAGCACATCATATCAATGTATCTAAAATGTTTCTAATTTTGTTATTTTGTAAGAGTGATGAACTCCAACCAGCTTGAGTTCAAGAGTTTGATTGAATTACTGATACTGATTTCGCGTTGCATCTGCAATATATTGAGTCATTGCACTAAACATCCACCAGTTCAATGTAAAATTAGAAAACAGATTTAATTTGTTTAAAAAAATTGAACAGACTGCAAACACATTTTCAATTCATTCGAGTTCCCTTCATTACTAGATGCGATGTTAACTTGCACATTGCTAATTTTTCTTTACTAGAAACAAGTCCAAACATTTGGATTTTTAACTTAGCTTCGTTGATTAATTTCGATATTGTTGTCGATTGAGGTAAGCTGTAAAGTAGACGACGACAAATAGAAAGCAATGAAATAAACATATGTTTGTATGTGCATTTATTTCCACGCTAGTTTTCTCTTTTCGTTCTTTTTTATGCTCCTCGGAGATTGCGAGTGATGAACGAGCTAAAGAATTGACAAAAATTATGTTCATTTGGGGAGTTCAAGACATGAGTTTTTAAAAATAGGTGAAAAGCGCTCGTCTGAAGGCTGAAGAAGGAAAACTATTTGTGACGAACATGTGTATCGAATGTTTGACGAGTTGTTTCAGCTGCATGAGTTATTTTCGCTTCTCCCCTCCCTGTTTGTCTCTAATTAGAATTGACTGATTCCTGGAACAGAAGAGAAGTATAAGGAAGTAACCTCGTGCCAGCAGCATCGCGAACGATTGAAATTAAAACCAACAGCATGATGCAATTAATTCATCTTTAATCCCGTTCTCGGGTGAAGGAAAATGTTTTCATCTCTTGAAGTTTTTATGTAAGAAACGACATGTGCATTTAATTCATCTCATAATTTAATAAACCTCCATGGTGCATTGATAGAAGCATCAAGTCGCTTTCAAACATGTGTCGTGAATTTGGATTAAGGAATTGAATAAAGTTTCTGTTCTTTTCGGTTTTGTCATTTAGGGTTTGTTAGTTGATTAAGCTTGAGCTTCTTTCTTTACTTTCTACTTGATTAATGTTAATCCAATAACTCTGATTGAAATAACAACAATGCAATTCTCAAAGACATTGAAAACATTTCATCACAATAGATTTCATTGTAAACTCCCATCTTAAGACTTTCATTTAATTAATAACAGATTTCAATTAGAAAGAAAATTTTCATTCATTTAATTTTTCCCGCAAGCTGAAGCTGCTTCAATGTCTTGTCATGATCCCACATGTTACAAAGCGAAATGAATTTTAATGAAATATGAACTATTGCTATGAAATGTTTGACCCTTTTATGAACCTAAAACAACATAAATCGAATAAAATGCGAGAAGGACACGTGCCCAAACAGTTCCTTAATGAAATGCAACATACTCATTAAGCAAATTGAACCATCTCGACGATCGATGTAAACGCAATTTCCATTCGATTGGTTTATTGTTGTTTCCATTAAAATAAATGAGAGTAGAAAATGTTCAAATATGACGCGTGTCGATCGTGTGTCTCGATTTTAATAAAATATGAACCTTGAACACGTTTCGATAAGACAACAAAAGACGAACTCGCCCCAATTATTTGCGTACTCAGTCAGGGAACGTTGTCATGTTTAAATTGGAATAACCAATGATGATGATTGTGATGAAAGGTTTCTATGAAATCATTAAAGCTATCAGGTTATTAAGTTGACTAATCAAAAAAAAAATCTAAAGTAAACTTTAAACTAAAATGTCTTGAAATTTTACAAAGAATCAAGCCACGTGCACAATGAAGGATTAGAAATGTAATGCATTTTAATTAGATTCGTTGTTTCATAAGTTTCCTTTCTCAAGCTATGCATTGCGTCATTTATTCCCCCTTTCTACACAACACGACAAAAATGCACGTGATCAAAGTTCGATTTCTTTCATTAAAATTCAAATTAAGGAAATGTGTAGAAGAAAAATTTCCATAAAACGATAAAACATTGTGCATGTTTCAGACCGGATTTTCCGTTTTCTATGTTTTAAAATCATTTTTTATTCCACACACTGAACGGAAATTGGGTGAATTTATGAAAGTTTTGTTGTTTCATTTCATCATCATAATATTTAAGTAAGTTCATTCGATGAGACTGCAATTTATGTTTATGCAACTGTCTGGAATAAAAGAAGCTCAACTTCGTTGGTTTAGAAGCTCATTTGGTCTCACAATGGTAATGATCATGACGATCTGTGATCCAGATGTAATTAAAAATAGATAGAAAGACATAAGATATTCGTCACAGATTGCTTCTGTTTTTCATGATTTAGGAAAAACTAAAAATATCGTTGGAAGGAAAAATTGTCAAACTGAGAGAACAATTTGAGTGACGCAGGGAGGTGAAGTTATCCACCACATGGCTTAAAAGACCTCGTCATGATATATTTCAGACTGCGGCAAGATATTTGAGATTTTCTTCTTTTACTGAATTTGTTACTAAAATTTTTGTATCTAATCAAAACTGATTGTATTGAGAGTTTCAATTTTAGTTTAAATTATTTGAATTATGGCCACATCCATGCTATTCTTCCTTATCGATACGTTCCTTAAGCATCAATTCCTTTTACATTTATTGTTTTATATGGCTTCAGGAGAGTCCCGGAAACGTCATTGTTCCTTGTAAAACAAGCAATTTGATGTAAATGTTTGATAATTTTAAAATCCTTTGAAAACTTTCAAATTTCAGGAAGCAACTCACGTTCATTGCGTTATCATCGTCAAGATGATATTAAAAAATCTCTTGAGATGGGATTTGAGTTGCATGCAATCATTTTAATGACTCAAAGTTAGCTTTGGGGTAGGATGGAAATTTATTCCCTTTCTTGTACGTTTTTGAAGTCGTACAAAGTAAGAACAAAGATCTAACATTGCTTTTCCTGTTTGCAACACACGTCATACAACTATGAAGTTCTAGGAATGCGCTGCTGTTGTTCGAATTCATTTCGTTTATCGTTGGAATCTTTATTGTGCGCCTTCTGCCGGAAGCCAAAGGAGAAGTTTCGAGGGAATCTAGAAAACCAAGCGATTTTGTCATTGAGAATAAGAAGAATAGAAGATTGAAATAAATATTATCGTTTTGCAATCGTTACAAGCAGCACGAAATTAACGTCCACGTTGTCACTTCAATGTGCAACTAAATTTGAATCAAAACATATTCGTGGCGTGGCGCAGTTTAATTTTTAAATTAATGTGATCTTTTACAGCTTTTACAGCCGCAAGCTGTTAATTTAAATCACACGATGCGTTGTTTAAAATCAGAGTAGAGACAAAAAAATTAATTCGATGTGACAGAATCTTGAAGTCGACGATGAAAAATTATTTTTATTTGTGTAACTTTTTCATCTTTTAGCACATCAGCTTTAATGTTTATCACAGGGAAAAAATCGATGTTCTATCCGACGACGAAGCACTCGGTTGTCAAGGATACAAAATTTTCATTCAGGAAAGACGCAGATGTAAGGAAATTCATTCGAGAATTGAGCAAACTTCTCCCCTTCAATTTTGGAGCGTAAGCAAGGAAAAATGGTGAACAGGAGTCGTCATGCGCATTGATGTTCTCAAACATACATAAAAGAGGATACCATCATTGAAAATGGATACTTTATCGATCCAAGCTTGTCTTCATTGTTCGTTTTTAGATGCGTTGGCTAAGCGGTGGTTAATTTTTCATGAGTCCACAATCATGAAAATTCGGGAAAACATAACAAGCATCAAATGAACAAGAACACAAAGTCCCAGTAATCTGCATTGAAATCCTCTTAAAAATGATAACACCATGAAAATATGATGAACATAAATATGCTTTTATTCCCCTTTCCGAAAGTCGGAAGACAAATTTCCATTTTTCACCCTCGCTTTTCACGCATCCATGGAAAATTATTGACTTGAACTCAACCGAGCACATAAAGCAATGTATCAGGAGAATCTCAATAGTAATCTTAGGATAAATAAAAGGAACTTTTCAATGACTTCATTTCAATGTTTCGTTGATTTGAAATTGAAGAAAAAATATTTTAAATTAAAATTGGGTATGTGACAGAACCTAAAATTATCCCCCATTTGTCCTTTTCATTGCGATTTTTACATTGTTACACAATATAGAGAGAATAATATAAAATTGTAATCTTAACAACCAGCACGTGCAACAACATTTCTGAATCGAGACACTAATGAGATGATTTCGATCTTCCCATTCTCGTTTTGTGTATATCGAAATTATATCGTTGCGTTACGGTAGTAAGTAAGCTTGATATATGAAGATTTTAATGTTTTGTGACATTTATTGGATGGTGCGCACTATGATTCAACTCTTTATTGTAACTGTGGTGACGACACTTTGATTCCATTGACCTTTTGTGTCAGTAATTGTACTGCTTTTGTCATAAGTCGTAGTAAATAAATAATTATTTAAATGTTTAAGTACAGATTTAATAGCGCATTTAATCGCCAGGTGCAACATTTGTCAGCGACACCAATAAATCATGTTTAACATTTCTTTTACAATTTAATTATACAAGTGAAGAGAAAAGAAAGTTGCAAATGTTGTGTTCGCCTTATAAGTTCATATATTAAATATTATGAAGAGAAATGACAAGTTTTGTTATTTTTTTTCTTGTTTTTATGTTCAGGTTCCATTAATATTGTCGACTTGTCGCCATCAATGAATTTATTTAGGTTCATGGCAATAATAAATGATTAAAGTACGTTGCTTGAGATCTTTTCAATTGACTTTATTTATCAATGTACTTTGTTGTCGATATGTTTGTGATGTAAATAAAAGCTATGCGAGAATTGAATTCGAAACTAAAAGAAAATTGCGTGAAAATTATTGTTCGAGAATATAAATGAATGTGGAGTCAATTACCTTGTGCTTTTAACTCATAAGTAATATCTAAGCTCGTTCATCAAAAGTATTCACTTTCAATTGACATAACTTTTGGACAAAACTCTTTAGCAAGTTGTACTTAAGCAGTTGTTTGGTTTTTCCTTCATAGAAATTTCTTCGATACAGCGCTCCATGTATGAATAAAGTAAGAGTATTTCATGCTCTCCATTGCAGCTTTCACAGTTGAATTTAGAAATAATTTTGGAAATTTAATTACTCTTATGGGATAGAAAACGTCAATTGGCAGCGCATTGAAACCATGACAATTTCCTTTTTCGATCATTTCGCTTGTCTTTGTTGCATTACATAAGAGTTGAAGCAATCGAGTCATCAGTCCATTATTGCCCCAGCAAGTTTGATTGAAGTTTTGAATCATATCTTAACTGAATATTCGTGCCAATGAACTGTGTTCCAATTTCATGACTGCACTATTTACATTATCATCAGATTCAGCAAATACAAAGTTCTTTGGTAAGGAATTTAAGTTTCTTCTTAAAATGTCGTCAGTGTCTAGATATAATCCACCATACTTCCATAGAACTAGAAGCCTTAAAATGTCAGCTTTATGTTCAACAATTAATGGATTCGTAAAGTTTTCCGTTTTATTGAAACTTTCAAAGAAGCTTTTTCGGCAACTGTATTGGCGAGAAGAATATATTTTTCCGCGACTAAACTATTCCAAATCCAGATTATTGCGGAAAAATTATTCCATGCCAGAAAATTGCGGATATTTTTGAAATTTTTACCGTTAGAAATATCAAAGTAATAATTTAATTTTATGTTATTAAAATTAAATTCTACATGATTTAATGATTAAGATAAGAAATTATAAAGCTAAATACATTATATTTTCATTTCTTATCTCATTTTATAATTAAAATTAAAATTTACAAAATATTTTGTCACGCATTTAATTTTTAACGGTTATAAAATTTTAAAAATCGTTCCGCAATTTTCTGCCCGCAATAACATAAACCTGGAATGTTATTTTTTCATCTGTAATAATATATTCTTCTCGTATTGGCATCAAAATAGTTGATAATTACATTCTGATAAGATAAAATCGCTTGAATCGAACGAGGTTTGGGAAGAGTAAAAATATGTTCGAATTCGGGTTATTAAAAGCAGCTGATTCGATTGAACAAACTTGTCGTTGAGGTAATGTTACGTTTTCTATCTCATCAGAAACTTCAAAAAAATAAACTTTTCTCTCATTTCTTAATTTCTCCATTGCAATCAAAAAGTTTCCACTTTGAAAACGTTTATGATGAACACATCGACGCCTTTTTGAATGTTGAGTGATTTTATAATCCGAATTCTTGAAATTTATTATCAATATGATGCAAATTGAAATGATTATTATGTTTGATTATATGTTTTTATGATTATTGGTTCTTTAAATACTTCTTCATGCCTGATAAACTTTAGTTGAACTAATTTAAATGTGTAGGAAAATATTGCTGATAATTTCATATCACTGAATCATATCGATAACAACATATGCACATATACACAATTATTATCAGAATAAAACAACTTTGTGTTTAAAGGTGTGAAATTAACACAAATGATGTGTGGTTGTGATGGTTACAAACCTTGTAGATGATTTTCACTTCAGGTTTACAACCTTCCGGTTTGACACTCTTTAACGTTTTAGCTTTTTCCATAATATCATCATTGATAATTTTTGATCTTCTCATAAATAAAAAGCTACCAATTGCCAGTAAAAAAACTACAAAAAAATATTTGCAATACTTCTTCATGTTGTCAAAGATTGACTGAAACTAAAGTTATAAGCTAGCAAATTTAAAACCGAAAACAAATTTTCCTTTTATTTATCTAAAGTATGGTTCAGTATCATAAAGATTAAAAATCAAATTAATTATTTTCGTTATCATGACAATCGTTGATTGCACCACATGTTGATAGTAAAAAGTAATTCAGAAATATTCAGAATCTATTGTCATTACTTTTGGACAGAATTGTTTGGCTAATTGAATGTAAGCAGCTTTTTGAGTCTTTTTCAGTTTGATTCTTTTAGTCTTTGCATTCCAAAAGTGCACCGTAAGAGACTGTTCGACTATTTTCATGATAGAATCAGCCATTGAGTCATTCATTAATTGGTTATAATCGCTGAATGTCACAGGATAGCAAAAATTTTGAGGTAGAACATGGAAACCTTTACAATCTTCCTTAGCAACCATTTCATTGGTGTTTTTGGTGTTGCAAAGATCTTGAGCTACTCGTGTAATCAACAAAGGTCCATTCTGACTCCATTCATATCCTTTGAAGTTTTTTATCAAGTCATCAGCAAAAGTCGTCACAAGATGATTCTTATCGGCACTTTCAAAGCTCAATACAGTACCATTCATGTATTCTTCTGTCTCCGGACATGCAAAATTGTGTTCAACATGTTCATATTTTGTAAGGTTTTTATGAATTTTCCTTACTTTATATCATATCTGTTAAGTCACATCAATTTTATTTTATATGTTCGTCAATGACTGCATTGGTTTAAGATCGTAGGATCAATACCAGTTCATATCATTCCATGTTATGTAGAAATCATAATAATTAAGGCAATAAATAGAGATTTTTAAAACTTAAAAAACTCAACATGTCCAAGACTCTTTCTAACAATCCACCATATTTCCACAAAACTAAAAGTCTCAAAACATCAGATGTATGCTCGGTTAAATAAAAGGACTTTGAAAGTAGCTTTGATTCAATGAAATTTTCAAATGGAGTTTCATGAGAGAACTCATCAATGTTTATGTAATTTATGTTTACATTTGAATACGACATTATCGCTTCCAACACAGGAGTTCTTTTTAATTTTTGTAGTCGTTTTGGTGAAGAATAAATTAAGAAAATTCTTAGATTAGGATTTGTGAGTGCTGCTGACTCAATTGAACATGCTTGCCGTGCATTTAATGCAACTTCTGTTGATTTTCCAGTCTCAAGGAAAAATATATTTCTACCGTCTTTAAGTTTCACGCTAATTTTGTCAATGTTTTCATAACTAAAATTACTCGTAATATTTTGATCGATGTCATCACTTAATGTTAAACTTTTTTTCTGACTTATAATAGAATAACTAAGAATTAAAAATAATGAAAGAGTTAAAATGATTATAAGCAACTCTTTCCGACACTTCTTCATCATAACACGTTTACTCGACTAGTTAATGTACAAATGTTGTGATTCACACTGTGCACGTATTAGTCAGCGATAATTTTCAACAATACTTCAGTGATAAGAATTCAACACAAATGAAGAATGTTGACAAAACACTCGTGAGACGTTTGACTTTTATCAATGGAGAAGTGATTCTGAAATAAATTGAATACCTAATTGAAGCATTAAAAGAAATTTAATTTGCAAGACTAAAAAATTTAATTTTTATTTCTTTTTTCGTATTTTTTTATGTAAACTCGAGTTTAAGCGCTTTATGGTGTCATCGGGGTTTGACGTCAATAAAATTGTCGTCTAGCAGTTGTCAGTTGGTTGTCGTTTAACAGCATCCGTATTCTCCAGCACCACAGTTGCCGCATCCCCAGTTCTCTTCCTTTCCGCATCCTTGTGAGCCATTGCAATTCCAGAAAAATGGATACATCTTGATTTTTTAGTTGGTTTTTAGAAGTTTCTTAGTGAAATTCAAAAGTTAACTGATAACTATTCGGTAAGAACTTCAAGCTTTTATACTAAAAATTATTGTCATTAGTGTCGCATCGTTAGTCATTTCATAGATTTTGATGAGTTAATTGATCGATTTTTAAATCTAATTCGTAGAAAATATTTTTCATGCAATTAAATATTTCAACCTTTACACCTTTACAATCTTCCTTAGCAACCATTTCATTGGTGTTTTTGGTGTTGCAAAGATCTTGAGCTACTCGTGTAATCAACAAAGGTCCATTCTGACTCCAGTTATATCCTTTGAAGTTTTTTATCAAGTCATCAGCAAAAGTCGTCACAAGATGATTCTTATCGGCACTTTCAAAGTTCAATACAGCACCATTCATGTATTCTTCTGTCTCCGGACATGCAAAATTGTGTTCAACATGTTCAAGACTCTTTCTAACAATCACATCAGTGTCAAGATACGTCCCACCATATTTCCACAAAACTAAAAGTCTCAAAACATCAGATGTATGCTCGGTTAAATAAAAGGACTTTGAAAGTAGCTTTGATTCAATGAAATTTTCAAATGGAGTTTCATGAGAGAACTCATCAATGTTTATGTAATTTATGTTTACATTTGAATACGACATTATCGCTTCCAACACAGGAGTTCTTTTTAATTTTTGTAGTCGTTTTGGTGAAGAATAAATTAAGAAAATTCTTAGATTAGGATTTGTGAGTGCTGCTGACTCAATTGAACATGCTTGCCGTGCATTTAATGCAACTTCTGTTGATTTTCCAGTCTCAAGGAAAAATATATTTCTACCGTCTTTAAGTTTCACGCTAATTTTGTCAATGTTTTCATAACTAAAATTACTCGTAATATTTTGATCGATGTCATCACTTAATGTTAAACTTTCTTTCTGACTTATAATAGAATAACTAAGAATTAAAAATAATGAAAGAGTTAAAATGATTATAAGCAACTCTTTCCGACACTTCTTCATCATAACACGTTTACTCGACTAGTTAATGTACAAATGTTGTGATTCACACTGTGCACGTATTAGTCAGCGATAATTTTCAACAATACTTCAGTGATAAGAATTCAACACAAATGAAGAATAGTAACAAAACACTCGTGAGACGTTTGACTTTTATCAATGGAGAAGTGATTCTGAAATAAATTGAATAATTGAAGCATTAAAAGAAATTTAATTTGCAAGACTAAAAAATTTAATTTTTATTTCTTTTTTCGTATTTATTTATGTAAACTCGAGTTTAAGCGCTTTATGGTGTCATCGGAGTTTGACGTCAATAAAATTGTCGTCTAGCAGTTGTCAGTTGGTTGTCGTTTAACAGCATCCGTATTCTCCAGCACCACAGTTGCCGCATCCCCAGTTCTCTTCCTTTCCGCATCCTTGTGAGCCATTGCAATTCCAGAAAAATGGATACATCTTGATTTTTTAGTTGGTTTTTAGAAGTTTCTTAGTGAAATTCAAAAGTTAACTGATAACTATTCGGTAAGAACTTCAAGCTTTTATACTAAAAATTATTGTCATTAGTGTCGCATCGTTAGTCATTTCATAGATTTTGATGAGTTAATTGATCGATTTTTAAATCTAATTCGTAGAAAATATTTTTCATGCAATTAAATATTTCAACCTTTACACCTTTACAATCTTCCTTAGCAACCATTTCATTGGTGTTTTTGGTGTTGCAAAGATCTTGAGCTACTCGTGTAATCAACAAAGGTCCATTCTGACTCCATTCATATCCTTTGAAGTTTTTTATCAAGTCATCAGCAAAAGTCGTCACAAGATGATTCTTATCGGCACTTTCAAAGTTCAATACAGCACCATTCATGTATTCTTCTGTCTCCGGACATGCAAAATTGTGTTCAACATGTTCATATTTTGTAAGGTTTTTATGAATTTTCCTTACTTTATATCATATCTGTTAAGTCACATCAATTTTATTTTATATGTTCGTCAATGACTGCATTGGTTTAAGATCGTAGGATCAATACCAGTTCATATCATTCCATGTTATGTAGAAATCATAATAATTAAGGCAATAAATAGAGATTTTTAAAACTTAAAAAACTCAACATGTTCAAGACTCTTTCTAACAATCACATCAGTGTCAAGATACGTCCCACCATATTTCCACAAAACTAAAAGTCTCAAAACATCAGATGTATGCTCGGTTAAATAAAAGGACTTTGAAAGTAGCTTTGATTCAATGAAATTTTCAAATGGAGTTTCATGAGAGAACTCATCAATGTTTATGTAATTTATGTTTACATTTGAATACGACATTATCGCTTCCAACACAGGAGTTCTTTTTAATTTTTGTAGTCGTTTTGGTGAAGAATAAATTAAGAAAATTCTTAGATTAGGATTTGTGAGTGCTGCTGACTCAATTGAACATGCTTGCCGTGCATTTAATGCAACTTCTGTTGATTTTCCAGTCTCAAGGAAAAATATATTTCTACCGTCTTTAAGTTTCACGCTAATTTTGTCAATGTTTTCATAACTAAAATTACTCGTAATATTTTGATCGATGTCATCACTTAATGTTAAACTTTCTTTCTGACTTATAATAGAATAACTAAGAATTAAAAATAATGAAAGAGTTAAAATGATTATAAGCAACTCTTTCCGACACTTCTTCATCATAACACGTTTACTCGACTAGTTAATGTACAAATGTTGTGATTCACACTGTGCACGTATTAGTCAGCGATAATTTTCAACAATAATTCAGTGATAAGAATTCAACACAAATGAAGAATGTTGACAAAACACTCGTGAGACGTTTGACTTTTATCAATGGAGAAGTGATTCTGAAATAAATTGAATACCTAATTGAAGCATTAAAAGAAATTTAATTTGCAAGACTAAAAAATTTAATTTTTATTTCTTTTTTCGCATTTTTTTATGTAAACTCGAGTTTAAGCGCTTTATGGTGTCATCGGGGTTTGACGTCAATAACATTGTCGTCTAGCAGTTGTCAGTTGGTTGTCGTTTAACAGCATCCGTATTCTCCAGCACCACAGTTGCCGCATCCCCAGTTCTCTTCCTTTCCGCATCCTTGTGAGCCATTGCAATTCCAGAAAAATGGATACATCTTGATTTTTTAGTTGGTTTTTAGAAGTTTCTTAGTGAAATTCAAAAGTTAACTGATAACTATTCGGTAAGAACTTCAAGCTTTTATACTAAAAATTATTGTCATTAGTGTCGCATCGTTAGTCATTTCATAGATTTTGATGAGTTAATTGATCGATTTTTAAATCTAATTCGTAGAAAATATTTTTCATGCAATTAAATATTTCACCACCTCAATCAATAATGATTTGAAGATTGCATAACCCAATATCATTCATTAGAAATTTTTTTAATCACTTCGCTTTGGCTTCTTTAATAAAACTTTTTATCAACAGTGGAAATATTTGCTTCACTTAAGTGAATAAAATTAAGAAAAAAAACTTTTTCCATCTTTCAACCACATAAAGTAATAAAATAACTTGACTTGTGATATTTATTTATTTCTTCTCAAGTCTCTTGATTGTCTCTGATTTTTTATTACTTTTCATTGCAGCCACCTGCATAACTTGCAATGTGTCTACATTATTTATTTATCTAAGCACATAAAAAAGCAATCAATCTTTTAATTTCCGCAAGCTTTTAATGAAACTTCACTAACTCGTCTGTCATGTTGATCATGAACGTCAGAAATGTTTATTTTATTAAAAATAAATATCTAATCATTCAATTGATGTCACAAAGCAAAATGTTTTAAAGATGATATCATTGATGTCTGACTCATCACATGAAGATCATTAAAGAATCTTCTTGACAAGCAAGCAAATTTCACGTGACTATAAATTTAGAATTGAAATGAAATTTAACACATGTCGTTTTATTGTTTGTAAATGACAGAAGAAATTGTCTTTAATTAAACTTTTTTAAATTTTTTGGTTTTTCAGTTATAAATCAATAGTCGACGACTTGAAGAATTATTGACTTTATCTGATGCCTTGCTAATATATTATTCAACATGTGCTGATTTCAAATAAGTAAAGCAACGGTAAAGCTCATACATTGCATATTATTTATTTATTCAGCAGAATTGCTGAAAGATTTGAATTTTGAAGAATATTTGTGTGAAAAATTGCATAAACAAATTCCTTTTTTGATATAACGCAATCATCATCACTGACAAACGCTTATCATCAGCCAATTGAAATGTTCTGTCTTTTATCACTTACAACAAATGATCATCCCATCAACAAAAAGAGAGAGAGAGAAGGAAGATTAACTCGTTAAATAATTTAAAATTCAAATTAAAAATTTATTTTGACGAAATTTAAACCGATAAAAAATGCCGTGACATGTCATGCAAAATGTGCAGGCGACAAGGATTTTTTTAAATTTGAATTTTCAAATCTTGTTTGCTGTTCCTTTCCTTAGCGTTTTGTTTTTTTTTATTCAGAAAACTAACAAATCAATTTACGCCTCAAGCCATTAAAAAATTCATGAAAATTCACACAGCTGTGCGGCAACGATTTGCCTCAGCGATCTCTTTAAGTGCCTCTTCTTTAGACATCTATTCGTTGCTTTGTTACTTTTTCGGTATTTTTAACTTGCACGTGTGAATTTCTCGGATTTATTGTCGTGGAAAAAAAAAAGATGAAAAGAGAAGGAAAAGACCTTAGAAAAGAGAGTTGAAGACAATTTGAACCCCGGCCGTGATAATTCTCTTCGACGAATGCTTTTCCATACGATCTACTTTAATGATTTCGTGATCACACGTGGTGTTTTTTTATATTATTTGTCTAACTATCTTTAGTTAGCATTGAATGGAAATGTTTTTGTTCCGTTCATGTTTTATAACTCAGCTTGTCATTACAAATCATAATTTACTTAAAATATTGCGAAATATCTTTGAACTGAAATATTAAAAATAAAAACAACGTGAAAATTATTTTTCTTAAATTTTATTCATCAAAAGCATTTCTAATGTCGAATCTTAAATAAATTAAATATAAAATTTCTGCATCAAACACCGTTCACTGTAAAGAAATGAGAAAGATTTCGATTAAAATTTTTGATTTTATTAAATGACGTTTAATATTTTACTTCTTTAGTTTTATCAGATAAATTTGTAATTTTATAATCAAGAATATTCAGGTGAAACACGGATTACATATTACATCATTTAAAGTTAATTTGAACGAAGATTTCAAATGATTTTTACCTTTTTCAGAAGTGCTGAAATTGCAGTTGATCATGTAAGTTTCTTATTGTTAGTCATCAATCTGTGGTGATAAAAGAAAGCATGAGCATTAATTTAATCATCTTAAAGCAAGTAAATAAAGAAGAAATTGTAACTTACCTTTCAAAGTAATAATTTTAGGGACTTGAGGGAGACGTCGAATTCACAAAAATGTGCTGATCTGATAAGAATAAAAGCTAAAATTACTTATTTGGCCACAAAAAAAATATTTAAAAGTTAATTTAAGAATTTTCAGTAACAAGTTATAATTCAATGAAAATTATTATAGGTGTCCAAAGGTCTTCGGAATTTCCTTATCATCACAACATAAATATTTCTAATCTATTACATCAATGTCATTAAACTCACCTTAACATTATTGCAAAAGTCCAAATCAAAAGGAAAGAAAATCTGAAAGAAAATCAAATTTTCATTTTTAAACATTTTCGGAATATTCGAAAGAAAAACTAAAATTTTTATAATAATTTCAGTAGAAAATTATAATTCAAGATAAATTATTAATGGTGTCCAAAGGTCGTTGGTTTAGTGGAATCATCAGAGTTAATTTTTCAAAAACTTTTTTCTAAATGAAAACAAAAATTTACCTTAATAAAAATAGAAGAAAAATCACAAACGATGGCGACGACTTCTTAAAATGCGTAACGTGTTCGAATATCTTCAAGTTTCTTCGCCACTTCCAAAGCACTTCGACTCAAATCTGTCGCTATACTTTTCTGTTTGACGGGATCTAAAGCTGTAAACTGCTCGCATAAGTCACCATCAAGCACATTCTTGACTGGGTAGTAGAAGCAACGATAACTCAAATGATCTCGTCCACAAAGTGGTGGATTCTCATTCCTCATATGCATTTCAAGATGTTGAAAGAAATCAAAATCTTCTCGACTCGTAAATGGCACAAGTGCGCCAACTGTTCCACTAAGCGTCGTATAAATTAATGATTCAGGTCCACCAGGAATTAACATCGCTTTTTGAAGCGACATGACAATCTCACCAACATGGAATGTGATGATATTTTCAGCTTTCTGCGATGCTCCATTTAACAATCCACGATCCCATAAAGCTTTGTTTCCTGTCGGATCTTCATCGACATCATCATTCACTGTATGAGGTAAACGAAGGATTGCTATGTTGCCAAACTTATCAGCTGTTGCAATTGTATCAAAGTCAAGCATCGTTGTTGTTGTTATCCAACGTGGAAATGTGTCATCAGCAAAGATTATCAATTGATTCTCATTACGCTTATATCGAATACAATAAACACTTTCCTGAACATCTGATACGAAGACGCGTTGACCACGTGTCTGAATATTAACAATTTGATTTGGTATGTGCTTGTTTTCACACTTTCTCAACATTTTCTTCTTTCCTAAATCGTATATTCTTAAGATCTTTCCCACACCAACAAGTAAGCGTCCTTGAAATGGCGCAATTGCACCTGGTATGTCTTCAATCTCTGTTCGATGAATAAGATTTAATGTTGCACATTGATTATCAACACGATACAAGTCAATGTAACCACAACCAGCTTGACGTGGATTTAATTGCATGTCTTTAACAACACCAACTGCAAGATAATTCTTTCCATCTTGACCGAATTTCACCAAGCACATAGACATGATGGCTTCGTTTTGTTCAAGTTGAACTTTGAACAATGTTTGACCGTTCACTGGATCCATGATTCTGATTTGTGACGCCCACATGCCATAGCCAGCTTTTGGAGCTGAGAAAGTATCTTCAGGCAGCACTTCATTGATGAACGCATCAGCCAACTCTTGAGCGAGTTCCTGTTCATCATCACCAGCAGCTTCAATCATCTCCTGTGCCATTTGTCGCTTTCTCATTGTTTTCGTTGCTTCAGTGTAAGCGTTATGATCTGTTTCCGAGATAATTAAGCGCGATGATTCGTTGTGAATCACTAATCGTTTTGGCGTGTATTCAAGTGGAAATGAGATTTGATTGAAAACAGCCCCAAGCTTCTCAAGTGCAAGAATTCTTAAAGTGTTTGTAGAAATTGCAACGATACCTTCTGAACATTGTTCCGATGAGAATCCCGATGCATACTCGAGTGTTTCATAGCTAAGTGGGGTAAGATGGAAACGATTTTGATAATAATAACTCAACCAACTTCGACTTGACATTGCAAGGACTGCTTCGTTTCCTTGAATCTTTATTCTGAAGAGTTTTACTGGGCGTGATCCAAGATATCTTGTTCTTGTGTCGGTTAAATCACCCGAGATTGGATCTAAGACTGTTCTCAACAACACGCCATTTTGCAATCCAATGTTAAGATAAATTGATCCATTTCCACCCTTTCTTATTGTTCCATCTTCATCTTCTTCACTTTCGCCTATTCCCATCTCAACAAGACAAAGTGACTCAGCTTGTGACGGTAATGCTTGCATTGATCGTGGCTGAAGACAGTCTTGACGATGCAATGAAATAATTCTCACTGTACTGTCAGCTAAACCAACAGCAAGAAAATGGGTTTGTAACTCTCCTGGCTTTATTGATCCTAAAGCCATACAAAGCACATCAGCCATCATCTTTTTTCGCTCGGTAAATTCATTAAGTTGACCAGTCTGTGATAAATTAAAAAAAAATTATTATTATAAAAGATCAAAGAAATGTTTGTTAATTATTTGACATTTCTTTTTGAATATCTTCAGAACTGCAGGACACCATTTAACATTCTTCATATTTAATTCAAGTGTACATGTTAGGTGTTCATCATAAGAATAAATAAATTTGATCAGGATTAAATTTAATCTAATCCTTTAAAATTGGCGTTAGATCAGCGTCGGATTAACTCGCGACTAAAAATCTCGATAATCGACACAAATCTCAAATAAAACTCAAAATTTAAATAAATCACTCACCGGATCCATTTCGAAGTAAACAAGTTCACCTCCTGATAAAGCTATTACAACTTGTCGTTGATTAACAGCACATTTAACAATTGTTTTCTTATTTGGTGCTTTCCATTCATTCACACGTCTATCAGCACGAATATGACGAATGCCATCGGGATAAACTTGAACAAGAGCATCATCACCAAGAGCTGAACAACAAAGTGTCGGTGTTGTTCCCAAGAAACCGCTGTCTGTCACTTCTTCAACTGTATCGCCGATACTCAACACAAGTGTTGCATTTACGAACGACACGATGATGTAAGCATCGAATTCATCTGAAAAGATAAAATATTCGAATCTTTGTTTAGTTTTACTTATTTAAGAATTTTATTAAGGAGAATAAATTCAAATCAGGGATTCTCGTCACTTCCATTTGCTTCCGTCTCAGTCTTCTTCGTCTCTTACCTTCGGTTTCTTTAAATCCAATTTTATTATCCATCATTTCATGTGATCACAAAACATGCGATCTGAAAAAGAAGAAAACTGGTGTTGATGATTCGAGTTCTTGATTTTTTTTTTAATTTATTTTGGAATAAGATCAACAAAGCACCAGTTTCTTTAATTAATCATGTTTTACAATTTACAAAGACTAATTGAAAGTAGAAATAAATATTTTAAGTGAATACTAACCGTCAACACGTTTCTTGATGGACCAAACGGAGAGGGGAATGCCAGGAAGTTCTGACACTGCCATTTCAGATACTTCAAGTCCATGTCGCAAAACTCTTATCGACGATCTTGGTCCACGTCCACATGCTAAATATAATTGTGGCGTATCTTCATTAGCTAAATCAGCAACATGACAACCAAGAATTGGTGCGTATGAAGGAATCTCATCAACCATCACAAGATTCTTAAGTGGTCGTGGGGCAAAGAAGAAAGTGTCGCCTTCCTCAAGTGGCATTGCAGAACTGAATTCCGGTTCTTCTTCATCGTCACCAAGATGAGCAATTTGATATAAAAAGTGATTACCAAATTCACAAGCAACGAAAAGAAATCCAGATTTGAGCACTGACATTGAAGTTGCCGGCGGAACTGTGTCAAAATATTTTAATTTAATAGCAGACACAGCTTCTTCATTCATATCGAGTGTGACTTTAAAAATGTCGCCTTGTTCTGTCTGCAGTAGAAAGAAGAACATTGACTTAGTTCGATGTGTTGCTGAACAAATGAAAATCATTCCTCGTTCAGGATCGTCGAGATCATTTCGTCGTCTTGGAATTGGACAACGAATGTCAGCTTGAGCGCCAGTATTTTTGTACGTGAGGTAATTTTCTGAGCAGATGAGGACACCCGATGGACCGTCATTTCCTCCAGGAACTGTTATAAGGAAATTTGCATGTTCATCAAGCTCTTCGTGATATTTTCGCACGACATGATTCAATCCCAGATCTAATTCATAAAATGTGATGATTTGTTTAGCTTTTGCTGCTGCTTCACCGCTTGGATCAAGATCAATATCACTATAATCAATTTCCAAACATGCAAACATGGGATTCTCAAATCCATTATCAACACCAACCATGTGATAACAAAGCGTGTTCGATTTATGAGCTTCAAGTGGCGATGAAATTGTTAAATGGTTCTCAGAGTCGCGATTGAGAATGTATACAAGTTTTTGTTTTTCCACAGCTCCAATCATGACGGCACGTCCTTTGGGATCCACCGCTAAATACTGTCCTGGTACAATTCGACGACATCCTGACTTTCCAAACGTTTCCAATTGAACTTTTACAAGTTGATTCTTTGTTTGATTATATTCTAAGATGAGAATTCTTCCCGAGTCTGACCCGACAATTGCGTAGTCTGTAAATAAATTTAATGATTAGGTATATAAAGACTTAATGATTATGACAATGAAATGTCACAAAGGTTTTTCATCGAAATACGAACTGAATTTGCATATTTCAAAAGCGACACAATGTGAAATTTATTAATATCAGCACACGAGTTTACCAAACATTTAAGATTTCATTTTTACAAATGTCAGGTAATAAGAGTTTGTGCTGTTTAAGAGAAATATGAACATTTATTTACCTTTTGTTGATCCAGTAAGACGGAAAGACATCATCGAACGAATAACTCCAAAAATTTCTGTCTGAAGTAAAGTGTGAACCTTCCCTGTGTTAGGATCAGGTCGTACAAGTTCCAAACTCTTTCCATGAGAAATGAGAATTTCTTGAATTTTTGATCCAGAAAAGTTTCCATGAATGGCATGCGTGATGCCAGTGGCACGTTGCAAAGTCAAATTGTAAAGATACATGATGATGCTGTTGTGACGTTAATTCATCATTAACCCTAAAATAAAGTTCTTCGTTAATTCCTTTCAAAATAATAATTAAAATCTTCAATTATTGCAACTGTACAAATTCCTGATAAAACTTATCGCTGGATCAGAAGCAAAATTGAGGTTCTAATCACTTTTGGTACTTGTATCAATGATTTTGCACCGAAAAACGAACAAAACCAGGTTTGATTCCATGATTCTGTAGATACCAGATAGTGCTTATGGCTATTTATCATTATTAATGTCAGTATAAGTTAAATTATTCCAAAATGCCGCAAACGTTTTATGCGAAGCCACATGCTCAATAATATTCTTTACTGTATTTCGTTGATTAATTCAATCTTTTTTCTTACCAATTTAAATTTTCCTCTTAAATAGCAGTTTTAAGAAGTGTTTTTGATAGTTTTCTTTGATAGAAAATGTGAGTTGGAAGAATTATTTTAATATTAAAGCAAAGCTTTTGACGGTTCAAGTATCGAGTTGGTTGAAAAGAGTGTGCAGCATTTATATGGGAACACTTTACATAGTGAAGTTGGACACAAGTCATCAACTTTTCGATCACTTCCAAATCTTTTCCGTTACCATTTTAAACAAACAAATTTGTAAGCAATTTTAAAAAACATTATTTATTTCAATTATGCAAGCAGATATCTATAATAAATTAAAAAGATGTTAAATGGAATTTATTGGAAATTATACTTTAAAGATCCCATCATCCTTTCATTTGACGAACTAAATCAGGACTTGGAAATTTTGTAAATCCCAAAGTAGATCGAAAAGGTTTTCTTTCCAAGTACTCTTGAACGACTTCAGTAGCAAGATTTTCTGCTTTCATCTGAATTTCACTGCGAATTTGTTGTTGTCTGTTTTTGTGATCTTGAATAAGCTTCGTTAAGTTGCTATGTTGTGTGTTTGATGAAGGAATTTCCGAACCTTTAACAAGCGACATCACCATTTCCTGGAACAAAACGTATTAATAAATCTTTCTTAAATTCAAATAAATACCTACATATTTAACTTTACGTAATTTATCGTCAAGAACATTCAAACGTTTGTCTTTTATTTTTGGAACATGAAGTGGCTTGAGACTCTTCAAAATATTTTCATATTCTTTAGCTTGTAACTTCATTCTTTCATCACGTTCTTCATTCAACGCTTTCTTCAAAAGCACTAACTCTTGTGCTATATACGGTGAATTTGCTGTTATATCTAATGCAGTTGTGGTTTTCAAATCACCCTTTTTGTTGCCATAAACCTTCAATTTTTCACGTAACGCTCCACGTTCATTCTCCAACGAATCGATGTCGGATTGCAAGTGATCCATCGTTTCTTCGAATTCTTTCTCTTTCCTGTATAAAAGCAAATATTATGTAAAGAAAGATTGATTAGAAAGATTAATTAAAGTCAACTTACTTTTCCAATTTCTCCAAAGCTTCTTCCAGTTGCTTTTGTAATTTTATTGAATTAGATTCGTGATCTTGTTGCAACACCGAAAGTTTCTTCTCTGCAAGATCTTTTCGTATTTGCATCTCTGACAATTCACTTTGTTTGAGTTTCGCATTCATCTTCAATTGACGAATCTCAGCTTCTTTATTCTCAAGAGTTGCTGTTAATGTCTTCGTCTCTTCAAGTTGTTTCTTAACAATTTGCGCACGTGTAACGATCGGTTGCTGAACTTTTTCATTTTGTGTCGCTGACATAATTTCATATTCGTGATCAAGCAGATATTGTGCAAGTTGTGACATGTCAGTATTGGCATTGGCCAAAACATTCTTAATATTCTGTGATGCTCCACGATCATCTTGTTCATAAACACGTTCGCTTAGTTGTCCAAGTAATTCCCATAACTTCGTATGCGATATTGAAACAAGTGAAGTTGCATCAGCAGCATCACTCGTCACATAAGCAATGACATGTTTAGCTGTAAGATTTATAAGAATCAAAAGGCGACTCAAGTTGTCAGCAGTTTGCTTTAAGTTTTGAAGAGTATTTGTCGATAAGTTGCATTTCGTGACGCTGGCATCTTGAGGGAGACGTCGCTTCACAAGCTTCAACTGTTGTCTGATATTCTCAGAAGTTTGAATGACAAATTGCAGCAACAATCCACTTTCACTCGTTTCATCGCCACTTTGAACCAAACCTCTTATGATTGCGCTGTCAGTTTCAACTGAATCACAAGCACTTGTGATTGAAGCAATTGAATCGCGAACCATTTGAGTTTCATTTGTTAAACCTTCGCTCATCAACAACACAGAATACATCGCATTAAAGAATGTCACACATTTCTCGAGATTCTCTGTCGATGAATTCTCATCAAGTTGATTCAACTTCAAAAGATCAACCATCGAGTCGACAATCTTCTCTTGTGCAACCATTTCTGGTAATGATGATCCGATTTTAAGGAGACAATCTGGTGTGCAACTACTCAACCCAAATAAGAATTGATGCATAATTGATTGAAGATTATGAACATGATGTAAAAGACGCGATCTAAACGCAAATTGATGAACAGCGTGGCCTTGCATGATAGCATTGCGATCAATCAATGAAACTGCTCCAAATCTTTCTCTTGCTTGTGTCACAATAATTCCAGCTTTAAATACAATCCTCGACACTAAAAGAATCACAAGAATTGCATCATGGTCGCCACCACGCGCCATAAATGTCTCAGGCATGTAAGCTAAAAGATATTTGATGTGTTCATTAACTTGTGTCAATTCAATTTGACGTAATTGTAAATCAATCGCTCGTGTATGAGCTTTCGATTCAGCAAACACTTGTTTGAAGTCAATTGTGTCGGCGATACGATGATCTTTGCCGATATTTTGAGATTCTTGATTTAATTTCTCGCGAAGTTCTTGCGTTTGATCGTTCAACCTTTGAACCAACTCACGGAACTTGAAAATTGTCTGATCACGATCTAAAACAGTTTCAAGTGCTGCATCTTTCTCACGTAATGCTTCTCGTTTCGCTGAATGTGCCATGTCGAGTTCTTCACGTAAATCTAATTCAAGTTCATGATTACTTTCCACAAGTTGTTCGTGAACTTCTTCTAACGCTTCAAGTTCAGAAACTTCCTCTTCAAGTGCTTTCACACGATCTTCAAGTTCCATTTTCTTATCAGCTAATTGTTCCACCATTTCTTCAGCACCTAAAGCAGCATCAACTTGTTCTTGTAAATCAACAATCTGTGCTTCAAGTTCATCAACTCGACTTGAAAGCTTTTCTTTTGTTCTCTGCAGTTCCATCACTTCTGATTTCTTCAATTCAAGTTCTTTGTGAAGTTTTTGACTTTCATGCTTCTCATGTGCTGATAAATCACGCATTCTTACAAGTGTTTCACGTAGTCTCGTGTTTTGTTGTTCAAGTTGCTTCAATTCATAAGCAGAAACACCCCCGCCAGACTCTCCACCTACGCCATCTTTTCCAATCACTGACTTTTCTTGCATTTCCGTCTTCAGAATCTCCAAATCTAATGTCAGTTCTTCAATTCTTTCCTTCGCTGTATCAAGTTCGAGTTGAAGTGTGTCAGCTTTCTCTTCAGCCATTTCTTTATCGAGTGTTATCAACTCAACGTTCTCGGCTAATTCTGACATCTCTTCTTCATGACGATCTCTCGCTTCAATCGCATCTTTTGTTTCTTGTCGTGAACGTTGAAGTTCTCGTTGTAAACTTGACTGAGCGTCCATAATCTTTCCTTTAAACTCTTGAAGTTGCTCGAATTGAGTTTTCATTTTGTCAAGTTCCCTTAATCGTTCTTTATCATCAGATCTTCGAACTCTCAATGTTTCTAACTTTTCAGTTAAATCAACAACTTGTTTCTTCAAATCTTCATTCTCTTGTTGCATTTGAAGATTATGAATCTTTTCTTCTGTTGATGATGAAGGTGCGACAGACGGTGATGTCAACGATTGACCTGGCGTAAATTGAGGCTTTAAAGTCTCTAAAAATCCAGTCTCGATAAAAGAAGCACGCTTTGATGGTGGTTGTTGAGTCGTGTTGGGATCTTGTGAACTCATCGAAGTCTTTGTTGGTTTTGGGATTTCTGACTTTTCACTACCCATTGATTGTGTCAGTTGCGTTCGAGATCCAGACAAACTCTGACGACTACCAGCTAATGATAAACGTGAGCTAGAAATGAAAGATTGAAACGTTTCACAATTTCATTATAAAAATCTTGATGATAATGAACCTAGAAGTTGATGGTGTTATGGTTGGTTTCTTAGCTAAGATTTGCTTTACGGGAGATTTCCTTCTAACACTAAATACATCAAATGAAATTCCATAGAATGAAGCATGAATTAAATTAAATATCTTTGTTAATTATCTTCAGTTGAATGAATGATTTTTTATTCTAAGTCAGAACTTACGTTGTTGGTTTAGCTACAGGATTACTACCAGATAAATTAACCAGTGATTTAATAGATCCAGAACTTTAGTAAGCATAGTAATGAAAATGTAAATGAATTAAAATTTTCTTTTACAGAAAGATCAGGAAAAGATTTCGTGCAATATATTGGGGATGATTATGAATTAATAATTAAATGTGCTGTTATTAGTGCTGCCTTAAAAGCATAGAAACTTACTTTTTCTTAGCAGAACTGTTAGTTAAAATGACACAAAATGTCAACATAAATGGAAAATCAGGGAAGGGGAAAAAGAAGTTAAAACTGACAAATAATTTAAGGAAGAAAACTTACTTGCTGAGACGAGATCGAGATGGTTTATCATCTGGACTCTCTGGGATTGGATTATCCGATTCGTCCAAGAATACGCATTGACTTTCACGAACAAACATCCCATAGTTCTCTTCACACTGAAACATGTTTTAATTAATATTTTTAAAATCATAAGTGATTTATATAACATTACAGAGAAATATGTTTGTCCTTTGATGGTGCCATTGTTTTTACCTTTCGGTTCATCCAATACAACTCCAACCCAACGTCCAGCTTAAAAGGAAGAAGAAAGTTTTAGTCCACCTGTCGAACAACAAATGATGACTCACTCACTTGCAAAAGATGTCAAACCAACATATTGAATAGTTCCTTTAATGTTTTTATCTTTTATCTCAACACGAGTTCCATTTTTAAGCAGCTTTTCAGACATTTTCACCTCAAAATCAATCAAGATATGACAAGAGAGATGATGTCACTTGTAAAATATTTTACTGAATGAAGAAAATTCTGTTTCTTTAATGTTTTGCCCTCAATTACGTTAAATAACATTAGGACATTCTGAATTTTAAACTTTATTACACTTAGGATCTTTTGATACTCACCTATATGGTCTGAAAACTGCGAATTCCAGGCCACAAATTATTTTCACTTTATAAACAAATTTGGGCGAAACTGACCGAAAAATTGGTCGAGGGGTGTTCAAGAAGTTGCGTGTCGGCTTGGAAGAATATTTTTAAAAAAATTAAAATATAGAAATTAATATTAAAAAGCTGAAACAATGGCGTTAAGAACATACGGAGATAAGCCTATAAGTTTTCAGGTTGAAGAAAGTGGTGAATTTTACTGTATTGGATCAGAAGTAAGTGAAGTATTTATAATTATCATTTCCTGGCTTGTGTTTGCGTCAAAAAGAAATTTTTCTAAACATTTCTAATTCATTTGTAGGTCGGATCATATCTACGACTATGCAGAGGTTCTCTTTACAAAAAATATCCTGGAATGCATCGAAGAACGCTTTCAAATGAGGAGCGGAAGAAGTTAATGGAGACCGGCATAAGTAATCATCTTTTTGCCAGCTCCGTGTCACTCTTAAGAGCGACTGAAGTTCAAGAAATTATCGATGGTAATGATGAAAAGTATAAGGCAGTTTCGGTTCATTCATCAGAGCCAAGTATACCACGTGAGAACAATAAAGCAAAGAAGCAAGCTCCATGGATGCCAACAATGCCAAATTCAAGTCATCTCGATGCAGTTCCACAAGCAACGCCCATCAATCGTAATCGCGTTTATAACAAGAAAGTTCGAACATTCCCAATGTGCTTCGACGATACTGATCCAACTGCTAATTTCGAGAACTCAGCGCAATCTGAAATGTTGGTTCCAATTCGTCTTGATATGGAACTCGAAGGACAAAAGCTTCGAGACACTTTTACATGGAATAAGAATGAAAGTATTATCTCTCCAGAACAGTTTGCAGAGATTTTATGTGACGACTTAGATCTGAATCCTGTTCCATTTGTACCAGCGATTTCTGGCGCGATCCGACAACAAATTGAAGCTTATGTAACAGAATCGATAATTGAAGAGAATTGCGATCAACGAGTCATCATTAAGTTAAACATTCATGTCGGTAATACATCGTTAGTTGATCAGATCGAATGGGACATGTCGGAGAGAGATAATAACCCCGAAGAATTTGCAATCAAACTTTGTGCTGAGCTTGGTTTGGGCGGTGAATTTGTGACTGCAATCGCTTATTCGATTCGAGGTCAACTTTCATGGCATCAACGAACATACGCGTTTAGTGAAGCTCCACTTTCAACAGTTGAAGTTCCATTCAGAGCTCCATCAGAAGCCGAATCATGGGCTCCATTCCTTGAAACACTCACGGACGCTGAAATGGAGAAAAAAATTCGCGATCAGGATCGAAATACAAGAAGAATGCGTCGTTTGGCAAACACAACTTCAGGTTGGTAAAGACAATTCATCGACATTCAAATTCAATTTATTATTTGTGTTTAATTAAATTAAATAAACTATAAGCGTAATATTAAAATCATTCTTGAATCTTTTGCTTCTTAATTCTTCTTGATGTTGACGATTCTTCTTCAATCGCTCTCTTAACTTTTTTCAAAAACTTTTTGTCTGTCTTCTTTCTGGGGGATTTTATTGGACTTTCATCATTCAATTGAAGCATAAGTTGAGATGGTGTTGCTTCTAATTGTGATAGTCTCAAGAAATATATTTTATTAAGTTCTGTTTTCTTGACTTTGTTGACCATTGCAGTCCAATAGAATAATGAAAAGAAAAGTTTTTGAAAGTTGAGAAGTGCAGTTCGATATTTCTCTGATGGATTATCAACTTCTGGAATGTCTTTCGTTAAAGGATCTTCGTGCTGCTTTATTGCAATGGCTCTCAAGCCCACAACCGTACTATAATTTGGAGGCATCAGAAACTGACTGTGAATTGTGGTGAATTCCATTTCGCTAAGAAGCTTTGGATCGAGTTCATATTTTGACAGCTCATCAAGTTTCGATTTTTGTTTGTTTGTGATCATATTTTTCTTAAATCCAGTGAATGAAACATTTTCTGCATTTAACATTCTTTTCAACACAAGAGTAATTAAGTTGTCGATATTTAAATTTCGATTTCCAAAATCAAGATCGTAAGTCGTCATCATCATGTTATACATTACTGGATTAGCTTTTTTATAAGCTTCAAGGGTAGCACTTTGAGTTCGTAAATATGATTTTGATGGCTTCTCATCTTCAGAGTCATCTGAAACATTTACAGTTGTTGACTTTTTAAATACATTATTTTTCTTTGGTCTCGATGGAACGTCTTCAAGTGTCGCATTTGGATTACTTGAAAGATATTTTGAAATGGTAAGGAATCGTGTTCGACACGATAATCGATTATGTGTTTTGAGAGCATCAGCAATGTTAGTCCAATTTCCCGTTCCTAATTCTTTCACAAATTCCATCAACTTTTTGTCTTCTTCTTTTGTCCATGGATGAATTATTCCTTTATGTTTCATAGCGTTATTGTAATGATTTTTAATAGAAATTGAAGAACGGCCAGGAAGAAGTTCAGCTGGGAACTCATTAAACTTCGCTTCACCATATTTCTCTACGTAGTTTATTATGATTCGATTTTCTTTGGGAGTGAATGGGCCTTTCTTTTTACTACTTTTTGTCAATATCTTATAGCGATTATAACATTGCAATCTGTTTCGTGAAGGCAAAGCTTGACCAACTCTACCCCAGTTTATTAGCTCTGCTTGTGAGTTTCGTTCAATTGCAGCCATTAGAATGTCATCTTCTTCTGCCGTCCATCGCACTTTACTCGGACATAAACGTGCAAAGATTGTGTGATAATGAACAAATGCTTGCAAACTTGAACGACGATTAAGAAGACTTGAAATTTCATTCCATCCACTATATTTACTTTCTCTTACAGCAGTTTGTAAAATTTGATTTTCTTCTTCGCTAAATTCATCACGATTGAGGTCTGGACGAAGATATGAGAACCACATTCCCATACATTCCGACACAGAATGTGAACTTTGAAGATCATCGAACGAAATAAGATTCCAATTTATCATAAAGTTAGGAAAATCAGAGGTAATTAATTTATATATTTGCATCATTGTGGAATTCTCTAAATCTTGATTTTTTGAAATAAATTTCATTGTTTTTAATTTCCCTCTCGTTTTAACTGCATCTTGACAAAGCTTTGTAGACTGTTGAGATTTTATATATCTTATCATTTGACTTTTAACTCCATTTATAAGTGCAATTTTGTGTTTTGTCTTCCATCGCGAGTTGACGGTTGGCACATCGAAAGGGAAAAATTCTTTAAGATATTGTTTACGAAATTTATAATCCTCATTGAATGGAGCTGTTGTACCCAAAGCATCTTTGAAGAACGGTGCACCACATTTAGCGTAACTTGTTTTGAAAAGAAGAGAATCTTTAATATCACATGATTTCGATCGCTCAAGGAAAGCATTGTTGAGCTGACTTTGAGCATCTATCTTTTTAAGAATATTTTGAAGTTTGACTTTAAATGAAATCAGTTTTTCCTTAAGAATTCGGTTTATTAAAAGTGCTCGTTCGGGGTCAGATTTTTCATCTTCCTGTTGTATTTTATTTTTAAACAGATGAGAAAAGCTTGCAGGTTCTGAAATCTGATAAAAAGTAAACATTAAAATTTAATTAAAAACATGGAAATTAGAACTTACCTTTAAAGTTTCTCCTCTTAATCTAGATTCGTAAATTTTTTTAAAATCGTCATCTGTGTTTTCAAAAGAACTTTCTGTTTCATTGGCATATTTTTGATTTTCCACATTAAAAGATGTAAGAAAATTTTCTTGTAAATGGTTGTCACAATTAAAAGAACTTTCGGCAAAAGTTTCTTCAGATGATACTATCAAAATTTCACTGTCATTTATCAATTTCGTTATTTCATCAGCTGTGTACTGTTTATTTTCCTTTTTATCCATATTTTTAAATTGATTTTTTGGTTTTTTAAATAATGAGATTTTAAACAATAATAAAAGTCACGATATCGTGTTTTCTTCTTTCTTTTGATCATGTCCTGCTTACCCCATTTAAGATTTGAAAAAACCGTTAAGAAAAGATAAATTAAGAATAAATTGTCGATTTGAAAAGATATCCAAAAACAGAAAATATAGTAAAATCGAATCCACTTTATTAAATATCAAATAAAATTATACAATTAAGTTTTTTTCTTTTTCAATTTTCTCATTTTTTTCATGGCTTTATTGTAGCCAGTTTTCTTCTTTTGTTCAAGAGTTTCCTGATATTTTCTTTTATTAAACTTCTGAAAGTTTGCATCCTCTAGCAGCTCATCAACTAAACTTCGTTTCGTTTTACGAGTATTTTTACTGTTGTGATATTCCACAGGAGATTCAATAACTTGACCAACCTAAATGGAAATATTAAAATTAATTTCTAGAGTTTAAATAATCTTATGACTCAATTTTCTCACCTCAAAGTATTTTGGAATAGTTTTCATTTCATTACGTTTATAGAAATGTTTTGGATCAAGTGCTGATCGCATCTGAAGAATCTCAATATCATTTTTAAGTTCTTCTGTTATTTCAGGAGCTTTCATGTTAAACCAATTAGCTCCCTTTGTCTTCTCACGTTGTTTCTGCAATGAAATACAAGAAACATCAATAAATATTCAAAGAGTTTAAAATTAACTAAACATTTCTATTGATAATAATCAGATTACTAAAGAAGTCATCTTCAGACTTTCATCATTTTGTCTTCCTTTGAACCAACATTACTTGAAGCCATTAAAAGTTTCATGTGTGACAATCACTGAAAATTTACAAAGATATCTTTTTCTGTAAAACTTTCAGCGTATTTTACCTGATTACAAAGGTAAAAAATGCCAGAAAATATCTCATCGGCCTTACACTCCATTAACAAATCTTTTATTAATTGGAGTAAGATTTCAATGAGCGGCAATAATGTTGGTGGAGTCAGTAAAGAAAAACTTGACGAAAGAATGATGTCAGGTAAATTCCATTAATATCATCATTCGTTAATAGTATAATTATCACAATATCCCTGGCGAAACCTACTCGGTTATATTTTTTTAGTTGTCCGTCTGATAAGCCAAGTTTTGAAATATCCTTTTTTGTTTCGATTCCATCGGTAACAAAGGAATATGTTTTTGGCCTTAGCTCATTGAGATAATTATTTAAGGCATTGAAAAGCTTATCAGTTATTTTATTTCCACTTGAATTCAATTCAAGTTTTTCTTCTTTCGTGAAATATTCTGTTTTGATAGGACATTTTTTTAAGGCATCTTTTATTCGAATTGACGGTTGTGGTAATCCTTAAAATAACAAATGAAATTAGTTTTCCATGTTATCTGTTCAGATGAATGCAGAGAAACTTACCAAAATATTCATCCGATCCTTCTTCAACATTGTTTTCACTTTTTTCAGAATTTTCAGAGTCCTGATCGGTTTCTAATTTAAATTTCGATTCAACGAACAGAGGAAATGGATTATGAAATGTTTTCAAAGAATCTTTATCGCTTGTAGCTGTAGTATCAATCACAAAATCTAAATCTTCCATTCTTTCACTTTTCAAGTTTTCTTTAACCTGAAACTTGCTTGCTGAACGATTCTAAAATAAACACTTCATACTTGTATACCCTTTTCAACCCTCTTCATGTGACATCATTTACAAATATTTTCACACGTGTGTTTACAAGTGAGGAATTGAAAGAAAAATAAAAAACTATGAAAGTTAAAGTTATCAGTCGAAATCCCGACGATTACATTCGTGATACTAAAACACAAAAACACAAAATTCCTCGTAATTTCGATCCAGCTTTACATCCATTTGAGGAACAACGAGAGTACGTTAGAGCATTAAATGCAACGAAATTGGAAAGAGTTTTCGCGAAACCATTTTTGGGTGATCTTTACGGACATAAAGATGGAATTTCGTGTTTCGCTAAGCATCCTAATCAATTAGGAACATTACTTAGTGGTGCTTATGATGGTGAGATAAGACTGTGGAACTTATCGACAAGAAATTGTACACGAAACGTAGTTGCACATGATGGATGGGTTCGCGGTGTTACTTTCACACCAGATGGGAATAGATTTCTCAGTGTTGGTGATGATAAAACTATTAAAACTTGGGTTTCTGAACTTTCTGAGCTTGACGATGATGAAGAAGACGACGGACCAATCAGCACAAAACTCTCAAAAACAGTTATCACTTCCATATCTCATCACAGAAGAGATCCAGTGTTTGCAACCTGTGGTGAAGTATGTCAATTATGGGAAGAATCTAGAAATGAACCAATCAATACTCTTCAATGGGGTGTTGACACTTTACATCACGTTCAATTTAATATGGTTGAAAACAATTTGTTAGCAGCATGCGCAAGTGATCGAAGTATCATTATGTATGATCGTAGAGAAGGAAAACCTCTCAGAAAAGTCGTGATGACAATGAGACCAAACCGTTTGGCATGGAATCCAATGGAAGCATTTAATTTCACTGTTGCGAACGAAGATTACAAGTAAGAATTACTTAATTAATTATTTTTCAAAAACTCATTTAATAAATCTTTTTCAGTTTATACACTTTTGATTCAAGAAATTTGAAGCATCCGAAAAAGATTCACGAGAATCATGTAGCTGCTGTTACCAGTGTTGATTATTCGCCAACAGGAAAAGAATTTGTATCAGGAAGTTATGATAAAACTCTCAGAATTTATGAAACTGAGAAGACAAATTCGAGGGAAATTTATCACACTAAACGACAGCAACATATAACAGCTGTTGGTTGGAGTTTAGATAACAAATACGTCTTCAGTGGTTCAGATGAAATGAATATAAGAATATGGAAAGCGTATGCATCAGAAAAGTTGGGACCGGTGAGTTAACTTTAAATTTTCGATTAAAATTAAAAAATAATCTTGATATTTTTTTAATTAAATCAATCAGCTCCATCCTCGAGAGAAAGAAGCTTTCAAATACAATGAAGCATTGAAACAAAAGTTCAGTACACATCCACAAATCAGAAGAATTGCAAGACATCGTCAAGTGCCACGATATGTGTATAAGCAACAAGATCTTTTGAAAGCAGAAAAGGAAAAACAGAAACGAAAAGATATCAACCGTCGACTCAACTCAAAACCTGGATCAATTCCATTTATTCCGGCAAAGGAGAGAGTTGTAATAAGAGAAGACGAATAAATCTGTATAAGAATCATGTTTAAGAAATAAAAATTTAACGGTCGTTTCATATTTAAATTTAATTTAGTGACATGATTTAAGGAGTTGTCCAATTTTTTGTTTTGAAAATTTTTTGCTTTTCAAATATGAAATTTCTATTTATTTTCCTTATTGGATTTTTGATCGTGATCGTTCAGTCACATGAATACAAAAGTTTTACTCTTAAGTTCTTATATCAAGTCTTCACAGGAGACTTCATAAAATTAAAGAAGAAAGAAAAGATAGAAAAAAATGTAGTGAAGAATGCATCTTCAAATTATTTAGGTTTGCAGTGATACGAAGGAATCTTAGAATTCAACATTTAACACATTTTTTATTACAGATTATCTTAAATATACCGAAACTCGACAATGTACACTTCATGAAATATACGAAGCTGAGAAACGAGATAAACGAGCAAAGTGCATTAAAGCTAAAGGCAATGGCACTCTTTACCTTATGAATTCAATAAACGATATTATGCAATTTCTTGCGCCATCAGGAAGTGGGAATTTAAAATCAGATATTCCTGGAAATTGCGCTATCATTCTATTTTACACAAAATTCTGTCCTGGATGTTCTGCGCTTGTACCACATTGGAATTCCCTGTCAAGAAATTTCGTAGACATTAAAGTATGCGATCATTTTACATTTCGTTTAAATTCATTCTTATGTTTCATAAACTAATTAATAGGTTGGTGCTCTTGATGCATTGGAGCATCCTGGTCTGAACACCGACTTTGGAATCATAGGATTACCTTCAATTATAATTTTCCATCAGGGACGAATGCTTCACAAATTTAATAACACACAACAAGGAACAGTCACCAATCTTATTAATTTCATACAAGCTCATACAAACCTTAAACCTGTGACAGCTAATGTTGTGGTGACATCAGAAGATTTCAGTCCAAATAGTCCATTAAAAGTAAAGATGCAAGAAGAGTCTTTTGATGGCTATTTGTTATTATCTTGGATATTTATAATTGTTTGTTCGATTTATTACTTTACGAAATCGCACACGTATCGTCAGATTGTGGAAATGATTAACAGAACTTGGAGAGAGTCTAATGAGGCAGCAGCGCAACGTCGTTAAATAGATAAATATTTATAAAAAAGCAGTGTTATTAGCATAGCTAAAGGTTGCAACAATGATCTCAATGCTTTGCTCAGATATCGAAGAGCTGTCAAATATTGAAATTCAAAATTATGTGGAAGAATGAAAAGGACAGAATTTCTGTGGACTTCTGACTGTTTTATTACCTTGTTTTAGACGGGAAAGAATTCAAACATTTGAAATCAATAAAAATCGATAATTACTTTAAAATTATGAAAATGAATATTTAACGAACTTTTCAGATTTGAATTTATTACATCATAAAACAAATTGTGAAGCTTGTCACCCCTCGTATTTTTTTAATTTAAATCCTTGTGAGAAGCGATTAACAAAATCTAGAACAAAAATACATTTTATAAACATTGTAACGTGTCAAAAGACCAAGCTTTACTAGACACTATGATTGTGATTGCGAGAATCTTTCGTTCTAGTTCAAACATAAAGTCAATCGGAATTCGTTGTCTCTCAATAAGTTTAACACAAAATTCAAGGTGAGTTAGAGAAAGATTTATACTGCGTTTTAAACTAATATCTTAATTTGCATTTCAACTTTGTTGTTGATATTTATATTTTTATAGATTAGCGGAAGTTGGTAAACTACAGACTGTTAAAACCGACGGAAATTATCTCACCGGTCAGTTATTTCTTCATAAAGTGTTCGGTTACCGGGGGGTTGTTTTATTTCCATGGACTGCGAAAGTGTATGATCGTGATGTAAACCAAAAGAAAGAAGACGAAGAAGACACCACAGCTATTTCAAATGATCATCGAAATGTCAACAACAAGGAAGTGCAAAAAAGAACTCAAACGTATTATCAAGTTCTCATTGATCAACGTGATTGTCCGTTTATTCGTGCTCAAACTGAGGCTGTGACATTTTTGGGAAATAACCAGGAATCATCAAGAAGCTTGTACGCTATTCCTGGTCTTGATTATGTGTCTCATAATGATATAATCCCCTACCAGACCTTTGAATCTACTGCATTAAGTCATGAATTATTTGACAAATTTTTAACACGCACCGACAGCGATCCACCGTTCACAGCACTTGAAACACTTAAAGCATGGCAAAAAAAGAATCATACGTTTTTAGAGCTTTCTGATGTTCATATCGAGACAACAAACTCTATTCGAATCACAGTAATTCCATTCTTTATGGGATGTCGAGAAACTCCTTCAAGTTCAGTTTATTGGGTAAGGTTGACTTTTTTTTTCATTATTTAAATTGATTTCATATTTGTTTTTTCTTCTTTTAGTGGCGTTATTGCATTCGTCTAGAAAATCTTGGAGAGCTTTCATGTCAATTACGTGAACGACATTGGAGAATTTTTTCTCTTTCTGGAACTTTGGAAACTGTTCGAGGTCGTGGCATTGTTGGTCAAGAACCTGTTTTAAATTCACGTTTACCAGCTTTTCAATATAGTTCGCATGTGAGTCTGCAAGCACCATCAGGTAATATTAAAAGATTCTTCTTATTTATTATGATATAATTAAATATCTTTGTCTTCAATTCATTTAGGCCACATGTGGGGAACATTCAGAATGGAGAGAGAAGATGGATTAGTTTTTGATGTGAGAATTCCACCGTTTTCGCTTGAAAGTAAAAATAATGAAACAGAAAATACCCTAAATGATGAAAGTTCTTAAAATTATATTTTAATTATAAGGAAAAATGAGCTGTTGTAAATAAATTTCATGTTTCTTCAAGAAGTTTATAAATTCATGTAATTCATTCATCTGGATCTGTGAGGAAATCATTTTGATCTTCATTCTCTGGTGGATCAAAATCGTCTCTTATTTTAACATCACAATCTTCACCATACTGAATTATATTATCGATTGTGAGAAGAAGGTCGGCGATATTTTCTTCATCATCAATATTTAATGGCGTGAATCTTACAAGGCTAAAGTCTTCGATGAGATTTCCTATTGCCTCTGATAATCGACGATGTTTTCTTCCCCAAGCTGAATCATTCGTAATTTCTCCAAGAAGTGCATGTGAATCAGGTTCAAGATATCTTTAAAAAAATATGAAATAAGATGAAATGAATGACAAAAATGTGGATTTTACAATTCACTCACTTATCAAGTTGACTTCTGGCTGATTTACTTAGCAGATCCATTTTACTTAGAACATTAATATGTGGTAGTTCCATATTTGCCATTACACTTAATGCTGCCATTGTTCCAGATATAAATTTGGCGCCATCGGTCATGAATTGCGAATCGATAAGAAAAACACCGCATAATCTAAAATTCCAACTTTCGAGAAGTTTCACGAGTTTTTTTCCAGTATCAAGATGCGTATAAAGTTCGATTTGTCCTGGCATGTCGAAAATTATGTAGTCGTCGTCTGGCTCACCATCGCATTCATTATCTGAGCCACCACAAAGTTGTTCACGAAGCCATTCAGCATTTTCTAGGAGGAATTCAAGACAAAATATCAGACCACCATTAGGTCCATAATGTAATTCTTCATCTTCCATAGCATCATCGAGTTGTATTAAATCTCTAATGTCGACGATTGGTTGATAATTGAAATTCTCGCAAGCTGGATCAAGATTTACTATTTCTATGTTTCGTCTGCCATCATTAGCATGCCGTTGAATTGTTGAACAGTATGTACTTTTACCAGAACCCGCAGGTCCCATAACAAACTGTGCATAACGCATTTAAAAAAATAACAACACTTTCTCTTGCTATGAAAAAATAAACACAACTTTGTAGGGGTGAGTAAGGTTATGTGTCTACGCCGTGTAGTTGCACTCCTTGAATGAATATAAGTTATGTAACTTATGATCAAGTGATTTATTTTAATCGCTAACAACAATTCTTCATTAAACAATACGCTGGCCCAAGCGCTGACCAATGCATAAAATCTATTGAAATCATTATATCTCCTCTAAATTAATACAATTTCTCTTAATATTTTCTGAACATTCAATGAACTTGCTTTCAATAAGGCATAAGAAATCGGAAGAGGTGACAAAACTGGCAAAAGTTTCCATGTACAGCGTGCGTGAGATTTTCATTTTGCAATTTTCATTTTTTTACGGAAAAAGGCGCGTATATAATAATTATTTAGGTATTTTTTTATTAAAACGTGTAATGAAAGACAAATTTAAATAGAATTAAGTTCAGTATATTCTCAAATATGCCAGCTATATGCGATTCAATCACGTCCAAAATAAGTGAAAACTTGAGTCAAAGTTTCAAAAAAACAGAGAAAGAAAATTTTGAAAATCATTTGACTCCAACTGCGAAGCAAGTGCTTACAACTAAAATTGAATATGAACCAGTCGCCAATTATACAAATTCAATTCTAAGCTCACTTCAAACCAAGTATATTGTCTTAAAACCTAATCAGCCTGCCTTGTCAGCAAATGGTGAGTGTTTTTCCCTTAATTAAATTAAGTTTGTTCTTTTTACTGTTCTTGAAAGTGTCAAATATCAAGTTGATTGTATGATTTCATTTGAAATTATATGAATGGATACGTAAAATCCATAGTTAAACTAAGAGCAGTTTGCCACCTTCACAGACATTTTCTCTTTCCCTCTAACACATTCGCAATTCGAATGACCTCTTTTACTTCTTCGCTCGTATATTTTATTTATTATAAACGCCGTACACATGACGGCGGTGATGTTTTTTTGCGCGTAGAAGAAAAGAGAGATTAAAAAAAGATATTTTTTTCCGCCAAAAACAGTAAACTTCGACCTACGTGATTCACATCGTATCGTCTTTTTTGCTTTCTTTCTTTGTATATTATATTTAGGAAACGCCACAAAATCTTTTCAAAACACCAATGAAAAAAGTCATCCAGTAAATGGAAATTCTACCTCTTCTAACCAACTGCCACAGCCAAAGAAAACGCTTTTCCCGCGTGAAAGTGTTCAAGTAGGATGGAACAATATTGGTCGAAGTTGGTCACCAGGATGTGGTTTTCACAATGTGGGCAATACATGTTATCTTAATTCAACACTCCAAGCCTTTTTTCATGTTCCCGCGGTTGCACATTGGCTTATATCTGATAGAGAGCATCGCGAAAAAGGAAATTGTCAAAGTAAGTTCATCATTAATGACAATTTCTCCGATTTTAATCGTAAACTCTTTTTTTAGATAGTCAAATTTGCATTATTTGCGCAATGTCGCAAACATTAATAAGTTCACAACGACAACAACATTCAATGACACCATCGTTGATAACAAATCGTCTGCAGACCATTTGTCGTCATTTAACACTAGGGCGACAAGAAGATGCGCACGAATTTCTTCGATATCTTGTTGAACAAATGGAGAAGGCTTATTTGAATCGTTTTAAAGCGATGCTAAACTTTAAAGAGTTGGATCAGTACAGCAAAGAAACAACACCGCTTAATCAAATTCTTGGTGGTTATCTTCGCTCAACCGTAACTTGCTTAGCATGTAAACACGAATCGATCACATTTCAACATTTTGAAGATCTTCAATTGGACATCACTCGTGTTTCAACATTGCATGAGGCTCTTGCAGGGTATTTTTCACGTGAGAATCTTGAGGAATGTGGATACAAATGTGAGTCGTGTAAGAGAAAGGTGTCAGCAACAAAAAGATTCAGTCTTGAACGAGCTCCAGTTGTCCTCTGCATACAATTGAAGCGTTTCAATGTTATGGGTGGAAAACTTGACAAGCAGATTCAGATCAGTCAAAACATGGATCTTCAAAAACATTTGGCAAAATCTTGCGATCCAACACAAAGTTGCTATTATCGACTGGTCTCACTTGTGACACATCTTGGTGGATCAGCTTCTGGGGGTCATTACACTGCGATTGGATTGACTCCTAACGGTAATTATTATCAATTCGATGACTCTTGCGTGTCTCCAATTTCAACGGAAAGTGTTCTTCGCACAAATGCGTATCTACTTTTCTACGAACTTCTGACGAAACAAAAAAACCATTCATTGCATAATTTCAACGCAATACATCAAAATGAACACACGTACAGCAAATGCGCTTCCTCTCCCATTAATATTAATAACATCAATTCACCATTGTCATCAACAACGAATCGAAGTGATTTTGATCGTTTACGTGAAAACAATAATTTCGCTAAGCCAATATTGCCGAAAATGATTCCACTTCAAATTGCACGACAAAATATCAAGCAGAAAGAAAATGAAACGACACCACCACAACAAAAAAATGGAAATTCCCTTATTAACAATCAACAGGCGAGAATTTTAAATGGCAAAACTCCATCACAATTATTCTCAGCCGTGAAACTGAATGGGAAACGATCAGCATCGGATGAAGACGACGACAAAGATTTGATTGTATCTAAAAAACAGAAACCGTCATTGCCGAGCTTACCACGACTGACAAGCGATGAAATAATGATGATGAAGCAGACACTTGCAACAGTTTCTTCGTCAACGTCATCGTCACCATCAACGACTCCAGTAAAGCCGAAAAGTTTGGTTCCTTATGGCACTGATGATGAGGATGATGATCAAGTTGTTAGCACAAGTAAATGTGAAACTGATTCTGTTTATCTCTGTAGAACATCTTCAGGAGTTTTTGTAGAAACTGATCTGAACATTGTTGGTCCAAGTAAGCAAGGCAGTACAGTTGATAAAACTGTTGTCACAAAAGCTTCAGTAAAAATCAATAATGGAACAAACGGAAACGTGAAAGACAGCAATTGTAAAGTATCAACGAATGGTTATCATAATGGAAAGAAAACTGAAGATCAATCGTCACCACCAACACAAAAAATGATCAAGACATCTTATGAGAATGGGAAAAGTAATACGACCAATGGATATCATGTCAAACGTAACGATGACACATTGCAACAGTTGACAAAACTCAATCACAGTGGTTACGGTACGAGTGACGTATTGTCGTGGAATCAGACACCGTCACAAATGAGTCGTGAAGTTGAGAAAGATCAACATGAAGATCGAAAACGACAAAGTTTAGATACGGATGATGTTGAAATGGATGCGGGACGTACAAAGAAATTGAAATTTTTTAATCGTCATCAGAGTTCACATCAAGGAAAACTTCCAAATCCATTTCAAGGTCAACAAAATAATCAGAATTTGAATGGTAATGGAAATTATCGTCATCATCAACAAAGTTCTTATAATGATCGTGGCAATAGTTTCAATCGTGGCTTTTCAAATGGTGGCAACAATCGAAATAAGTTTAAAAATTCTTTTAAACGTGATAATTATTATCAAAATGGTCACAATCGTCACAACGGACCGAGTGGACAATATAACAACAACAAACGATACTTCAACTCTAGCAACAATCATCGACGTTAGATGACATCTTGAAACCGAGAGAGAAAGAAAGAAAAACTTTCGGATGAATTTCTGGGAGATTTTCTGAAGTCTGAAAGGTTTTTTCTTCTAACTTCTTTTCTATAAAGTTTTTATTTCTCTTTCCCATCGTTAATTATTGAAGTTTATACAAAATATTATCCTTAGGGACTGTCAAATATAAAATAATTAAATAATTCAAGAAATATGCAATTATTTTATTTAAGAACAGATTTTATTATTTTTTCTGTTTTCTCTTCTTTTTATTTTGCAATCTTCAATAAATTAATTAAAATCTTTCTTTCTGTTGGAATCATCAACAACATAAATTTTAAGATGTTTTTAGACTGAATTAAGCGACTTTCATGATATCTACAATAAGAAATCAATTAAAAAAGTTTGTAGATTTATCAAAGTCGAAGAGAAAGAAACACATAAAATTATTTGGTATCGATAATTGAATATTATTCAACATACTTTAATCAACATAGACTGTAAGTAAGCAGATTTATGAGAAACTAATTTTAACAAAGACTTCACAAATAATAAAAAGAAAACCTTGTGAATAATAAGAGAAAACAAAATGTTAAATATGCTTACTTTTAAGATTATAAAAATTTCGTCATGAAGACTTAAAAACCGATCACGATAACAAACATTTATCGTGAATCCTTTCCTTGGAAACGCAAATTAATGAATGCATTGAATGTTTGTACATAAATAAATGCAAAATGAATGAGAATAGGCGAATGACTTTCTAATTTATATGTAAACAAATTGTAGAATAATTATCAATTATAAGAAGTCAAAAAATGAAGAACTGCACCAGATTGTCATCACATGTGTTGCAACACTTTTGAAATGAAAAAAGAATGAAAATAATTTTAGTTCACGAGAATTATCAATAAAATTTCACGTTCATCTGTAAACTAAACAATTAAAAACTCATTTTTGATTGTTTCACCCAATTCAATTTTATTTCAGTAAAACGAAGTAGAAAATTAAAGCTTTAAAAACAAATATTACCTAACTACATAAAAGTTACATGGAATGCTCACTGAAAATTACGACTAGAACGTTTGTTCGAGAAATCTAGAAAGAGAGCAAAGTCACCAAAAACAAACAACTCATTAAGACTGCAACCAATAATTAATTAATTAAATTTTTACTGCTATTTAGCAGTTGCTCTCAAAATAACTTTGACAAATCTCACAATTTTCTCGTATGTCATGAACATTAACGCAGCTGTCAAGACAGTTTGCCAAAGTTTTGCTTCGAGTCCACAATAGAGTCCTTTAATTCCTTTACTTTTAATGATGTAAAGAACCATTTCAAGTGTGCCAGCATTTGGAGGTAGATTTTTCTTTAAATCGCTGTCACCATGGCGCATTTTTGTCTGAATCAATTGAAGTGGATAAGTTACGAATGTTGACACAAGTTTGGCAATTGCACCGAGGAAAAAGAAATAAAGAACCGATGGGCTTTCTTTACCATAAATTTTCGTTAAATATCTTTTAATTGCTTCGTAGACAGAGAATTGAATGGCTGGATTAACAACTAACATCAAGCTCGCTGTTGTTCCACTCCAGAGTTTTTGTACGCCTTCACTACGTGCTATATATTTAAGACCCGAGATGAGATCTTTGTATGGCAAATCACAATTAAGTCCTTGCATCTTCAATCTTGTGTTGACAACCCAGAAAGGTGTCGTGCTAAGGACATTTACACAACCAGCAAGAGCCCCCAGTAACAAGTCACCAGCTGCACTCTGATCTTCTCTTGTTCGGAATGATTTCAATAAATGAAAAACGTAGAAATAAACAAAATTCGAAATGCATGATGATTGCATTACTGGAATTAATCCACGGTAAAGTGATCCAATTCCTTCTTTTTCAACCAAATACTCAATTAATTGGAATGTGTTGAGGTTCTTTACAGCCTTAAGGTCATCCACTAGAAATAAATAAATTTATTAAAATATTTTTACATTACTCAACACTTTCAATAATCCCAAGTTCAAAGTCTCACATTGCTTTCTTTGAAGAATTGTTAAGAATGGAAAAGCTGCTGTTAAAGCCACACATGATGCTGCAGATCCACTACATGCATGTACAAATAAATTGTACGAAAGAAGTCCTTTCGATCCTTTTGAAAGTGACATTTTGAAATAAATTAAAGAAAACTGAATTTTCGTGACACTCACACATTTACAATAATGTGTGGAACAATTTGTCATTCATGTCACTCACATTATACGGATTCGAAATTTATACGAAAACATTAACGATTTTTCATTGTTTACAAAACGTGTGACGTTACTTTTGCTGCTTGATGTTAGGACGAAGTTTTTGTTTATTCTAGGTTAAAATCAGAGTTAGTTGAGATTAACAATGGCAAGCCCGGCTAAAAAAACACGAACAGATGGAAAATCAAAGCAATTTTATGTCAAACAAGCACGTAAGCTACAGAAAAATACTCTCGACAGTGCAGAACGAGGATTTCTAGTGACGTGCAATTTTAAAGAACGAGATTCAATTCGTGAAGTTTATTCATTGTTAAATGAATATTATGAGAAAATAAAACCAGAATCTGTAAAGTCAGAAGAGGTTGTTGAAAAGAATGAAGATGACGAGGACGACATTGCCAATGCTATTCAAAATCAAATTGAAAAAACAAAGCAAGAAGTAAAAAATCGCTCACATAATTTTCAATCTGTTGATACAGGAGTTCAAAATCTTTTGTTTATAAAGACATCGATAGAGAATCCACTCGAATTAGGATCGAATATTGTACGTGATCTCGCTGCTACCAAGAGACGACGAACTAAAGTAACACTTCGATTTCTTCCCATTGAAACAGTTTGTAAAGCAAAACTTGATGACATTAAGAAAGAAGCTGAAGAGCTCTTTGATAAGCATTTCTCAGTGCCTACAACATTTGCAATAAACTTTAACAAACGATTCAACAACGAATTAAAACGTGATGATGTTATTAAAGAATTGGCGGATCTGGTATCGTCAAAGAATTCAGCTAACAAAGTTGATCTAAAAGATGCTCAACAAAGTATAATTGTTGAAATAATCAAAGGAATTTGCTTACTGTCAGTTGTTCCAAACTACTTACAGTTGAAAAAGTACAATTTGAATGAATTGTGGGAAAGAAAAGCTGAGGACAAAATTGAAGTTTCAGCAAATGATGATGGAGGAGAAGAAGAAAATTTAATCGAAGCTGTAAAAGAGGAAATTATTGAAAACTAGAATAAATACATTTCTTTCAATTAATCTTTTCTCTTAAAAATAAACATTTTTCTTTTATTTACTGAAACAAAGCTTATTATGAATATTCCATTTCACTTTTACAGCTACTTTGGGATGATCCAATGATTCTATTTTTCAGCTTCTGTTTGAGTTCTTGTAACATCATGACATCTTTGTAGCGACTTTCCGAGTCACTCTTCATAAATTTAAGAAGAGTTTGAAGAGCATCTAAAGCTTGTTTGCAAGTAACTCCGCCATTATTCTCTTCTTGCGAGAAATTTGATTCGTGAGATTGTTGAATTTTAATTTCTTCTGTATTTAACATCTCTTGTTCCTCTTCAATTAAATCTTCATCGGTATCTTGTTCAAGTATTGTTTGGTTGTTATCTTGTGGGATTGAAACTGATCCTATAATCTGAATTGTATCAGGAACATCTTCCTGCTGTTCATCAATGAAAACAAGATTCTCTTCCTGCATGTCAATATGCTCAAGAGTTTCATTTAAAGCAGGCTTAAATGAATTATACTTTTGTGGTTCAGCTTCATCGCAATTGAGCCATTTTTCTAATCGTTCAGTAGGATAATTATAACATTCAACAATTTGACTTATCAGCTTCTCAAAAGCACTTGTAACTATTGAATCTTCATTGTCATTACACACAAATTGTAAATTTTCCATTGTGGCTGGGAAAATCTTTGAAAAACATTTTCGAATGACTTCTTCAGAAACTGAATCCCATCCACGTGCGATTCCTCTTATTGCATCTTTCAATGTTAATCCTTTCTGAAATTCGCTAATTGGTGTTCCTTGTTTAATAAGCTCATTGAGAAGTTCTTTACGATAATGTCGCTTTGTTGAAGAGAGGATTCCTTGCTCCATTGGTTGAATGAGTGTCTTAACTTTAGCAGGAAAATATTGACAGAAAAAGAATCCATCGTCAGATCGTAGGAATTGATCAGATGGATGTGAAGGTGATCGATCAATGAGTAAAAGTGCAGTTTCATTTAATCCTACAGATCTAAGATATTGTCGAACATTAGGCACAAATTGTGAGTGAAACCATTCACGGAATATATCTTGATCCATCCAAGCTGTCTCTTGGCTATAATAATTAACTGGCAATGTCTTAATTTCATGTGAAGTGAATGTTCTTGACTTCTTTCCACGTCCAATACATGCAAGCGGAAGTTTATGCGTCCCAGTAGCATTTGAACAACAAAGAATCGTCATTCGCTCACGATATGCTCTCACACTTGCTTTCACTTCATTCACATCGGAATCAGGATTGGGCAGCATTTTCCAAAATAAATCTGATTCGTCAGCATTATAAATTTGCTCTAACGATAAATTATACCACTGTGCGATTGATTCAACTTCAGCCTTAAAAGGGGCCACAGCATTTATATCGCTTTCTGTCTTCACCTCACGTAATCCACAAAGCTTTATGCCGTTTCGAACTTTGAAACGATCCAGCCATCCGTTCGAAGCTGTAAAGTTATCGGTGTAAGCTAATTCTTTATGTAATTCTTGTGCTTTGGCTGCTATCATTGGTCCTGAAATGTATCCACCTTCGGCACGACATTCATTGTACCATTCAAGGACCTTATCTTCAAGCTCCTTATGCACTGTACGTCTCAATGTTCTTCGTCGTTTCAAATTCTCCTCCTTGTCAGCATTCATAGACATAAATTTAAAAAATTTGTACTTCCTTTTCAATATATCCGATATTGTGGTTCTCCCAACATTAAACTCCTGCGATAACGCTCTTTGCGTTTCACCTTTTTCATGACGCTGAATTATTTCAATTTTCTTCTCAATTGTCAAACTAACTCGTTTCTTGGAAGATTTTAGTTTTGTTATTTCCAACCCTTCATGTAATTCATCTACGTCTTCATTCTCTTCCTGTGTATTACCTAAAGAATAAATGGTTTGGATGTGGTCTAGATGTTCTTCTTTTATATCATTGGTTAACATCTCTTGACTCTCGTTTGGGATGTGGATAAGAATGTTGTCATCACTTGTAATATTAACATGAATCTCTTGTTCCATGGCTTCGTTATCTAACGTGTCAAGATCCATGTTATATGCAACTAGAATCAAAAGAATATTTATCTTTATTATGGTTTCATTAAAATTTAAAAGAAAATATTACTAATTTTTGGTAAAACTTTGTAATTATATCATTCCACTGAATCTTACAAATATTCTTCTTATTTGAAGTTATTCAATTAAAATTTCCTTCTTAAATTTTCTTTACTCGACTCTGTCAGATGATTAAATAATTCTTTTTGAAGAAATTGTTACAGACAAATTAAAATTAAAGTAGTTTCAATTTTTAAGAAGTTTTATACGATTTCGGAAACAACTTTGAAAGCGCCAAAAACATTGACAAAACATCAAAAACATTGTTTTACTGAATACATCGGAAACTGACTTTTTTTAACTGAACGGACACCAAAATTTACAGAAAACTTATTCTCTATCAAAATAATTCATTATCAGCTTATCAAGCTTACATTTTTCAATCAATGATTCACTAGAACAATGCTAGGAGCAGGAACGCTAAAAATCATCATACAAAGCGAGTAATTATGTAAGAAGAGTAAAAACAACGGAGCCAGCATATAAAATAAATTCTTTTCATCATTTTCTTCCTCAGTTTTCAAAGTTAATTGAGAACAACAAAGGTGTGATGGGTCAGACTTTAAGCGAGCCTGTAACAAATAAAGAGACAGCGATTTGTCAAGATGATTTTTACAAGGTAAATTTTCTTTGTGATAAAATAAAACCTGGTGCTTGCTTTTCGGTAAAAATTATTGCGTTGTACGTAATTATAACCCTCCAGAGTTCCAGTAAGCTATGAAAAATAAAACGTTTTGTCATGTTGTAGGTCGGTAGTTCATGTATGCAAGGATGGCGAACGTCCATGGAAGACAGTCACACACATATTCTTTCACTTCCGGATGACCCAGGTACATCATGGTTTAGCGTTTTCGGTGAGTAAAAATAATGAAATGTCAAAGTCCATAAATTAATACAATTTTCTACTCCTTTAGATGGTCATGGTGGATCGATTGTTGCAAAGTATGCCAGCAAACACCTTCATAAGTTCGTTATTCAAAGACCAGAGTTTCCCAATGACATACCTGAAGCTTTAAAACAAGTAAGTGCCTTCAACCATCGGTCGTTCTTGACCTTTCGACCAAGAAACCTTTTATTTTAAATTCTTTTTTGCATCCGCACATTTGTTGCCTGATTCACACTCGCAACTCACGCTTTATGTTTTATTTTCCTTTGTACTAATCTTTGCAGGGATTCCTTGAATGTGATACTGCGATGTATAATGATGTAGCTATAAAAGAGCAGATGGCAGGTTCAACAGCAATCACAGTCCTCATAAGAGACAATAAGATTTATTGCGCTAATGCTGGCGATTCCCGCGCAATCGGAAGTCGAAATGGAACGTTGGTTGCACTGAGTAGCGATCACAAGCCCAATAATCCCGAGGAAATGGATCGGATATTCAATGCTGGTGGATGGGTTGAGTTTAATCGTGTGAATGGAAATCTCGCATTGTCACGTGCACTTGGTGATTTTCTTTTTAAACGTAATCAAACAATCCCAGCGGAAAAACAGATCGTTACAGGTGAGATCATCAACAATTATAATCACTAAAAAGAAAGAAGGAAAGTGAAACAGTGAGCGTGTTTGGAAGTTATTTGCACGGCTTACGTTCAAGGCATCACATTTTTTATGACTTCGTTTTCCTTTGTTTTGTTGTAAATAACATTTTCATGTTTCTACGGAATTTCCAGCCGCTATTCTGCTTTTTCCTACTGTCTTATGATAACAAACAATTTTTTTTTATTAAAAAAGTGAAAAAAGATACGAAAATATGGAAAATTGAACGGTTGAAGCGTGACTCAGAACTAATCAAAGCGCGCTTACTTAATCATGATTTGTGACGCCATAATTCAAATCATGAGCCATCCACCGTAGTAATTAATCACCTTTGTTAAGTAAATTCATTATTAACCATTACATGGTAATTCATTTGCATTCTAAGCCACGCAGTCTTGAACATTCTTTCAAATATTCAAATATTCATATCGATTTGTAATATTAAATAATGTTTATTTCTTCTTTCGCAACGTGACATTTGTTTTTGAGTTTTTAAATGTGTAAGATCGTTCAGAAGCTTATCATATCAGTGTTTGATAAGAGAAAAAAAAAACGTTATTTTGGGTCGACAACAGATATTTAAGTAATTCTTCTTTTTTTATGGAATTAAAGCTGTTATCAAAGTTTGATTAATTCTTAAAGCTGACACTTTATTGTTAATTATAATCTGTTTGTTTATTTGCATTTTGTAGCTTATCCTGAGGTGTCAGTTCACGATTTAACAGAGGAATGGGATTTTCTGGTGCTTGCTTGCGATGGCATTTGGGATGTTCTTACAAATCAAGTGAGATTTATTGTTTTAAATATTTTCATACATCAACAACAACAGCGTGTGATTTATTTCCTCTTCCATTCTAGGCCGTAATCAACTTTGTAACCGAAATGATTGGTGAAGGGAAATATCCAGAAAGTATCTGTGAAGAGTTACTTGGTTATTGCCTGGCTCCCGTTTGTCATATGGGTGGTCTAGGTGGTGATAACATGTCGATAATTATTGTCTGTTTACTGCATGGAAAACCATGGGAAAATCTTGTGGAGAAGTGCAAGAAAATTCATTCAAATAAACGTGCATCGACGAAATTAAGCGACCCAGCATTTACAAACTTTGATCGCTTTACTGCAGAAGGTCCGTTTGCTGAAGTTTCTGTTCTTAAAGCTGCCGATGATATTCACAACTCCAAAGACAGCGTAAGTTCTTCATCACATACATCATCATCATCATCCTCGCCGATCTCAACAGATGAGAAATTCGAAACAATGGTTCTTGGACCAGACAATTCAGAAGATAATTCGAAAGAAACAGCAGCTACAACCATTGAACAATTCGGTGGTGAAAAGAGAGTGGAAGAAAATGTTGTTAAATCGGAAAATGAATCAACGGAATTGAAAGAAATCACGAAAAATGAAGCAGATGAAGAGAGTAAAGCAAAAGTAAACAACGACTTAGATAATGGCGAGACATCATCAACAACTTCTGATGCACCAAAAGCTTCGATTGTGAGTAATGGTGAATAAATTGTTTCATTTAATGACCGTCTTTTACCGAATACGAGACAACGTTTGGGAGTATGTCGAAATGTATTTTTGATAATTTTACCAAATGAAACGAATTTGTTTTGTCTCTTTATGACTTATTACAATTGCAAATCAACATCAATAATGTGTTCTATTCGCTAAATGACGGTTTAGAAGAAAAAGTTAAATCCGTTGATATTCTTAAAAAAAAAAACATTCAAATGAAAACCCACAAGGTTTGTTGTTGTTGTAAAGTTTACTGAAAACAAACAATCGAAACGCTTAAAATCGTTGACTTATTAATTCTTTGTCGTTAATAATTTCCCATTCCCCTCCAGTTGTCTTACTTGTTAAAAATCATGTCGCGTTTTTTTTTCTTCAAAACTTTATTTTCTCGTGTTAACAATTTGTTAATAAGAAATTCTCTCCTTTTTAGTGCTTATTTAAGAGTGCATTGTAAAGCATAAAAAAGAAATAAAAGATAGAAATGTCGTGCACCATCATAGGACAATGAGCCTTTGGCAGCTTTAATTGATTTTTTACTCATGCAACACTTGTAAAGAAATTTATGAAAACGACGACAATATTTTCAGAAAACAAGTTACAACTCTTAATTAATTAATGATACGATGACTTGTCAATTAATTGCGTTTCAATTGTGAACGTAATTTATAGACGATTCTTCTTTCTATTTCGTTGAGCTTAAATGAAAAGAAATTTGGTTTATTAATGAAACATTTCGAACTTTCGGGTTTTTTCTTTTTTATATCAAAGTCCAGGTCAGTTCACTTTCAGTATCGTTAGACGTAGTATGTGAGATGACTCATAATTAAATTAATAGCAAAGTGAAATTGTTGTAAAATTAACCAAAATTAATAATCGGCGATATTGCGATTAGCGCAATATTTTTTAGAGAAATTAGGAATTAGAAATATGATAATTGAAATAAAAATGAGTTTAGTTTTTAACACAAGAAATTACAGTAGCATAGCATTGATTGCTAGCACTTTTAATTTCATTTTAAATCAGCAGAGAACTTAAAAAATTCATTCAAACCTTCGACTTTTCACAATTTTAATCTAATATTTTATTAAGTTATAAATTTCTTTCTGGAAATTTTAACAAGTCGCATTTGGCTAATAGAATAGAACGACAACTTTATTGTATTCATAATAAATTTTCTACCCATATTTATTAAAGTTGTGAATAAGCTGAAGGTTTTCTTGCCCTTGAAAATCCATTTTCTACTTCACTCTACATAAACAACATAGCAAACCTGAATATTCATTTAATTCACAAAAGAAAATATTTCACTGGTGAATTTTCAGTTCCATTAATTTGTTATTTATACGGTAAAGAATCCGAATTGTAAGTAGAAAGGTAGAAAGTAATAATAAAAACAAACAAACACATAGAATTGTCTAAAGAACATTGTAATCGAGTGACATATTTCGTATTATTGAAACACAATGGTAAAGAAAAGGAAACAAAAAATGTATAAACATAAAAAGTATGGTAAACATAAAGCATAATAACATAAAGTAAAGGAATAAAGAAAGTTATTGGTAATAAATATGTTGTACTTATGCGATTCATGATTTCATTCTTCGTTGTGGCTTTTTGTCACATCGAAAACTTCCCAAAACGTTAACACATTTTTCGTCATGTTTACAATTATTTTGATGTCGATCTTCGCATTCGTTGGTGTCTTCGTATTGATGATTAATTGTATTGTATGCAAAGCCTCAAATGCATTTTTTAGGACTTTTCTAACACGTAGAGGGTATAAGTTTAACCTTGATAGCGATTGGCAGAAAAAGTTAGTTGTATGCAGAAAAATTTTAAAATTCTTATTAATTATTCGACAAAGTTCTCACACATTTCTAAGATCCTGATGATGATGACATTTTGTCATCGAAACTAGTCGACGGAATAAAAGTTGAGAAAAGATCATCACTAGTCTGAAAACCGTAATTTGTTTCATTAAATCTTTTCTAACACTTTCTGTTGAATCTGATTCGAGATTATTTGACGACGACGAATTTTTTGTTTGTGCTTCATCATGAACAACTCTAAGACGACTTAAATGCTCGAGAAAAGTTTCTTCAGGTATCGGCTTGTAAGTGTTCAAAGTGACTTTAATTTTTGGAATGTTTGGTTCCATAATGTCAGGAATTGGGACATAATATTTGGGACATTTCGACCATTCTGAGAACTTTCCCCAACCGCCATTAATTGGACAAGCAAGTTGGTTACATTTACGTGATTCAACATTCTCATCCACGCAAAGATAATCTTCAGCAGTTGCTCGATAATGAATTCCACCAGAACCACATGACACGCTGCAAGTTGTGGATGGACCGAATGCTGAAAGTCTTCCATAATCATTTACAGCATTGCATAAGAATTTTCCTTGATTGTTTTTGTTTGTGTCAATTATTCTCATCATTTGATTAGTTAAATCTTTTTTCAGAATTGACTATTTGTGCTCCATTCCGGAAAATATTTAAAAATATTTATTAATTTTTTAATGAATTATTGTTCACTTCTCACCAACAGTGTTGTTGATGTAACACATGAAACTCGACGATTCCTTATCTCACAGTTTTCTTTGACCTTGATGCTTTTTGATTTTCTTTCTACTGCGATATTAAAGATGATTTGTTTTCATGTCGGCTGTCAGTAGATAATCTCTATACGAATGAGATTCTTATTATTTCACTGATTATGCATTTCAATCAACAAAAGTCGTTTCAATTGAAGTCGTGAAAAAAAGTTTTTGTTTATAGATGAATCAGTATACTGGCGAAGATTGTGCTATAAAGTTGTTTCGAGCAAATTCTAGTTGAGAACATCTGACTATAAACTTTAATCAATCATTATTACGTTTAACAATATTTTTTCTATTCATTCTGATTTTGATTTTTGTTATCTAATCGCAAATAATTATTTACGGAAGCAAAATGAAATCTGTGTTAAATTTAGTGTGTCTTGGGCTACTTTTAATGATATCGAAGGTAAGCACGACGTAAAATTTTGGAACTTGATATTTCTTAATGGATATCCTTTTGACAGTCTCTGTGTGATTATGAGAATGCTACAAATGACTCAAGTTATCAATTTGAAACCCCTTCGTCGTTTTATACAGCAGCAGTTGTTGAATTTCATGCACCAGGTGATGAATTAATTGATCCAGAAGAAATTGTGGAAGCTAATTTAGATGAATATTTGAGACTGATTGATGAAGCTAGTATAAAAGGAGTCGATATCTTAGTTTTCCCAGAGGCTTCTCTGAATTACAATGGTGAGGGAATGTTTACATCTTCGTTTCAAATTTTGTATAACGTAATTAAACATAATTACCAGGCATAAAAACTCGTGAAAACTTATCAGAGATAGCAGTTGAAATTCAAACGGAAGTTCCCGACATTACCAACTGCGATTACTCCCACGATGTCGTAAGATGATCTCTCTCCTTCATTTAAATATAAATGTGCAATTATCTTCAATTTACAGATACTCAACGAACTTTCATACGCTGTGTCAAATGCGAGCATCTATGCTCTTGTCAATGTCGTTGAGATAGAATTTTGTAATGACACTGAATTGTGTTCAGATGATGGATTTAACTTGTATAACACAAACATTGTGTTTGATAGAAATGGTTGCATTATTTCTCGTTATCGAAAGTTTAATCTTTTCATCGAACCATTTATGAATGTAACAAAAGAACCTGACGTAGCAACATTCGAAACCGATTTTGGTGTTACTTTTGGTCATTTTATATGTTTTGATATTCTTTTTAAATCTCCAGCACTTGATTTGATCAATTTAAATGTGACGCATTTACTATATCCATCGATGTGGTATTCGGAAACGCCTTTCTTAACGAGCGTTCAAATTCAACAGTCATTTGCACATCGTAAAAACATTGTGTTGTTGTCATCAGGAACCAACAGTCCAGAGAATTCGAATACTGGAAGTGGAATTTATATTGGACGTCATGGAGCTGTCGATAAAATTATTTCATTTAAAAACGAGACAAGAATGATTATTGCCGAAATACCAAAAAATGTTGATGACCAAGATTATGTGTCAGCTTCACCTACTGTCAAGTCATACATATCTACAGATATGGATAAACTAAAACTGTGGAATTATAAACCACAAAACATTTTTCCTTTACATAAACATTTTGTGACGACAATTGGAAAGGTTAGTTGTGAGTTCACAATTAAATATGTAAAGTTAGATATTCCTGAGGGTCATATTGGATACAGTTATAGGTTGACAGCCTTTTCCGGTATAAGAACTTTTTCAGGCCTCGTAAATGCAGGTGAAATTAATTGTGCTATCATTTCGTGTTATGAGAATGACGATAATACTTGTGGTAAAAAGATTGAAAACACCACAAATTTAGTACCGTCACTTGAATTTTTATCGATTGATATAAAAGTTACAATCGAAGATAATTCAGAAAACTATCAAGTGATGCCAACAACACTCAAAACTTCACTTCTTCCTTTACAAACAAACAAATATGAATTTGTTAGTGTCGTTGATGATGACATTCAGATTTATAACGTCAAATCTTCTGAAAAACTAAGTGATTTAATGACTTTTGGAATTTATGGTCGAAATTTCAATTTGGACGAGAAAATGGCACAAAAAAAGTTGAAGACTGTGGAAATTTTTTTAGATAACCGCGATGCAAGTGAAATTACTTACTTTGATGAAGACGATGATTCAATAGAGATTAAAATGACAATTTATGTAATCCTGATGGTTGGATTGAGTATCGTAACAGCGATAATGGTTTACAGAAAGTTACAACATCCATATGTTAAACCAGATTTGGGGAAAAGAAAAAGTTTTGTTTCTTAAAATATTTTTTTGAATATCCCTCAAAAATATAAGTGATATTAATGATTGTAAAATGATTCAATACATATAAGGCATATCAATGAAATAAATTGAGATTTATGAGGAAAAATATCAAAAATTTCCGTTTACGATAAAGAAAGGAAAACATAGATTACAGAGACTTAACTTTTCAGCTTAATTTTGTAATTGAATCTATAATACGAAGATTTTTAACTGATTTTTAAACTATGACGGTGACATTTGTATTTTTGTGCATGAAAATTGCAATCATACTAGGCTATTAATTGTGAAATTGATTGTTCGATCGAAACAAAAGTAAGATATGGCAAGAAAACGAGAAGTAAATCTTTTCTCACAATTGAACAATGATATGGAATTCAATGAATTTCTAACAAGTAAAGGATTGGTTGGTGAGAGCACCAAACGAAATTATCATTTAAATTTTCTGATAAATTCTCATTTAACAGTTCTCGACGTGTATCATGAATTAGTAGGGCCATGTCTTACTTTGCGTCCAATAATGGAAAAAATTAAGGTAACATTTATAGCAAAATAACATTTTCAAGTAACTTTCTGACAAGTTTACTCGTTCTCGAAAGCTGTCCCTCATTGATAGCGAAGACTTAAGAATGGCGACTTGTGATGTAGAAAAAATTAGCCAACTCAAAAGATTCTCTTCATGTATTCCAACAATCTTATTCTGCATTGTAAAATAATTAACTACTATTTAAATGTTAAGAATTTATATTTTGTTTCATCAAAAATTTCATTTGATTAGAAAGGAAAAGTTTTAGACATCGTTTATGGTGCGAATATTCCAAAAATCAAAGCAGCCTTCACGAAGTATTTACATATTGTAGAAGAAGAACATCGAGAATTATACGATTTTGATGAGATGATACCATCGGAAGTCCATGCATTGAAGATCCAACGAGATTTGAAAGAAGTAAGAGCTTTGCTTTCATAATAATTTGCAGCATTTTTTCATGTTGAAACTTTGAAGGAAGAAAATCGGGAAATTTGGGCACAAGCTGAAAAAGATCGAGTAGAGATGCTCGACAAAATAATTACGTTAATGAAAGATTCTGCATCCGACATGGGTCTCACTTTGTTTATGCCACATGTTGCTGATGTTGGTTTTAAAAAGACATCAGAAATTGCACGATGGATGTTAATGACTCCAAAAGGTCGAACATTTATACAACTTCAGCCAAATATGATGCCAAATTTTTGTCACCAACTTGACAACCCAATCGATGAAAATATTTTAAATTATTTGTATGGAAAAGATATTTTGGCAGTTTTATGGGCAACTGATCCACGAGCTTCAACTGAAAATGTTCTTCACGAGTTCATTTGTAAAGTTACAGAACCCCAGCTGAAAGAAATAGAAGAAGATGGAGAAATTATAGTAACAGATGAGTTAGAACCGAGTGTTCTTGAACCATTAATAATTTATTTGGATGAAGTTAATGAAGCACCACAAAATTCTAGTATAACCGATGTTAATCGTGAAAGTCGTAATACAATTTCTGAATTAGATTATTCAAATCGTTCTTCAAGTATGACAATAGTTGAACCAACAAAAATATCTTCTTTGAATATAAATGAAGATGATAACAGATCACTTGTGATTCCACCTGTTTGGACTCCAAAAAATCAAGAAGGAAACGCAGTTCTAATGTCCACATTTTTTCGAAGCGTGAGTAAAATGTTTTAAAGTCAAATTTTTATATTCATCTATAATTATCGTCAACAGCATTTTGATCATATATTACCTCCTCTCAAGCATGTTGAACCTCCACAGTTGCTAATGATTCTTCCAGCTAAAAATCATCTTGCAATACATGAATTATGTAGTCAAAATCCGAATCAGCTACTGGCTTACGGCTATTTTACTGGTGATAGACCTGAACAGCTAAAATTAATATGCAAAAGTCAGGAAAAGTTTGAACAATTGAAAAGAACTGGATTCGAAAATGTTGTTATGAAAATTGCTGAAAACATCGGTCATCTAGCACTACATTTAATGGAATTTAATCCAATTTTCATAAGTCACAATGCTACAACTGGAATCAAGGATTGCGAAAAAGTTTTCAACGAAGCATTTAATGAGTTCAGTGATAAAATCGAAAAAAAGAAATGAAAAATTATCGAACCAATCAAAAACAATATAAATTGATAATGATATCAAATAGATGAAACTAAATTATATTTGCATTAAATAAATTTATTGACAGATTCAATTCACATTCTATTTCACATTTTCGGAAAACAGATTTTGACTCAATATTCAGCATTAATTTGAGATATGTAATTTTTGTATAAATTTCCAAACATAAAAGAAAGATAAGATAATCAAAAATGATAAGAACTGATAACTCATTATTTATTTAATTTTGCAAGCAAAACTGATGTTGATAAATATGAAGATACTTCAGTGCAGTGTAGAATTTATTGTCATAGACAAATATTGCATAAATATCTATAAGAAATGATTGAATATTTATCTCAATTTCTTGTGGCACTCTTAGGTTGCATTTTATAACTTTTTTACATTATAGAAATATTAAATTAATTATATGTGTGTTATTTCAAAAGCAAGCGGTGGTGCTTTTATGTTTGGAATTCTACTTGGATGGTCAGCACCAGCTGCATCTCAAATCATTGAAAGACATGAAGATGACTTTTATTTCTGGATAACTAACAGTCAGTTCACTTGGATTGTTGCGATGATGCCTCTTGGAGCTGTTTTTAGTTGCGTTTTATCCGGTATCATTCGAAATATTATTGGAACGAGATTTACATTTTTGCTGTTTGGGATTCCTATTCTAATTGGATTGACATTGCTCACGATTCCGTTAAACCCCGGAATGGTAACGAAAAAAATTTATTTTAAATCTTTTTCTAATCTTATACCTTAAAAACAATTTAACAGTTGATTGCAGGAAGGTTTCTTTGCGGGATTTCTATTGGTTGTTACAGCTACATTGTCCCTATCTACGTGGGTGAAATTGCATCAAATAAAATTCGTGGAAGACTTCTCAGTCTCTTCCAAGTTTGCCTAAATTTTGGAATTCTTTTTATTTACATTCTCGGACATTTCACAACATATCGAGTATTCAATATTGTATGTGGAATTCTTTCAATTTTTTATTCCTTTGGTTGCTTGGTTCTTCCTGAGTCACCGCCTTTTCTGATTAGGAAACAACGCGAACTTGATGCAGATTACTCGTTGAAAATATTGCGAGGAAAATCTTTTAATACTTACGAAGAAATTCAAATGCTAAAGAGGCAACATCAAGAATTTTTAAACCAAAAAAAGACAATTACTGAAATATTTAAAACTAAAACAACATTGAAAGCTTTTTTCATAATTATGCTTCAATTCACATTTCTTCAAATGACCGGCATCAATGCAGTTCTTTTTTTCTCCACAATAATATTTAATGAAGCAAAAATTAATTTAGAGCCAGGAATTGCAAGTATTATTGTGGCGAGTGTTCTAGTTTGTGCAACATTTTTGTCAGTAACTTTTGTCGATCGCTTCGGTCGCAAATTTCTTTTGATATCATCAAATATTTTAATGTTTTTTGGACTTTGTGGTATCGGCACATATTTCACTTTAAAAGACGAAGGAAATAATATTGACGCTTTGACGTGGTTGCCTGTGACTTCACTCTCAATCTTTACAATAGGGTTTTCAAGTGGAATGGGCCCAATAACTTATATTTTACTAGGAGAACTTTTTCTCCAAGAAGCTAAAATTTTCATCGCACCGATTGGACAACTCTGGAGTTTTCTTCTAATTTTTATCATTGGATTAACTTTTCCTACGATGACTTCAGCGATGGGTGCAGGTGCAACATTTTTCATGTTTTCGGCATTTTGTGGAGTTTCTCTTCTATTCACCATTTTTTACATTCCTGAAACAAAAGGAAAATCAACAGAGGATATTCATAGACTTTTAGAAAATAATTCTTGTTTCCTTTAATATTGTAATTATGTGCGACGACATAAAAGGAAGTTGATAAGATCTTTTTACGGCTTGTTTTTCGTCTAGATTATTATTATTATTATTTTAAAGATTAGAAGGAAAGAAAACCTTATAACTCATAGGCTTGATAAATAAATGTATCACTAGACAGACTTTTTTACTGGAAATATATGATTCAGTCAAGATCAATGTTGAGAATTAGAAACATAATTTTGTTTTATTGTCAATTTTCTGCTTATTTTTTAGATTCACATTAAAAAATTATCGCAATAAACTTCATTTGTTTTACAAATTATTATATAAGTCACAAGACTCATTAAGCTTTAAATTCGAAGCTTAACTGATATTATGTCTCATTTCAAAATTTTAAAGATAACAAAACGTATCTTATGATAAGAATCATGATAAGAAAAAACCCCCGATTGTGTCCACTATAAAATCCACTGCTTGAGTAAAAATTCCTTAATTATTTCAAAGCTTATTGAGTGAGCAAAACAGTTAGTGATCAGAAATATACCAAAATGAAAGGGTAACAAATACTGTTTGCAAATAATTTGAGAAAAATAATTTTTGAGAACATTTCCAGGCATTTGTTAATAGTCATCTGTGCTATATTTACGGGAATTGAAGTAAATTCTCAAGTGCCAGGATTTGGAAGATGCCCACGCACGTCTGCAGTACAAAACTTTGACGTTAACGCTTATCTTGGAAGATGGTTTGAAATTGAATCATACTTTCAAACTTTTGCAATTGGTGGTACATGTGTTGAAGCGAATTATGGATTAAATCCTAATGGAACGGTTTCGGTTTTAAATAAAATGACGAGATTAGGACGAGAAGAGTCAATTTTAGGCTACGCAGTACTTGCCAGCCCAGGTGAAGGAAAATTAATTGTCAATTTTCCACAAAGTCCACGTGAGTAAAATCTTCAAAGTTAATGAATTTGCTAATTTAGTGCCTTTTAACAGCAACTGATACACCAAATTATATAATATTGAGTACGGATTACGTCAACTATGCTGTTGTTCATTCATGCACTCAAATTTCACGATTCACTTACGTCCAAATTGCTTGGATTTTAGCTAGAAATCGACAAATCGGAGCCATTCAAAGATTCCAAGCCAGAAGAGTTTTAGAAAATAACGGTGTCAGCACAAGATGGTTGCGTGAAACTGATCAATCAAACTGCGGCTGATAACATTTTAAAGTTAATCAGATAGTTCTGTATAAAATCGTTGAATTGAATAGAATGAACTGTCGTAGATTTGTCTTATCGTTATCTTAAATTCATTAAATGAAAATAAAAACTTTTTTGGCCTTTCATTAAATTGATGATTCATAGCCTTAGTTAATATGTTACGAAAAGCTTTCAAGGCATCTGTTTGTGACAAGAAGTTATAATTATCATGTATTTATTCGAGAATATTCTTTGTAAATTGTTTTTCTGTTGTTTTTGACTACACGTTCGTATTCTGTTATTAATGATATCAGAGTCACTTGTTATAATATGAATTACAGATGACACTACCTTGCCTTGGCAGCTCATTTCTTCACAAACGACTACATAAGAAAAACATTTTGTCACAATTGCCATCCCTTTTTTTTCTTTATATTTCTGTTTTTTGAAGCAAACCGTTTCATTATATTTTTAATTTTGATCCCAACTTATTCCGGATAAGTTTCAGTTTTCAAAATGGACTTAAGAAAAATCCTTTTCATCTTTAAAATTTTATCAAGTGAGTTTCGATCGATAATGAAATTTCAACTTTATTTAATCTTTACAATTTGTTTATAATACTTAAAGTCTGCCAGATGGTTGTATTTGCTTTACCCAAAGAGGTACAAAAGGAAGTTATAATTATAGAAGAATCTGTGAAAATAGAAGAAGTGCCAGCTGAAGATATAAAAGGACCATCAAATCCATGTGCAAAAAAATATGAGGAACCATGTTTAAATCGCGGAGGTTCATCTACATGTGTGTGTATGAGCGGATTTATTAGAGATCGATCTGGAAATTGCGTCCGCTTTGGAGGAGGTGATGATTAGGGAAAAGCTTTAACCGACATTAATTTTTAAATTGACATTCCAAACCTTAGAATGTCCTCGCAACGAAATTCTAAGTTGCGCGAATAGAAACCATGAACTGACTTGTGACAACCTTGATCAAAAACTTAGTAAGGCGGCCTTACATTGCGTATGTTGCGATGCCAAATGTATGTGTGCTCCTGGATTTGTTCGACATTCTAATGGTCAATGTGTTCCTAAGGCATTTTGTAGCCTTACAAACATCGGTAAGGATTAATCTTAATGAGATTGAAATATCAAAATGATATTTTCCATGAATTTTCAACAGATTGTGGAGAACATGAAAGTTACTCAGATTGTCAAGGACCAGAAGATGGAGGTTATTGCTATAATAGTTGTGAACCTGATTGTAAGCATGTGTTGCCTTACTTTTGTAGAGGCCAGAATAAGCCTGGTTGTTATTGTGACATAAATTATGTCCGACATGATGGAAAATGTATTTCGATTAAGGAATGTTTTCGCAAAATATGAGATTTGAATTGTTTCTTCAAATATTTCTCTGTTTATCATGAACTAACTACCTAGTTCATTGAAATTTTGAAATAAAATCTTCATATGAAAATATATTAAATTGATTTTAGTTTTCTCAACTTTAGTTTTATTAGCATGACTCGAATAAAATATTCGAATACAGATATAATTTATGCTAGGTAGGTATCTAGATAACGAAAATTCTAAAAAAACTTTTTTTTTGATCTTCTTGATAGATACAATAATATTTTTTATTGATTGTTTGAATATGTTGAACAAAAAAGATGTTTTTAATGAAGTAGCTCCAACTCGCACGTTTACACATAAAAAAAAATAAGAANAACAAATCTTCAAAAATATTCTACAAGGGGGCAAATTTGCTTCATTGGCCTAAGTGTCTGTGCCATCGGATTTGTATCAGAATTCGTATCGATTCACTAATCGGTACGATCCTGGTTCCATTCTCGGTGGTGGTCACTTGGGCTGAGGTTTTCAGAAGTTTAGATACTTCGCCCCTGTTTCATTTAAAGTGGAATTTTTCACTAGGATATAATAAACTGAAATGTCTCTTTGTATCAGATTTGATAAAAATATAAATTTGTCAAATATGAACAATGAAGAGTATTCAGGAATATACAATCCTGTGGAACGCCACTGAAAGTGGAACCTTCATCATTCAGGTGATGAGACGAAGGGAGCGAAACAAGTTGGAATTTATATTCCTGTATTCTTAATCGCTTTAGTGTACAGTCGTGCACTCCCTACTCTGATGATGATGATGAATATGTTGAACAAAAAAGATGTTTTTAATGAAGTAGCTCCAACTCGCACGTTTACACATAAAAAAAATAAGAAGCAATAGTAAATATTAGATATTCCTTGAAAACATAAAGGTATCTGAAATAAAGTAAACTATGATCGTTAAAAAACAGCACATTTGTGTTGTCAAATGAACAAATATATTAAATTTACAAAAATAAAACACGTATGAGCTTCTAAATTTATTAATTATATTAAATAAGCTTACATAATTACGATGTTATTCTGCTTTTCCCTTATCATCTTCACAAGCAGATAATTTAGACTTTAAACTGACATAATAACATATCATCGGAATCATACTGCAACAACGTAAATATGAGAAATCAGCACAATCATGAAATACCCAAAACAATTTTATTTGAGATGGATAAGCGAAGTAGGTGAAATTATGTCCATTTCTTTATAATTATTTTCAAATACATAAATAGCTATAGAATCTCTCCAACTATTATGATGATCGTTAATTTGAATAATGAGTGTAGGTATTTGGCTTATTTTTAAATAAACATTTTTTTTGGCAATAATAAGGCGTAATTTCATGATAAACATGATATTTTGTAAACATACTCAACATTGCATTTTAAGTGTCATTTTCCTTCTGTTGGAAAAAATATTGTTAGTAATTGTCAGTATAAAAAAACTTATATCATTGAACTTACTTCTATTTTGATGGCTTTAACAGCATCGTTGAATGTTTCCTCCATTTTTCCATTTGAGGTTTCTTCCAAACATCCATTGTCGACAACAGGCATTTCATTTTGAACCAATAAATGTGACGAGTGAATGTGGAAAAGAAAATCGTCGAATTTTTTGAATTGTTCATTATCAATTGGACATAATAATGGCTTCATATGGAAAAACATAATGTGACGTTTCAAATCTTCTTCACTTTTATATTTTTGTGTGCAATGTCCACATATTTCATTCCAATTATCTTCATCATGATGTGGCAGAACTTCAACCGAGTCAACTTTCAGTTTAGAACGGAAACAAAAGCCTTCAGCAGGAATTGATTCCGATTCTCCTTTTGTTTTATGAATATTTTTATGGTAATTCAAATCATCGAGATTTCTGAATTGCATATCACAAAGATCACATTTCTCAAGCTTCATTTCCATAACAATTGAATCAGATATGAAATGAATCTTTTTATGCATATTAAATGAACTTATTTTTAAAAATTTGAGATCACAAGAATTGCATTTCAAAATTCCTGTTACGTTATTCCCATCTAGACTGTTCCTTTTAGTTCTTTCTTTCTTGGGTAATGTGAAACCATCAGAATTGTTTTTCAGCTTTTCACATTCTTTTTTATGTTCTTGATATCTTTTTACACTGAGTCTATAAAATGGTAGATGATGACGAGTAAGATGATATTTCATTTGATTTTTACAAAGTTTCCCACATATCCAACATTTATAAGAATTTTTTCTTGATCTTTCGCATCCACGCTTAATCCATATTTTATCCTTATTACTCAAGTCTGAAATGAATTCATTACGAAGTTCTGTCTCACCATCTTCTTCTTTTTCTTTGATTTCTTTTTTCACTAATGCTGTTTCTATTTCTTCGTCACTTTCTTCTTCAGAACTTTCAGAAAGAAACATATCAGGAGGCAGAACATGAAGATATTCAAATTGTTTTGTTTCAATTTTCTTTTCAGGCAAGCCTTCAACAACTGCTTCACGATTCGATGCAATATTTTTGTCCTCATTTTCAGTGTCATCAGGACAGAAATTTTTCGATCGTGGAACCCATTCGTCGTCTTCAGATTGATCAAGTGATCTTTTGTTTCCGTTACGTATCGTACTTTCTTCTGTACCATCAAATTTATTCATGTGTTCAACTCGTAAATGCTTTCGGAAATCTTCTTCCGTATAGCAAATTTTGCCACCACATTCACGACAAATCCAAACATTTTTCACTTCTTCTGACGTGTGCAATCTCTTTCGACATTTTTCTACTTTATCATTTTCAAATTCGTCTTCTTCTTCTTTAATTAATTTATGAGTTTCTGTTCTCATTTCTTTTCGATGCATTCTCGATACATGAAGTTTTGTTTCTTTGAATCCTTCACAAGTTGTTGAACAAATACAGCAAATCCAGAAAATTCCATCTTCCTTCTTAACTTCGGAGTTGTTGACAACATTTTTGATCCAATTTTTTCGAATTCTTTCCGAAATTGATTCATTGGCTTGTAATTTGTCGTCTTGGTGATTTAATGATCCTGATGAAGTTGATTCACAATGCAACGTTATCAAATGTTTTCGAATTGCAGATAAAGAAAAACACGAGAAATTGTCACAAACACAACAATTCCATAAAGTTGAACTGCTTGGAGTTTTCGACTTTTCAATCATTCCTTTCAACCATTCAGAGTCACCATTATTTTCTGACATAGATCTTTCGAAAGAAGACATTCTTTCAGCTTTGAAATGCATTCTTGCAACATGAAATCTTATTCCAAGTACAGACTCAGTTGTAAAGTCTTTACAAACAACACAATGAAATTTTTCATCGTCGCATTCGTTTTCTATTCTCGATTCTTCAACAATTTCTCTAATTCTATTCACATTGTATTCATATCTATCATCACTTTGTTCCAAAAGAGATGTCGTCTCAGTTGCAGTCGGATGTTTGATGCAATGTGCATTAATATGAAGTTTAATGCTTTTTTGTGATTCACTTGAAAATTCACCACAGACAACGCAAGTCCACTTATCGACATCACTTTCAATTTTCGACTCATCAATCTTTTGATTAACCCACTCGGGATCATAATGTCGCTTAACTATTTGTTTTTTTGCTTTCATTAACGTTCGTGTCTTTGATTCCTTACAATGCACTCGAGCAACGTGATATCTAAAGCCTAAGCTCGAATTAGTTTTAAAATTATTACAAAGAACGCATAAGAAATGTTTTGTTCTTAATCCCACGTCATTAGTTGATTTTTTAGTAATCTCTTTAATCCATTCAATGTTGTAATCATGTTTTTCGATTTCCATATCCACATTTTTGTTGATTGTCTTTGCTACATTTTTTTTCTTTTTAGGTTTACAATGAACATGTCCTATATGTACACGAATTCCAATTAATGACTTCGAAGAAAAGTTGTTACAAATAGCACAAGAGAACGAGTCGGGATCATCATGAGATCGCGACTTTTCTATCATTTCAAGCATCCATTCTGGATCATACTCGTGCTTCTTTTCTTTTTTGTGCTTTGAAGATTCTAAGCTTTTTTGCAAAGACATCTTTTTGGTTTTAGGCTTGCAGTGAACTCTCAATATGTGGATTTTCATACCAAATACACGATCAGTTGAAAACGTACTACAAAGTACGCAATTCCATTTATCACTTTCATTTGCATCCTTTGATTCTTCGATTTTCTTTTCAGCCCAATCCAGATCATAATCGTATTTTGGAAGCTGTTCAGAATCATTTTTATCAAGAGAAGTTCTACGATCTTTTTTAAAGCAATGGATTTTTGAAATGTGAAATCTTAATCGAAATTTCTTTGAAGTTTTGAACTTTTTACAAATACAGCAAATGAATTTTTCCGATTCATCTTTTGGTGTTGATTCTTCCACCTTTTTCGCAATCCATTTCGGGTCGTTTTCATGTTTCTCAATAATTTTTATGTCTTTAAGATTTTGATTATCAATAATGTGTTTCCGAAGATGATTCCTTAAATTACTGCCACATAAGCACAGTTTTTTGCAGAAAACACAAGACCAAACCGTAACTTTTTGGCCTTCATTATAAGACACAACTTTACTTTCTCTAATCTTCTGCTTTAATATGGAATTGAAGTCTTCTTCATTTTTTGTTGTTTCATTCAAATTGGAATCGTTTCTATCATTCACTAAGCTGTCATAATTTTCGTTGTTATCTAATGGCTCATTATCACACAATGTTAAATCATATTCAACATCCATGGTGTCGGAAGGGTCATCTTGAAATGTGGAACCTTTCTCTGGAGAGTCAAGAGATTTAAGTCTTTCCAATCTCACATAAGCACTTTTCATGTAATCAATATTACAACTTGTATAATTAGTGACGACATTCATTGTGCTTTGCATCGTTTCTTTCTCACATTTAAGATAAGTTGTTTCGTCCTTAAATTCAGGGTTCAAATTTTCATTTTCATCTTCCATTTCATGTTGTGTCTCTTCCTCTTCTTCGTTACCTACGATTGACGTTTCATGGTGTATCTCCTCTTCTTCTTCTTCATTACTTTCAATTGCTTCCTGTATCTGTTCTGGATTACATTCAATCTCTAGTATTTCAATTGTTGTATCTTCACACGATTCATGACGCCATCCTTGACGAATAAACTTATGACACTCATTTTTTCTAATGAATGCAATGTTTTTGTGGTTATTCATGATTGTTACATCGTTTATTGACTCAATGTCGTCAAAAAAATCCTTTAAGCTTTTCAAAATTTCCAAATTTTTCGTCAATTCAGAATTCCCTTCAAACGCTTTCATAGCATTCACTTTGAACTTGTATGCATTTACAAGTTCCTCCTGACAAATACCGCAAATAAATCCATCTATTATCTAAAAATAAGTTTAAATGAAGAATTTCTTCGGAAATTAAAAAAAAAACTTTTCCTACCTTAAAATTAAAAACTTCGGAAGCAACTTTTGAAATAGGAACTCCAGTGACGTCTAATCCATATAATTTTGAATTTAAGTCCATCAACCCTCGTTTACTATTTATATCCAAACAAAAAGAGCACTTTGGGACATCCATGGCTTCGTTCTATTTTCCCGGTCTTTTCTGCTGATTTTTTGTTTATTTACTTGATGAGACTTCTGAAGAATTTTTCAATCAGTAATATTTAATTCAATTCAAATTTAAAATTAAATGTAGAAGAAATAGGTATACAATCTTAGTAGTTTAATGAACTTACTCTTCTATTTTATGTTTTGTCTTATTTCGAATGAATTTCATTTAAACCTGCAAAATTTTGAAAAAAAAAGTTGACACTGAAATTCTATGTAAAAATGCACGTTCAATATTGACACTCACAGTCTGTTTCCAAATTTTATGCATGTTTAAATTTCAAATATTTTTTTTAGACGTTTGCAATTTTAAAATACATAAATCTATGTCTGGATATACCTAAGTACTACATAATCATATGACAAACTTATTATATTAAATGTAGACAAATATCAAGCATGTCAATTTAAATTTTTGCAATATTTTGCAAAAAGTATCCAAGAAATGAAGAATCTAAAATATTAAATTACGATCGATGCGATGTTGAGACTCAAGATATCCTTCTAAATCGTTTACATTTTTGAGATTAAGCGCAATTCTTTAAAATATTATGTTTAGACTTCTGTTACATTTGAAACCTAAATTTAATATTAATAGTTCAATAAGTTGACTTTACATTTCATTTTATTTATGATTGTGAAAAATGATATACATAATAAAATATAAAAAAACTTGAATTATGTAGTGAAACGAAAGAGCAATTTTTTCCGATATCTCTGAACCCTTCAATAATCTGCACTTCTTTCGAAAAATGACACTTCTCTCTGTTGGTAAAAAAATTAAATAATTATATGGATATTTTAAATTAGTATTGTGGATCTTACTTCTTCTTTAATGGTTGGAAAATTGTTGCTCACTGTGTCATTTGAAGTTTCTTCCAGACATCCATTGTCGACGACAGGCGTTTCATTTCGAACCATTAAATGCGATGAATGAACATGGAGAAGGAAATCGTCAAATTTTTTGAATGTTTCATTATCAATTGGACATAATAATGGCTTCATATGGAAAAACATAATGTGACGTTTCAAATCTTCTTCACTTCTATATTTCTGTGTGCAATGTCCACATATTTCATTCCAATTATCTTCATCATGATGTGGCAGAACTTCAACCGAGTCAACTTTCAGTTTAGAACGGAAACAAAAGCCTTCAGCAGGAATTGATTCCGATTCTCCTTTTGTTTTATGAATATTTTTATGGTAATTCAAATCATCGAGATTTCTGAATTGCATATCACAAAGATCACATTTCTCAAGCTTCATTTTGATCACCGTGTTATCACAAATGTGATGAACTTTGTTATGCATTCTATACGAATATTTTTTTAAAAATTTAAGATCACAAATATTACATTGCCATAATTTTTTGCCCAATTTTACTCTTTCTTGCTTCGGCTCCCGTTTCTTGATATTTCTAACAAAATTCGATTTGATTTTCGGTAATCTGAACCCGTTAGAATTGTCTTTCAAGTTCTTGCATTCCAATTTATGCGCCTTATACTTCTCGGTACTAAGTTTAAAGAATGGAAGATGGTTACGAATAACGTGGTGTCTCGAACTTCCACGGTCTTTGCATGTGTAGCTGCAAATCCAACATTTGTAATGGGAATTTGAGACTTTCGAGGCTTTCATTCCTTTTTTCATCCAAATCTTTTCTCTTCTTGTCATATTCGATTTCATAACATATTCATGTTGTGCTTCAATTTGATCGACTTCAGTTTTATTTTGATCATCAATACTTTTTGATTCCATTTCGTCATTGCTACTTTCGGAACTTTCAGAAAGCAGCATATCAGGTGGTAATAAATGTAAATATTCTATTTGATCCTCTTGCTTTGATTCGTTTGATTCCTCAAGAATTGTTTCACATTTTATTGGAACATCTTCAATTTCTGTATCGCTTGCACAGTGAAGTTTTAGTGGAGGCTGCTGCCATAATGGGACCCATTCATCGTCGTCATCAGATTGATCAAGTGATCTTTTGTTTCCGTTACGTATCGTACTTTCTTCTGTACCATCAAATTTATTCATGTGTTCAACTCGTAAATGCTTTCGGAAATCTTCTTCCGTATAGCAAATTTTGCCACCACATTCACGACAAATCCAAACATTTTTCACTTCTTCTGACGTGTGCAATCTCTTTCGACATTTTTCTACTTTATCGTTTTGAAATGCATCTTCTTCTTCTTTAATTAATTTATGAGTTTCTGTTCTCATTTCTTTTCGATGCATTCTCGATACATGAAGTTTTGTTTCTTTGAATCCTTCACAAGTTGTTGAACAAATACAGCAAATCCAGAAAATTCCATCTTCCTTCTTAACTTCGGAGTTGTTGACAACATTTTTGATCCAATTTTTTCGAATTCTTTCCGAAATTGATTCATTGGCTTGTAATTTGTCGTCTTGGTGATTTAATGATCCTGATGAAGTTGATTCACAATGCAACGTTATCAAATGTTTTCGAATTGCAGATAAAGAAAAACACGAGAAATTGTCACAAACACAACAATTCCATAAAGTTGAACTGCTTGGAGTTTTCGACTTTTCAATCATTCCTTTCAACCATTCAGAGTCAGCATTATTTTCTGATATAGATCTATCGAAAGGATTTTTATTTCGAGGCTTGCAATGCGTTCTTGCAACATGATATCTTATTCCAACTTCAGAGTGAGTTGTAAAGTTTTCACAGACAACGCAACAATATTTGTTCTCGTTTCTTATTTTTGCTTTCTCAACAATTTCTTTAATCCACTCTACATCGTATTCGTGTCTCTCATCTTCCTCATCGTCATCTTCAATTTCATCTTCACTTTTTAAAGAAATTTTTTCACAATGCAATCTCGTTATATGCTGCTGCATTCCAACTCGAGATTTTGCTGAAAACTCATTACAAACAGAGCATGTCCATTGGCCATCTTCGCCTTTTTTTGACTCTTCCATCTTTTGATTAATCCACTCGGGATCATATTCGTGTCTTTCTCTATTCCTTCTTGCAAGTATGGCTGCTTCTTGAGCATTTCGATTACAATGTTCCCTAACTATGTGCTGTCTTATTCCCAGAGTTGAAGACGTTTTGAAATTTTCACAAACATTACATAAAAATGTTTTCATATTATCATCGATCTTGGATTTTTCCATCATTTCTTGTATCCAATCTAAATCGTATTCATGTTTCTCTATTTCAATGTTAATATTCTTGTTAATTGTTCCAAATTTGGGGTTCATTTTTTTCCTTGCTTTACAATGTAAAAAAATTATATGGCAACGAATACCTGTGAACGATTTTGAAGAAAAGTTTTTACAAATAGTGCATGAAAACAAGTTTGAATCATCACTAGTTCGAGATTTTTCTATCATTTTATTAATCCAATCGGGATCGTACTCATGTCTATCTTTATCATTGAATCTTGAAACATTTTGTACTTTTTTTTTCTTTGGTTTACAGTGAGCTTGACTTATATGAGATCGAATTCCCATAATTGTTGTTGCTGAAAATTCATTACAGACCACACAGTTCCATTTATCGTCTTCAGTTTCAACCTTTGATTCCTCCATTTTTTCTCTTATCCACTCAATATCATACTCATGTTGTGACACTCTATCAATACTTCTACGTTCTGGCTTTTTTAAGCAATGCATTTTTGCAATATGTAATCTCATTCCACTATCTTTGGTGGTGGTAAATTTCTTACAAAGACAGCATGTCATGTTACCTGATCCATCTTCAGGTGTTGATTTTTGAATAATTTTCTCGATCCATTCTCGATTATATTCGTACTTTTTTTCTTGATCAACGTTTCGTTTCCTTTTTTTATATTTTTCTTCTTTTTTAGAGTAATGAATGACAAGAAGATGACTTTTCAATGTATGACCATAGAAATAAAGCTTTTTGCAGAAAATACAAGACCAGACAGATACGTCTCCACCTCCCGTATGAGTTACAACTTTACTTTCTCTAACTTTTTGATTGATAATAGAATTTAAATTTTCATCGCTTTTTGTTTCATTTAAATTGGAATCGTTTTTATCACTCACTAAACTGTCTTCATTTTCGTTGTTATCTAATGGCTCATTTTCACAAATTGTTGAATCATATTCAACATCCATGGTGTCGGAAAGGTCATCTTGAAATGTAGAATCTTTTTCTGGAGAGTCAAGAGATTTAAGTCTTTCCAATCTCACATAAGCACTTTTCATGTAATCAATATTACAACTTGTATAATTAGTGACGACATTCATTGTGTTTTGCATCGTTTCTTTCTCACATTTAAGATAAGTTGTTTCGTCCTTAAATTCAGGGTTCAAATTTTCATTTTCATCTTCCATTTCATGTTGTGTCTCTTCCTCTTCTTCGTTACCTACGATTGACGTTTCATGGTGTATCTCCTCTTCTTCTTCTTCATTAGTTTCAATTGCTTCCTGTATCTGTTCTGGATTACATTCAATCTCTAGTATTTCAATTGTTGTATCTTCACATGATTCATTACGCCATCCTTGAGGAATAAACTTATGACACTCATTTTTTCTAATGATTGCAATGTTTTTGTGGTTATTCATGATTGTTACATCGTTTATTGACTCAATGTCGTCAAAAATATCCTTTAAGCTCTTCAAAATTTCCAAATTTTTCGTCAATTCAGAATTCCCTTCAAACGCTTTCATAGCATTCACTTTGAACTTGAATGCATTTACAAGTTCCTCTTGACAATTGCCGCAAATAAATCCATCTATTATCTGAAAAGAAGTTTAAATGAAGAATTTCTTCGGAAATTAAAAAAAAAACTTTTCCTACCTTAAAATTAAAAACTTCGGAAGCAACTTTTGAAATAGGAACTCCAATGACGTCTAATCCATATAATTTTGAATTTAAATCAATTAATCCTCGTTTACTATTTATATCCAAACAAAACGAACACTTTGGAACATCCATGGCTTCGTTCTATTTTCCCGGTCTTTTCTGCTGATTTTTTTAAAAGCTTGATGAGAATTATTAAGAATTTTTCAATCAGTAATATTTAATTCAATACAAATTTAACATAATATGTAAAAGAAATAGGTACACAATCTTAGTAGTTTAATGAACTTACTCTTCTATTTTATGTTTTGTCTTATTTCGAATGAATTTCATTTAAGCCTGCAAAATTTTGATAAAAAATTTGACACTGAAATTCCATGTAAATGCACGTTCAATATTGACACTCACAGTTTCTTTCTAAATTTTATGCATATGCACAGAACCGTTTCAAACTTACTTCTTTAGGTATAACCTACCTACTTATTAGGTATCCTCTGCAGGTAGTTTAGATACTGCCAGATCGCACTGGGAGACTGCCAAGTTATTAGGTCTTAAATTCATTATCTTATGTTGATTTTTTTGAAAGAACCAATTGTTATGATTTTTCTCCTACCAACCAAGATTTATCCATAGTTCAAGGCAGCATAAATACCTAAGTTTTATCTTATCTAATTTAGATACCAAAGGCTTAAAAATATTCACAGTTTAATTTTTCATTCTCTTCAATTTTATTATTTTCAAAGAAATGTGTAATAATATTTAATAAAGGAGGGATGAAAATTTAATTTTACCATCTTAAATTATCTAAATTTTCTAGAATGGACAGAACTTTAGTCTTATTAGCAGANATTAAATGAACTTATTTTTAAAAATTTGAGATCACAAGAATTGCATTTCAAAATTCCTGTTACGTTATTCCCATCTAGACTGTTCCTTTTAGTTCTTTCTTTCTTGGGTAATGTGAAACCATCAGAATTGTTTTTCAGCTTTTCACATTCTTTTTTATGTTCTTGATATCTTTTTACACTGAGTCTATAAAATGGTAGATGATGACGAGTAAGATGATATTTCATTTGATTTTTACAAAGTTTCCCACATATCCAACATTTATAAGAATTTTTTCTTGATCTTTCGCATCCACGCTTAATCCATATTTTATCCTTATTACTCAAGTCTGAAATGAATTCATTACGAAGTTCTGTCTCACCATCTTCTTCTTTTTCTTTGATTTCTTTTTTCACTAATGCTGTTTCTATTTCTTCGTCACTTTCTTCTTCAGAACTTTCAGAAAGAAACATATCAGGAGGCAGAACATGAAGATATTCAAATTGTTTTGTTTCAATTTTCTTTTCAGGCAAGCCTTCAACAACTGCTTCACGATTCGATGCAATATTTTTGTCCTCATTTTCAGTGTCATCAGGACAGAAATTTTTCGATCGTGGAACCCATTCGTCGTCTTCAGATTGATCAAGTGATCTTTTGTTTCCGTTACGTATCGTACTTTCTTCTGTACCATCAAATTTATTCATGTGTTCAACTCGTAAATGCTTTCGGAAATCTTTTTCCGTATAGCAAATTTTGCCACCACATTCACGACAAATCCAAACATTTTTCACTTCTTCTGACGTGTGCAATCTCTTTCGACATTTTTCTACTTTATCATTTTCAAATTCGTCTTCTTCTTCTTTAATTAATTTATGAGTTTCTGTTCTCATTTCTTTTCGATGCATTCTCGATACATGAAGTTTTGTTTCTTTGAATCCTTCACAAGTTGTTGAACAAATACAGCAAATCCAGAAAATTCCATCTTCCTTCTTAACTTCGGAGTTGTTGACAACATTTTTGATCCAATTTTTTCGAATTCTTTCCGAAATTGATTCATTGGCTTGTAATTTGTCGTCTTGGTGATTTAATGATCCTGATGAAGTTGATTCACAATGCAACGTTATCAAATGTTTTCGAATTGCAGATAAAGAAAAACACGAGAAATTGTCACAAACACAACAATTCCATAAAGTTGAACTGCTTGGAGTTTTCGACTTTTCAATCATTCCTTTCAACCATTCAGAGTCACCATTATTTTCTGACATAGATCTTTCGAAAGAAGACATTCTTTCAGCTTTGAAATGCATTCTTGCAACATGAAATCTTATTCCAAGTACAGACTCAGTTGTAAAGTCTTTACAAACAACACAATGAAATTTTTCATCGTCGCATTCGTTTTCTATTCTCGATTCTTCAACAATTTCTCTAATTCTATTCACATTGTATTCATATCTATCATCACTTTGTTCCAAAAGAGATGTCGTCTCAGTTGCAGTCGGATGTTTGATGCAATGTGCATTAATATGAAGTTTAATGCTTTTTTGTGATTCACTTGAAAATTCACCACAGACAACGCAAGTCCACTTATCGACATCACTTTCAATTTTCGACTCATCAATCTTTTGATTAACCCACTCGGGATCATAATGTCGCTTAACTATTTGTTTTTTTGCTTTCATTAACGTTCGTGTCTTTGATTCCTTACAATGCACTCGAGCAACGTGATATCTAAAGCCTAAGCTCGAATTAGTTTTAAAATTATTACAAAGAACGCATAAGAAATGTTTTGTTCTTAATCCCACGTCATTAGTTGATTTTTTAGTAATCTCTTTAATCCATTCAATGTTGTAATCATGTTTTTCGATTTCCATATCCACATTTTTGTTGATTGTCTTTGCTACATTTTTTTTCTTTTTAGGTTTACAATGAACATGTCCTATATGTACACGAATTCCAATTAATGACTTCGAAGAAAAGTTGTTACAAATAGCACAAGAGAACGAGTCGGGATCATCATGAGATCGCGACTTTTCTATCATTTCAAGCATCCATTCTGGATCATACTCGTGCTTCTTTTCTTTTTTGTGCTTTGAAGATTCTAAGCTTTTTTGCAAAGACATCTTTTTGGTTTTAGGCTTGCAGTGAACTCTCAATATGTGGATTTTCATACCAAATACACGATCAGTTGAAAACGTACTACAAAGTACGCAATTCCATTTATCACTTTCATTTGCATCCTTTGATTCTTCGATTTTCTTTTCAGCCCAATCCAGATCATAATCGTATTTTGGAAGCTGTTCAGAATCATTTTTATCAAGAGAAGTTCTACGATCTTTTTTAAAGCAATGGATTTTTGAAATGTGAAATCTTAATCGAAATTTCTTTGAAGTTTTGAACTTTTTACAAATACAGCAAATGAATTTTTCCGATTCATCTTTTGGTGTTGATTCTTCCACCTTTTTCGCAATCCATTTCGGGTCGTTTTCATGTTTCTCAATAATTTTTATGTCTTTAAGATTTTGATTATCAATAATGTGTTTCCGAAGATGATTCCTTAAATTACTGCCACATAAGCACAGTTTTTTGCAGAAAACACAAGACCAAACCGTAACTTTTTGGCCTTCATTATAAGACACAACTTTACTTTCTCTAATCTTCTGCTTTAATATGGAATTGAAGTCTTCTTCATTTTTTGTTGTTTCATTCAAATTGGAATCGTTTCTATCATTCACTAAGCTGTCATAATTTTCGTTGTTATCTAATGGCTCATTATCACACAATGTTAAATCATATTCAACATCCATGGTGTCGGAAGGGTCATCTTGAAATGTGGAACCTTTCTCTGGAGAGTCAAGAGATTTAAGTCTTTCCAATCTCACATAAGCACTTTTCATGTAATCAATATTACAACTTGTATAATTAGTGACGACATTCATTGTGCTTTGCATCGTTTCTTTCTCACATTTAAGATAAGTTGTTTCGTCCTTAAATTCAGGGTTCAAATTTTCATTTTCATCTTCCATTTCATGTTGTGTCTCTTCCTCTTCTTCGTTACCTACGATTGACGTTTCATGGTGTATCTCCTCTTCTTCTTCTTCATTACTTTCAATTGCTTCCTGTATCTGTTCTGGATTACATTCAATCTCTAGTATTTCAATTGTTGTATCTTCACACGATTCATGACGCCATCCTTGACGAATAAACTTATGACACTCATTTTTTCTAATGAATGCAATGTTTTTGTGGTTATTCATGATTGTTACATCGTTTATTGACTCAATGTCGTCAAAAATATCCTTTAAGCTCTTCAAAATTTCCAAATTTTTCGTCAATTCAGAATTCCCTTCAAACGCTTTCATAGCATTCACTTTGAACTTGTATGCATTTACAAGTTCCTCCTGACAAATACCGCAAATAAATCCATCTATTATCTAAAAATAAGTTTAAATGAAGAATTTCTTCGGAAATTAAAAAAAAAACTTTTCCTACCTTAAAATTAAAAACTTCGGAAGCAACTTTTGAAATAGGAACTCCAATGACGTCTAATCCATATAATTTTGAATTTAAATCAATTAATCCTCGTTTACTATTTATATCCAAACAAAACGAACACTTTGGAACATCCATGGCTTCGTTCTATTTTCCCGGTCTTTTCTGCTGATTTTTTTAAAAGCTTGATGAGAATTATTAAGAATTTTTCAATCAGTAATATTTAATTCAATACAAATTTAACATAATATGTAAAAGAAATAGGTACACAATCTTAGTAGTTTAATGAACTTACTCTTCTATTTTATGTTTTGTCTTATTTCGAATGAATTTCATTTAAACCTGCAAAATTTTGAAAAAAAAAGTTGACACTGAAATTCTATGTAAAAATGCACGTTCAATATTGACACTCACAGTCTGTTTCCAAATTTTATGCATGTTTAAATTTCAAATATTTTTTTTAGACGTTTGCAATTTTAAAATACATAAATCTATGTCTGGATATACCTAAGTACTACATAATCATATGACAAACTTATTATATTAAATGTAGACAAATATCAAGCATGTCAATTTAAATTTTTGCAATATTTTGCAAAAAGTATCCAAGAAATGAAGAATCTAAAATATTAAATTACGATCGATGCGATGTTGAGACTCAAGATATCCTTCTAAATCGTTTACATTTTTGAGATTAAGCGCAATTCTTTAAAATATTATGTTTAGACTTCTGTTACATTTGAAACCTAAATTTAATATTAATAGTTCAATAAGTNCTTTGCATCGTTTCTTTCTCACATTTAAGATAAGTTGTTTCGTCCTTAAATTCAGGGTTCAAATTTTCATTTTCATCTTCCATTTCATGTTGTGTCTCTTCCTCTTCTTCGTTACCTACGATTGACGTTTCATGGTGTATCTCCTCTTCTTCTTCTTCATTAGTTTCAATTGCTTCCTGTATCTGTTCTGGATTACATTCAATCTCTAGTATTTCAATTGTTGTATCTTCACATGATTCATTACGCCATCCTTGAGGAATAAACTTATGACACTCATTTTTTCTAATGATTGCAATGTTTTTGTGGTTATTCATGATTGTTACATCGTTTATTGACTCAATGTCGTCAAAAAAATCCTTTAAGCTTTTCAAAATTTCCAAATTTTTCGTCAATTCAGAATTCCCTTCAAACGCTTTCATAGCATTCACTTTGAACTTGTATGCATTTACAAGTTCCTCCTGACAAATACCGCAAATAAATCCATCTATTATCTAAAAATAAGTTTAAATGAAGAATTTCTTCGGAAATTAAAAAAAAAACTTTTCCTACCTTAAAATTAAAAACTTCGGAAGCAACTTTTGAAATAGGAACTCCAGTGACGTCTAATCCATATAATTTTGAATTTAAATCAATTAATCCTCGTTTACTATTTATATCCAAACAAAACGAACACTTTGGAACATCCATGGCTTCGTTCTATTTTCCCGGTCTTTTCTGCTGATTTTTTTAAAAGCTTGATGAGAATTATTAAGAATTTTTCAATCAGTAATATTTAATTCAATACAAATTTAACATAATATGTAGAAGAAATAGGTACACAATCTTAGTAGTTTAATGAACTTACTCTTCTATTTTATGTTTTGTCTTATTTCGAATGAATTTCATTTAAGCCTGCAAAATTTTGATAAAAAATTTGACACTGAAATTCCATGTAAATGCACGTTCAATATTGACACTCACAGTTTCTTTCTAAATTTTATGCATATGCACAGAACCGTTTCAAACTTACTTCTTTAGGTATAACCTACCTACTTATTAGGTATCCTCTGCAGGTAGTTTAGATACTGCCAGATCGCACTGGGAGACTGCCAAGTTATTAGGTCTTAAATTCATTATCTTATGTTGATTTTTTTGAAAGAACCAATTGTTATGATTTTTCTCCTACCAACCAAGATTTATCCATAGTTCAAGGCAGCATAAATACCTAAGTTTTATCTTATCTAATTTAGATACCAAAGGCTTAAAAATATTCACAGTTTAATTTTTCATTCTCTTCAATTTTATTATTTTCAAAGAAATGTGTAATAATATTTAATAAAGGAGGGATGAAAATTTAATTTTACCATCTTAAATTATCTAAATTTTCTAGAATGGACAGAACTTTAGTCTTATTAGCAGAGTTGGGATTTGACTGACTGACTGACAGACATTGACATGTCAGTCAGTCAGTCAATCGACTTGGGCGGAACATTTGTATGAACGTTTCCCAACTGAAAAGTCCAAAGATGCGAAAAAATTTGGACGGACAGACATTTTTAAACTAGAGTTTTTAAACTTAAAAACAAGCAAAATATCATTTATGCTTTAAGAATATCATGATTATGATAAAGATTATTAATAAAGAAATCAATTTTTTAATTCTATTATAGAAAGAAAAAGTTATTTCAAAACTATTTTATAATATAAAATTCAAAAATACTTCAGTGATTTATCACAACTTTTTGTGATTAATCACAAGATTTTAAACATTTGTATAGTGATTAATCACAAAAAGTTGTGATTAATCACAAAAAGTTTAAGTGATTATCACAAGTGTCAGTCGGTCAAATCACAACTTCATTGAAGTCATATTGACGTATGAAGTATTATTATATCGCAAAAAAAATCTTTGCTTCATTTTGATGGCTGTGATATTGTGATATTGACATTTTGACAGTCAGTCAATGTCTGTCAGTCAGTCAGTCAATCGAGTTGGGCGTGCAATTTGCCCATCTCTGCTTATTAGGTGATGATAGATTATCAAATAAAACTCTTTGAAAAAGAATTTCTAGTTAATCAGATAATTAATCAAAACACTTTATTAATCTGTGAAATTAAGACGTTCCTTTTTATGTAGATACTTATTGAAAATGTTAAAAATTGTAACAAAGTCAAAACGACAAATGATTATCTAAGTAAGAAGAGTCTAATAAAATATATTTAAATAAATATATTCTCTATTGTTTTTCTTTTCATTTTTGCAAGAGTTTTTGTTTTAAATGTTCCAAATATTATACTTTGTAATGATAGTCACTGAATATTTGGTATTTTGTATTCTTTTATGAAGCATGATGATTAAATATTTTCATTTATTCATCGTTATGATTTTTTCTAGCTTTGGTGCAATAATTTCAAGTATTTAATCTCACACTTAAGTGTTGTCATTTTGATGCTGAGTTTTCAAGCGTTTCTTTTGTTGAATATCGTTCAAAGTTTGCTCAATTGAACGAGTATCCTTTTTCAATTCAGTGGACACCATACCGTAGTTTCTGTTGAGATCTGTGCCTAAAGCTTCACATTCAAGATGAATAAGTTTTGTTTTTTTTGACTTTGATTGCTCTCGTTGCTCTCGACCTTCTGATTGCTCTGATGATGATGCAGTTGGAATCATTGCTAAGGCAGATTCTTCTTTCTTTTTCTTGTATTCTGCTTCAATCTCTTTGTTCCACTTCGTGTAATCCCCATAATGGCGAGCTTCTATTTCTAGTTCTGACGGTGGGTTTTTATACACGATGACATATCGATCTTCTTTTCCAAATGTGTGACAGTATAAATGGCTGTTGGATTCTTCTGTTGTCTCAATGATAACTGATCTGAAAATTTTCTCCATTGGCTCAAACTGCATTGTAGCTAGCTTTTCATCTTTTAAAAAGGCAGCGAGTTTATTCTGAATTTTAACTGTGAAATTATTAATAATTTGGCGCTCCTTTTCTGCCACTTTTTGTTGCTCCTGATACCGCTCTACAAATTGTAAATTTAAGAAATGAAACAAGTTTTATTGTAGATAAAAATGTCAAAAAATGCATACTCTGAATAACTTTATCAGGCTGACTTAATGCGGGACGTTGGTTTTTATCCATGGACGACAAAATATCATCTAACAAATCCATTATTGTTTTGTAAGTTTATGGAAAATATTTTTCGATAAAATTTACTTTTAGAACTAAAAATCCTGAAGAAGAATTATTGAGAGGGGAAAATAAAATATTTAATTTCGAAAAATTCGAAAATACGGTTTTCTTCGGTTTTTTTTACTTTTTTTAAAGCTCAAAACTTTTTGGAGAAGAATTTTGGACTAGAAAGTCCTAAAATATTTTATTTTTTGCTTAGATAATAGATATTATAAAACTATGTAGGTATAGGTTGCATGATTGGAAAACTGATTAGGTAATTTATTAGAAGATTAGAAACCGTCACATTTAAAATAAAAAAACCCAAGGAGTAGGAAAATAAACAATGTCAAGGAGAAAGAAGACTTTAAATTTTTCATTTCTCGGTCAAGTTAAAAAAATATATAATTTTATTAATTTAAATGAGAAATAAACTCATCTGTCATTCATAGTGAACTCAATAAGCCTGTAGTTATCATAAAGCTTTACTCAGCAGTTTTAAATTTACGGTTTATTCTGATTTCTCAGAGAAAATTGAAAATCATCTAGTAGCGGCAATTGTTTTGTTTCTTATAAATAAATAATACCTACAATAAATCAAATATACCTAGTTTCTTATCTACTTAGAAAATGGGTGATAACGAAAAATTTACGATACTTTCCAATGTCATCACAACTAGAAATCTTATTTTGAGAGGTTTTTGCGGCATTTATTTATGTGCATTTCTAAGTTTTTATGTTCAAGCTGAAGGTACCTAAATCAATTTTCTGATAATATCATCCTTTTAAATAATTAAACACTTATTAATATAGGTTTATTTAGTCACGTTAATGGAATACTTCCTCCTGAAATTGAGTCAATAAAAGGAAATTATTTACATGATCAGATAATTTCATTTGTCGACCGCCCTACATGGATTCGGATTCTCAAAATATTCCAAGTGGCAACTTTTCCGGCCATCGAACTGATATGCATAGCAGGAGCTATTCTTTCTTTCTTTGGCTTTGTTTCAAGAAGATTCTGCATTCTCCCCATTTTAACAATTTTATGGACATTATATTTCTCACTCGTCGACATTTCAAAGTCATTTCACAATCAAGCTGATGATTTGTTGCTTGAAGCTGGTCTGGTTTGTATTTTATTGGCACCTGGATTGAGTTTGAAGTCTTATGGTGTATCAGACAATGTCATGATGCAATTAATGCGATGGGTATTGTTCAGGTAAGAAACAAAATTATTTCATGAATAGTTTCATTTGATTTCAATATGTTTCTTATTTCCTTAAAAGATTTTTGTTTGCATCAGGAGTTGTAAAGTTAGCAACCGGTTGTCCGCATTGGTGGAATCTCACTGCATTAAAGCATCATCTTCTTGTGTTACCATTACCAACGAATTTATCATTCTATGCTTATTACATTCCTGATGGATATTTGAAACTCACAACTGCATTTGTCAATGTTTCTGAACTCCTTTGTCCTTGGTTCTTCTTCGCTCCTATCAGATCTCTTCGATTTTTCGCTTTTTACTGGCAAATTTTTCTACAGTTATGTATAATTGCAACAGGAAACTACGGATTTTTGAACTTTACGATCATCGTCATGTTGTTGTCACTTCTCGATGATTCTCACTTCCAATCTGATAAATATCTTGGCAGAACCAACTTCAGGAAGGTTTTCTCGTTTATTCTTACAATGATAGCAATATTCTTCATAATGATCATTTCAATGATATTTTATAAAGTTACTTTCAACGATGGAAAGATTGATGTAACAGTTCGTAAGTTAACTTTTTTTTTTATTTTTATCGTTTCCACTAAAGTCACCTATTTTATTTCAGTTTTTACTAAAAATCAATATTCGGATATTATTCATCAGATGATAAAATTGTCACCGTTTATTATGACAATTTCAATCCTTAATGTTTTCCTTCAGTCATGCATTGCACATCCAGAAATAACATCTGCAAAAGGATTCTTTGGAAAACTCTCGAAAATAATTCATTTGTTGGCTTTAACAATGATTGCAATAAGTTTAGTTGGATGTTCAACTGTTCCACATGGAAGATTACACCCAGATACGAATATATCGAATACAACAATTGGAAAGGTTTACAACGATGTGTTTCTTAAATATCATATTGTACACGAGTATGGATTACATTTAAGAAATATGCGATCTGAACGTTTGGAGCTTGGAATCCAATACACGAATAATGAGAAAATAGATCAAACAACGCCAAAACAATGGAAAGAATATGATGTTACATATCGACCTGTAAATCAAAATCATTCAATGCCATATGCCGGCTTATATCTGTCACGTATTGATTTTAAGTTTTTTGAAGCTGTTGGAAAAGGTGCGAAGCTTGAGAACAACTTGTGGCTGGCGAGTCTCATAAAACAATTGTTAAAAAATAATCGTGCTGCTTTGAAGCTTTTGGGACATGAAAATCTTTTAAAGATGAAAATGCCTCCGAAACATATTCGAGTAATTTTCATGAAAGTCAGCTACGTTCCAAGAGAAGATGCTGATAAGAATAATGGCTTATGGATGAGAAAAATATTAAACGCTGAGTACTTACCACCAATGAGTATAACAAGTAATGAATTGGATGAATTAGTCAACAAATTAAGAATTCCTAAAAAGAAAGAAAAGGAAACTTACCCAAAACTTTTAAACTTCTTGAAACAAACTCGAATGTTCCTTGAAGTTGCTGACGGTCACTTTCTCGTCAATGGTATTATTTTGGCTTCATTTTTGATCATGTTTAGATTGAAAAAATATTAGAATTAATGCTTTACTGCTGAACAAACACACATTGGATCTCTTTTTTATCTTTACTCTGCACAAATTGAAAATTTTCTTGAGAGAATACAAAAATTAATTTAACTTAAGATTTTATTAAGAAATGAATTATTACTCGTGTGCCGTAAAATATATCAATCAGTCTGTTTATTATTTCTTATGTTCTAATATATGTATTACAAATAGAATTAATAAAATATGTTGGGAGACAAAAAACAATAACATTCCAATCGAATCTACAAAAACATTTTTCAAAAGTCATTAAAATCTTTTGTAACATTTTTACTAACAGAGGCTGCACCACAGTTCAAGTTAACTTATGCTTGATCTTTCAAGTGTTTTCATGTGGAAATGACCATTAAAAGCATAAAACACAAAAGCTTTCACATATTTTCATTTTCGACTATTGTAAAATATTTTTAATAATTTAAGCCATGAAAATAGTGTGAGAAAAAACTTTGATGTCAATCAAATTTTATGAGAACTTTTGAATAGTTTTTCATCGATGAACTCCTAAATTATTCTTATCTTTTCTTATTAATTTCAATATTTATTTTGTCATGCCAATATTAAATTTTACAGTATTGTGCTGAAAATATATTCGGAAATAAGTAAAGAACATATTTTAATTCTAGTTACCTGTAATTAAGGTAAAAAAATAATTTTTGGGTAATACACTAGAGAGGTGAAATATTTTTCAGCATCTGAACATAGATATTTATTCATTTTTCAAAAAAATCAGAATTATACTCCATGAAAACAAAAAAATATTAAAAGGAAAGCAAAAAAGTTTAAAACTTAAAGGTCTCACTTTGAGACTTGATTCCATCATAAATAATTGTATTGTCGAAAGGTTTGTATTGGCGAGTTACAAGTTTTATTATTTCGTGAGCACAACATCCTCCTAGAAACGATGAAATAGAATGAATTTCAGCTCCTCCGTATCGACATATTTCGTGAAAAAGGTCGTCGTTAAGCTGGGAACTTATTCCCCAATCATTCACCAGCCGAGTGGCTAGACTTTTAATTCGAGCTGGATCAGTTTCAACATTAACTTCTCCAGGAATATAACCATGCTCAGTCTGAAAACGTTCCATCGCACGCAATACCACATAATGACTAATCAATGAATCAGGATTTTCAAGTTCATCAGAAATCATTGAAGTTTTTGAACCTTTCTCATATTCATCAGAGATCTTTGATCCTCGAGTTACAGAGATATATGCAGCCTCACGGCAAAACAGTCGAACGTCCTTTTCAGAAATCCAATCACTTGACTTGTTAAGCTCTTTCAATAATTGTTGAACTCGACGAAATACTGCATCAGCATCTTGGATTGCCTTCGCGCGATAAATATTCTGAAGATTTATGTAAAGAGATGTGTCAGCAGTCATATCAGGAATCGTTCCTGGCAATGGTAAATATCCTTTGCCATCTTTCTCTATAAAATCTTTAAGTCCTCTTGCCATGATCCAAAATGGAGAACTATTTTTATTTAGATTTATGCAGCAACTATCATTTAAAATTTTCTGCACTTCAGAATTTACTTTTCCACCACCAAAACTGCTGTTAACAGATCTAATTGCCTCTTCAAAGTTTTCTTCATCAGCTGTCATACTTGATCTGATAATATCACGAAGCTCTGATTTTTCTTTATATGTATTTGGAATCTTTCTGTCATGTTTTTTTCTATATACTTCAAGATTTTTATACAAAATAATTAACCATGGAACTTTTGGTCCCAACTTTATATTAGACACATGTTCTTCGAGCGTTTGAAATGCTTCTTCTAGTCGTAAATCTTGATGTTTATTATCTGGATGTGTTTCAATGACGCAATGTTCTTTCATTTGGATTCGTGCTGAGCCAAGAAATCCGACAGATTGGCAAGACATGAATGGAATGTTCAGTTCCCATAAGAGATTTGATAGTTTAATCAACGACTTTTCATTCAATCCACAAGAAACAACCACAGAGAAATTTTTAAAAAACTCTGGATTATTAGCAATAATTGTGTCGATATTATCATCAATGCTTTCGCCGTTTACATCAGGATTGAGTTCTTGAAGAAATTTTGTGCAATGTTTGGCACGTGACTGCCCTAATGATGAAGGCTCAAGAAAGAAATTACATCCAATATCTTCGTCAGTTACAAGATTATGATCTAAAAATTAAATTCACAAATTTTTTGATTTATGTATAAATTTAGTGAAATTCAGTAATACTCACCAATGATAGTAAAACTGCCAATTCCAGGTAAAACTAATCCTTTTAAGATCTCAGTGCCTAAAGCATTTGCGTTGACTAAACAGATCTGAGAGTTTTCAAGTAAGCTTTGACCATGATCACCCCATAAGCTATGTAAATTTTAAGAAAAATTTAATTAGAAGTTTGCATAACTTAGCAACTCTCTTTTAATACCGAATTTGACGATCATATTTACGACTTTTGTCAGTCTCAGGCGATGGAACTGATGACGACATAATGAAATTAATTCTATGTAATAAACTAGAATTTCTTAAATATTATAAATCTTGTTTAATATTCTTTTGATGCGGTGACTTCTTCAATAGCGTTTCTAAAGTTTTATATTTTCCTGGGATTTTGAATCGGTAAACCGGTTAGAAAGTTACACAACTTGACATTTTTTCTCCATCAATTTATTTGGCTAAGAATAAAAAGATGGGAATAATTAGTATAGCAGTTCGTTCTGGAATTTGCATTTATGCAGTAAAGTATACAACTGATCGTGGCGCCTGGGGAAGTGCGGAAAAAGCAATCCAATTCAAAAATGAAACATGTAAAGCTGTGAATAATACAGAATTTGTGCAGACTGGGAAGGCTCACTTCCAGGCATATGTCCCTATGCCTCAGGTAAACTATTGATTGATACATTATTTATATTAACAATTTAATCACTGAATTTTGTTCACTTTTAGTTTCCTGATCTGCCTAAAACATCCGAAATAGGATTTCTAACAATTCACTATTATAATAAGGGAGTAAAATCAACAATAAGATTTATTGAAATGCTCCCATGCTATACCGGACAGATGATTAAGAAAGGCAGTGATTTCGTCAAGAAAGCTATTGAACAACCTCCTGTTCAGTCGTAATTGAAATTAAGATAACTTTGTAAATTTTATGTTATGTATAATAAATGTAACTCCCTTTTACTTCCTGGAAAGTAGTATGAAAACTGATCATTTTATTTTTTTTCTGTTCAAATATCCTTAATCCATACTTTACATTCAGTAATTTTCCATTTAAAACTCTAAAAAAAAGTTGATGTTAAAAATCCTTTACAATGAGAGTACTTGAAATATCGAGAACTGAGATTAGTTAACAAATTTAAAATATTCAGTAGAATTCGCGAAATGAATGCAAAAAAAAAAGAAGGAAAACACAATAATTATAGAAACATCAAAAAGTACTGGTCAGTTTTAGTTCATTTCAAAAAGGAATAAAGAAACTTATCATATCAATCGAATGACTTGAATTATGTTCGTATTAAAAATTGTATTGATGTGACACCATGTAGCAAAAACTTATTTAAAACAAAAAGTAGTCCTTGTTATTCTTTTTTATCAGCAGGAGTTTCTTTTTCAGTTTGATTTTCCTTATTGGCATTCTCGCCTACAGCACCTGCAGCCTTCTTTTTCTTCTTTTTGTTCTTTGATGATGACGATGATGATGCCCCTGAGACGAGATTTGGATTTTCAGCTAAAAGCTTTACTAGCTCTTCGTCCTTTACAGAATATTCACTTTCATAAAGATTAAGATCAATGGGGATTCCAGTTGCCAAAATGGTTCCATTAGGTAGCAACATGAGAGTGCTTTTAAATTGCGCAACGAATTCATCTGTTTAAAAAAACGAAAACTCAATTAAAATTATTCAAACACGGAATGAGTTGTTGGAAATTTATCAACATTCAGCTAGAAACTAACCAAACAGATTTTAATTATGTCAACAAAATTAATTAAAAATTTCGAGAACAGAATGATTTCTTTTTAATTTTGCAAAGTGTCTGGGCACGATTTCCACTCAAAGTGACAAAATCATGAAATTAGCTTTGCTTGAAAATCTGATCACAAAATACTTTTCATTGATACTTACTATGTTTCTCATAAAGTACTTGGAAAGGTTCAATAAGCTTATGTGACACACATTCAACAACACCCATTTTTGCCTTTGCTTCTTCCTCAAAATTCCTTAAATTGAATGGCATGTTTTGATATTTCTTCTTCACCTTAAATTAATTAAATAATAAAAAAAATGTCGTGAGAAAGTGCCATAATTTGAAAAACTTCATGTCTTTCACATAAAAAATGCCCTCAGCTCTCATAATCTTTACTACTCATTAGAATGTCTTTTATCAGCTTAATTCCGAATAATTTTATTGTGAAAATCAAAAAGTCAGCTTTAACGTTGTAAACCAATGAACAATATCATGAAATTCATTAGAAAACTAACGAACTCAATCAAATTATCCAAAGATTTACATCGATTAACTTAAATTCAAGTAATTTCACACAATATCATTCAGAATTTTACTTTGGAGACTTCCTCAAGCGCTTAATTTTAATCATTGGGCAATGTTTCATTTTAAGGAAAGCAGTAAACGAAAATCTTACCTCTGCATAAAAGGCTTTTGATGCTTTTAATTTTAACAAATAATTCACATCAGTTTTCTTATAAATGGAAACTTTCGTGTCCAATTCTTTTCCTGAACCTTCTCCAGAAGAGACAAGGACATCCATGGCATACACTTCATAATTCTCAAATTCAACCTTTTCATGTTCTTTTTTCTGAGCAGCTGTTGGATTTTGAATGATCGTCTTTTCACCATCGATTTTGAATTGCTTAAGTTGATGACTTAACATTCCTTCGATCGGTTTGCACTTAAAAGATTCGGCGATTTTCTGTACCGCTTCTGTAACTTCGTAATTTCCTTTTCCGTTTTTAACCAAACGTAATGTTGCTTGAGCAGCATTGTAGGCAGCCAAAATCACATCCGCTTTCCGACCTTTGACTTTCTTTTCGAGTGATGCTCCAACCACTAATGTGAAAGCAACAACAGCTATATATCCATCTATATGTGCTCCCAAGTCAATCTTTACAAGATCTTCCTCTTTAAGAATCAAGTCCGGATCATTTTTTGATGGTGAAAAGTGACAAATGCAGTTATTGACTGAGAGACATGTGGGAAAAGCAATGCCTTTTTTCATTTCCTTGTCATCTTTATATTTCTATGAATAAATAAATAAATATATTATTTTATATTTATTTCATAAAATCATTAAAAATAATTTTGGATTATTAAAATTTGTCCTCATATATCATTGTGATTATCAGCGATTTTACTTTTGAAAATCTCAGGTACTATCTAACGTATTTGGCTCTTCAGTTGAGTTTAATCATCGGACAAATTCCAAAATCATTTTTATGATCTGTGAGGTAAAGGATCGAACCAGTGATCTCTAAATGATAAACGCTTAGAAATCTGTTCAATCCCCTCAGACATAAATTACTGAAATTTCGATATTTATGCTGTGGCATAATTACATTACCTTTTCGGTTTCTTGAGTTAGAAAACGATCTCCTTTCTCACATATTGCCTTCACAGATACTCCAGGTTTGACTGAATCAATTAACTGCTTTAAAACTCCTGATGTAATGAAAAAAAATCAGATATAAATTAAATTTGTTAAATTCCTTAGAACATTACAAAGCTGATTTATTTATAATTTTTACTATCAAAGATTATTTAAAATTTGTTAACAGAAGTAACGTGAACGTGTCTTTTTATTATAATGTTACGGAGAGGATAAATTTTAAGGTGATTGAGGTTAGAGAAGTGAATTATCTGGAGTGAAAGTGAGCTCAAGTTGAATGAGTTAGATCTTCAAACGTTATGATAATCTTTTATACAAAACTATATGTACCAATTTTATATTGATCAAATGAATAAGCTTTAAAATTGTTGTGAATTCAATTCATTGGTAATATTTAGTACGCGTCACAAAAATATACGCGTGGAATTTTTAAGGATTAAATTACATGTTTCTACTCAACTGTTAACAATTTCACCAGCTTCCTTGTACTTTTTCAGTACTTGCTCATCGGCTATTGTCTGTTCTTGCACTTCTTTGTCATCTGCCATTATTTAAATGATGATTGCAACCAAATTTCTCTTTAACTTTAATGGGAATAATTTGTCCCTTATAAAGAAGTTAGGTAACATAATAAATGTAAAATATGTATCCTATATATAACTTACGTCATTTATAATCTACTCCTAATTTTAAATTTTCAGTTATAAATTCTTGTAAAAGATTCATTAATTATAGAGAAATTTCCTCGAAATAGGTCAAATTCTCTTGCATCGAATTTTCTATCAATTTTCTAAAATAATCTTGAATTGAGGTTCCAAGTTATTTCATTAATTCTTTTATTTCCATTTAAATATTTAACGTCTTCATAGAATTCAAATTATTAAATGTTTTGAAACGGTTGCGAAACGGTACAGAACCGTTCCTGGGTGTGAAAAAATTGCTTTTAAGAAATATATCGACTTTAAGAATTAGCGTGCAATAGGCTCTATAATAATATATACAATGACAGGAAGGCTTCCAGCTTGTGTGATTGATGTTGGAACTGGGTAAATTTCTAATCAATTTCCATATTCTTATCATGAAATGACCAACCCGGTCATAGAAAATGAGTCATTGCATATAAAAAGTTTTCAAATATATTTTTATTTCTGTAGGTATACGAAACTGGGATATGCTGCAAACAAAGATCCACAATTCATATTTCCATCAGCCATTGCCATCAAAGAAAGCGCAAGAGTAGGAGATCAAAACTCACGTCGTGTAACGAAAGGTGTTGAGGATTTAGACTTCTATATTGGCGATGAGGCATTTGATGCTTCTGGTTACGCAGTAAAAGTAAGTTTTCTCCACATCTCATGTTAATCATTAAATATTCACTAATTTATAAATCATTATATTTCTAGTATCCTGTCCGACATGGAATCGTTGAAGACTGGGATCTTATGGAGCGCTTCTTAGAGCAATGCATCTTTAAGTATTTGCGAGCAGAACCGGGTGACCATCATTTTTTGCTCACTGAACCACCGCTCAATACACCTGAAAACCGTGAATACACGGCTGAAATAATGTTTGAGACTTTTAACGTGCCGGGACTTTATATTGCTGTGCAAGCTGTCTTGGCACTTGCGGCAAGTTGGGCTTCTCGTCCTGTAGAGGAACGGACATTAACAGGCGTTGTTATTGATAGTGGCGATGGTGTAACACATGTTATTCCAGTCGTAAGTTACTTATCAGTTTCCGTTTATGATTTAAAATTATAAACTTTGTTTCTGTTAATTTAAGGCTGAAGGCTACGTCATTGGTTCATGCATAAAACATATTCCAATCGCCGGACGAAATATTACCTCATTTATTCAGAGTCTGTTACGCGAACGAGAGGTGGGCATTCCACCTGAACAGAGTCTGGAAACTGCCAAAGCAATTAAGGAGAGATTTTCCTACATCTGTCCTGATATCGCGAAAGAATTCGCAAAATACGATTCGGAACCTTCAAAATGGATTCGCACTTATGAAGGAATGAACAGCATTACTAAACAACCATTTAATGTTGATGTCGGTTATGAAAGATTCCTAGGGCCGGAGATATTCTTTCATCCAGAATTCTCCAATCCTGACTTCACAACACCAATTTCCGAGATTGTTGACAATGTTATCCAAAATTGTCCGATCGATGTTCGTCGGCCGTTGTACAATAATATTGTCCTTAGTGGAGGCTCTACAATGTTTAGAGATTTTGGAAGACGTTTACAGCGTGACATTAAGCGTTCAGTTGATGCTCGATTAAGGATAAGTGAAAATTTGAGTGAGGGACGAATTAAGGTGAGAATTTTGCGTTTTGTTTTCTTTTAAATTCTCATTCATTGTTTTTACATTTGAAAAGCCAAAACCTATTGATGTTCAAGTGATTTCACATCATATGCAACGATATGCCGTTTGGTTTGGTGGCTCCATGTTGGCCTCAACAGTAAGTTTTAACTTTTTCATTAAAACAAGACTTTAATAAACTAATTTTCTTCTTTTAGCCCGAATTTTATCAAGTTTGTCACACTAAGGCTGAATATGAGGAACATGGTCCACGAATTTGCCGGTAAGACATCAAACCGTTTATCTAGAATTTCATAAATTTATAATCTTCTTTTCATTTTCATAACAGATACAATGCCGTTTTTGGTTGTATGACATAAGTTTTCAATTATCAAAACGTCTACAAATGACAAGACATTCCTACTACTGCTCACCATCTTCGATTAAGTCTAATCTTCTATTGTGCATTTATAGATGAATTTTTGTCTCCTTCTTAATCCACCAAAAGCGACTTTTATGTATTTTTTTTCAGTTTAATCAAACTCATAACAATTAGTCGTTGAATGAAACTTAATGTTTTTGTTTTTGTAGGAATTCTTATTATCAAGATATTGTTTTATTGAAACGCCTTTTAAGTATTTTTTCCTTTCCTTTCCCTTATTATGATGCTAAACATATATTAAATATATTCCATCAAATCGCTTCAATAACGCGGACAATCGTTCTTTTTCTAGTTTAGATGTGCAGATTTAAATTGTTTGGCGCATTTGAGAAACATTTGTTTATCCTTCTGTTAATTAAATTCACATTTAATAATAATGTTAAATATTTAACAAGTGAATTGTTTACATAATGAACCAATATGTAAAATCGTCAATTTAAGTAGTATCAAAAGTTGCAGTTACGTAGCTTAACCAATAACGAACCGACGTCATGCAATCTAAAGCCGCATATCTTCATTCTACTTAAAGATTAACACACAATTGGTAAATAGAATCGATTCATATTTTTTATTTTCCTTTTTTGTTTTAGATGATTTAAATTAATTTTATAAGCGATTTTTTTTCATTTTTTACAAATATTCTTCGGAATTTTTTTGAGCTGAAAAAAAATAAAAAAAAATAGAAATATTTCCGTATCGCGATAAATCTTTCTATTGTCTTTTTTCATTATTCATTGAACTTCTGTTTTCTTTATTTGTCAGATATGAAAAATTAATGATATGAAATAAAAAACGGAAAAGAATTGAAAATTTGAATATTTAAATTCAAAAAACAGAAAAATTTTGCTGGTTACACAGATATTTGATATCAAAGGGAATTTTTTTTCCAATTTTTCTTACGATTAACATCAAAAATATCTTTTTGTAGTATCTTAGCTTGATATTTTACTTCTGATAATTTAAGTTAAATAGTCATTGACATCTTCTTCGCCTGTTGAACTGTTTTCATCTTCACCATCTTCATTTGGATTTCGTTCTAAAACGCGTATATCCGATAAGAAATCACGCATAGCGTCAACAATTGAGTTGAGTGATTGTCGGAACTCAGCATATGCAACAGGTCCATCAGGATTTTCTCCCAATTCTTCAACAACACCTCCTGCAGCTTCATCAAGTTGAGCAGCTTCTGCCATTGCTTGTGCAGCACCCTCATTAGGCTGCTGATGAAGATTGAAACTTGGTAAGAGTGATTGGAAAAACAATTGCAAACCATTTGCAGTGAGTGCTCTTTGTTGAACATTGGCAGCCTTTGGTTTTTCGTAAATGTTGATTGAATCAGTCGGTGGAAGTGGATCAAAGTGTACAATCGGATCCGTATCTTTTTTCAAGAAATCAGCAATTGGAACTTTCTCTTTAAATTCTGATAAAATCACATGACGAAGAATATTCCTTGGCGGATGGGGATATCTTGAGCTTCTCTTAGCTGCACAATCATTAATGACTTCGTCTTTCTTATCGACGGAATCAAGTACTATATGAACATTCCTTTCAAGCCACAATAAAATCTCATTGTCACCCGACCATACAATCTTGCACCGTGCAATGTAAAGCTGCATAAGCTGCTGAAGGGCCAATGGACTACTAGTGAAACATCCAGGACCAAAATATTTATGTGACGAAACTCGAGAGTCTGCTTGAATGGATAACTCGTCAAGAAGAAGTTTCAAAACGCCTGGAAACATTGTCAAAGCATATTGAATTGCCTTATCAGATTCATCCATACGATTGGCATTGTAAAGTGCCAGTGCGTAGGAATATGCCATATTGGGAAGTAAAGATAAGTTGTGACTTGTTTCCCATTCTTTATAAAGCTGAATCAAGAAATCGTACTGCTTTGATCTTAAAGCATAGAAATCAATAATCAATATTATAGCTAAAGGATCATTTTCCGGATCCAATGACAAGATGAGTTTTGACAATTCCAAAGCAGTTCGAGGACATGCTCTTGCAGCAAGAAATTGCGCATGTTTAAAAAGCACAATGAAAAAACCACGATTCTCTTGTCGGCGGTAATCAAGACGACAATTTCCATTTGTTACACTGAACATGGAATGAAATGCACATTCAAAAGCATAAAGAGCATGTTCAATGAGTTCAGCTGCCATTGAGTTGTCTTCAGACATCTTGCAAAGTTCTGATAATTGAATTAATGCCTTAAAATACAAAACGCTTCTATTAATACATATATTTCCATTAGTAAATTAACTTTTATCTACTTACATCGATATGATAAGGTTGCATATTAATAATCTTTACGATGTTATTTGAATCAATACTCTCGACACTTTTAAGAAATTTCTGCTGAATTGCTCTGTAGCTTTGAGCTGAAATAAATCATTTTTATCTAAATATAAAGAATACTTTTATTAATTATGAAGAAACTTACAATGTTCGAATGAAAAATAAACCAAATTTTTATTAGTTTTTCCTCCTCCAGAAGAAGTTGGTGAAATGTCTGGGTTAGGAAGAAGATTCATGTAAAGCCCAGTACGATTGATTGGCGGCCACGAATCTTTTGGATTTGACATTAAATAAACAGATTTCAAAGAACGAAAATTTCCACCTCGACGCTTTTTTTGTTGTTCTTGATTAACAACTTTCCCAAACATTCTCTTAAGTTCAGTTTGTGGATTCAAGTTTTTATTTTGAACAGAGAGGAGAGTTTTTTCAGGTATGAAGAGAGATTGAGGTTCTGTTGAGGGAATCACAATTTGACTAGAAGATGTTCCAAACATTCTATCTACCAGCTTCACTGTTCTCGTGATTTCATCATCGTTTTCACCATCAACGTCCTCGCTTGACACTTTTTGTCGTGGTCCAGAACGACGTTTCTTCTTATTCTTCCTTTTTTTCTTGATATCTTTTGTGTTAGCGGATGCAGATAAATTTTCCATTTCAGTTGTTTCATTATCGTCTTCTCGTTCCGAAACTGAAAGCTGTTTGTAAAGAAACAAGACATTTGTTTTGTTCAAGATAACATGAAATGAATTTTTGAAATAAATCAAACGTGTCGAAACATTTCTGATTAATGACGCTATTACATCCTCTGTATTAATTACAAAGGATTTGATCTGAACAATTAAATAGTAAGTAATTTTGTAGGAACTCTTATGTCAGTGTACATTTGAAAAAGAAAAACATTTACAAGAAAAAATTTGAAACTTACCAACTCAAAGTTGTTCGCTGCTTTTCTAGGTGCGGCTTCTGACTCTTCCGAGTCATCTGTTTGTTGAAAGAAGTCAGGAGATTGTAATTTCTTAATATTTCTTAGCGACATGCCGAATTTTCGTTTTTTTTGCTACAACTTCTCAATTTGTCGAAAGGGAATTGTATTGAGACAAAATCATAGTCGATAAATTCAAGTTTTTTTGAAGTACCGATTTTCGGTTCAAAGAATTGCAGAAAAATAGAAATAATATTAATTTCATTTGATTCCATTCAATCTGAGTAAGTAACTTCTGCTTGCATCATTTTCTTGCCCATTTGATAAATTCTTGGTGCGAAATCTTCAGATTTTGATTCATTGAATCTTGCAGAGTTTTGTAAAGGCATTATAATAACTAAACGCACTCATAAAATTTTTAATTCGTGAACTGAAGTCACCCGATGTTGGTTTTATAAACAATTTTCGTTGTTTTGTTTCGTACCGAGCCTCTCAGTCTTTGGAGAAAATTCAATAGAAATTGTTGGTATTCTTATAAAGTTTCGATTGAAACTAATTAAATCAAACTAAAATTAGTGCAATCCAATTATAAACAAATCGAGGACTAATTTAAGGCCATAAAAAAGTATAAGTCCAACAAATGTGAATAGCAAAATATTTTTTTGCAGTTTTCTTGTTGAAAATTATAAAAAAGGCGATTTTTTTTTATTTCTGAAAAAAAGTCAGAAGAAAGAATTAACTACGCAGATATTGTGTAAAACGTGAAGAGTTTCGGGAAGTGTCTGCTAATTAAATTTACTCTCCGGGAAATTTGTTAAAACGTAAAAAAATATTAATAAAGGAACAAAAAGAGGCAAACACGAGCCTACAAAAAAAAGAAAGAAAAAAGAAAAATACGCAGTTCAAGTTCACAGGGCACAATTTTGGAGAAAGGGAAAAGCGTTGATCTTCTTCTTCTATGTTTTGGCGAAAATATTATATCTTAAGCTGATAAGGTAATTGGATGACATACATTTCTTATATTATTTTATTTTAAATGAAGAATTGAGAAACGAGGCCGAACTTTTTTATTTGATTAATCAAGAGGACTGTTATTAATATTTAGTAAAAACGTTCGAAACACGAAGAAGTACAATTAGATTCGACATTCATTTTCACAGTAATTTCTTTGTTGAAACAGAAACTTTTAGAGATTTTAAGTTTTTTTTTGTTATTGTTACAATTCGTCAATTGTATTTAAAATGTAACTTCGATGTTTATCTCTCCATCTCTTTTTTCCAACCGCCTACTGATAAATCAATAGTAAGTAAGTTAATGCTTTGTTTTGTGTTATTCTTTGAATGTGTCGTATACTTACGGGGTTTTTTTTGTCATTGAAAATTCATTTTTCGTTTGTTTGCTTTCTATGGCACCATATAACAAAAAATGTTCTAAATTTCCGTCTTTCACAATCTCCTTTCTTATCATTTATTGTTATTTAGACTTCTTATCACCGTTGCAATTAGAGGTTTATTTCTCTAGAGAATATCCCCATATGGTGACCGATGAGGCTCAGTTTTATTTAGAGCAACAAAGAGAAACCGATTTATTTAGCGCTTGCATAATATCAGAGCTGCATTTTGTAACGAACGAGTCATGCTTGCCTTTCTCCTATTTTAGAAACCACAGAAGAAAAATTTCCAATTTTAGCTTTTCATAAAGTGACAAACGAAGAGAATCTTGAGGAATAATTTTTAAAACTGTTTTTAATCTCAATTAGGATGTTTTTATGTACTTCTTTGTAGAAAATTGAACATCGATCTTAATTAATCGCGTCTTTGTGCATATTCTAATTACATTCTTTTACAATAAAATGAATTTATCCAATGGATAAATCATTTACGAGGTACTTTATTTATTCCCTTATAATGTGAAAGAGAAATTGCTTCAACGTTAATTTTATAAATATAGAACTTTAAAAATCAAGAACGTTCCAATAGTTTTGTTACAAAGATGATGAATAGCCCCGAAAAAACCTCGCGAAACTGTTTAAAAAGCTTAAATGCAAAGTAAGATCAAAGTATTTGTTGATATGTTTTTATAAAGCGCGCAATAAGTTGAATATAAACAAAGATTACGGATTAAAATTCTGAAAATTGTCACATAAAGAGCAATTATTGTGATTAATGCGTTGATAATACATATATGTATCTACATGATCTTTGAAGATTTTAATATTTTCATAATTCATCCTTGACATCATCTGTGAATCGCCCATGTACATATGTTTTCTATTATTATAAATATACATGCGCAGAAGGCGATAATCATTGGGACGTACACAACTGTAGATTCCACCTCACCTCGACTAAGAAGAAAGAAAACAAGAAATATTTTGCAAAGAAAAAACCGAAGCGATTTCGCGCGAAAAAAAAGAGATATAGAACAAATTTACCGACGCTGTGTCAATGATTTCACACAAGGTGATAAATCTTTATCAAGTACAATACTCTTGAACACAGAAAATAAAAGAGTTTTATGAACCCATTCCAGTTCGTCCCAATTCTGTCTATCGTATAAATGATGATGGGTCGATTACGACATTGTAATCACTTAATGTTCGTTCTGGTTCGCTAGCGAAACATCATAATTCCATTGAGGTTGGTTGGCTTTTAATAAAATTTAATTGAAGAACGATATCGAATGATGGATGGAGGATTTATTCAATAAATACGCGTTCTTCCGTCAAGCTGGAAAGCTGTTGAGCAAGGGGATCATTTCTCCTTTTATTGCGTTTGTTGACCTCTACGGCGTCATTTCCCACGTAACCGAAACATTTCGTTCTGTGTTCTCTATTCCTACAGCGTGAAGACAATTTAGACATTTTTGTTATGTTTTTTAATCATTCTAAACAATTTATTTATGTATTTTTTCATATTAGTGAATGACAGAAATCTATGTAAATCAAATGTGAATCTACATAGATGATGAATGTGGATACATATGAAAACTAAAAATAGATAAAGAAACAAACACCAAAACATCAATTTTTTTTTATTTTAACACTTTACCTGAGCTTGGCTTTCGTTAAGCTCCATCTGTTCACTATACATGAATTAAAATTTGTTGCGAAACTCATTCGGCTCTTAACATGAACTAACACGAATGCTTATATTCAAAACCCATAAAATATGCTAGTGTTTGTTCGTATACATAGTTATAGATTTTTTTTCTCTTCTCTTTTCTTCATCATCTGCGCCTTACCCAAACAAGCCCCGAGTCAGCTGTTCGCTTAATTTTGATCTCTCCATCTCTTTTTTCTCTCCGGTTTGCTATAGAAACAAAGATTTTATACACAATTTTTTTATTATTTGTCTAATCCTGAAAAAAAATTCTCATGATTTTGGAACATTAAGGCGGAAATTTGAAGACATTGAGAAAAGCGATTTATTTAAAAGTGCGTAGTCTATAAGTTGTGTGGCGCTTCATTTTAAAAAATAGTCGTGTGTTGCTTCAATTGCGCAAGATTATTTTGTAAAAGCTAGTCAAACCTACTTACAACGTTTAAAGTACTATGTTGGAACATTTTTGATCATTGATTAATTTAACAAAACATGAGACGACAGGTCACAAATAAAAAAGGTTACAAATTGTTTAATATTCAGAATTGTTTCCTATTTAAAATTTAGATGCATATCTCAATATCAGTAAAAGAAGAAACTTTTTATTTCTGTTTAGTTCATTTTTGTTTATTTCAATTTCTTAGCTTTCTTGAAAAGAAATAAAATCGTTTCAAAAGATCAACAACATTTTGCGAGGTCAAAAATAAAAAAGCTTTCGAAAGTGAATAAGTTTTAAAATTACTTTTGCTTCAATAAAAATAAAAATTAGCACTCCGTCAGAAACGATTCTCGTTTAAAGGAGTTTTTTTTTGACTCGACTCTTTATTATTGTAAATTTATTCAAGTTTTCCTTTAAGACGTCTTTTTTTTACAAGAAAGATTTTAATCGCTTTTCTTTCTCCGTAATGACTTTTTTAATTTTTTTTCCTCCATCTCCTTCTTTATCTTTCTATTCTTTTCATTCCTAACTAAGTATCAAACAATCGTTTGGTGTTTATGAGCAAGCATGAGACATCAAGATAGAAACGATTTTTTTCCTATTCACCTATATTTTCCGACGAAATCCACTCCACTACGAACTTTGTTGAGCTTCGGGTAGATATTATTTACTCGTGAAATTTACAGTAAAGGGAGGAAAATAAATAGAACATGAGCCATCATTGAAATGGAGGAAAGAACTCGTTATGTGCTTTAATGTGCATTCGCACATGGCTCGATGATTCCCTGGCTGGGTTCTTTGTTCTTTGTTCTTTGTCGTCACTTGCACAACGAAGAATATCATCGGGAATATATACATGATACTTTTGTGCCATGAAGTTCATGTTCGAAGTTGCTTTCCTTCTCCTTCTCGCTCGCTCGCTCATTCACATTTATTACTTAGATACACAAATGTAGAAAGTTTTCTTTAATGTGGTTCTTAGTAGTGAGTGAGTAACATTCAAGCACAGAGTGATGAATAGAAAAGCTAACTAGGAAAAAGGAAAAGAAAAATTGAAGTTAAACAAAAGAATACAAAATTGTTTTACGGTTAAAGTTTTTGCTGCTGCAGATGAGTTAAGCTCACGCCACTCACTCAATCGGTTGAATTTTTGTTAAGTTTTTGTGCAGAAATAAAAGAGAAAGAAAAAAAAATAAAATTTCGTGAGTTGGCACCAATTTGCTGAATTTACTTATCAGAAAAAAGCGGGCGAGTCAATAAAAAAGAAGGTAGATATATATTAATATGCGATTAAATGTTTTAACGATCAAAGACAGAAAAAAATTGAGGGCAATGAAATGAAGTCGAGGGAGAAACAGTTCGATGTAATCAGATTAAATAAATTAATGCAAATTGTTATGGCTGGGTCAGTTTCATGACTTCGTTATTATTATTATTTCTTCCAACCGTTACATGAGATTGTTAATCAACAACTTCAATCACAATGAAGCACTTTAAGCTGTTGGAATAAATAAACTTATACCACGGGTTTCTTAACGTGAACATAACGTTGTCACATCAATAAACTTTCCTTCTACTTCACTCACAATAAACAAATAACTTAAAATCATCCAACTTTAGCAGACGAAATGAAAAATAAGAAGCATCAAAACATTCCCTACGTTTCCGCTTTCGAAGTATGCATAAAAATGGTAAACTTAGCGAACATATGAGTTTTGTTTGTTTGCTTTACTGGTTTGCTATTTCATTCTCTTATTCTGCAAAATGTGATACTTTTTTAAAGGTGAAAAACCAAACCTTGCGACATAATAAAAATATTATTTATACAGACTGCTTTGTTTAGGCTTTTAAAAGTTAATGTAATTGATGCTGCAAGTTAATAAATGAATGAAAAGAAGTTTCTCATGAGAAAGGAAAGAAAAAAGTTTCCTTTATCGCTCACAGGTTTCTATTACAATATTTTATCTTATTTAGATACTAACACGGATACTTCGTACAAATCTAAGAATGTCTTTGTGTGCTTTCTCGTCGACTCAAAAGAACATCATTGAGTTATATAAACATAAAGAGTTCAATGACATTCTAGCAAATTTTCCCATTCAAATGCTTGATATTTTTCTTCTTTTTCTCTGTCATTGTTGTTGTTGTCGTTGACTCTAATGAGATAATACCCGAGTGAATAGATGGGTAACGTTGGTTGATGATGATGTGATGATGGTTCAGGTGATTCTATTTTTTTTTTTGTTCTATAAAGTACGATGTGTTTACGGGAATTACAGTTATGTACAGTTCTTTGGCCTCTTGAAGCACTTCACGTCTTTTCTTTCTGATGAAAATTTTCATTTCGAAACTTATCGTGTATTTTTATTTTCTATATGTTTCGTTAGGTGCTTATTTGTTTGCTTGCTTAGCATGGGTAGGGTTTATTGAACTGCTTAGGATAGAAGAGAAGGAATAAAAAGCTTGAATTTTTTAATAAAAAAAGCTTTCGATAGAATTTCCGAGAACCAAGTTAATATTTATTTATTTATTTATTTTTATCGGTTTTTTTCTTTTGATCCATGCAGATATTTAAATAAGAAAAAGTCAATTGAAAAGCTTACTCAAGGCTGAAAACATCAAAAGACCTGTTAAACTTTTTGCTTCCAACTCAAATCGTTGTGAAATTCATGAGATGCAAATGAAATTTAATTAAATATTCTTTATTTGCATTGAGTCCTTGTCCATACCCCAACAAAATTCATGATCTGTAAATGACAATTTCTCAAAACGCGGAACATATTTTAAACAGTTAATCATCAAGCTCCGAGAGAAGATTAATTGCGCAAATATTAAAAACACTCTCTTTTAACATCTTCTTTGTGAATCACACAAACAAATCGCAATGAATCATTTGATCATTTAACCCAAAATATTTGTAAGAAAGTCGAGGGACAAATAAAATAAGAATAACAAATAAAATTTCCCTGCTGTCTCATTTCATTTGGTCATCCAATCCATACGAATTTTCTCTTCACTTTCCTCAACAATTCTCGTAATTTCAACTGATACATCGCAAACCTTCACTTTCAAGCGTAAAAGCATTTAGTATGTCATACTTAGTCACATATATTCATGTCGTTTTATTTAAAAATTGGAAGTCAACATTCGAGTGGGATAGTCAACTGCATGCTCGCCTTGTTACAGAAATGGAATGATTGAAACTTGAAGCATAAATAAATTTTTAACTAAAGTTGTGTTACGACTTAACAAAATATTATCTTCGATTGATAAAGTAAAAAAAAACTGGAAAGAACTTTAAATGTTTTAGAAATAAAATTCGTTTAAGTCCATCTTCAATGCTAAAGCACGTAACATAAAAAAAACTTTAAGACGTAATCATTATAGTTTGACCTTTTCAAAGTGATTCCAACTGTATTAACGAAGGTTGTATTTAATAAAAAACAATATCACGTAATTAATTTATATGTGAAACGAAACAAAAGAAGATTGGAACTGATTTAATAAGTTTTGAATTAATGCAATGGAATGTTTACACTTCTTTATCTACCATTCATATTCTTTTTTTTCCTTTTCTCTCTTCATTTGAGCCATTTTAATAATTTTTTCTTTCTCTTCTCACACTCCAGACGCGAACAAATAGAATCGAAGTGATCCGTCCATCGACACCGGCTGACCGTATTGTGTGAAAAGCAAAAGCAAGAAAGAGACAAAAAGTGGAAATTAAACATTATAACTGATTCAAACAAAAGACAATAATCGAGACAACAGTTCAGTTGGTGAAGTCGATGAGAGCTTAAAGCGCTCTTTTTTATTTTTATTATTCTGTTGCAAAGAATAACCATCGTTGGTGTGAGACTAAGAAGTGAAGTCTATCCATAAAGACGAAGAAAAAAACCAGCAACAAAGTAAACACCGAACGAAGGCAGTCAGACCTGTCAAAAATTCATAATCAATTCAAAAATCTTTAGCCGTGTCTAGTGACCGACCGAAACGTGTCGTCAGAAAACATTACATCCAATAACGAAGAGAAGAAAATGGTGAAGACGTTCCAAGCATACCTGCCGCCGACAAATCGAACATATTCCTGTGTACATTGTCGCGCTCATCTTGCATCTCACGATGAGCTGATCTCGAAATCTTTTCAAGGCAGTCAGGGACGCGCCTATCTCTTCAATTCTGTGTAAGTTTCTTTCTTACTTTTAAATTGCATCAAATGACGCATTTGCAAAATCTTTAATATGTCATTCCTTTGTTCTGTTTGATTCTTTATTTATATAATTTTTACTATTACAGAGTCAACGTTGCTTGCGGGCAAGCAGAAGAAAGAGTTCTCCTGACGGGACTCCATGCTGTAGCTGACATTTATTGTGAATGCTGCAAAACTCCGCTCGGATGGAAATATGTAAGTGAAATTTATATTCAATAAAGTAAATAAAGAAAATGATGATAATATGTCTAATTTAAATATTTCATTCAGGAACATGCTTTCGAGTCAAGTCAGAAATACAAAGAAGGAAAGTACATCATTGAATTAGCACACATGATTAAGGAGAACAAATGGGATTGAGCGCTTAGCGTTCGTCGTTACGAATTAGCTTCAATTTTAAAGATAAGTGATGAAATTTCTGTTATGAGATAATGTGCGTGGGAGGAGATCAACATCAAAAATCAAAAACACAACAACATCATTAAACAAACTACGCGATGGTATTTTTTTTGGGTCATGTGATAAAATTTAACATTTTTGTTTGCATTCTAGATATGAAAAAATGAATGTTTAAAAATTATATGTTATTAATGAAATTTGAAGAAAATTGTAATTGGAAAATGACGAAAATGAAAATGCTGAAGACTAATAATTCAACGTCTTAAATTTTAAAAGTTAAGGCAACATTTTTTGTCTTCAGCATTTTCGACTGAGACATTTTTTCAATCGCAATTTTTTGCTACTGTCGTTTATCATGTATTCTCAGCATATGTACCTTGTTTAAATATAGGTAGTTTCTTTTCGTTTCTTTTTTATCATTAGCACAAAAAACACACGAAAATGTTTTTCGTCTTCATTTTATTTCCTGAAAGAAAAGAAATTTCTATTCTCAAAATTTATACGGTCGTAGTTGAAGCTTTTGTAGGAATAATAATTAATTGTTGTGTTTAACAGGCAAACATTATTTCATGATGGTGCTCAGACATTTTTTCTTTCATGAGATTCTTGGAATCGATTTTGTGCCACAAGCTAATTTTTCTTTCGGTTTTTTTGATGGTTCAAAGTTGTCAACATTTTGACGATTGGTGATAAAATTGCCTCGCTCCGAGTTCTTTGAAACTGGTGCGCTCGTCATCAACTTTGAATTGAAGAAAATAAAAAGCCGATTATGTAATGTTCCGGATTTCATCAAATAATGATTTAATCTATTCAATGGACTCGTGATACTGATATTAAATTTGTTTCTGATTGATTTTTGATAAAACATAAAATGAGAATGAAAAAAAACTTTTTCTATTGAATATTAATTCAAAATCATCATCGTCATTGTGGTTTTTTGATGTTGCTGATAAAGGTCTAAAGGACTTTCATAGATTTAGTAAAAATATTTATAGGCTAATTAAGTGGTTCAAATAATTGTTCAATGAGAAATATTTTAGTTCTTTTTGTTATTAACAAATGCGCAGCTTGAAAGAAGAGATAAGAATTTTAGAAATGCTTTTGGAAGGAAAAACTCACACAAGTATTTATCCTGTGAAAACAAAACAAAATATTCTGATAACTTTAAAATAGAATCATTCAACAAATGTACTGCCAATCTAATATCTTCATTCAAATACTGAAAAGTAAATCAAATCTTTGTAAAACTTTTGAGCTTTAGAAACAAAAATAACAAGACAATTCTGCAGGAAATAAAAACATTTGCAATATTTAAAGCTGCTCATGAAATTCAGAAGATAATTTGTGCTGAAAGGTTTTGGATGTGGCAAAACGTTACAATGAAAGCTCCAAGGAAAAATATGTATTCATGATTTATATTAATTTAGCCACCAAATATTTTTGTTCAATATCTATTTTACTTTAAATTAAAGTATAAAATATATATAAAAGTATATATACCTCTATATATATTATAAGAATTAGCTCAACGCGGAGTAAAATAAAATGATTTTCTTTATTCTCTATATTTTCACCCTTGGACTTTCACAGTGTGACTAAAATAATAATAAGAATAACAAAGCTTTCATTGGATACTAAAATGACATAACGAATGTTCGAACACATTAAATGTAATAAGTGAAAATGTTTTCCTTGGAAACGAAGTGTAATACCTTTTTAAAGAAGATATAAAGCGATAGCAAAGCAGGAAGAACACACACGACAAATGATAATAAAATTTATGAAATTAAATTAAGAGATAAAGTTGGAAAATTTTCAGCATAAACTTGTGATATTTAGCAGAAAAAAATGTTTTCATTTAATTTCATCTTTTGGATTGCAAAAAAAAATTATCACAGAGAAAGCTTTCCATGCTTCTTTTTTTTATCTAAGTAGTTGTATTTCTTCTTAGCTCGATGGAAAGAAGGCCGAGAGAAATAAAAATTAATGAATTGGCATCAATGGTATAAAGTATGAATTTGATTTAAGGTTTAAAGTTTAAGGAAGAGAAAGAAACAAAAGTTAAAAAGAAATGAACAGAATATTAAAAGATTTGTTTTATCTTAAGTGTGTAATGTGATAATAACTAAATTAGTAAAACTATTAATAAGTTAAAGTCGTAAGCCGATCGATTTGCCTACTCCAACACACGAAAAAGAAATTTAAATCATTTTTTCGTTTTTGATACAATTTTTAGAATTCCATTCAACGAATATTTTTTTTTAGTTTTCTGTAGTGTTTTAAAAGTAGAAATCCACCGACACCAAACAATTTCGGGAATCGATTTTCATTTTGCTCATAAATATTTTAAATATAAACGATGGAGTTTTCATGTACTTTAACATTTTTTTAATTTTTCATGATTCGAATGGGAAATTTTGCTACAGAAACATTTGGGAAATTTTTAAGATGAAAAACACTTTTATTGAAGAGGAAAAGATGATTGAAATTGATCGTGATAAGTAATTTTCTTTTCAGTTTACACTTGATAATTGTGTTAAATAATCCCAACAAAAAATGTCGGTATACCGCCTTTAATTATGTCTCATTTTTTTTTATTAAACTTATTAAAAGTTTCTCCTGATTTTTGTTCAGATGAAAAAAGTTTTTCCCGGCGCAAACTAAAATTTTGATAGCTTAATGAATTCAATGTGGTTTTAATAAGTATATCCTAATAAATGTTTATGAAAAGTAAAACTCAAAATGCTTGTTTTATTTTTTTTTCCACTTTTATCTTGTGAAAACATTACGGGAATAACCGGAAGTGTTGAAAACTTTTCAGTTATATGGAGTTAGGTGTGCTGAGTGGTGCTTTTTATTTTAGAGTTTATGGAAGTTACTGTCGGTAACTAATTCATATTAAATAAATCTTATATTTTTCGAGTCGTTGCTGTCATGGTGAAATAAACAGAAATAATATTGAAAAGATATGAGTAGGTAGAGAATCAGAAAAATCCATTAACTGTCGTTGGAATTTCCTTCTTACGTCAGCATATTTCTGAAATAAAAACAATGCAGTCATCCAAAAATTTTCCCTGACAACAAAAAATAATGAGCAATGGAAAGTTCTTCCTGAGAACATGCGTTTGGTTTCAAACATTCGCTATGACAACGATCTCAGTCACATGTTTCCATGTTGTTAGGGAAATTTATCAGACAATTACAAAATTATGAAAGCGGTTACCAAGGAGTTTTTGTGAAATCAACACAAATAAATTTCCGCCCATAAAAAGTTTTGTTATATAACTTTTCTTTTTATATTTTTATTTAGGTTTCCTTTCAAAATGGATTGGAAACAAATTTTATCACTTTCTAACGAAGATCTGAATGATGAGCGGAAGGAAGAAATCTACGTGGAGCTCGTTAAAGATCAGAAGTTTGATGGCAAAATGGCAAAGAAACTTTTTCCGTAATTTTTTTTCTTTTTAAACTTTTGTATTAGATACTCTGATTTTATTATTACAATGTTTACAGATTATGTTTAACAGTGTTGAAACATAAAGGTCAGCAAGTGGAAAAACAGCGAGAAGAAATCGAAATGCTTGGTTTGTTTTCCCAATTCGTAAAATAAACGAAATTCTTAATCGTTTTCTTAACTTTTTATTTTTATGTCTTCTTAATAGTCTCGTCCGATATTGACCTCAAAGCTACATTAGAACAAATGGAGAAGCAAAAGAAGACAATTGCAAAGTTTGAAGTTGAACGTAGTCAGTTTAAGACAAGGATTAAAGAACTGACAGACGAAATGACTTTGATGCAGGGACGAGACCTTCGTGGAAGTGATGAAGATTCACCAGATCAACTTTCAGACATCGATAGACAGCAAGAGTTAATGGCAAACATAAGCATGAAGAACAAACATATTAAGAGACTTTTAAGGGATATCGAGGCATGTCAAAATTAACCCAAAATTTATTTTTTCTTGAATTAATAAATTAATTTATTCCTTCTCGAACAGAAACTCGAAGAACAATCAAAGACCCAAGTCAATGTTATCAAAGAACTTAAGGAAAACGTTGAAGTTTTTAACGAAAAAATCTCTAGTTTATCAAATCAACTTTCAGAGTCAACTGCTTCAGTTTCTTATTTCGAAGAGCAGATCATAAAACTAAATAATCAATTGCAAGAACAAGAATCTGAGAATCAACAATTGATTTATGAGAAAAAGAATTACGAGAAAGAAATGGAAACATTTTCAGCACAACTTGAGGAACGTGTTCTGATGTATAAGAATATTTTGGATGAGAAGCAACGACAATTAGATACAGCTAATGGAAAATACTTTAATTTGATGGAACAAATGCCAGGAGTTGACATTGACAGCGAACAGAGTGAAATTAAACGGTTAATAGAAACGTTAAGACAACGCGATATTTTGATAAAAACTTTTGAAGAAAAGATTGGAACGTTGTCAGCGGAATTAATTGACGCAACAAGTGTCATCACGAAAATTAGAAAGGAGAGGGAAGAATATATGAAAAGGATGTCAAGAGACAAAACAGAAAGATGTTGTGAAGAAATTCAATCGATGTTAGAAGCTTCGAATATTCGTTGCAAAGAACTGCAAGAAATGCTTGAAATGACTGATAATGATAATATTCTTAAAGCAAAACAAGCCTTTGAAGCAATTGAAACGTTGAAAGCTTATGAGAAAAGTGAAGATGGCCTCGCAGATGCATTGAAAAGAATTCATGACTTACAAGACCAATTACACCAACGAGACAAGCAAATCCAAGAATTCGTTGTAGAACTCAATGCTCAAAATGAAATTGTAGCGGAAAATTCTATTCTTAGAAAACGTTTGGGAATAGCAGAAGACGATTTGATTGAGACAAGACCATTCCTAGCAAAACAACGGAAATTATCAAAAATCAACGAACGTTTGATGTTGAAGCTTCGAGCTTCAGAAGAAATTCGATTACAATTAAAAATTGAGAAACATGAAATGAAAAGAAGAATTATCGAACTTGAAACACAAAACAGCAGAACATCAACAATACCTGATATTGCAGAAGAAGAAAGAAAAGCTCCAAGTGTTACTGAAAATATTAAACAATGTGAAAGTTGTTTTGAAACTTATATCATCTTTGATTCTGTCAATTTCTGTAAAAATTGTATTATGAAGCAAAATTCAAACCTCTGCGATAATTGTGTGAAAAAACTTAAAGTTTCATCAGAAGAAAACATAGAACTAATTAAAAAGATTGCTAAATTAGAAATCGATCAGAAATCAGTGACAGAAGAGAATGAAAATCTTCGAATTGGGTTGAATGAAATTCTTGAAAAGTTGCGAGATTATGAAGGAACTTCCGAACAAACAATCATAAATCCTGCTACGTTTGAGAAACTTTTATACATCTTAAATATAAGAAATAAACGAGCACCATTTCCAGAAAATAGTGAATCTCAATCTTATGTCCATCTGAGTTCACCACAAACTTCTAGAAGACTCGAAGATGCAGAAGCTGAGATTATCCAATTGAAAAATGTTGTCAAAGGTTTAAGTGATCAGAATGAAAATTATGTTGTAAATTTAGAGAAAATGAAGATTTTGGAAATAAATTACGAAGAGCTTGTTCGAAGCAGTGAATTATGTGACGGTGACAAACATCACCTGTTAATAAAAAGTCTTCATAGATGTCACGAATTTGAAACAAATATGAGAATTTTCGGAAGAAAAATAGATTTTCTTAAAAATGAAAATGATTATTTGCATAGTGAATTGAGAAGATTGAAGATTTCATCAATGACACTAATCAATGATGTCAGGATAAAATTTTTGGAGAAAAATGAGTATTTGGGTGAGGTTGCAGATGACAAGGAAATAGACGAAATTGTTGAACTTCAGGAAGAGCTTCAAATTATCCGGACAAAACTCAATGGATTATGTTTAGATGTCTTGAAAAATATCAAAACAATTGATGACGGAAAAACATTAAACATTGACGTGGAGAAGCTTTCAGATGTGACCGTACTTGAAAACAATTTCACAACATCTTTCATAACTCGCCAGGAATTAGAATCGATGAAATCACAACTCATGACATTACAAGAGAAAATCAGAGATCATAAAATAAAAGAGAATAACCTTGAAGAGTTGACAAAGATCATCCAATCGCAATTGAAATCCCAGCAATTGATGTTGAGCCAATTCACCGATGAAGAGATTTCAGCCCGCCATTTAATTGTCGATCTTCAAAGTCAAAGCAATGAAAATTATTTACTTACAAAAGCAACAAGAGAACTGAAAATATCGAAAGAACATGAAGAAGAAATGAAACTTGAGGTTGATGAATTAAAAGCTCAAGTTCAGTTGCTTCATGAGAAAATAAAAACGGGAAGTGAAGAAATGAACGAAAAGTATAACGAGTTGATGAAACAAGAGCATAACAATCAAATGAAAATCAAATACTTGAAAAAAACTTTAGTGGATCTGTGCCATCAGTATAGTTCAATGACTCCCGTCTATTTAATTGCTGATTTTATTAAAGATTACACAGCACTCCTCGCTGCTAAAAAGAAGATTGAAGTTGAGAAAACCACAATGAAAAGTCATGGAACTTTAGAAATTTCACAAGAATCAATTATTGCAACTCTTGGTGAAAATTCACCATTATTGAAATCAGATATTGAAGCAAAAATTGAAATCATTAAGCACAAATCATCTTGCGAATATTTGCGACAACAACTTGAACTTCGTGAATCAACAATCAAAGATCTTCACAATGAAGTTGCAAGAGTGAAACTTAATGAGATTAGAAACATGCAGCATTGGAATGCAATTCAAATGTTATTTGATTTAAATGAAAGATCACATGAAGAGAAAAAATGTGAAATGATGGATAAGGCTTTACAAGTTGATGTTGAAACGAAAGATTGCTCCACAAGTACTGATGAGGTGTTGAGAGTAGTATCAGAGAAAAATCTAACTGTTCAGCCAAACGTTGCTGTTCAAATTCCATCTGATGACGAATCTCCACAACCACAACTAGTCGTTGAATCTTCCACAACTTCCATTGATAATATCAATCAGAAAAGTCTTGAGTCGCAGTTGAAAAAAGCTTTATTGCTTGCATCATCACGAAGTGCCCTTCTGATTGAAACTGAAAATCGTCTTTCTGAAGCTCAAGGTAGAATCAAACTTTTAGAGAAGAATCTTGACAATCGTAACCGGAAAATATCAACTGAACGTTCTGTAAGTATTGAAAAACAACATTCAACAGAATCGATGACAATCTCAACACTTCAGAATCTTCTACTCGAGAAAGATATAACATTGTCACGATATCAAGATTTGTTAAAAACTGAACGACAACACCATTTGCAAGCTTACGACGAGTTGAACAATGAAATGAAAGAACTTAAAAGAAAAATTGATGATCACGAGTCGATTGTATACGAAAAGGAGAAAATAATTCAGAAACTAAAAGCAGAAATTTCAGAACACGAAGGAGCAAAACAAGTTAAGTCATCGACAGAAGCTTCAATTTCTCAACAAATTCAGATATCAAATTTTACTGATGATGAATCACATAATCTTGAAATGAAATTGAAACAAGCTCAAAATGACATTAAAAAAATGGAACAGCAATTGAAAGACCTCTTAAACACTGAACGTCAAATGAAGAATTTAATTCATGACAAAGATGCAACGATCAAAGAATTGAATGTGAAGTTGAAAGCTGCAATTGAAAGTCTTGATAGTTTAAGTGGAAATTTCACACCAGCAACAGAAATAGATCAATGTCGTGAAATGCTGGAAGAAAAAGACAAACACATTCAAGACTTGACAGAAACCTTAAACCAATTCCACGATGATCAGCAGAAATATATCAATGATACGGCAATAAATTCTGCAGAACAAGTTCATTTGATTTCTGCTGATTTAAATCGAGCTGATGCGACAAATCGTGTGCTAAAAACACAACTTGAAGCGGTTAAACGACAAGTTGCAAACATTCAACAACGTGAAAAACAAGCTCGAGAAATGGTGAAGACACTTAAAAATCAATTAATTCGTCGTCCTGTGATTTCGGTTAAGAGTGACAAACGTCCGACGACACAACGTGAAGAAAACTTACAGAAGAAAGTTAGTGAGCTGGAAAATGAATTGTTAGAAGTGAAAGATGAATTGCGCCGTCAGATGAACATTAATGACAATAAGAAAGCTAAAAATGCAGCTGAATTGGGTTTGTGGGATAAACAGAAACGTTATCAAGAATTGTCGGAGAAATTGAAAACTAAACTTACGGAAAAGGAAATTGATTATGAGAGAATGAAGGCAAACTTCCAGATTGCTAAAAATAACATCACAAGGTTGGAACGAGAGAAAAGTATGCTTGAAAATAAGATAAAAAGTGGACGTTACTTACATAATGTTGGTGCCGCGCAACAAACCTCATGTGCACATTGTCATACACAAAAGCATGGCATGTCTGAGACTTCTACAATATCAGCAGATGACGTGGAAATGGGAAGTAATCATGAACTTATAGCTGCTCTAAAATCTCGGATAGAAACTCAACAACGAAGAATTATTTCCTTAGAATTAGATGGAAAAGGTTCAAACGCTATGACAACTGAAGTCGAGAGACTTCAAGAACAATTGACGACTGTTGAGTCCCAAAACATTCGACTAGAAGCAAAAAATATTCAACTTCAGCTAGATTTTGATCTTTTAAAACAAAATGATTCAGGGCAAAGACAAGAAGCGAGAATTAAGCATCTTGAAGAGTGAGTTTATCTTCGCTTTAAATGAAATTTTATTAACATACATTTTTTGTAGCTACATTTTGGTTCTAAAAGACGAACTCGCTCAAGCTCATGGCAAATATGACATTTCAGCTGAAAACCCTTCGAAACATAGTCACCCCAACACATCACAAATTCAGGCAATGGAACAAACGATTCTCACTCTCAAGCGTGTCATTGAGAGATTAAAAGCTGAGAATAAACATTTGAAAGACTTGAAGAGTGCGACCACATCGACAGCAGCATACATGAGTCAAACCGACCGTAAAAAGGAAGAACTTTTTGAGAAATTGAAAAATGAAAATGAAAAGCTTCTGAAAAAATACAATGAAATGCTCGATAAGATTTCTAAATTGGAAATCGAATTGCAGCTTTCACAAACATCACAAGCAATGAATGTCTCGTGCCCTCATTGCAATCGTAACTTCAATGAAATGGTAGCACAAGATGCTGATGTGCTGACTCAGCAATTACAGCAGAAAACTGCACTTCTTGAGAAGGCAAAAACTCTTTTAGCGCGTGCTGCTGCCAAGGAGAAACATCTAAGGGAACAAATCTTTTACTTGAAGAAAAGAGTTTGTGACCTGGAAGGTGTTCCCGTCATTAGTGAAGAGAACAGCGAATCAGGATGAACATTTTTATTTATTTGGTTTTCCTTTTTTATTTGTGAATAATATAAAATTTTATTTACATGCAAATGAAAGCATATTGCAGAGAGAGTGTTAATAATAGTAATAAAGTGTAAGATTATTTTGAGGCGACACAAAAATTAAGCAGCTATTTTTTTAAAGGAAATTAATCATAAACAACGAACAGACAATTAAAAGCGTTTAAATTCATTGGTTCGCAATGTTAATTTTTGAGTACTCTTAGAGAAATTTGAAAAGATACACACATATATTGATCAAGCAATGGAAAAGTTGCTACGCTGTTTATGAAAATTCTGTTTGAAATTAATTTATCATTATTAAATATATTTGAAAGATGCTGTTTATTTAGGACGTCTTTGACGACTGAGGCAACTGTGGGAGACCAAACTCGTCAACGAGAATTCCGTCTTTGTTGCGAGAAGGTTGTGCTGGAACTGAATCAGCACCTGGTTCTCTATCGGGAATACCAGGAGCTTTAATGACGTCGTCTAAATAAGAAGTGTCATCGTCAAGAGCAATTTCATCCCCCAATGCATCCAATTCTGCTTGTAGATCATCTTCATCAAATTCCGGAGTATTATAACTCCGACCAAGTGCTTCTTGGACTTCGTCAGCTTGCTCCAACATGTCAGCCATGTCATCTTGTAAATCTTCGATTTCTTCCAAGTTAATTTTCTTGAAATCTTTCTTCATCGCTTTCATTCCATCTTTCATGGCGACAACTGTTGTTTGAGTGTCTTTAAGCATTTGATTCGCGTAATTTGCCTGCTCCATGTTGAACGATTGATTGCGCAAGTTTTCAACTTGATTCTCGTATCTTCAAGCAAATTTCATAAATTAATTTAAAAGACAAATTGAAAATAGTTATTTATGACTCACTGTTTCTTCTGCTTCAAAACTCTCAATGCCTTCTGTTTAACAGCATTTTTACTTGGACCTTCTCGCATTTTAGCCATCTGATCTTTATATTTTCGCAATTCATTGTCAAGTGTTTGAATTTTCTTTTCAATTCCTTCAGCTCTTTGATCCACCTTGAAAAAAGAAGAAAAACAATATTAAAATCCTAAATTATCAAATTTTGTTTTATATCCATTTAGATTTCTATAACTTACGCCAGTAATACAATCATTTATGCTAGGACCAGGCTCTTTTGGTTTTCCACGTCCAAAAAGTCGATTCATTTTATCTTTAAATTGTATTTTTTTCGATTTGATTCCTTTTGTTTTGAAAATGACTCAGAATTTCCATAGACAATTTTCTAGATCAGTCGACTGATGAATGTCGAGTGTGTTCAGTTTTCCAGCATAATGAATGTGAAAGCGTTCAGTTAAACTCTCTATAATTGCATTTCACATTAAATCAAAACAAAATAGAAACATCAAATTAATTGGCAGTAAATATAAAACTTTAAAGGTTTTTGTTCTTATTTTAATTATTTTAAATATCCTATTATTTTATTTCACCTAAAGAAGAAGAAAACAAAGTTTTGACAACATTTCTGCATACAAAAATCATCGGGTGAAATTCGTGTGACAAATCACGTAAACAAATGGCTGCAACTTTTAATGTTTTTAGACAAACTGGTGCTGTTCTTGTAACAGCAGGTCTTGTCACTGCATTTTCTTTAAGAAAAGCGAACATGGAAAGTCGAGCAATAGCGAGAAAAATTAATGTTTCCAACTTCATGGCACTTCCAATCACGCCTATCGATAAATTAACTAAAGAAAGCAATGATATGAGAAGCCGAATGGAGGTAATGATTATGAAAGTGCAAGCAGATTTATGTCGAGTTCTTGAGGGTGAAGAAAATTTCGGAAAAAAGTTTAAAGTTGATCGTTGGGAAAGAAATGAGGGCGGTGGTGGAGTAACGTGCGTGCTGCAAGATGGTGACACGTTTGAAAAAGCCGGTGTCAATGTTTCAGTTGTCTCAGGATTGTTGCCACCAGGAGCAGTACAACAAATGAGATCTCGTGGACGTAAACTCAGTGATGGCGATCTTCCGTTCTTTGCTGCTGGTATCAGTTGTGTTATTCACCCAAGAAATCCTTTTGTTCCAACAATTCATTTTAACTATCGATACTTTGAACTTATTGAGCCGAATGGAAATAAAATTTGGTGGTTTGGGGGTGGAACTGATTTAACGCCCTATTACCTCAATGGAGATGATGCAAAACATTTTCATAAAACTTTGAAAGATGCTTGTGATGAACATGACAAATCATATTATCCTCGATTTAAAGAATGGTGTGACAAGTACTTTTTCATAACCCATCGTAAGGAATGTCGTGGCATTGGTGGGATATTTTTTGATGATTTAGAAACGCCAACACAAGAAGACTGCTTTGAATTTGTGACAACTTGTGCCAATGCCGTGGCACCTTCTTACGTACCAATTGTTAAGAAACATAAGAACGATGCATATGGTGATCGAGAAAGGACATGGCAGTTGCTAAGACGTGGACGTTATGTCGAATTTAATCTGATCTATGATCGTGGAACAAAGTTTGGATTGTACACGCCTGGTGCTCGATATGAAAGTATTTTAATGTCGCTGCCCTTGATAGCTGTAAGTTTCTATCAATTTATACATTTTGTTGGTATCTCACCATTTGTTTTCTTTTATGCACAAAGCGTTGGGAATATATGCACGAACCATCAGCAGAATCGGAAGAAGGAATATTAATGAAAGTTTTAAAGTCTCCAGTTGATTGGTTGAAACCACCAGAAAAGAATTAATATGACAATTAAATGCCGCAATTTCTTATTTCATCAATTTCAAGAGAACACGTGACGCTAAGTAGGTCCGAGACTTAATTACTCGTTAAAGTTTTCTATTCTACAAGTGTTCGCGTGTTTAGAAGAAAAGGCGGTAAAATTTTCTTGTTTTACGAGATCAAAAAAAAAATCTTAAATTTAGTTAGCATTTTCCATCGACAGTTGAATTTTATTCCTTTTTTAAAGCAATTTTCGTTTTTAATAAATTTGTTTATATTTCGAAAAACTCAAAAAGGAAATGTTCATTTTTTAAACTCAAAACATTCCGCGACTCTGCTTAAATGTGCTGCCAGCTTTTCGATTATGATTTGCTCTCGATGACTTATTAGTGGTTTTATTTTGCCTGTTACGAAGAACTTGATTACTTTGTCCTTGACCTTTTTGAGCACCAACAACGTCACGTGATTTTGTATCCTGAGGTATTTGCTGAACTTGCGGATGTTTTTTAGCCATACGATGCTGAAATTGTTTTTCACGACGAGCACGAATGGTTTCAGGATTTTCACAAAAGTCCATGTTGCTGTTTTTCTTTGAAGCGTCAACTGATTCGCTAGTTTCATCTTCTTCATCTTCACTATTACTAACATCGACATCATCTGGTAACAAATCTTTCATTCTTCCGTGTACTCGCATGTGAACCTTTGGTTCCGAATCAGCGAGAGCGTCGTATGAATCGTCATATTCATCATCATATTCATTATCATCATCGCCACCTTCAGCTATTAGTCCATAAGTTTGATATCTATCTTTCAAGTTGTCCATAAAACTTTTATCATTTAGAAGTTCGTGATAAGTTTTCGGTTCCTTCTTTGTCAAAAATTTTCCATTTTTTTTGACATGACCAGCAAAGTTTTCATTTCTCATCACATCAAACTTGTCACCATCGTAGATATTTGATCGTTCAAGACCAGTCGCAAGAAAAACCTTGTCAGGAATATCTTTAGGGATATAAGGTTCGTCGATGTCACAATCATTGAATGATGAATCTAAGTTACCTGAAAAGTAACACGAAAGTTAGAAAAACATCAATTAAATATAAATTAGACAATAAATATTTACCTTCAACAATCTTCGATATAACTTCTTCTGAATTGTTATTGTAGTACGCCAATAGTCTTCGAATATATCCAACACCATAATGTGGAAACAATTCCAAAATTTTACTGGTTTCAATTTGTAAAACCTCTTCGACATTTTGAGTTGTCATTGATGCTTTACTAAATTCATTTTGATGAACAGGCAAAGCACATGCGCCTTCAAATTCTTCATCACCGTTTAAAGGATCAACAATATCGTTGTTGTGATGTCCGTTAGATAGTTTAGACGCAGCTTGATCAATTTTATAAGCATCAGAGACAAAATTAAGTTTAATTTTGTCACTAAAAAATTAAGCCTTACAATTTAAACATATTAAAAAGAAATAAATTTTTATTTGCTTACATATTTTTTCCTCCTTGTGTGATGATGTCTAAGTCCATCTCAATGGGATACATTTGAACATAATCGATAATGAAAGTTTTGTAACCAGCACACTCGGTTAATATTGATAAAATTTCATCAGCAAGTTTGCGACGATTTTTGTCTCCTGCATTTAAAATAGCCGAAATTCCACGGTTTATCAAGTTTCTGTAACAGTTGATAAGTTCTATGCGTGCATAGCTGATGTAAGTTAGAAACCATGCATCTGGATCAAATGAATACGCGAGATTATAAAGAATAGGAATGAAGTTATCGTAGAGGCTCGCAATTGATTGCTCAAGATGAAAATCACGACTACAAAATGTTTTGAGTTCATTTGAAGCTGTATCGATGATAAGATTAAGTGTTGAAGCAATATTCATCAAATATAAAGTAATATCTTCATATTTCTCGTCCAAATCTCTATTTTCAGTCTCAATTACTTTCAACTGTTCTCGCATTTTGATGAAAGTGCTTTGAATGAATTTTATTCCCATTTTCAAGTCATTCAAATACTTTGGTTCAATTTTCACCAAAGTCTCGATGATTTTCTGCAGTAAAGTTTTATTGTTGCTTCCTAATAATGTCACCAAATCAAAAATCATTGGAATCGAAATGATGAAATTGCTGTAGAGGATCTCTGCTTGTTTTTCTTTTGACATAAACTCGATTTCTGATTCACGGTTTGTTATTAAACGGCATACAATTACAATACCATTTCGACATACTTTTTCATAAAGCCGAAGTGCAGTCTCATTATCTTCAAAAATATTTTTCAATGAGACATAAAATGGCAACGATTCTTGTAGGAAATATAGAAGTGGGTTGAGAAAATCTTTGTCGTAGACAACATGCGACCAAAATCTGAAATGATATTAAATAAATTTAAACGTTCAATTTTACATGTTAAATCTAATCATAGAAAGAGTTTTTGTTGATGATTCATATGATCAAACACAATTTTAATTTAAAAATGATTTTTAGATAAGGAAATATATTAGATAAAAGTTTATCTATTATCAATTAATTCATTTGTCGCAAGTTGGTGTGCTCGTTGTGTGTCGTTTTAAGCCATCACCTATAGCAATATTTGACTCATTATAACATTAAGCAATAATTTATCTAATATGAAACCTTTCTCCAAAAACTACGATAGCCCTTAATTAACTTCATGACAGTTCATATTTGAGAATACTTTAATAGTAATCTTCATTTATATAATCATCATCATCATCATCAATAATTGACCTTAACATTGAAACACATTAATGTTAGAACTTTTTGTTTAGTTGTATAATCAAGACGAATAGTAAGTATGTGTAAATATATTTTACAGCGATGCGAATAAAACTTGACTTTAAATTAGATATCCGACGAGAAGTGAAGCTCAGTAACAATCAATATTTTCGTGCGTGAACGTCTTTAAAACGATGTTTTTGATAATTGGATTACTTTTTGCAGTTGGTTATTTGATTAACCAGTATGTGTTTAGTTATTGGACAAAACGAGGATTTAAGCAACTACAGCCTTCGTTTTTGGTCGGAGATGCTTTACCCTTAATAACTTTAAAAACTTCATTGGGAGAATACTTTCAAGAAATATATGACAAATATAAAAATAATAAAATCATTGGAATTTATTTATTCTATCGTCCTGTATTAGTGGTCAATGATGCTAAGCTTGTGCAAGATATTCTCATTAGAGATTTTACATATTTCCACGACCGTCCAATGCCGGTTGACGAGATAAATGATCCATTGTCAGCACATTTGTTCAATATTGCTGGTCAAAAGTGGCGAGATTTGAGAGTAAAACTGTCACCGACATTTACCTCTGGAAAATTAAAGGGAATGTTCTCAATAATCAGAGATTGTGGTCAAGTTCTTGAAGATTATTTAGATAAAAATATGAAAAGTGGCGTCGATGTGTTCGAATTTCGAGATTTGATGGCACGTTTCAACACTAACATCATTTCATCAGTTGCTTTTGGAATTGAGAACGACTGTATAAACGAACCTAACCACTTGTTTCGCCGGATGGGTGCAAAAATATTTGAACCCAATTTCAAGAATGGAATAAGAGGAGTATTTGCATTCCTTTTGCCTAAAATGTTTCACGCTGTCAAATTAAAGGTTTTGGAGGCAGATGTCGAAGAATTTATGTTTTCAATTGTTAAACAAACTGTTGAATATCGAGAACAGAAAAACTTCTCGAGAAATGATTTCATGCAACTTTTAATTCAGTTGAAAAACCAAGGATTTATTTCAGTCGACAAAGGAGAAAAAAATTCAGAAGAGAATGATGAATCCAATAAAAGTATCAAGAAATTAAACTTTAACGAAATTGTAGCACAAGCGTTTGTATTTTTCGTTGCAGGTAAGAAAAAAACTTTTAACTTTGAGAACATTAAAAGAAATTCCATATTTTCATTAAGGATTCGAAACATCAAGCTCAACTTTGTCATTCTGTTTGTTTGAATTGGCAAGACATAAGGAAATTCAGAAAAAGATCCAAGAAGAAGTGGACAAAGTCTTCAAAGCTGCAGGTCCTGATGGAATTACTTATGATATGTTAAGTGATTTGAAATATCTCGAATGTTGCATTGACGAAGCATTGCGAAAATATCCAATTGTCCCTTCTCTCATTCGAACTGCTACTCGTGACTATAAGATACCTGATAGCGATCTTGTGATTCCCAAAGATACAGCGATTGTAATTTCTGTCTTAGGAATGCATAGAGATCCAGAAATCTATGATGATCCAATGCAGTACATCCCAGAGAGATTCCTTAATTCGTCACATGGAGGTGGTAAGGTCAAAGGCACATTCTATCTACCATTTGGAGACGGACCAAGAAATTGTATTGGCATGAGAATGGGAAAGATAACGTCGAAAATTGGCCTTGCACTTATTTTAGCTAAATATAATCTTGAACTTACTGATAAAGATATGATCAACAAGGAACTTGAATTCCATCCAAATCAATTTGTGCTTACGCCATTGAAACCTTTCAACATTAAAATTACTCCACGATAAAATAATAACGCGATAAGCTTGGTGAAAGAGACCACAGCTTATTGAGATAAGATAGAACATTGTTCGAATAATATGACGGAAATGTAATGAACAGTAGAAGTTTCACATAAACAAAAATATTGTTATTCAGAGAATTCTTTTTTAAATATTATTTGTATTGTTGTAGCATCTTCAAATGTTTAAATCTATTTTTGATCTATTTGTTTGAAATAAAAAAAATCATCAAAGAATTGTGCTTTAGATTTCATTACACAATGTTATGAATGAATCAAAAATCATCNATTCGGCGAATATTCGTTACCCTGAAAAACACGAATAAATACGTACCCTATATGTAGGTATATGATCTTCCATCGTTTTATATGTATGTAAAAAATTATGTGATCATTTGGTAGGATATTCAGATTCACATTATCTTTATTATAAAACTTCCAAAAGTAAAATATTACGATTGAAACTTAAAAACATTTCATTATATTTTTGCAAGTCATTCAGTTAATGAAAGCTTCTCAAAAGTTTTTAGACGTGGATTTTACAACAGAATCAAATTAAAAATACCTTTTGTATGTGTTTATCACGTTATGCCCATAGAAGAAATTCAGACAGAGATTAACTTAAGATACGATAAATTTTTATTATTGTGAATTGTTATTGTGATATGGATTTTTGTCTTCAAAAGAGATACTCCGTGGTTTTTAGTGATTCAATAAGAGATAGCTTTTAAACATTCATGAAAAAAGTTGTTTTACATATGTATCTGGGGGATGAAAATTTTGCATTGCTTTCCGGGTTTTTTCTTTTTCTAAAGTTTTCGGATTTCTTTCGTGTTTTCACACATGAATGTTTATGTCAATTTAATTGATACCAAAACTTGGGACAACGTTTTGTCATCACAATACCTACATAAAAACTAATAATCATAAGTGCGTAGAGCGGTTTAGTGGAAAATGCGTAAACAATTCTTATGACCTTTAAATTACTCTCTTTGTAAATGATACTTAAAGTCATTTGGATTTATCCTTCACATAATGCTTATTTCCAAATATCGTTATCAATAGTTGAAGAATCTTCCAATGAAATTATGTTGTTGATTTTTGCACATTACTTTGGAAAGTCCTTAATTATAATAAATATTGAGCAGGCGATCTCGATCTTATTTCAAAATTCTTACATGAAAGTGTGGTGGATTACGTCATTAAATTTGTTATTAGTTTTAGAAACCTCACTGATTTAAAGGATTTAAGTTTTTAAAAATGCAGATATTGAACTTTGCTTTCTCCCATTTATGGACTCAGAAAATTTATCAATATTTATTATATAAAATATCATTATCTTTAGATATTTCACAACACATCTGAGAATTTCAATTTTTTCATGTGATATAAAACTTGAACGTAAACGAAGGAGAAGCTCAGTTACGATCAATCGGTCTTTTGCTTCAGAACTGTTTGTATTATCACAACATGTCGCTATTAATAATATTAGGATTAGTTGTAACAATTGTGTATCTTTTGAACCAATACTTCTTTACTTATTGGTCCAAAAGAGGATTCAAACAAATGGAACCTTCATTTTTATTGGGAGATGCAAGTAGTGTAGTAACTTTAAAAGTTTCTCCAGGAGAGTATTTTCAAAATATTTACAACCGAAATAAGAGGAATAATGCTATTGGAGTTTACATGTTCTATCGTCCCATATTATTGATCAATGATGCTAAGCTTGTTCAAAACATTTTGATCAGAGATTTCACATATTTCCACGACCGTCCAATGCCTGTAGATGAAAATTATGATCCATTGTCCGGACATTTATTTAGCATCGCGGGTCAAAAGTGGCGAGATTTAAGAGTAAAATTGTCACCGACATTTACCTCTGGGAAACTTAAAACTATGTTTCCGATTATAAATAACGTCGGAAAAGTGCTTGATGAATATTTGGACAAAAATGTGAAAAGTGGTGTCAATGTGTTCGAATTTCGAGATTTAATGGCACGTTTCAATACTAACATCATTTCATCAGTTGCTTTTGGCATTGACAATGACTGCATAAACGAACCTAACCATTTGTTTCGTCGGATGGGTTCGAGGATTTTTGATACAACGTTTTGGAACGGCTTTAGGGGGACTATGTCGTTTATTGCTCCAAGCCTTTTTCATAAAATGAAACTTAAAACTGTCGACAATGATGTCGAAGAATTTATGTTTTCAATTGTTAAACAAACTGTTGAATATCGAGAACAGAAAAACTTCTCGAGAAATGATTTCATGCAACTTTTAATTCAGTTGAAAAACCAAGGATTTATTTCAGTCGACAAAGGAGAAAAAAATTCAGAAGAGAATGATGAATCCAATAAAAGTATCAAGAAATTAAACTTTAACGAAATTGTAGCACAAGCGTTTGTATTTTTCGTTGCAGGTAAGAAAAAAACTTTTAACTTTGAGAACATTAAAAGAAATTCCATATTTTCATTAAGGATTCGAAACATCAAGCTCAACTTTGTCATTCTGTTTGTTTGAATTGGCAAGACATAAGGAAATTCAGAAAAAGATCCAAGAAGAAGTGGACAAAGTCTTCAAAGCTGCAGGTCCTGATGGAATTACTTATGATATGTTAAGTGATTTGAAATATCTCGAATGTTGCATTGACGAAGCATTGCGAAAATATCCAATTGTGCCAGTTCATTTTCGAACTGCTACTCGTGACTACAAGGTAGCTGATAGCGATCTTGTGATTCCAAAAGATACAGCCGTCATGATTCCTGTTCTGGGTTTCCACCGTGATCCAGAAATCTATGATGATCCAATGCAGTTCATTCCAGAAAGATTCCTTGACTCGCCACATGGAGGTGGTAAGATCAAAGGCACATTCTACACACCATTCGGAGACGGACCAAGAAATTGTATCGGCATGAGAATGGGAAAACTCACAACTAAAATTGGCCTTGCACTTATTTTGTCAAAGTACAATCTCGAACTTGCTGATAAAGATATGATCAACAAGGAACTTGAATTCCATCCAAACCAATTTGTGTTGACTCCCAAAAAACTAATCAATTTGAAAATTACGCAGAGAAAATCTTAAATACATTTGAATTTTTTCAAACAAAAATAATAAAACTAACATAGTTTCACGAATTTATCATTCTACTGATCTAAAATAAATATAATTCAGAACATATAATTAATGTATTTGCTGTCATGTCAGCATGAGTAGGTTGCGTGTTAATAAATATTGCTTCACAATTTAGCAATTGATATCTCACGCGTGTACCAATTAGATAATAAAATATTGGAAATAAAGTTAATTTTGTTACTGCTTCTACTCTAGTTGACAAGCCAAATGACCTTGAGCTGTTCGGACATATTTAGAAATAGCAAAATATCTCTTACCATTCTTTCACAAAATAAATACACATATTTAGGTAGTTAAAGAACGAACAAATATTTTCAAAAATTTTACACTATTGCATGAACAACAATAATATTACAAGTAGGTATGTAGGTAGGGTACGTATTCGGCGAATACGAATATTCGTGTATTCGTACTTTTAAGCAAGTATTTGGCATACCGAATATTCGCCGAATATTCGGTACGTTATTCGCCGAATACTAGTTATATTTTTGATTCAATTTTTGTTCCTAGATTTAGCGAAAATTTCGAAAATGGACAAATTAACTTTCAAAATTATCCTAAAATATGATAATTTTTTTCTGCTTTAAATTTATCAACTTTTATTTTTATAATTTAAGCAAATTACAAGTAGATAAAAAGCAATCGAAAACTTTATTTAAACGTTACGAAAATGAAAATTTCAATGAAAAAAAGAAGTCGTGGTTCGACATTTCTACATGTAAAATTTGTGATAAAGACATTAAGATCAAAATTTGCAAAATCGTCGATGTCGAATCATTTGCTTTTACACAGCCTGTAGATTCCGATGATGTAACAAANAAATATCATTATCTTTAGATATTTCACAACACATCTGAGAATTTCAATTTTTTCATGTGATATAAAACTTGAACGTAAACGAAGGAGAAGCTCAGTTACGATCAATCGGTCTTTTGCTTCAGAACTGTTTGTATTATCACAACATGTCGCTATTAATAATATTAGGATTAGTTGTAACAATTGTGTATCTTTTGAACCAATACTTCTTTAGTTATTGGTCCAAAAGAGGATTCAAACAAATGGAACCTTCATTTTTATTGGGAGATGCAAGTAGTGTAGTAACTTTAAAAGTTTCTCCAGGAGAGTATTTTCAAAATATTTACAACCGAAATAAGAGGAATAATGCTATTGGAGTTTACATGTTCTATCGTCCCATATTATTGATCAATGATGCTAAGCTTGTTCAAAACATTTTGATCAGAGATTTCACATATTTCCACGACCGTCCAATGCCTGTAGATGAAAATTATGATCCATTGTCCGGACATTTATTTAGCATCGCGGGTCAAAAGTGGCGAGATTTAAGAGTAAAATTGTCACCGACATTTACCTCTGGGAAACTTAAAACTATGTTTCCGATTATAAATAACGTCGGAAAAGTGCTTGATGAATATTTGGACAAAAATGTGAAAAGTGGTGTCAATGTGTTCGAATTTCGAGATTTAATGGCACGTTTCAATACTAACATCATTTCATCAGTTGCTTTTGGCATTGACAATGACTGCATAAACGAACCTAACCATTTGTTTCGTCGGATGGGTTCGAGGATTTTTGATACAACGTTTTGGAACGGCTTTAGGGGGACTATGTCGTTTATTGCTCCAAGCCTTTTTCATAAAATGAAACTTAAAACTGTCGACAATGATGTCGAAGAATTTATGTTTTCAATTGTTAAACAAACTGTTGAATATCGAGAACAGAAAAACTTCTCGAGAAATGATTTCATGCAACTTTTGATTCAGTTGAAGAACCAAGGATATATTTCAGTCGACAAAGGAGAAAAGGAAGAAGAAGAAGATAAGAATCAATCAAAAACTAAACTAAACTTAAGCGAAATTGTAGCACAAGCGTTTGTATTTTTCGTTGCAGGTAAGAAAAAAACTTTTAACTTTGAGAACATTAAAAGAAATTCCATATTTTCATTAAGGATTCGAAACATCAAGCTCAACTTTGTCATTCTGTTTGTTTGAATTGGCAAGACATAAGGAAATTCAGAAAAAGATCCAAGAAGAAGTGGACAAAGTCTTCAAAGCTGCAGGTCCTGATGGAATTACTTATGATATGTTAAGTGATTTGAAATATCTCGAATGTTGCATTGACGAAGCATTGCGAAAATATCCAATTGTCCCTTCTCTCATTCGAACTGCTACTCGTGACTATAAGATACCTGATAGCGATCTTGTGATTCCCAAAGATACAGCGATTGTAATTTCTGTCTTAGGAATGCATAGAGATCCAGAAATCTATGATGATCCAATGCAGTACATCCCAGAGAGATTCCTTAATTCGTCACATGGAGGTGGTAAGGTCAAAGGCACATTCTATCTACCATTTGGAGACGGACCAAGAAATTGTATTGGCATGAGAATGGGAAAGATAACGTCGAAAATTGGCCTTGCACTTATTTTAGCTAAATATAATCTTGAACTTACTGATAAAGATATGATCAACAAGGAACTTGAATTCCATCCAAATCAATTTGTGCTTACGCCATTGAAACCTTTCAACATTAAAATTACTCCACGATAAAATAATAACGCGATAAGCTTGGTGAAAGAGACCACAGCTTATTGAGATAAGATAGAACATTGTTCGAATAATATGACGGAAATGTAATGAACAGTAGAAGTTTCACATAAACAAAAATATTGTTATTCAGAGAATTCTTTTTTAAATATTATTTGTATTGTTGTAGCATCTTCAAATGTTTAAATCTATTTTTGATCTATTTGTTTGAAATAAAAAAAATCATCAAAGAATTGTGCTTTAGATTTCATTACAAAATGTTATGAATGAATCAAAAATCATCTATGAATTGAATTAATCCCGTTTAATTTAATTATTAATCTTATTTATTAAATTTTGAAGCTGTAACATTAAAGAAATATATTTTTATGTGCTTATTTTATTTACATAAAAGCACAATACCGGGAGCATTAAAAGCAAACAATTCAAAAAATCTATTTTAAATCTAATGAGATTCAACATTTTCTTTATAAATATCTTGGAATTGATGTGTTCGAGTTCAGTTTCAGTTTAACCAAGCAATGGAAATCATTTGCATTATTGGAGTTTTTCTATTCGTGATTTTTCTTATAAATCATTTCTTTCATAATTACTGGTCACGCCGTGGATTTCCACAGTTAAGGCCAAAATATTTTGTTGGTGACATCGGAGATTTGTTTAAGTTAAAAAAATCAATTGCAGAAGTTTATGGCGAATTATATGAAAAAAGTAAAAGTCATAGAATAATTGGCCTTTATTTCCTTTATCGTCCTGGACTTATGATAAACGATCCTAAATTGATACAAAACATTCTTGTAAAGGATTTTCATCATTTTACGGATCATGGGCTTTATGTTGATACAAAGTATGATCCATTATCAGGCCATTTGTTTTCATTACGTGGCGAACAATGGAAGCATTTGAGAGCCAAGTTGTCACCACTTTTTTCGCCCGGAAAATTAAAAGTGATGTTTCCAACATTTCTTTCATGTGCAACAAATTTGCAAAAACATGTCGATGAATGTGTCCGTTTGGGTAAGAATGTTATTGAATTTCGTGATCTTATGGCCCGTTACACGACTGATATTATTGCTTCTGTCGCATTTGGATATGATAACAATTCCATAAATGAGCCTGATAATGAATTTCGGCTTGTAGGAGCAAAAGTATTTAAACCAACAATAAAGGCAGGATTAAGGGCATTTCTAACTTTTCTGATGCCAAAACTTAACAGTTTTATAGGTTTAAAAGTGGCTGATAAAGACGTCGAAGAATTTATGTTTAGTATGGTAAAGAATACAATTTTATATCGTCAGAAAAATCAAAAGGAAAGGAATGACTTTATGCAGGTTTGTTTGCACCATAAATAAATGCTAAAGTATTTTTTAAATTAGGCATGATTTTTTATAGATGATGATTAAGCTGAAGGCTAAAGAATTTGTAGAAAGAAAAGAAAATGTACCAGCTGATTGTTGGCAAGCTGACACTTTAACACTAAATGAAATTGTGGCACAAGCTTTTGTATTTTTTATTGCTGCGTTTGAAACAACATCTTCAACAATGGCATTATGTTTATACGAGCTTTCAAGAAACAAGGAGTTACAAGAAAAAGCACAATATGAAATTGATCAAGCATTGAAAAGGTCATCTGATGATATTAGCTATGAAATAATGTCAGAATTAAAATATTTGGAAAATTGTATTGACGAAACTTTGCGAAAATATCCACCAGCTCCATTTTTAATTCGTGAATGCATTAAAACTTATGACGTTCCAGGCACAGATCATGTCATTGAAAAAGGAACCCCTATTATCATATCGTCATTTGGAATTCATCGCGACCCAGAAATATTTGAGAATCCATTGAAATTTAACCCCGAACGTTTCAACATAAATTCAACGGGCGATGGAAAAGCAAATGGATTGTTTTATATTCCCTTCGGTGATGGACCAAGAATATGCATAGGAATGCGAATGGGAAAAATGATTGCAAAACTTGGACTGACATTGCTATTGGAAAAATTCAATTTCGAAATATTTGGGAAATCTCATGAAAATGAATTGGAATTTAGTCCGAAACAATTTGTTTTAACATTAAAAGACGATATGGATTTTAAAGTGACTTTAAGAAATTCGAAATGAACAAGTTTTGACTATAATACATAATATTCTGTACTTACTTATGATAATTTAATCCAAGAATCCATTCAAGATCACGATTGAACTTTTCAGTTTCGGAAATCCACTCGTCATCAAAGTCAAAACTTTCATCGACTCTTCCCTTTTTCAATTTTATTGGAATATACTTTGAGAAACTTCGTTTTTTGATCCATTTATCACTCTGAAATAATACATTTTCATTATTAAGCACTCATTTTACTATTGATTGTTGAAAACTTTAACTTACAAGTGCCGGAATATTTTCTTCTAAAATCACTTTATCAACTGGAAGTTTTTTAATATTCTGAAATACATAGATTTCAAGGCATATTTATTAATTAGTTTGATATAATCTTCTTTAATTATTATCATCTTTATTCCTTTCTTACCTTAAATTCAGAAGTCATAATTGAAAATTTGAAGGAATATCTATTTTATTTAGATTAGGGTTTTGTATGTTTGTAGAAATCTTTAGTATATTCTTTTAAGGTACAACAATGACACTGGCAGTTTTATGCTTACCAAGTATGCGTTAATATAGAAATGCTTGTAAATTTTACACAAATTTTAATGTAAACAAAGGAGTACATTCAGTTCAAAGATGAGGCAGAGATGGATAATGAAGACTTCTTTTTGAAAACATAAGAGCCGTTAACTTTTATACCCTTTTAAGCAGATAGAGGAAATAAAAGTTCTTTGGTTGATTTAAATGATTTATTTCCACGATTTATTTTCAGATTTAAAAGTTTTGCTTTAAAACTGGTACACAAAATTTTCATGATAAGTTATCTTATATACAAATTTTTTCTTGTGATACTTAATGATTACATAAAACGTCATTGAACGTAATTTTCTTAATTTCTTTTTTAAACACTTGACATTTTATTGAAATTAATCATGAGAGATACATGATCATACATGTATTGAACTGACATCTAAGTTGTTGCTTGACCCAAACGCTTAAACACATTTGATGTTGATGGAGATGATTTGGACATTGAAGAATATTTCATTTTTTGTGAAGGAACTGAGAATTTTCGATTTCTTACATCCAACCTTTTATGAACTGACATCTTTGACAATAACATGTTATCAGATTTCATTTTGCTCATATTAGCCTTAGGTGATGTCGAACCATTTCGCGGTTTCATTGAGACAGTTTTTATTGTGTTGTGTAGCGATGACACAGATGGTTCAGCTTTACGTTTACCCAATCTTGACTTTATGCCATCTGTTTTCATGGCTTGTGCTCGATTAAAATTTTGTACTCCTGTGTTTGCATAACGTTGTTGATAAACACGAACTTCGACAGCAGGGGAAAATTTTACTTGCTTGCTGTCATCGTAATCCATTTTATCTACTGATATATCCTCAATCTCTGATTCACTTGAAGATAAACGGCTGGGATTGCTCATCATAACTTTCTTGAACGCATTTAAATTTTTTAATTTAGTTTCCTTGATAAATTTGAATAAAAAAACATAATTGATTTGTTTAGACAGCCAACATTCAAAAAAAAAAGCTTACGGGGTTTTGTGGAGAGTTCTTTAAAATTCCAGAAGATTTTTTGTCAAGTCCTTTATACTGTCCCAAACGCTTAAAAATGGAAGAACTTGTCGCTTTCATCTTCTGTGGTTCATTCGGAGAGATTTCCATGATATCCTCATTTTTCTTTGTTAATCGTTCGAATATTGATTTTTTCTTAATTTTGTCTGATTGCATAGCTGAATATTTTGCTAAAATCTCTTGACTTTTCTTTGTCGAACCCTTTGGTAAATGCACCTGATATTTTCCTTCATGTTCTGGAAGAACTCGACGAGCAATTTTCACTTTATCAGCTATATGTAATGTAATATTGATTTAGAATTCACTTTTTGTCTTTTGTTTAAAGTTTAAACTTACCATTTGTCGAAGAAACTTTGGACTCAGACTCAACAATTTGTATTGTCTTTGCAATAGGCATTTTCTTATTTTGAGAGAGTAAGTTGTCTTGTAGGATCTCTTCTTGTACCTTTTTTGAGTGTCTCAAAATGCTTATGACATCGCCTATAGCGGTAATTCCCATCTTTGAGTAAATAAACAAGGATATTTATTCAGATGCTAATTCAGCCTAGAATATTTGGCTAGCCAAAATTACTCAAGTCATTAAAACTTACCTCACGAAGATATTCCTTATTTATTTCAGAGAGCATATCCATGGCGATTCTGTTTTTAACAAATATGTGTGCATAAGTAGCATTGGCTGGAGCAGGAATGCCTGCATTAGCGAAGAAATTCACCCAAATAGCTGAAAATTAAATATTACTCTTAATTGAGATTTCCTTTATCGGTTAAAACAACTTACATTGAGACATATTTGTAAGACTTTTAAATATCTATTGATAGTTTATTTTAATCTATGAATAAGTTTATTTTTCACTATTTTATTTCAAATATTTTTGTTTTCCCGAATTTACAAAATGTTCACAGTTGAAGTCCCCTTATTCAAAAAATAAAAAATCCGTTAAATTAGGTAGATATCATTTTTAAGTTATACAGAAGTTTTTGAAAAACAAAATAAGAAAAAAAAATATTTGACTGAGGTTTTGTTTATTTTGAGATTAAATAAAATATTCACAAACATAACTAATTCACTTTCTTAATAAGATAATTGCTACAAAAGAACTTTTTTGTAAAATAACATAAAGTTATTTTGCAGTTTTTGATAGGGACTTAGATTATTTATATTTACTTTGGATAATCATTTGCATTAGGTAATTTCGAGCTTCAGGTTTTTCTTGTGTTCTAAACTGGACATGAAATAATAATTCACCATTATAAATAACTTAATATCATCGAATTTTTGTGATCATATCAACATGGCTGTAATTGATCATCAAAAGTTCGAGCTCATTCTAATAAAATAATTATTTATTCATATGAAATCTAACAGAATAAATAAGAAAAAAACATATCACTTTGTATTTACTTTCCATCAATTATTGTACCATTTTCATTGGTTTTGGGATTTATATCTCTACAGACGACTACAAAATGTGAATAATAATTTTTTATCAGCAAAGTGATGACAATTGTTTATATGTCTCATAACATGTCCATCAATCAGTCTTTTCCCATATGTTACAGCTTCTGTTCGATCACGAGCAAGGCCGACTTCAATTAGGTAATCAACGAACATCGTTCCGTAAAATACTTTCTTATATACTTTAATCCTCCAACGTTTGTCTTTCGCTATTGCCTTACGACATCTGTCAAGATGATATGTTGTGAATTGTTCACAAACATGCTTCGTCTCATTAGATAAGTCATTCCAATCAGGAATCTTTAAAGCATTCGCTCCATACCAAAGCTTTTTAGCAATAACAATTAAAGGTTCGAAAAGTTCGCCAGAATCATTTATGAAGCATGCCAAAACTATTAAGCTTTGTCCAAAGTTTAGGAAAGCATCAAGGAAACATAACTCAACATAAATTCCCGACATTCCTTCCATTATAAGCGTCCATATAGTTAAAGCGAAGCTAACAAACATTGAGCATAGAAGAAGAATTAGCAGCACTGTATGCTTAAGAACTTGATAAGTATCAACATTATCTTCATATTCAATTGGTTCCAAATCATAATGAGAGTTCTCTTGATATCTTTGAACAAGTGAATGACAAGCTTGTCTTGATGTGCTTGCACATCCAAACTGTGTGGAACATAAGCTATTAGCTGTGACATCAACATTCGAATTTTTTGGTATAATATCTTCAATATCAACAACAGCTTGCGTTACTTTCTTAATAGATGCTGAGCAACATTCGCCATTTGAAGCATTTCCGGAACATCCAACACCATCGTCATCATCATCTGAAGATATAGATCGTCTTCGTCTGACATTGTTTATTGTGAAGTTTATTCCCGAATCATTTCTGGCAATTAAACCATTAAGATTTGCAGTTGAACTTGTTGCTGTTGTTATTGTATCTGAAGCATCAGAATCAGGAGCTGCAACTTCTTTTGATAGCGTCAAATATCTTTCAAATCGTTTTTTGTAACGTTGATGAAGAATCAAACATCCAACAGTTACAAGAAAGCACATTACTAAAAGAAAAACTGAGATTACAGCTTGGACATTTCCAAATTGAAAGCTTGGGTTCTGTTTCTCTTTTGGAAGAATGTTCTTCATATCAATTAAAAATAAAATAGCTGTCAATATAGTTGGCACACCGAAGCCAATGATGAGGAAGAAAGGCCAGAGTTTTAATGCGAAACACAAACTTCTTGAGTTAAGAAATAAAAGCGTTATTGCCAGAAAAGCTGTCCAGATTCTCGAAGCGTATTGTCCGATGGTAAAGAAACCAAACTGTAGGTACATTTTCCATTCGACTTCTTGTCCAAGCTTTGACCATAAGATAACGCCAATGCTTGATATTATTTGTGATATTAATAAACAACAAGTAATTCTATGTGGCAAGCGTTTAAATTTTTTCGTAACTGTAAACAATAGAAGAACAAAAATTGCGGCACTAATTGCTATTATACTTGTGTCGAAAGCGAAATTGTCTAATTCCTTCAAATAATCTGAAGGGTTGAGGTTGGTTATTGAAATCATTTTCGCTGAAATGAACATCAATGGTGCGGAAACAAATGTACATGCAACCATAGACGATGCAATCTAGAAAAAGTATAAAGTTGTTGATATTTTATCATTTACGGGATATATGACAAGGTTTTCCTAAAACTTTTCTCACCATATCAACATCAGTGTTGTATCTTGTTGCAACAACAAAAACGCCCGGTGCAGCTGGAAATGTTCCGTACAAGAATCCAAATGTACTAAGATCAGTTGTTTCAGTGAAGTTAGCGCCAGCGTTTGTGATGTTAACCGTTTGTCGGATGACTAAAGGTAGTACTAATCTAAAGATAAATATTTTCATGTTTTACATTTATTTGAAAAAAAAATTAAATTGCTTACAATTTGACAATGATGAGAACAGTTGGCAAAAGAAATCCGGATCCTTGGAGATGAGTGTTCTTTCCCACCATTCTAACACCAAGAAGAAAAAGGGCGGAACCAGCAAAAGAATTCCCCAGAACTCTTAGAATACTTGATAAAAATATGGGAAGTCCATCTCGAAAAATCTGTCCACCCAATACGCCAAGCAACGTCATCAAAAGAATTGGATTCATAAAAATTGATCTCATTGTGTGAACTACGACGAGACATTTTCCTCGTAAAATTTTTCTTCTACCATTAGTTTCTGCTGTCTGGGAACATCTCACTGGTGATGTTGTCGGTGACGCTTGTTCTTTATTTTTTATTTGCAGGTTTGTAATTTCCATCATTATGTAACCAATTGGATTAAGAATGGCAAGAGATATTGGCGCCATCAAGTAGATATACGCTGAATATTCAGGATGTATTTTTGAATACAATGCATCAACAATTGGAAATCCAATCGCAAAATCGTTGCTTTGCGTACAAAAAATTGCTAAAATTCCAGACTTTCCAAAGTTCAGCGGTCGCACAACAAGCAAGGTGATCAGCATGACCGCGAAAAACGCTATTGACTTTGAAATGAGGATTGCGAGAAGAAATTTCCAGTTGACTGTTTCCCATTTTATTTCAGAGAGTGATAAAAAAATCAGTGATGGCAGTGCAAACGTGCCTACGTATGTGTGGAAACCTTTAGCGCCAGCATTTGTTATTATATTGAGACGCGCAGCAATGTAACTAATGATAATAACAGGAAATTTTGTTCTATTAAATGACAATTCAAATTTATAATCTTTAAGTTTATCATCATGCAATGTATTTTAAGATAATAAAATATTTTAATGAACCATTTTTCGAAGTGGGTAGAATGAAAATTTGCGTCATTGCGTTGGTGGCTAAGGAAATCTAATATATTGATTTTCCATACAGATAAATCTGTCAATCTTGGTGACGAAATTACTTTAAAAAAAGCTCGCTCAAATAATGTATCTAAATAGTTAATTATAAAGGTTCTATCATGTTCTTAAAAGAACCTGTACAGTACATTGATGTGCATGTGATTCATTAGGATTTAATTTAAAAGCTTTTTTTAAGAATCCTTATCATTAAATTTTAAGTAATGCGGTAAATTTGTTGTATCAAAATAGAAGATTAAAATCAATGAGATAAAGGTTGATTCCGTATTATTTCAAAACAAATATATAAAAATTAACTTTTGTTTGTGAAATGTGAGAATCATATGAAAAAAATGCGTCATCGTTTTCTGTCCATTGACGTGAAGACACGACCTTTTATGATATCAGAGCAATTTAGAATTAAAACGAAGTACTGTAAATTCTTAAGTGACGTTAAATCAATTTGACTCATGAATTTTCAAGATGTATTCTAAAACCGCAGAGAAAAAGAGCATCTGACTCATAAGTATGAACAGAGACTTCAGGAAAGAAATCGAACGGCAAGCTGAGTCGTGAATTATCAAGGTGAACGAAAGTGTTGTCTTATAAATCTTGTTTCACGGTCAGAGATTAAAAAATGTTCACTTACCCGATCGTTATTATTGCGAAACATTGAATTAAAGCAGGATAAAGATTTTCTATTGCGATGTCTGGTGGATCAGTTGTGAACTCCGTGGTCTGCGATGTATTATCTATCATTTTCATTTCTTTAAATGGATTTCTATCTTAATCGATTTATCTCGAATGAATTAGCATAGTTTTTAGATATTTGTTTATTAATTTTCAAGCAAATCTTTTATGACGTGAAATAAAAATATTCGAAAAATTAATTTGTTTTATTTTTGTCACTAAATAGGTATATTAACTTAAAAGAACAAATTAGTTTGTTCTTAAACTTATAAGAATTATTGATGTTACGACAAGCTGTTTGCTAAACTTTATGCAGAATTTTACTGAGTACTCTATCACACTCTCCACTCGAAACTCGTCTCTCCTAAGTTAGTTTCAGGTGGAGTGTGTACGCACGGACGAAAATAGTGCACGGAATAAAATCAAACCTGCTTTGTATGAAAATCGTGTTTTGGTCAAATCCACGCAAGTCGGGAATCACTCGGATTAACCGGGCCCCGCGGCGCGTCTTCTGAACGAGCTCTTTAAAGTAGGAGCATTGAAAATATTCAAAATTTAACAAACTGTTAAAAAATTAAACTCAACTTTATTATTGCTTCATCATAAAAAATATATTTGAAATCAAAGACTTATAGTAACAACAATGTGATATGTTTCACACCAAACTAAAGCCTTGAGTCATTTGAATGCTTTGTAATAATTTATATTTTAATTTTCCCTTTGATTTATACCGTGGCAGGTCCAAAAGATTAAAACAGGTATGAGCAACACAAAGGAGATTATCATCAGCAACAGGTTGGATAAAAATCTGTCATGAATATATATGAATGCGTACAATATTATAAATTAAAACTTGGAAAAACATACCTTTATTCCTTTCATTCCTTGAATCGGGATACGATCACTTCCAGTTAAAAATAATAAAAATTTCTTCTTATCTTCCAATGATAACTCATGAAAAACATCCCAGAACATTCTTACAGTTGGATCACTCGATGTATATCCGTTTTTATATTCAGCATGGGTTTCAAATTCGTTCCAATCATAATCTTCATTTCCCACAACGACTGCCATAAGTTCATGAGGTTTGAAAAGTTTCATAACTCGTCCACCACAAACTTTCATAAAACCTTCGTGAAATCCTTTATATTGCTTTTCAACTGACTTATTAAAAATAAAGTCGATGTATAGGTCAACGAAATCTTTTCTGTAAAATCAATATTGGTAATAAAAGATATTTATTTCACATTTTTAAAACTTACTTATTTTCCTGAGTAACCGAAATATTTGAGCCATTTGGTTTTAGTTCAAATACTCGATTTTCACCAAAATATATTCTCGACACTTCGAATGATAACCCAAATACGTCAGACATATCATCACCATCATAGTCTAAAATACTTTGCATTGACTGAGCCAAAGTTGGAGACAATTCTTTTAAGTCACTTAAATTTGGCTTTTCGTTGAGTAATTTCTTGTAAAGTGCAAGTGGAAAAGAGATGTTGATGATTGTGAAATTATAGATTGCTAGTCCACAAAGAATCCCAACGAGTTTATACATTTCTTCACTCTCGAAAGAATCTTCAGCAAACCACAGGGCACGAGAATCCTCATAGTACTTAAACATTCCATATTTTGCATCAAGAACGTCCTTTAAAAGCAACATGAAAAATTCTTTACGAACACCGCCAGCATCTTCCGCTTCTTCACCAGCAAATTTTACTTTTAAGGGCTTCATTAGATCAGCACTGTTGTAGCGTGATAACTCTCGTATGGTATCTTCAACAATATTTTCTCTGGTGACATTTAAGACAATGTAAATATTTGCTGGAGTACCAAAAAGATTAAAAATATTGCTAGCGGCTGTTTGCATGGCATTATGCATTTGAAGTGCTTGATCGGTTTGAAGTAATAAATGTTTGGCAGATGCATCAAAGAGAAACGGAAAATTACATAAATAGAATGAATTTGGATTTAAATCCGAGCACCATGAAATGTAATCGTGACGAATTTCAAAATATTCGGTAATCTCAGACACATGAAATGTTTCGTAAGGCACTTTTACTTTTCTTTGTTGATGATTGACATGATAAAGTAGCGATAACATGCTGAGAGCCAGGTAGAAGTTGTTTTCGAATAAAAGTTGTCGATTGGGTTGTAGTTGAATTTTTGACATTTCAAAATGCAGAAAATATCTGACAACTTCTTTGAAAATGTTAACAAGTCGTTCAAAATAATCTAAAGTTGTAAGTGCATACCATCCCGAAATGATCTTCAATGGAATCTTTTCCAAGTTGAGTAATGTCTTAGAAAACGGTGAGTGTAATTTCTGATAATGTTTTGTATTGACAAATTCATGATAAAAAGGCAAAATCAAATATATGCGAAGTGTTTCAACATCGGGCGGAGCTGATGATATCGAATTGATTAAATCATTAGTTATTGATTCCCACACCAAAGATTTCAAATTTTCATGATCGATTTTTCTAATAAAGTCGAAGGCTTCTTCAGCTTCTTTCATATCAATTCCATGGTGTTTTGAGGTACAACAAATGTGCTGATTATTACTTAGTAAGAAGCTTCCATTAAAACAAGCTAAATGTTTAAAAACAACTTCAATTTTAGTTATTAATTCCATATCGATAGTTTCATCACTTTTAACACTTGCACACTCGATTGTCAATATTTTTGTTAGTGACCAGATTTGATGCTCATTGACACAATTTCTAAAGTCGTCAACTTCACCTCCTAATGTTCCAGAAACAAGTGAAACCAAACAATGATCTCCACCTGCAAAAATGTTTTTAATCATGAGATCACTGTCATTTGAGATGCTTGTGTCAGACACCCAAGGTCCATGAACTGTTTGAGGAATTGATGATTTCGAACAATTCTTTCCCGTTCCTAATTGCCCACTTCCGTCCAAGCCAAATCCATAAATTCGTTTTCGTGAAGGAATAAATGTCAATGTATGACGACGACCACAACTGATTTGTGTTACAGTACTTCCCATCAACTCCACAATCATTCGAGGTAGAATTTCATTTCCATAAATTCCATGTCCAAGTTGACCGAAAGCACCAGCACCACAACTAAATACTCCACCATCTTGTGTAAGGAAGACAGAAAAATCATCACCACAAGCGATGTAGCGAACTCCAATGCTTCGAAGTGTTCGTAATTGCGTGGGATAACTTTTTGATATTTGATCATTGACTCCAAGTTGTCCATAAAGATTTTTTCCCCATCCAAAAACGGCACCGGATTTCGATATAACAAGGCTATGATTACCTCCACATGATAAGAATGCAATTGGAACACCGGCAAGTGATTTTACGAGTGTTGGTTTAAACACTTTTTCTGATTCAAATCCAAGACCAAGTTGACCGTGCAGATTTGATCCAAAACTATAAAGTTCGCCAGAATTTGTCAATGCCAACGAATGATATTGTCCACAAGCAATTTGAACTATTTGTATTGTTGCAAGCGACTTCACAAGCTTCGGTACAGGATAATTAACCGAAGAATCATTCTCCAATCCGCATTGGCCTGAACTGTTTGAACCCCAAACAAAAAGCTGTCCCCATTCGTTCACAGCCATTGAATGATGCTGGAAGTTGAAAAATAAAATGTTAATGATGATAAAAAAAAGACTTTATGAATTCACTTACAAAACCGCAGCTGATTTGTGTTATGTTGTAATTTTCGAGTGTGCTTATCAACTCTTGTTGTTTTTAGTAGCGAAAAAGAAAAATTAAGGAAGAATAAATAAATTGGTAGTTTCCATAAAAAAAAGGAAATTAATCAGAAAATTTGTTGGACTTAAAACAGTAAGGAAAAACTTTGGATAACTTTCACATACGAAATTTCAACATACGAGGTCTTTTTCTAGATATATCCTGACCTAGTTGTCCGCAATCGTTTTTTCCACATGAGTACACTTTTCCAAATGTTGTCAATAACAAAGTATGCTGAAAGGAACATCAAATGATCTTATCACTTTATAGGAAATCCCTCACTTACTTGTCCACCCAAAGCAGCTTTCTTTAAGTTTCCTGATTCTTCCCATTGCATTTTTCGAGGATCATTAATGATGTCTTCTCTCTCACCACCTGACTCACCTAGTCCTGAAACAAAATATATTATTGGATGTTTCATTTTCAAAAGAAATCGCGAGATTTCTTACCTAACTCCCCACAAGCGCCACTTCCCCAAACGTATAAAGCCATGTCAAGTATAGCTTTTTAAAATTTATTAGATATTGATGATGGAATTCTTAAATAAAAACTTAAAATACAAATAAATTAAAAGATAAATATTGAAAATTTGAGATTTCCATGGCCTCAATTTGAAAAACAAATTCTTCGCAATTCCACGAATTACAACTTAATTCTTTCAAAAGTTTGATGTTGAAGAATATTCTATATCGATAACTTACCTTTGGTACATTATTGAATTTATTATTTAAATTTAAATGAGTGAAAACGCAATTTGATCGAAAATTGAATAAGCAAAATTGTCTTCCAAACAATCGCAAACTTTTTTCCTTCTGTTTTTACTCCTCCTCTATTCATCTCCTCCTCCTCCTCCTTCTCTGTGTAGAATTTTCGAGAAAAATGTAAACAAAGTAGCTACCTAGTTAAAAATTTATAGATAGGTTATTTCGAGTAAAATAGGACTACATAAAAGAAATTTAGTAATTAGCAGCTCACTATTACATATCCAATAAAATAATGGATCATCAAAAAGAAGAAAAAGAAAATGACGAAGAAGTGAAATCGGCATGTTTAATAAAATTTGAAGCATCTAATCCGAGACAATTTTCCACACTCCCAGCAGCTGTTGATTTAAAGCGACCACCATCGAATTGGTAATTTAAAAAAGGTTTTTAATTTAAATAGCATAATTCTAGTTTATTGAAAACTGTTTCTAGGCTAAATGGACAAATTAAATTGACACCTTCACTTTCAACAGTTTATAAATTCTCGAGTTTTCGGATGGCTTTTGATTTCTGGCGAGAACTTGGTGATGTGGATGTTATATCGGACTCTGAAAATATAAAAAACCTTCTGAAAATCCCTTATTCAGATAAAAATGTTCTTTCATATTTTGTTCATCGTATTGGCAACACACTTCTCATCGATGATTTCGATTTACATAAGTATTTGCTGTGGAAGACAGAAGAGGATTGGCGTTGGTTAAGGTCATTCATCTACGAGAATGTCCTGTCAAGATTGAATGAAACCGATCGTAAACCAATTCCAATTCAACATAAGACGAGAGAATTCCTGGAACAGAAAAATCTTCTCAGTAAATTTTTATATTATTCGATTGAAGATTCGAAGAGACCCGAAGAAAAAAAATATGTTCCGATGCCATTAAATCAACCACTTCTCCCTCAACCGAAACGTGAGGATGTATCTGATAATCAAAATCATGAGTATTCTAGAAATGTGTTGTGGACTTTCGAAGATATTCGCATGCTAATCGGAAGCGATATGCCTATTTTTGGTAATCAATCAAGGCCTTGCATTAGTTTGAAATTGAGAGATATGAAGAAGCCTATAAATGTTTTAACAGGTAATGAGACTTTCATTTCTACACTTGCTTTTATTTATTTCTTCCTCTGTTATTTTACAGGCATTGATTATTGGCTTGATAATTTGATGTGTAATGTTCCAGAAATCTTTCTCTGCTTTCATCAAGATGGAATTGTCCAAAAATATGAGCTTCTAAAAACTGAAGATTTACCTTCTCTTGAAAACAGTAAATTTTCACCGAAAGTCATAAGAAATGTTGCTCAGAATATTCTCAGTTTTCTTAAAGCTAATGCAACTAAGTCAGGTCATACTTATTGGCTGTTTAAAGCAAAAAATGACGATGTTGTTAAACTTTATGATTTAACAACACTTCAACTTCTTGCAACAACTAAAGATGATGAAAACAATGAGTCAAGCGAAAAGGAAAGAGAAAACGACCAAAATCCTTTTACAATTCCTGTTGCAATGCTTCTTTATACAGTTGCAAGGAACATGAAGTATTCAAATGAAAAATTAACAGCAAAACAAGCTGGTAATATAAAACAGCTTCTAGATAATTGTTTGAAGCTTCTTCCTAAAGACAAATATCCACAAATTGTCACATCATCTCATTATATTTTGTCGGATATTCAAATACACGCTGGAATGGATCCAGCTAATCCATCAACTCCTTTCAATGAAGACGAAGATGATTCTGATGAAAACTTAGAAGAAATGTATGAAGAACAATTGTCGGATGATGAATTGGACATTAAAGACAATGGTGAATGTTATTCAGCAATTCAAAGTATTCGTGATGCAATGAATGATAAAATCAGTACTAATAAGTCTAAACTATCATCAAAACCAGCACCTTTAACACTTGGTGATCTTCAAGAGCGATGTGAATTAGCTTTAGAAAATGTAATTTCTGGTTTAAATTGTCTTCAATATTTTGAAAGTGAATCAGCGATAGCACGTGAGAAGCAAAAAGAAAAGGAACAAATCATTCACGAAGAACAGAATCCAAAGTTGGCGAATCCTGACGTGGCAATCCCTATGGGGTGGAGTCACAAGAATGGAGAAAGCTCAAAGAAGAAAAAGAAATCAAAGAAAGATGAACACCATACAGAAAAGGAAACAACTCAAAATAGTAATGAAGTTCAACTTGATTCTAAATCTCTTCTAATGAAAGGAGCTCCAAATGTTAAAACGTGGAACACGCACCTTAAAGTTTTACTCTTTGAAAAAGCTTCACTCGCCTATGCTTGTTTAGCTGAAGATTCTTATAACAAGCAGAAGTTTGGTCAAAGTTTAAACTTCTTACAAATGTCAATCATGTGTCAAAATTTAGTCTCGAAATATGTCGCAGCAATGAAAACTCAAAAAAGTTGCCTCTTTGGTCGGGCTGGTGATTGTTATTTCCAAATCAGTAAAAACTTAAATGAAGCTCAAAAGCATCAGAATGACTTCATAGCATTGGAGAATGATGTTGACAGAGAAATATTAAAGGAACTTGAAAAGGAAGAACTTGTTAAAAATGAGTTTCGTGAGCCATCAGCTAATGAAGAAGAAATGTTAGAAGAGAGTTGCAGATGTTATGAAATCAGCTTGATAGGAAATAAAGAATCAAAGTTTGAATTAGTCAGGAGATTAGGAAATGTAAGTTGATTTCATTTAATTTTATGGAAATTTCTGTCACATTTTTCTCTTTCAGGTTTATAATGAACTTGGAGTTTATTTGATGCAAAGATCTCAAGTCATGTATAATGCTCGTGTTGAACATGAAAATTCGGAAAATATCAAAAACGAGCAAAATTATCAACAAATTGCGAAAAAATCATACGACTTTCTAATGAAAGCTGTAACATTATTCCAAGATGCTGAAGATTCTATCAATTTGATCATCTGTAATTTAAATCTTGGACGTTTCTTCAGACTTTCAGCTCACATTAACATTTTTCAAGAAGATTCAACTACAAAATCGCTTCAAATCCAGAAGAAAATGTATCAAGAATCATTCAACAGCTATCATCGAGCGCTGGCTATCTTGGAAAATCGAAAATCAAATCCAGAACTTTGGGATATGGTAACATGGGAACTTTCAACATCAACATTTAATTTAGCAAAGCAAATGCAAGATTATGGCGTTGCTGACAAATCTACTGATGAACTTGAACGTGATGTTGTTGAAATGCTTATGAAAGCTTTAAAACTTTGTGATTTAGAGACAAATAATTGTCGCCAAGTCTTATATTGCTTTCGAGCTGGTTTAATTCATCATCGTCTTGGAAGTTTTTATCATCAAAGTTTGAGATCCATCACTGATGAAACAAAAAAGCGAACAACTTTGCAACTCTGTCGTTTAAATTATGAAAAGTCATTAAATCTTCTCGAGTCTTTAAAGGAATTCAAAGATTATTTTCAAGTTCAAATGGAGAGAATTGCATTGCAGGAATTATTGGCAGAAGATTCATCGAATGTCCAACAAAAGATAAGAAATTACCAAATGGCTTTGACTTATTTTATAGATACGACAAAAATGCTTGAACTACTGAAAGACGCAAAAACTATAATTGATTTTGAAGAGATAACATCACTTATGGAATTGTTTGAGAAACGTCTTCAACACATACTTAAAACTCTGACAAAACTCACAATGTCTGGAAAGAAGTTCGATCTGAAAAGTGATGCCTGCAAGAAAATGTTTGCATGCACATTGCGAACAAATCAAAAATTGGAACTTCAAGAACTTGTTAATCATTTATTGTTTGTTGTTGGAAATGTTCAAAATATACTGAAGAGTGGCTCCTAGAAGAAATATGAAACAAGTAATAAAGCTTTTTGTGAAATGAAGTTTTAAATATTAAAAATCGTTGTACATTGCTTGATAGCATATAAAATCATGATTGATGTTTGATAATTTAATTACAGGCCCAACTTTTGAAGGCAGAAATATTATTTTTCCTCTTTTGAGCATAAAACTTTCCATTTCAGTTCCACACATTTCAGCTTCACCTGACACAACGAGAATAATTGATCCAAATTTACTGTTTATGATCTCATAACTGTTGATGATAGAAGGTACATGAATTTTTGCAACAGCAAAATCTTTCACAGGAGGTTTAAAGATCCAAGTAAATTTGTGATTCCTGTCAAGAATCTCTGGCTGGAAAAGTTTTTCTTTTGCTGGTGAACCATCGTAGATAAGCATTCCTAAAAGGTTCTCAACATCTTTGAACTTCGGAGTTAATCCAGCACGTACAACATTATCAGAGCAACTCATACATTCAATGCAATCACCAGAAAGATATGCATGAGGAACCTTGGCTGCTAAGAAAATGGACTCACCAGGATGAAGTTCAATTAAATTTAAGAAAAATAACGAAAGAGAACCGACGTCATAAGGAAAATCTTTTTGAATTTGTCGAAAGACAACAGCGAGCTTTGAGTCATCATTTTCAAACTTAATCATCAATCCATTAATACATTTCCTTATGTTCTCATCGTTTGACTTCATAAGTTTCGTGTAACATGTTTTCAATCCTTCGGTTCCATTGGTATTGATGAGTTCAATATTATCAACATCAAGAAGTTCACAAAGTTCAGTATGAAATTTGAGTAAATTATAAATCTCAGAATGAGGACGAAATCCACAGAGCGCTAAAAAAGGTGTGAGCGCGATTGCAATCTAAACAAAATGTTTCAAAAATATTCATGTTTTTTCTTCACATAAAAAATTCATTATTTACCTCAGGTTTGTGGTTTGCATCTTTATAGATATCCGGATATTTAGCATGCAATAATTCAGCTTCAGTTTTATTAGGATGAACCTGAATGCTTAAAGCCTTTCTTATGCTCAAAACTTTGAACAAGAAAGGAAGCTTCGATTGTCCCCCAATAATATTATCACAATCCCTCTGAATAAATTCACCAAGCATCTCACCAGTACCTTTAATCTTAGATTGACCTGACACATGATCTCCCATCCATAATTCAGAATATGGTTTCGCTTCATCCACGATAAAAGTTTCATCTCCTGATTGCATAAGTTTCACGACTTCTGACTCACTTCCCAATTTTCCCCAATCATAATTCTTTATGTCACCGATAATTTCCATGATTGATGATTGACTTTAAGACGTTTCTGCTGATATCTACCTAGCAACTGTTTGGAAAATGTTTCGATATATTTTTCAGTAAACCTTCTAAATTAAAAAATGTTTGTTTTGTCTTTCTAATGTTTATACTCGCTTTGAAACAAACCAACCTTGATCTAGGTCGCGCATTCGCAGATATGTACTTAGGATATATTGCTTTACAAATAAGAATCAAAGTAGAAGCAATTTATCAAAATCTTCGTATCAAGAATTTTATTGTGTGAATATTTAGGTATAAACATCTATTGATAAGTGTACATTGTACATTGCTCACACAATTGCATGTTGTATGAAGTTAGCGACAATCACACATAATTGAAATTTAAACACGATGCTTTTCTAACTTTCGGTTAGCATTTAATAAAGATCAACATACAACTCTTGTTTGCTGCATGCTACATTCATAATATTATCTATCACACGATAAATCAAAATATAATGAGCAATTAATTTGCATTAATTAAATAAATATTAAACCTGATATCATTCAGAGCTGTAAAAAACTTGATTAGCAACTGAACCATCCTTTGGATTTTTTTTTTAGAAAATTACAGTTTGAGATATCAAGAAATCATAATAAACGATATTAAATGGTCCAACTGGTTTATCAGCTGATTTATGCAAAAGTATGTTACATTGGTCTCATCGCCGGTCGCCACATCGTTAGAACTTGTAATCTTTTGTCTTATTTCGTCTAAGATTTTGCTTATCTTTAAAGATTTATTCAATCAAGACATTTTTATGTTAGATATGTTCGTAGTCTTGTTTTAATTCGTTGCTAATGTCACACTGTGATTTTCCATTTCCTTCAAATTTGTATATGTACAAATTAGATACTTAATAGAATTATTCTTTATTCTTTTACTATTATTCGATAATGAAGTCAAAGTGAATTTATTTCGTAAGATTTTAGTATAAAACAAAGCACTTTTCATAGCTTTCTATCAGTTTTCTTAAGCATTCAGTAGCATCAACAAAGAACAAAGTGGAGTAATTTTTTTGTCACGTAAGAAATAAAATCATGTACAAAGTTGTACAAGTAAAATAAGTTTAGGATTTGGGAGTTCCTATGAAAATATCTTACGAAAAGGAAAAAAACTACATATAACTTAATACAACTAGATGGTCATATAAGAAAACTACTTACACTAAATAGAGTTGAAATATTCTTACTTCTTGATACAGCGTGTCAAGCAGCACGCAAGCTATGACTCATTTAACATGTTATGTAAAACTTACACACGCGTTTCTTAAGTTAAAACTAAACTTGTTTCCTTAAAATATTAATTAGAGAGAATTTTACCGTTTGAAAAAAAAGAATCAAATGATTTATCACGGAAACTTGCAATAAGCGTGTGTGTTGTTTTCGTGGGTTGAGACTTGATAAATATAAAAGTGAAGAAGATATAAAACAACTTATAATGTTAGAGTGCGAAAATAACCGTTATGAGATTGAATTAAAATAGATTTTGATTTTCTTTATGCGCAAGAAAAAGCATGAAACTTGATCGTTTCAGACATTGTGTCTCGCCTTTTAATTGAAGAAAGAAAAATTATACCTGTTGAGTGGTTCACAGACTCCGGAAAGAAATGTAAATATTGTAGTAGCGGTTTATTCTGTTATGTATTTAATTTCAAAATTATCAAATATTACGAGACATGTATCGAAACGTGTATTGTTCAGGGTTAAATAATAAGTTTTGATATAACGTGTCAAACGTTACGAGAATGAAATTATCATCATTAATAATTGACATCACCTTATAAAACTCTTAATCTTAAAATAGGTTTTTATGCCATCGAATGATGTGAAACTCATAATTGCGCGAATAAAAAATCCTTTAACCCAAACCTTGAATTCGTCTCTTAATTTTTTTCGGAGAAATTTCAAAACATCCGAGGCAATTAGTGAAAGTCTTGGTCATATTAAAACAGTGACTTTGGAATTTTTACAGTTATGAGACACAAACGATCTTGCATTACATAATTTAAATGATTCGGGTTTTACTAGGGTGAGAGATTGAATTTCGGTGCTACGTTGGAATATTCTATAAGTTTTTAATCTCAGGCAAATGTGATTGAATTTGCAGACAAAGAACTACTTTACTCTAAAGGAAATGATTGCAGAATAAAAGCAAACAAGTCATCGGACAAATAAATATAGGAAGTTGAACAAATCGTGTTCATTTATTGAAGCGAATTTTTTTGCGACTCAATATATTTCTGTCTCAGTTGTCGCATACAGATTGACTTATTAGAAGAAGTCAGACCAGGCCTCAAGTTTTTGCACGTGAATATTTCTGCTAACGACCGCTTTGAGAATTTCAGGCTTTGATATTTCTTCGTTCCCCACTTATTAAGAAACATATGTTGAGGCACAAAATAGAAAAGATATATCTTGTTCGATGGTTCAAGAGATTTCTTCAGTAAACGTTTATCAATTAGTCAATAAAGATGTGCGAGTTATTTATTTTTAATTAATTGTTTAATCCTGTTTGCAAAAGTTTCATAAAAAAATACATTTTATCGAGCATTTAAAACTTTTAAAAATTTACATTGGAATTGGTGCAGAAATTTTTTTGAAGGAATTTAATATCTAGAAAGTGACTAAATTTTTTAATGAATTATTGCAGAACTGAAACGAAAATATTTCATAATCTTCTTAAAATGCCTTCAATGAAAATTATGCTTTTACTGTCAGCTATTGTGCTGACACTTTATTTCATCGAAAATACTGCTGGAAATCCTTATCCCAGCATAGGTAAACCAAAAAAGAAAAGGCTTGGTAAATGTGCTTTCTTTTAATAATTTACTATTTGTTTTATTCTATTTAGCTTTTATTGTTATTGAATTGCGTGAGAGAAGACTAAAAAAACCGTAGAAACAGTTTTAATTAAGAAAAAGTTTTAAGAATTGAGTGCCACGTGCTCTGCACAATCTCAGTGCTTTTAGTATTTTATGCTGTAATAGCTTGAGATAGATTTATTTTATTAATAAAATCTATTGGTTACAAAAAGATCATAAATAAATTTAATATTAATTCTTATTGTTTGCTAGTGACATAATTTACAATTGTGACACTCGTTTTTCAATAATTGTGCTTTGCGTAATGTTTATGATGCAACATTTGTTCAAAGTTATAAAGATAAATCATTCAACAGACCTCTTCGGGGGCTATGACATCCTTGGAGTATGTTTGAGAAACTGTGCGCAATGCAAGAAGATGTTCGGCTCGTTCTTTGAAGGCCAACTCTGCGCAGACAGCTGTGTCAAGTTCAAGGGGAAAGTGATTCCAGATTGTGAAGATTTGGGTATTAAAACTGTCTATAAATAATAAAATAAATGTATGTAATCACATTAATCCCTTTATTTCATCGTAAAGCTTCCATTGCACCATTCTTATCAACAAAAACGGAGTAAACTATAAAACACAAATCTCACCAAAACATAATATTTATAACCATTCGCAAACGTAAACCTGACAGAATTGAACATTAATGAGGTACCCATGAAGACGCTTTTCATTTCATCAACGAGAAATCTCATTGAATGAAATTAGTTTAATTGAATACAAAATAACTAGTAAATTTTAAGTAAATTCAAACATTTTATTAATTTCGCACATGTGTTACGAACCATTTTATTTTAAATCATTCACTTTTTTGGATACTTTTTGTTTATATTTATCATCATTCGATCTATAATTAATTTATAATCAAAAAACATTTGCAAAAGAGAGCTCTCAATTATTTTAAGCTTTGTTAGATTAGTTTATAATGTTAATAAGTCTTAATGTTTTAAATATTATTTATTTAAGAAGAAATTTCTATATTAAAATTATGTGTCTTAAATACAATATTTGTAATGGCAATTTTAATAAATGTTTGTCCAATTGATAACAGAAAAAGTATGCTCTTAAATTTTTTTTATTTTTATTTATAAATACAGCCTAAATCAGATCTTCTTTTGAATTAAAATTTCTTTATAAATATTAAAATGATTAAATAAATTTTATTGTCATTTAATTAAATCACAAATTTTTAGTTGCATAGTAATTTATGAGAAGTCGCCTGATTGTCTGCAAAATCGACGAGAAAACAGCATGTGTATAGAAAATTAAATTAAACAGTTAAATGCGAGATCAAAATTCATTTTGACTAGATCTGTATTAAAGTATTAAAGCTTGTCTTAAAGTATCATTTCACAAGTGTTTTACATTTGTACTTGATACCCAATATGCATGTAAATAACTACTTGATCCAATAACGCTGTGTGCGAATTGATTACTAATGAGGTTTCAACTTATAGAGCAACGAATAATTAAGAGTATGGATATGAAATGAAACAAAGAGCGGAAATTAATTTGTACTGTTAACAGAAGAGGGAACATCTTGTGGAAAAAGCACGCTCCAAGATATTATAACAGTGATTGTATTATGTAAAAGTCTTGAATGTAAATATTTGATTTAATTGTTTCGTAGGTCATGACTTTGATACGAATTCTTGTCTCATCGTAGTCATTTTATGTAACAGTAAGAGAAAGACATTCCTAAACATCAAGTTCGTTTTCAAAAATTCTCAAATTCAATGTTTGTATTCGCCATCTCACCCACTACATTGAGATTCCAAACATGTTTTCATATCTTTTTCATTCACAGCTTTCATTCAATTTCAAATTTACTAGTGTTTGCAAGGTAAGGTTTATCTTTTAAACAAACAGATCCATGTCATGTTTTGATTGAAAGCGATTTTCTATCTCCGCATTATGTGATGGCTATTCTTCTGAATATTGATTTTCCCGTGATGAAATCTCGAAGGATTCTACCTTTGTATTGACTATTCAACTTGTTCAAACTTCATTTCTTCTTCTTCATAAAAGTCTCGAACTATGAAAAGCGTATCTTAAATAGGAGTATTAAACGCTATTTCTTAGCGAATATAGCACTCTGTGGTTTTGCCACCATTATAATATGAAAATTAATGCTTTTTAATTACAAATTTTTCTTCCTTTGTATCATTTTTACCCTCTCACAATATTCACCTCTCGTTTCTTTTACTCTCCTGAGTCTTAAAAACAACGTGCGAGTTATACAGAAGTCATTGTCTCGCTTTGAATATTGCGACGTTGCTTTGTTCTTAATCAAGCTACAAAGCTATTTTTTCTCATTTAAGAACGCCATTAGCGAGTGAATTGCGAGATTGGAACAAAATCATTACGACAAGACGAGGCAGAAAAGCGTGAATAAATTGTTATTGTTCTGCTACGAAGAAATTTTTGACTGAATGAAACTGAAAATACCAGTAAAGAAATTAAAACTTGGATTTATCCTGAATATTTCATCTGGGAAAAGCTTTCTATTAGATGTTAACTGATAAAAAATGTTCAAAGACAAAATTTAAGAATTTTTCATTCTTACCTACAATTCATTATTACCTATAACAAAAGATTATGTATAAATTGTACATAAAATGACTTCTAAGATTTCTAAAGGCAATCCAATAAAAGCAAATATCTAAGGATTTCGAAAATCATCAATTCTATTTTTCTCATCACATTTCATATGTGTCATTAAATTTGTAATTGATTTTTGAAACAATAAAATTATCTGAACTTTTGTCTAAGAAGCTTTGAAAATCTTGTAATTGTATCTGTTTCGACTAAAAGAAACATAAAATTATATTAGAATTAAATTTATTATCATGATAGAAACCACAATGAGCTTGAGGTTTTTTTTCATTTCCTACTACCCTACCTAATAATCTCAAGGGTTGGATGACTTTAATGGGAGGGCTCATTTATTTAGTTTTGCTTTCAAGCTTCAGGAGAAATGTTATTTAATTTTTATACTTCTCTGATTAAAATTTAATGCAACGCTTTATTTCATATAATTTAAGCATAAATATGTACATAAAATATAAAAGTAGATTTTTATGCCTTTGTCGCTCAATTTTTCTACATATTTTGCCATAATCTTTTTTAAAAAAGTAGCTTGTAACATTTAGACTCTATTTATAGTTATTTTTAAAATAAATTAAACGTCAAATTTTCAGTAGAGCTTATGAGAGCCTTTCAGTTTCAGAATATTGCTTATGTTAAATTTCTATGAAATTTTCAATGTGTGAACTTTTTTAATCAAAAAAACTTGAAACCTATTCTATTCAGATGTATTTAAAATTATTACAATTAATACAAAAATTCTTTGACTATTTGAGTTTACGAAAACTCTCACAAACAATCAATCAATTCCAGGAAAACTCTTTAAAACATATTTATGTATCTGAAACGTAATTATGCTTGATATGAAATGACAATTTTTGTATAAATTAAAAATATTTACAATTTCAGTCATAATGAGCATTTAGTAGCAAAAAAGCAATAATTAAATCTCAATTAAATTTTTATTGCGCAACCAAGGCACTAAACTCATTCAATCATTTTCCAATTAACAGTTATGTTTCAATAATTTTTTTTCTCCTGAGAACAAATATAAAATCTTTTTGTATTTTTTGCTGAGAACTACCTAGTTGTGTCAGACATTAAAGATTCAATTGATGGAAATTGTTTAATTTCCTTGCGGCTTATTACTCAATACGAAACTTTTGTTTTTTAGACCATAGAGATAATTTCCTTCTTCTCATTTCAATCTAATATCATCAAATAACCTTGTTATTTTTCTATTCGACTTCATGTTTATCATTTCCATTTTGTTTATTCAATAAGAAAAGCTTATTCACTCTAAAAGCTAAAAGCAATTCTAAAGCATCTCCTGTAGACGAGAACATTTTATTGAAAAAGTTTTCTAAACAAACAATTGAGCATGAAACATGGAAAATTCTTTTATTGTTATTTTATCTGAAATGAAAAGTTTACGATTTTATTACGAAACTTATGTTTTTACTGTCTCAATATAATAAAGAAACTAGGGTGGGGCCTCCGTAAATATTATTTTGTGAGGCTATCTCGAAATAAGATTATTATTTGTGGGTTTATTGTTGTATGTCGTCGAGAATATTTTCACATTTAGAACTTGAAGTGTCATTGATTAATCACTGGAAAATTGAAGGAGTATGAAAACGGAACGAGTCAGGATTGAATAAATATTTGTGTAGCCATTATATTCCTTAATTACAGAAAACTTAAACTCATTCCATTTGGTTTTTCATGTCTTCAAACTTAATCGTAATCATTTCTTTTTCTTCATTATGTTTAGTAACACTTTTCTTGTTATTAGATTGAAAATATTTTCTAACCATCGGTGCTAGAAGTTTCGAATCAACATTGTTGGGATCTTCGAAGCCAAAAAACATACTCAGAATTACTGAAGAAACAATTCCGATCATAGCACCGAACGGCATGTAGTAAAGGTAAGACATGTGATGAAATTGGCCGGCGATTTCGTCGTCATGAATTGGCTTGGAGAGATTTTCAATCAAAGTAAAATTATATTGACACCCTTCTACAGAAGTCGACTTTGTTTCATATCCAATAACACCTCGTGCCAAGTCTAGCTGTGATCTAACAACAATATATGTCATTACAGCTGAAGATACTAAAGCCCCATAAAATGTGGCTCGTTTTCCAATCCATGGTAAAAACATTCCTATTGTAAAAATTCCAAACATTCCTCCAACACAAGCAGCTGGAAGTCTCATTGAAAGTTCTAAAACTGAACCAAGGTGTTGAACAACATACACGAGTGCTACTGAGAGAACACCAATAATAAGAACTGTGCCTCTCATTACAAATCCACTCATTGTTTCCGAAATTTTATTTTTAAACACCGGTTTGAAGTAGTCTTCAAGTGCAACTGCTGCCATCGAATTGAGATTAGATGATAAGGTGCTTAAAGCAGCTTTGTATGTGCAAATGAATAAAAAAAAGTTATGCAAATGATTCATTAGAAAAACATAGAAATATTACAAACTAACCTGAGAAAACCCCAGCAATAAACAAACCTGGAAGACCAGGAATATCCTTTAAAATTTGCATTACCAAAAGTGGTACCAACTGGTCATTTGCCTTGGCCAGTTTAGTCGTCAAAGGATCACAATCATGATATGTAGCATAAAGAAGAAGACCGTTATAAATGCACATAAAAATGAGAATAGTGATTGCAATAACATAAATTTTGCAACCTTTCTTTGCTGTCTTCTCATCCTTAAGTGCTAGAAAACGTTGTATAACGCTTTGATTTGTATTGCAAATAATCCAATACCAGCCACCTCCAACAAACAAACTCCAAAATGTGTGACGAATTGTTGGATCTATTCGGAAACTTTGATGTAAATGATTTAATCAATTATTAGTTAATATGAATAAGTTATTTCTCAACCTACTCTGGAGTCTCAAATCTGTCACCTTCCATGTTAATATCTATTAAAGCACTAAGACCACCAATGTTTGCTGTCCCTTTGATCATCACAAGTACCATGACTATGTACATGATAACAATTTGAATGACATCTGTCCAGATTACAGCTTTTATTCCACCCTGAAGCATCGTTAACCATCAACATTGTGTAAGGGCATGACAACAAGTGGTTTATTGACAAAACTTACCAAAAGTGTATAAAATATGCAAACAGACATGACAACAGGTGTAATAATATGAATATCTACACCTGTGGTTTGATTGAAGGCCAAAGCTGGAACGTAAACGACTATTGGGAGCCATGTAATTGTTGACACCGATAATACTACAGAGCCAAAAAGACGTAATTTCATATCAAAGCGTCTTTCTAAATACTTTAAAAAAGATAACAGAAATGTATGATATGCCAAAATTTTGATTACCACTTATTAATAAATCATTTCGTACCTCAAACATGCTTACAACTTTTAACTCGTAGAAGACTGGAATAATGATGTAGTGCATGTAAATCCCCAAAAACAAGGGCCCAGCCATTACGTAAGCATATTGAATACCATAAATATATATTTCTGTGAGTTTTTAATAATTTATTTTTATATTATACCGTATACATGAAAGTTCAATAATAAATTTTACCTGTGCTTGTACCAAGTAATGTGATTCCAGAAACAAATGTAGCCACCAATGACATTGCAACTGAGAAAGAAAATGTATTTAAATTTTAAAAATCTTGGAATTTTTTTCTAAAGTACTGCATTGCACCTGGGAAGACTTGAACATTTTTTCCGCCCAGTAAATATTCAAGTTCCACTGAGCCACGACGTGATTTGAATCGATTGAACTTCTGCTTCTGATGATCTTTATAACCAAAATATAATCCGATCAACGCAGAAATGATAAGCATTAAGATGAAAACTGCATAATCAATTGAACCGAATTTTTTAAAAGATTCACTGACATTTTCAACAGTTTGGGACATATTTCCAGATTCGAAGTATCTTTTTCAGTAATTAATGTGAGACTGAGCTCAATCACAGAACAATTTTTCCACAAAATTTTTTTTAATCTATCTCTTAACGTTGACGAGATAACAACAACTTGATCGATTTACAATGTAGATTATATTGTGTGTTAACACTTTTAAAATTTATAATCATTTAGATGGTCCATCGTCATATGCTTTAAATTCAAATCATACGTAGCAGATATCTGCTGTAGTAACAAGTACATTGTAGATGAAGCTTACATCTTCCACAATCTACAATAACATTTTTCCATTGTTTAATAACTTTCTTTAAATCTTTGTTTATTTTGATTTTAAATTGATTAAACCAACGAACATTCAATGTTGCAAATGCAAACAAACTGCTGGAAGAGCGTAAAAATGTTTCTTTAAGTAATTTGTCGCCCTTAAATACAGTAGGTAGATAAAATAAAAAGGGAAGGAATTGTAATTTTAAACAATTCTTGTTTCAGAACAATCAAAATTTTTCTTTTTTCGCAATGACTTCACAAATAAGGAAAAAATTTATGGCGGTTACAAAAATCAAGGAAAAACACGAAACGTCGCGAAACTTTAATCATGAATTTGGTGAGGGTTGTGTTCTTTACAATTTTAACCTTCGTTTTCTTTAGCGTAAAAGATTACGGTAAACTTGTGACAAATAAGATTCATCACGCTCTAAAAAACAGCAAGTGAACGTTTCACTTGAACCCTTTGGGAAACTAAAGAGTTCAGGAATGGATGTTGAATAAATATAAAATGTTTATCAAATAAAAATCTTCCATCTTCATTTTAATAACAAAAGCTTAAAATTCAAACAATAATCTAAAGTTTCCTGCCTTGTAAAACGACATTTAATCATTTGGAATCTGTCGTTATAGCTATAAAATCAAATGGATTGTGAAATGTGAATTTTTATCGTATTGAAATTAAAGGAAGGAGTTTCTTACATCAATTGATTTCAAATGAAAAGAATTCAGCAAATAATGGAAACGTTTTTCGTCTACCTTTTTTCCTAAGTGTTTTACGAAGATGAAAATCCTAGAACTAGAACTAAATAAGAAGAGAAACGTTTTATGAATATTTTCGTGTACTCGATTGTTGAAAAGAAATGTTACATGAAATTCAAATTGAATCGCTATAATTAGGCGACAAAAGTTAGAACGGGTTTTGCGTGATTTTTTTTATTAAAAACTTTTTTATTGGAATTAGATATGTAAAATGGTTTTCGTGAGTTTTCATTCTTTTAAAAAGGTGCATCGAAATAAATTATAAATACAATTTATAATCAATTATCTACACTTGAATATGATTTAAACACGATACTATTTAATTAGGTAAGGAGATATTTTCAAATTAACATTAATTATTATAGCCACTGGCAATCATTAATTTATTTGAACTTTCAGAATATAAATCTATACTTAATCTCAAAGCTTGAAATGAACTGAAGACCTTGAAAGTTTCAAGTTTAGAATACAATTCTTTTAAAAAGAAAAGATAAAAACAAATTTTAAATTCAAATACTTGCAAATCTAATTACATCATTATTGTCATTTTCATATATTGGTGTTAATTTAAATGTTTTAACTGTAAATACCTTATTCTGCAATGCAAATCAAGCGTGCTCACTTTTGGTTCACCGTTCACCTGAGCTCACCATTATATTTGCTTTCATGGGTCACCATTTTTTCCTGCTAACAAAATTGTCTGGCAAGAAGGCTGTTAGAAAAAATAGTGACCCAAGTAAGTGAATTGACAGAGATGCCATGGTGAGGTCAGGTGAGCTTTGAGCCAATAGTGAGCAAGCTTGGTATACATTCTCTATTGCTTCATAGACAGCTAATTTGAGCATTCGTAAGACATTACTATAATTGGCTTGTAAAGATGATAAAAATGACAAAAAAGTAAATTTACAAGTAATATTGATACCTAATTATCTTTGAGCTTTACTGAGAGCTTTTGAAAAAAAATTATCGCTCTCAAAAGTAAAGAAGAGAATTATTTAAGCTTACATATTCGCTTTTATAGTTACGAAGCTATCTATATGCGTATTTTTCTATTTATGATTCCGAAAACATAGTTTTTTTCCTGGTTTTTAATTATGTTTCATAATATTTATAAAACAATCGTCAGAACATTATTTGTTAGGAAATTAAGCGAACTCAAAATTTTGTTATCGTTAATTAATAAACTGACAGACAATCAAGAAAGTTAGATTTTATTTTCCCTATAATTACGAACAAACATGGAGTTTTATCATTATAATCTTACGTTAAACTAAATTAAATAATGTTCTCATAAATATTTGGACTGTTACCGCTGTCAAAGTATTATTCTTCTACGTTACAAGTTTATTTTTCTACATATTTTGGTTTTATCATATATAACCCAACTATCATCCTGATTTCACATTTAATATTTGGAAATGATGAAAATTCCGCCAAATTGAAAATATCGAAAAAATGTAAGTTACAGTTTTTGACGTTTTTGTTAAACATAAGCTTTTACTGGCCCTAGAGTATCTTCTCTTATCTTCAATAAATTTAACATTGAACAACTTTTACCCTACCTTATCAGGTATGTGCACATGCTTCGAAGGTATTTTCAATTGAATTTTTATTTTCAGCCCATAAATAAAATACTTAGTCATGATTTTATGTGCTGAATTTTTTGTGCTTTTTCTTATTAGTTTCTACAAAATAGGTCGTAAAACGTAAAATCTACTTATTAATTCAAATAAAGTTAGATTTAACGATATGTATTTTTAATTTCTTATTTTTGAACTATCAATCGATCAAAACTTCTTGAATTTATAAAGAATATTCTAACGTGTAGTTTATTTTTATTTCAGAAACATCCGGCGGAAAGGAGAACAGAAATTTTCTTAAATCTAGAAGTTATTGATTGAACGTGATACGAATCTTTCTGAGATTTTTTGCTTCTAAGTTTCATGTTTGTTGAGCATAAATTCCTTTTTTTTTCTGCAAAAAGCAAACAGACACAAATCCTTACAAATAGAAAAAGGAATCTCCGAGATCTGCATACGAAGAAGGATTTAATGAAAGTCAATATTGAAAATATTGAAATGAGTTCTGTGTGAATCAGAACAAAAGAAAGTTTTCAATCAGGAATCTTAACAATCTCAGCTTTCAACATGATATCAAAATAGGATGCTAAATGACTAAGATGACTTTTCAAAAATCTTATCGACAATCGTCTTTTGAAATCGCGAAAAAATGAAGACACTCAGTAACCAATCCTTTTATCTAACTCGCAATGAAACAGCAAAAATAATCAGGCATTAGTTTGTATTGCTTTTTAAAAATTTTAAAATGATTAGCATTTGACTCAATAAATAATCCAGGAAATCCTTAATAAAAGAGTTCAAACTATAATATAAATCAAAGAAAATAAAACACTCACAATTTAAGCTTAATAATGGTCATATTCATCTTTATTATAAAAACTAATGCTACGTAAACTTAATTTCCCACATTTTATCATCTTTGTTATTTCTTCAACAAGTTTTAACGAAAGAAGATATTTAGTTAATCAGACGTTGGAATTTCAGAAGAAAAAGTTTCAATTAAACTTTGTTCTGAAAGCACGAACGTTTTCCTTTAAGCACTCGATTCAATGTATTTCTTCATGTTCTAACACTATCACAATTATTATTTAATGGTCCATAACCAATATATGGCCTCGTAAGATTCTTTCGTCTCTCTTTATATTTATAATCTACGCTATTATTTTTCATGAAGCTATTATCATCTTCCTGTCAAATCTCATCAATTGGATCGAGTGCTTCTTCATCTTCTAGTGGAGTATGAGAGCTTATATTATTATGAACAGCTATATCGTCTACTCCATCTGATAATATGTCATATCTGTAAGAAGTGAATGAAAAAACTTCATTAACATTTCAGTATTAAAACAAAAAGAAAAGTTTCGGAAGAAGAAAATCATAATATTTATGATTATGAGAGTTAGCATAACTTTGAGGTTCTTGCTTAGAAAAAGCAATATAGGTATTTGCTTCAAGATAAGCTTTACAGCTTTTCAGATAAAAATTTATGATAATTGAAAATAGGAAAGAAACAATTCGATTAAACTTTCAATGAATATTTTAAAAAAATGAAATTAAATGCTAATGAGAAATAAAACAAATTGTTTCACCTTGAAAAAATTTTTTTTTCTAAGTCCGAGATTACTTACTTATCATGTTGCTCATCGAATTCCGGGAGTAAACTATCCTCTCGTCCACGGATTTTTATTCGAAATATTGTAAACATTCTTAAAAGAGCTAAAATTATTAGTAGAGCTCCACCCACATAACTAAGCCATAGATTGTGAGGCCACATTAACAGTGCTACTCCAAGTGCGACATATGGAAATGAAAGTCTCCAACTGCCAAAAAAGCCTGTACATCTCCAGCATCGAATCCATATTGGAGAATGTCCTTTACTATATTTTCAAGGGAGAACGTAAAAACATTTAGAAGTTTTTGCAGGAAAATGAGGATTTATTGATGTGTCTGTGTGTTTTCTGTGTTACAATTAAATTTGTTTGTAAAGAAAAAGCACACATAAACCAACCTATTACCATCTCCAAAGCTTATGCTAAAGATTTTTTCTCTACATCTTTTAACAAGATTTGTAATGGTTGGTATTTCATAGAAAGCCGACAAGCATAAAGCATCGAGTTTCCATGTGTTACTGATATTTTTTTAATGTTTGTTTTAGCAATAAAATATAATTTACGTTCAGTTACCTTGTACAAATGAGTTGAAGAAACATTGTTATCACCCACTTTATTTCAAAAAGGAATATAAGGCCTGATGATATTCTTGCAAAAAAATTGTTCCATTTAGTTATATTGAAAACTGAGATAATTAGATCAAATACAATAAAAACTTACAACAAATAAAAACCAGCCTCGTATCCATGCATAAAGATATCAACTCCAATCCCACAAATTACTGTAACTCGATAATGATAAAGAAAAAAAAAGAGAAGACAAAAAAGTAGAGAAAAACAAATTAATTATCATCAGTTGATGTAATTGTATTAACACTAGAATTGATTTGCGCAATGATCGACAACTTGCGCTCATTGCTAATCGACGTCATTGATTTTGCTTTCTTCCTCAAATTAAATTTTATACGAAGAAGAAAAAACAAGCTTTAGAATGCTGTATTCATATATGTATTGACTGCTTCGAACTTAGACTTTGATGTCATGGTCACGATATACAATTACAATCATTTATTTTTTACCTATGCAAACAATGAATAGTTTCATTTTGTGTTTAGAACTCTTTTAAATATTTGCCAAAAATTACGTAGAAGATTTCATAGTGAAATGAAAAGTTTTGAATTTTTTGAAACCTTCCATAAAACTCTAAGTTATTGATTGAATGATTGATATTTATGAAGATTTCAATTTGAGTTTTTTTTCGTTATTTTATCTTATTTTGATGACATTTGAAGGATTCATTTGTGTCCACTTTAAGTATAACTTATATGTAGTAACAAAGTAACATGAAAATTATTAACTTAATTAATTACAATGATAATATTTTTTAGAGTTTGAGCCTTGAAATAATTCAACTTAATGTACGACAAGTATTAGAGTAAAGTTTGTCATTGAATTAATTTCTTGAGCAAGTAGCATTTTTCTATCACATAAAAGACATTACCTACATGTTACATTGTTATTATTAGATTTGATGCTGACACAAAGTCGATAAATTCATCATTTAATGTAATATTCGAAATTTTGTGCGAAATTACAAAGAATTTGAAACTTTTTTTATCACTCTAACATTTCCTGAGTTAATTAATTTTACGACTGAAATGTAAATTGTATACTCACTGATAGAAGTTGCTATTCCCCATACTCTTATCAAAGGTTTCAAACATCTAAATGGCGATTCCTGTCGCCTCCGATTTTTTACATCCATGATCTAATGTATTGCAACATGTATGCAAATAGAAAACTTTTCAATTTAATTAAAATGCTATCACATGTCACTGAAAGTGGATTCTGTGTATTTCAGCATAAAGTTTACAGTGATTCTGGATACAATTGTGTTTATCGGTTCACGACGTGTTATTTCTGAAAATCAATAAGACTTTAATCAAATAATGAGTGGTTTGAAATCTTTTTTTTAACTCGATAAAACAATAATTTCAGTGAGTCAAAAAATATTTAATTAATGAGTACACTGTTTAAGTTTATAAACTGTTATGATGCAGATTATTTTTTAACAGAAATGTGTGAATGAATTGTTAGAATAAAGAATGATCGAAAAAATCAAAGGGAAGATGAAAAAAAAACCCGCAAATTCTTCAAGGTCGTCTTTGAGTTTATGCTAATGTCAATAAAATAAAGACAGCTTGTTACTGAAATATTCATTGACGTAATTACACTAATACTCTGAGACTTAATCTTATCTAATGTTATAAGAGAATAATCAGAGAAAATTTCATTAATTTAGGCTTTGGTCGATCTAGGAAAAGCAATAAAATCTTGAAAGGACTTGAAGGATAAAAAAGAGGTCACCATGTTTTTTTGTTCTTGACTAAAACGATTTATCAAGGAAGTAGAATGGTAAATTTTAACTTCAGTTTTCGTCGCATCATGTTTCAGTTATGCACATCACACGATTTTTACACTAAACAATTGAATATTTTTTCCGTTTTATATTTGTGTTCGGTTTTCATAGTTCTTACTAAATTAAAATTAGAGGAGTTTTTATTGACACATACAAATAACAAAGAACAGAATGTTTCACTTATTTTCTTTTAACTAATTTTTTTCACAAAAACTGTATTTAGATTAACGTCGTCACAATTGTTTTCATAATTGAAAATGCTTTCAAGCTAAATTAAATCTAGGCAAATGTTTGATATTGCTGTTAAATTAATCGTAAAACAAGAGGAAATTTTTTTATTCTTATATCCTACAAGATCTTGTTTGTTTAAATTGAATTAACTTTGTTTTGCTCATGGTTATGGCGTGAGATATTTTTTTTGCTTTCTTGGCTATATTGCAGAAGATTTATTGGTTCTTTTTTTCCAAGCTGCAACTAACGATATTGCTATCCCTGTTGTCATTTGAAAAACTTTTCACTTGAAAATTAAAGCTTTATTCATGATAAGAAGCCTCGCATTTACGTGGCGCCAGTAACATTTGTAGAAAACAAAACTTTTTAAAATTTAACACTCTAATTGAATAAGATTCAATTTTTATTTTTTTATTAAATCGGTGTTTGCCTTGTCATCTTGAAACTGCCGAAAACTGCCCAATGACGTAAATTACCATTTCATTCAATTAATTCTTATTTCTCACATCAGAATTTACTAACATTGTATAGTTTTAGAATCAGTTTATGCTATTATAATTATCCTGCGATTAATCACTTTAACAATTTAGTTTAAAAAAACAGAATAATTCGTTTTTAGATACGTACTCAATGAAAGATGATATCTTACTAAATCGTCTCTATTCATTTCCATGTGCTGTGGGTGATGTGAAAGCTTTTCTCAAAAGCTTTTTACTCTCTTTTTCGCGTCCCTCTCTTATTCAGTCATTTTTCATTCTCTTTATTTAAAGCTTAGGGGTATTTTATCGTAGTGCTTTTTCCAACTGCCTCTAAATGATGCTTCGAAAAGCGTTAATACTTTTTCATAAAACTGGCCATTTTTTCAAGAAATTGCTAAATTTTTCTTTGAAATTTGCGGGAATTTTTTTTTGACCTAATTAAGGTAAGAATTGACATAAAAACGTCTTTGACATTTTGAACATCTTTTTATACAAAGCAGTGGTTAAAGTTCTCTTCTTTTCTACTCCATTAAGCATTTCAAATATGTTTAATTATCCTAATTTCACTATGCCTATACATAAAAAAAAAACTATTTCCGGTCAATTTTCTTCTTATGTGCTTTTATTCTTGATGTGATTCCATGTTCTTTTCGCTTTTTTATTACAATATGTACCTCTTAATTATTTTTTGCGAATCTTCAGGTAAGTTTTAAAGGGTTCATCCAAGAATAAAAAATATCAGTTCCAAATGAGATTGAAGAGTTTCTTATGGAGAATACCTGAGTAAATGAGGAGCATGAATATTTCTTATCTTAGATTTTTTCATGAAAATTATTTACAATGTTGACTCACTCTCTTGTTTTCTTTCTACATTGTTGCATCCAAAAAAACAATATTACTACGTTTTTAATTTATTTTCGCTATATTAATTAAATAAGCAACTTGATGTAGACAAAATCAGCATTTTTTTAAGATTTGGCTCATATTTTTTCACTTCAGTTGAAAAATATTTAAACAGGGTAATCTACCTAATTGTTTACTTATTTTTCATCATCATCAGAGTAGGGAGTGCACGACTGTACACTAAAGCGATTAAGAATACAGGAATATAAATTCCAACTTGTTTCGCTCCCTTTGTCTCATCACCTGAATGATGAAGGTTCCACTTTCAGTAGCGTTCCACAGGATTGTATATTCCTGAATACTCTTCATTGTTCATATTTGACAAATTTATATTTTTATCAAATCTGATACAAAGAGACATTTCAGTTTATTATATCCTAGTGAAAAATTCCACTTTAAATGAAACAGGGGCGAAGTATCTAAACTTCTGAAAACCTCAGCCCAAGTGACCACCACCGAGAATGGAACCAGGATCGTACCGATTTCCTTATTTTTCATAACCATGTGTATTTATTACAATATAATATGTTAAGTATGACAAGATAAAATAACGTCTAATAACGTTTCTTAAGTTTTCGGCTGTTACATATCATTGGAGGCTTCTTTTCTTCATATATCATTTTGAAGCATTTATATTGAAAACATTTCATTAGAAAATTCCAGTTAAAAATTCTACTGACTTAAATAAATTTTGTTTTCATAATTGATGCAAAAACTAAACAGACATTCAATGAAGTGTAGAACATTGAGAAATTATAGTTTAATGAATACGAAAAGTTCATAATGAACACTTGTAATGTTGAAACCTTTATTATGTTCAAAAGAATTCTGACATGGAAAATGGATATTTTAGAATGAATAATTTATTGCTTTAATGCTTTAGAATGAATAATTTTCTTTCTCCTTGATCATCTTTCAGATCTCAGGAATTTTAATTTTTCTCTTTTCCTTGATCATTTTTCAGATCTCAGGAATTTTAATTTTTCTCTTTTCCTTGATCATTTTTCAGATCTCAGGAATTTTCTAATATTTTCCTTTGGCTGTACTTTCTTTCAAAGCACTTCGCCAAAACTGTACTTGCATCGTCATTATTTTTTCTCGGCTGTACTTTTTTTCGATGCGCATTTTCAAATCTGATTTACTACGATTAAACCGCTTGTAATACATCAAAAGACTTAAATTCTATCTTTTTCAATTGCTTAAGGTCTTTTAGTTACTTTCGTGGCTTTAAATGATGTTAAATATCGAGAAAAGAACAAAAAAATTCGCTTTTCCAAGTTTTCAAAATTTGTCTCTTTTCTCCGATTTTAAGCCGATTTTCATGTAACTTTCGACCTTTTCCATGTCTTTTGATGTTCACAAGCCGATTTATGAGGTCATAC